AAATGATGCGTGACCTTGAAGAACCGTCATGGATGCACAGACTGGATACTTTCGAGGAGTCGAGAGGGAGTCCTGTACCATACTAAACCAAGTCTAAGGACCCACAATTGGCACTTTCGACGCCGTGCGACAATGGATTCGCAAGCCGATCGCAAGATTGGACCGCTGATCCCAAGGTATACTCAAGACAAGACATTTTGACCCCAAGCATAGTGAACATAAGATATTTGCCCGAAGAAGAGAGAGTGAGAAGTAGCTGATAAAAACCAAACAGAGTTCCTTTTACCCTGTACTGCGCAAGTGACTTCGGCCAAGCCTGCCGACGGAAATCCGGAGGACCCGAGACTACGACCGCGGGACGCTAAGGGCACATCAACGGCGAAGGACAGCCGTCTGTGTGGGCTCCATCAAACTCAAGTCCAGTTAGGTGGTGACCAGCGACGGCCTTGAGCTTCCTGGGGTGATCCATCTATTCCATATCCTAGTTGGGTCACTTGCTGTGCTCGTGGTAGCCCATTTCATATTATTCCAGAGGGTATTCTGGGGTGCTAGGTAGTCGCCTCCAGGATTTTGTATTGACTGCTTGTGTGAAGGGAAGGTAACTGATAGTGATTGTATTTTCCTCCTTTATTGGAGGTGGTGCGCGTTTGTGTGAGTCTCAGGGGAGCTAGGCCCCTGAATTTCAGACTCGAGTGAGCCTAGTGTGTGTGTGTGACCCACCGTCCAAGGGTCCAAAAGAATAAGTGACGGCTAGTTGTAGTGTTTGTATACTCTGTATTTGTTGGTTTTATCGAGCTAGGAGGGCATTTGGGTAAGGTGTCTTCTGAGTTCCAAGTCCCAGAGTTGACTGAAATCCTGGACCCTGAATTCGTGATATTCTGGGTTTCAAGGGATCTGATTCTCTGGGTTTGCCTTTTGGTGTGGAGGTGCGTTCTGAAGTAGACGTGCGCTCCCGCACTTCTTCGAGGCTACATTTACAACCGGTGGAGTGCCGTTCCGTCGAAGACAAACGAGCCGACAGGGATTACACAAGGTACCCACGCCAACCAAGGAGTGTGATTCTCAGGGTTTAAAGCTTTGCGGCTGCGAATCTCTGGGTCTATCTTCTTGCGGTTGACTCTCAAGTCGATTCTCTGGGTCTACCCCTGGGGAACAGTCTTGGGCTGCGCTATACGAACCCCCCTGGGCGACAAAGGTTTCATCGGCCTCGCCTCAGCTGGTGCGCGTGCCCGGATTCGATTGTCGAGGATTTCACCGGAATCAAGTGTTGAAGAAGTGTTGAGTACCCGTCAACTTCAAGCTACCAAGATGCCTGGAGGACGAGGGGCGAAGAAGAGTGGACGCGGTGACGGAGGACGCGGTGAGGCGTCACGTCAGTCGCGTCGTGTTCAAGGTATGGAGCCTGAGGAGCATAAGGACCTGGAAATAGTCGTCCGCGACGCTCGGAAGGCGAAGAAGGCTGCTTGCGAGAGCGAGGCAGTGCAAGGTGGGGGCGTCGAGGCGTCTGCAGTCCAAGGTCAGCCTGCCGCTGGATCGCAAACTCAGGAGGAAGAAGTTTCCCCTGGGTTCCAAGGTTCGACGGAGGTGAATTCTGGGTCGCGGATTCCTGAAGTCCCAGAGGAACACACCCGCGAGGGTGGTGCTCAGGCGTCTGAGGGAGGCGCCAATGCGGTTGAGCCTCCGGAGGTGATTGACTTGGTCTCATCTTCGGACGAGTCTGTTGTGGAAGTGAAGTCGGAGCCCGTGCGAGCAAAGGAGGAGGCGAAGACTCAGAGTTCCAAGGTGAATTCTGGGTTCGCACCACCTGAACCCAGAGTTTCAGCGCCAAGTTCGCAGGCGGCACCCAGGAAGACGCCTGAAAGCGACATCCGGGAAGCTGCTGCGCCTGCTCCGGAATCGGGAGCAGCGGCGTTGGACGCCGGGAGCATGGTGCTGTACGTTCGACGTGAAGTTCGACGCTGGGAAGAGGTGAATCCTGGGAAGGTGACGCCGCCAAGTGTCGTTTATGAGTGGCCGACTCCGAAACCGGATGCCAACTCGTACTTCGCGGCCGCATACGCAACGGGAGACTACCTCAAGTGGCGTTTGTCTCTGGAGAATCAAGATGAAGCCTGGATCTCTGAGTTTCACCTCGCCCGGTGGGGCGTCGGAACTGCTCAGGACCTCATGGCGACTACGATTCCCCAGAGTATCATGACCACCCGCGAATGCGTCGCCATTCTGCAGACTCTGTTCTTCGAAGCCGGATTTGAGTTTGCCAATTTGATCCCTGGCTGGTCTTCGACGCGTGCTTCCAGGATTCCAGAAAGTCTGGTGCGCTCTGTCATGGAGGAAACCTAGAATTTCATCGCTGTGGAACTGGTCGAGTGGAGATTGGTGATAGCTGGTGTGCCTTTCAAGGTAAACTCCGAAGATCACGCCGCACCAAGCGCCCAAGAGCAAGCACCAAGACTGGACTACCACAAGGAAGATGGAGACGGTGATCTATTGATGACGGACTACGATGCGGATCTACTGAGCCGACAGTTTGTCCTGAGATTCAGAGTCACTGGACTCCGGATTTCACGGAGCCCACGAGGGTCGAGTGATGGTGAGCCACGATCCAAGCGTACTCAGCATGTACCGCCTCGGCCACAAGTCCCGTCAACGCCATCCGCGCTGTCTACACCGTCGCTGTCCTCTCTTCCAGCGTACAAGTCTTCGACTGGTGCCTCGCTTCAGAATTCCACTCCCCTGAATTCCATGTCCAATGGACGTGATTCTCTGGAGGCGGAAGCCAAGGACGCTACCCCAGGCGCGGTGCCAAGTGTCATCGGTACCTCGCGCGCTTCGGATGAGAGTACTGCCTCGGGCGTTCAAACGTCTTATGGTAGCTCTTCGTCTTCGTCGATGATGTCGCTTGGACAACGAGTTGGAGCTCTAGCGCTTGTGGCCCAGAGTGCCGGTGGCTTTGCAGCTGCCGGTGATCTTGGATTTCAGGTCACGCGGACAGTCATCCCGTCGCGTATTGTGTCAGTCGACCAAGATGACGTTTAGATGGCATCGTCGGTGCACTCTGACGCAGAGATCGCACCCAGGAAGGCCGGTCTCCCCAGGATTTCAGCCACGACTCCCGAGCCGAAACTCAGGGTTTCTGCCCCGATTGCTGGATTTGGTGGTCCAAGGGATGTCAGCGCCGATGAGCGGAGTCAACACCAGAGCTCTAAGAGCGAGGTGCGCTCTCGACGCTCGACGAAATCCAGAAAATCATCTGCGTCGAGCCGCTCGAGTGGATCCAGGAATCTTGGGTCAGTTTCGTCCGTGTCCGCGAGGTCTGGGCCCGCCCAAATCGAGCTGAACGTCTTGCGACAACAGCAGGAGTGGCAGGCCCGCATGGAACAGGAGCAACGCGAGTTTCTCGCCAGAGAACGCCTGGATGCCTTGCAGCGCGAGCGCCTCAGGGAACAACGTGACCTGGACGCGCGTCGCCAGATCCAGGAACTTACGGATCGCTTGGTCCACGCTGAGATCGCCCGAGGATCCATCTATTCCATATCCTAGTTGGGTCACTTGCTGTGCTCGTGGTAGCCCATTTCATATTATTCCAGAGGGTATTCTGGGGTGCTAGGTAGTCGCCTCCAGGATTTTGTATTGACTGCTTGTGTGAAGGGAAGGTAACTGATAGTGATTGTATTTTCCTCCTTTATTGGAGGTGGTGCGCGTTTGTGTGAGTCTCAGGGGAGCTAGGCCCCTGAATTTCAGACTCGAGTGAGCCTAGTGTGTGTGTGTGACCCACCGTCCAAGGGTCCAAAAGAATAAGTGACGGCTAGTTGTAGTGTTTGTATACTCTGTATTTGTTGGTTTTATCGAGCTAGGAGGGCATTTGGGTAAGGTGTCTTCTGAGTTCCAAGTCCCAGAGTTGACTGAAATCCTGGACCCTGAATTCGTGATATTCTGGGTTTCAAGGGATCTGATTCTCTGGGTTTGCCTTTTGGTGTGGAGGTGCGTTCTGAAGTAGACGTGCGCTCCCGCACTTCTTCGAGGCTACATTTACAACCGGTGGAGTGCCGTTCCGTCGAAGACAAACGAGCCGACAGGGATTACACAAGGTACCCACGCCAACCAAGGAGTGTGATTCTCAGAGTTTAAAGCTTTGCGGCTGCGAATCTCTGGGTCTATCTTCTTGCTGTTGACTCTCAAGTCGATTCTCTGGGTCTACCCCTGGGAAACAGTCTTGGGCTGCGCTATACGACCCCCCCCCCTGGGCGACAAAGGTTTCATCGGCCTCGCCTCACTTCCCTCAGCGTGTTACGGATAGCAGCCCTCACAGCGCGGGGGCCCAAGCTTTGAGCGCGTGGCGAAACACGCAACCTCCAGGCACCCTACCTGGAATGCATGAGTGGCTAAACAAAGGTTGGAAACTGTGGCAGAGCGTAATACGAACTCGTTGAAGCTGGCGCCAGCGTCAAAGAGGGAAATGTTCGCGGCTCAAACGAAAACATTGGATGAATTCGGGACAGTTGCGCCAATTTCTCCGGTCTACCATACACACTCAGCTCCCGCCGGTGCACATTCAAGGTGGTCTAGTTGGGGAAGTGCCACACTTTACGTACGAAGAAACCAAGCAGGCCGTAACATCATCTATGGTAGATTTGTTGAACTCGTGGGTTCCCCCACACGAAAAAACAGCAGAGCCGATGCACCTCACTGCAGACACAGTGGAGGCAGAAAGTGAACTGCCAGAGTTTATAAGAACGTGGCTATTGGACGAAATCAAAGCTGGTGGAACTCACCGTGACGCATTCTGTGGACCAGGGGATGAATGGGGTGACTTTACTTATGACGAGACTCTGCAGCAACAAGTTGATCGAATGGCAAATAAAGGCGTCGCCCCAGGATATGGAGGCATTCCACAAGAACTATGGATAGCAGCGCCCGCCAGTGTACGCGAGAGATAACGACTGATCTTCAATACAATACTGCGCACTGGGGTAGTTCCGGAAATTCTTAACCACCGCCAAATGGTCTTCCTTCCCAAGCCCTCTCACGCCACGGGAGTGTGGGAGCGCCAGGGGCTCCCGCCGTGGAGGCCGATTACCGTCCAAAGCTCACTCGCGACTCGCCTATTAACAGCAATCAGCTGCTACTTGGAGACTCGTGTTCCAAACCACCCAATGCAGCACGGGTTCCAAAGAGACAAGAATGTCCAAGATGCTGCGCTTGCGACTACACTGCTCCTCGACAGAGCCGTTCTGAGGAAGGAGCCACTATACCTGTTAAGCAAAAATTGTGAGAAATGTTACGACCGGATCCCACGTTGGGTAATGGCATACATCTACAAACGAATTGGGGTCCCAAAACTTTTATATGACATTCTGATGGGATTTCTCGGTCCTGGTGAAATTGATATTCGGACTGCGTTTGGATGGGTGTCTAGCGGGACGCGCGAATTCGGCTTAGGCCAGGGATCGGTGCTCTCCATCCGGCACATCGGCTACTACATGGATGTCTTGATGCAGCGTCAAGACCAAGGGCCTGATGCTGTAATAATTACGCACTCGCAAGGCGCGGAGCCGCATCAGATCGCTTCTACCGTATTGGTGGACGATGTCATTGATGTTGCAACGACCCGATCAGGCATTGAGCATCGAGTCGCTGTCTCAAATGTTTTTACGGGAATTCACGGAACTGGTGGGGTTTTCGGTGCTTCTAAGTCGTTTCTGCTCCAGTATACGCCCACCGAGCGTAGCGCTAGTGCCACCGTCTAGCTGCATGATGGCACTGGCCAACCGAGGGCGGTGACGATTGTAAGTCCAGCAGAGGGATTCAAGCACCTGGGTACTATCCAAAGCACCGATGACGTATGGAGCGCAACCTTCGCACCTGTGTGGAATGCGTTGAGACGCGAGGCAGACATAATAACCCATCTACAGCTAACCCATGACCAACTCCAGAATATTGTGAACCACGTGTGGCTACCTCGCGTACAGTATCGAACGCAACTAAATACTTCCCACAAGATTGCAAAGTACGTCGATATTCTAATTCGACGGGTGGCGAAGCACGTCCTTAAACTACCTCATAGCACACCTAAAGATGTGTTTCACGACGAGACACAGGGCCTTGGCCTCGCCAGCTTTGAAGACATGTGTAACGTGGCACGAGCTCAGCTAGCCATCCGAGTGATGAACTCACCCCACTTGTCAGCCTACCACTTGCTAATGGAGGCATTCTAAATGTACCAGATCCAATACGGGTTAACGTGCCACCCGCTTCAAATGCCGATGGATCCCCCCAGCCACCCCCAGCGCTCGATCCTGAGACGAGGCCGATGAAACCTTTGTCGCCCAGGGGGGGGGTCGTATAGCGCAGCCCAAGACTGTTTCCCAGGGGTAGACCCAGAGAATCGACTTGAGAGTCAACAGCAAGAAGATAGACCCAGAGATTCGCAGCCGCAAAGCTTTAAACCCTGAGAATCACACTCCTTGGTTGGCGTGGGTACCTTGTGTAATCCCTGTCGGCTCGTTTGTCTTCGACGGAACGGCACTCCACCGGTTGTAAATGTAGCCTCGAAGAAGTGCGGGAGCGCACGTCTACTTCAGAACGCACCTCCACACCAAAAGGCAAACCCAGAGAATCAGATCCCTTGAAACCCAGAATATCACGAATTCAGGGTCCAGGATTTCAGTCAACTCTGGGACTTGGAACTCAGAAGACACCTTACCCAAATGCCCTCCTAGCTCGATAAAACCAACAAATACAGAGTATACAAACACTACAACTAGCCGTCACTTATTCTTTTGGACCCTTGGACGGTGGGTCACACACACACACTAGGCTCACTCGAGTCTGAAATTCAGGGGCCTAGCTCCCCTGAGACTCACACAAACGCGCACCACCTCCAATAAAGGAGGAAAATACAATCACTATCAGTTACCTTCCCTTCACACAAGCAGTCAATACAAAATCCTGGAGGCGACTACCTAGCACCCCAGAATACCCTCTGGAATAATATGAAATGGGCTACCACGAGCACAGCAAGTGACCCAACTAGGATATGGAATAGATGGATCACCCCAGGAAGCTCAAGGCCGTCGCTGGTCACCACCTAACTGGACTTGAGTTTGATGGAGCCCACACAGACGGCTGTCCTTCGCCGTTGATGTGCCCTTAGCGTCCCGCGGTCGTAGTCTCGGGTCCTCCGGATTTCCGTCGGCAGGCTTGGCCGAAGTCACTTGCGCAGTACAGGGTAAAAGGAACTCTGTTTGGTTTTTATCAGCTACTTCTCTCTCTCTCTTCTTCGGGCAAATATCTTATGTTCACTATGCTTGGGGTCAAAATGTCTTGTCTTGAGTATACCTTGGGATCAGCGGTCCAATCTTGCGATCGGCTTGCGAATCCATTGTCGCACGGCGTCGAAAGTGCCAATTGTGGGTCCTTAGACTTGGTTTAGTATGGTACAGGACTCCCTCTCGACTCCTCGAAAGTATCCAGTCTGTGCATCCATGACGGTTCTTCAAGGTCACGCATCATTTTGATTGCAGACTGGCTTCGAACTGACTCGAATCCCTGAAAACCAGGTGACACTCAGGGTCATCTTCTGAAATCCTGGGAATTCTGAGGAATCTTGGGGAACTGTGGGGATTCTTGGGTGTTGGCTCGGGAAACACTTAAGTTCAGTATAGAGAGTCTGGATTTATGGTCCAAACCCAGGGAATCATCTTTGGAACTCTGGGTCACCTGCACTCAGGGATTTGAACTCTGGGTCATCGTGCGGCACTCTAGGTTTTCCGTGCGGCACTCTGGGTAACAAGTCTGCTGCAGTGCAGACTCGTGTGTATCTCCTCAAAACCACACTTTTAGTGGGTTTAGTGGCCTCCTGCGCATGATCATGGTAGTAGTGGGTTGATTCTCAGGGTAATTTGATCCTCTGGGGCACTCTGAGCCACAGCAAGATGAGGCGTACTCTGGGATACATTCTCCAGAGACACTTTCTGCCAGACTTTAGGCACTCATCGTAAGGGAAAGTCCGCGGCTGGACTGAATGTTTTCTGAAATTATGGGCGTGCACTCCCAGGATTCACACTTCCAGCCAGTTGGGCCCATCTGCGGTCAGACGCTGGATTCATCCCGAGAAATCACTTCTCTCCCACAGTCGCCATCCATGTCACACGGGTACAGCCGCGCCGTATCCAAGTCATCCACCAATCAGCATCCGATATAAACTCCAGGTCACAGAGGTGACGGCACATCGTCGGCAATTTTCTGGGGATCGCCCTGGTCAATCCACCAAACTATCCGCGCGGTGGTCGCAGTTGGAACGAAGGTGGATGTTACTTGGGAGAACCCCCAAGCCTGTACGACTAATCGACCAAACGATCGGCCAATTTGGAACGAGTTGACAGAAGATCTCCGAGCACGGCTACTTCGCTACAACCTCAAGTACCCCCACAAAGTGCGCTATGTTGGAGATATCGCCAACACATCTGGTACGCGGCTAGAGCAACCGACCTCGTTACAACGAAAATTCCGCTGGTCGCGCCAGCAAGTTGGCGATTACAAGGCGATAGAGGATGACATCAAAGCCGTACTGTGCCAGAACCCTACCAGAGAGCTGATAACGCCGGTCGGACGAATCCCAGTAGACACAAGTTATCTACAGATTCATACGATGGACGTAGGCCCTGGTCAGTTTTTCATTGCGAACGAATTTGATATCACGGGCGAGGTATTGGAAATGCGCGGTTATGAACTTGGAAAACGCGTTGACGATATAGTAAGCGACAACCCCCATGGTCATGGCCTAGACATCAATGTTCAGTGGTGGCAGGAGACGCGCCCCAACAGCGGTGTGTGGAAACCACGCCCAGGTGAAATTGGATCGGAACTAGCCAATATATGCGTACCAGTAGAAGTGGTGTATCTTCGTCGACGCGGAGGTAGGTCGGCCAAAGACCGAGTGATTATCTGGAGTGATACATCTATTGGAGGCGTTACTGGTGTAATGAGCAGAGATTTAATCAGGGAAGCATTTAATCGATCGTCGCGAAACTATGACGAAGTCATGGCAAGAGGAGAGCTCCAACCTCCCGGCCGAGCGTGTAGCTAGTGCAATCGGCGCCAAGGTGCCGTAGTGTGCGCGGTGTGTCTGGAGTGGCATCATGTAAACTGCAAGACGTGTACCACCCGCCCGGTACGAACTGATCGTCGACCGTGGGTGCATTGGTGTGGTATCGGAAAATGGATATTACCGGAGCGATTGCCCGTCGCCCAAGAATCAAGGTACAATCAAGGAGTAGCCAAGTGCGAGATGGAAGTGGCTGCTTTGGTTAAGCTGACGACATTATCCTCGTTGGAGTGGCAGATAGTGGCAGAAGCTTCGTCGGGTCCTAATACAACCCCGAACGAGGCTTCATGGTACCCACTTTTAGGTACAGATGCATTTAGTTACGTACTTCGGCCGCACTTATTAGTGTAGCCGCGGTCGTCATTTGATGTGTCCGGAATCGCCTTATTGCGATCGTTCACACTAGATATTTGTATAGGACATAGGACTCATCATAGGATGACCAGAACGAGGCCCCCAGGGCCTCAGAAAACTCAGTAATAGAAAGACAGTCTTCCCCCAAAGCCAACAAGGGTCAAGTCCGACTTCGGTAAGTGTAGCTAGCTTATTGTAGTGCCTGGACACGCTCGGCTGCGTGTGGATGCCTGTCGGGGAGCTTATCGTGCATTGACCGAGAGTTTCCTTGGTAGCGCCAAGAGTTGGCGTGGCCGGAGAGGCAGGAACGGTATTAGAGTATCGTTCGGTATATATTTGTGGGATTAGAGTGTCCCTGAGTGTATTAGTCTACCTACCGAGGTTTTACCTTGGTCCCCCTGTATAAGGCCTAACACGCCGGTACCCTTCCTTTCTGAGGGACTGCAGTGGGGTTGCGCGAAAGCGCTACATAGTATCCTAGCCTAAGCTCGTGGCTAGTGGTACAGGTTTTTGGGTTGACCGAAGACAACCTAAGGTGCACAGAGGCGCTTGCAACCGACCCGGTGTAAGGGATCGTTCCTGGTCTTCAGGTTTTGATCTAATAAGCGCTTACCTTTGCGGGTTAGCGTGTTGTTGGTGTCTCTAATACCTTTTGGTAGAGGAGAATTTTAATGGTATTACCACACCACAACTGGTGCCGCGACCCGGGATTGGTGCGACCTTCGGTGTGTCTGGGTTGTTGTAGGTCTTACCCCAACGAGCAAAGAGGAGAAGAAGAAGAGAAGAGAAGAGAAGACAAGACAAGACAAGACAAGACAAGAAGAAGAAGAAGACGTGTGAAGATGGCGAAAGGAGTCAAGTCAGCGGTACCAGCGACGCCGGTGAAGTCGAGTGGAACGCGCAACGAGGCTTCGATGCTCTCCGGGAGTTCGTTCTCGGCCCCAGCGACGGATCGGATGTAGTCGATCGACGAGCGCTCGGTGAGCTACGACACGGCGATTGATTCCTCGGACGCCAAGGAAGATGAGGAAGACGATGACTGGGATGTCAGGACTGTGACGTCCGAGACTTCGGAAGCTGCGGTTGTGTCGGCGGGCCGCAGTGGAGGATCGAGGTCGATCACCCGCGACCTCTCCGAAACGTTCAACGACATGCCGGGCCCCGAGCCCGCCTATGACGCGGATGACGGTGCGACCGAGGGTTTCAGAGCCTCGGTGACGATAGGAGGGGCAACCTCCAAGACTGTTGGCACTCGTCCTCCCCTCAACGGCGATACCCCGGCGGCCAACAAGGATCTAGGCCGATGCCTGGAGCTGATGAAGACCAAGAGCGAGTGGATGCAGTTGTTCTCACCGAAGCAGGTCCGCCAGGCCATCTGGATGGACCTCGGAGGGGCTTTGGCAACACCGATCAACTCAACGAGCACTCGGCAGGTCGCTCAGAACACTGTGGGCCTCCTGCGGGCGATGGGGTGCGAACCTCAGATCCTCCCGACCGAAGCTGCTCTTGCGAGCTGGACGCCAACCACCGCCGCCAAGGCTCTTACCAAGTGGAGGAAGAAGTTACGTGAGGCCTTTGGGGTGGCAGACCGAGGCTCAACGAAGCTTCGTTCGGCCCCGGGAGCGGTTGACCCCTCCAAGGTCCCGCTACCAGCGACCCCTCGGAAGGCAGCCACGGATGACGGAGTCTTCGCAGTCAAGGGCGAGGCTTCGCCGTACATGCAAGACTCGCACATGGTAACTCCACGATCTACGGAACGTAGTGAACGTCTGGCTAGGGAGAACGAAGCTTCATTCGCCACGCCTGGCACGCGCTGAGCGACCGGTCGTCGGTCCGGCCGACGTTACGACCTCCAAGATGATTCGTCGGACAGCGACGACGACCTCGGGCCCGACTACTACGAAGGGGACCTACCGAGCGAATGGGCACGTCAGGTGCGCGAGCTAAGCGCGACCTACAACCAGAGATCAACCCCAAAGCTCGAAATCGCCACGCATTTGCCTCTCGCCAACATCAAGCCGTTCTACGGAACGCGCGACAAGAGCGAGCACTCCATGCAGTGGCTCCGAACGTTCATCTATGAGATGAAGGGAACGCATGCACCACCCAACGAGTGGTGTATGCCGTTCGAACTTAAGCTCAGGGATGGAGCCCTGCACTGGTGTCGCCAGCTCCCACGCAAGACAAGACGCACGTGGAAGTTGCTGAGCGAGGCGTTCATCAAGTACTATTGCTCGAAGTTTTCCCAGTCTGCGAAGGCTCGGTACTACTCGGCCAAGCGGGAAGACAAGGAACACGTTTGTGACTACCTCAACCGGCTTAACGGCTACGCTCGCAACGCCGGTGTGCAATTTGAAAACGGTGGTCGTGACGCGAAGGACCACGTGGACCACTTCTTGGTCACGTGTGACGACCGAAACTTAGAAGACCGTCTGTGCCACGTCCAGGTCAAGAGCATCCATGACCTCGAAGACATGATCAACGACATCCTGCGTCACCGTGACCGCAAATCTAACCGAGAATCGTCATTCCGCCGCTCTCGGAGTCAAGATGATGGACGTCGACGCGATGCGAGGTCGAACGAGGATTCTCGTGGTGGCTACCGCCGCGAACGACGCTACCACGACGAAGGCCGTCGCGAACGACGTCGCCGTGACCGACGCGATGGATCGCCGTACCAGTTCCGAGTCACTTTGGTTGACGCGCTGGCCGATGTGATGGCGGAATGGAACGTCGGAGGCTCGGTCGGTGCACGCAACGAGGCTCCATACGCCCCCCCCCCCGACGTGATGCTGAGGCGAACGAGGATTACTTCGAGGATGAGCACCAATACTCGGACGACCAACGCTCGGACGAGGATTCAGACGCTAATTACGACTCGGATGGGTCTACCGGACATGTCGCTGCTGCTAACGATGCTGAGCGCAGGGCCGCAGCCGAAGGAACGTTCGCTCGGTCTGATAACCGACGCTTCAGGAACGGAGGAGGCCCGTCCAACCGTGAACGAGATGGTCGACGCCAGTATGGGCCGTGTGCCGCGTGCGGAAGCCCGTCCCACTCGGTGCACTTCTGCTACCGGCTATGCAAACTGTGCAAACAGGTGCACGACGCTGGGACGTGTGAAGCGCTCCACGAGCTCACCAAGCTCCTGAAGTCCAAGGTCGACAAGAAGGATCTGTCGCCAGAGCTGCAAAGCCTGGTGTATGGAAGCCATTTAAACTAGGCAGCCCGCCAACTGAAACTGGGTTGGTCCCAATCGGGCTGCCACAGTTAGCTGAGCCTGCTGTTGATGCGGACTATCTGTTCGCGTTCGCAGGCGAAAGCAAACGGCCGGACGACCTGAAGAACAATGAACGTGTGAAACCGACGGAAAATGGAGAGAACCGGGACGCAAGTCTCGTTGCGATTGGTATTGATGAAGATGATGATGATGAACGTGATGGACACCCGACCGAGGCTTTGATCACAAGTCTAGCCCAGATAAGGGGGCCACCTCGGAACCTCGTTCGGGCGGTGAAATTACTGCCCGGTGAGACCAACGATACGACAAGAGGAAGCGAATGAGGGCTTTGGTCAATGACGCAGTGACGACGCGCGAACGAGGATACTCCTTGACACTGGAGCGAATGTTAGCGTGATTTCTGCCAGCTTCGCCAAGCGGCTACGTGTGCGAGAAGTCCGGGACCACGGACGAAGTCTCGAAGTCCGCGGCATCAACCCAGGGGTGATCGAGACCCGGCGACGGGCGCTCGTCAAGATCACCCTCGGGTGGGAGCAGGTCTACGAATTTGAAATGTTGATAATGGATCACAGTGCCGGGGTGGATGTGGTCCTTGGGATGGACTTCATGATCCCGGCTGGAATCCGGCTGGATCTATTTCATGGCACCGCACGCCTTCCGGACGAGGTCATGGTACCACTACTAAAGTCGCAGAGTGCTGAAGATGACGAACCTTACGGCACGCAGCCTTCGTGTGGGCCGATCGAGGATTTATACGTACCCGGTCGCGAGTGGCGAGAGTTTCGACTGCCGCGCCAGCGTCTACCTCGTTCGGAGTACGATGTGTGGGTACGACGCACGGGCAAGCTCGTGCCGACCGTGACGAGGTTTCGACGGGGGCAGCCGACGTGGATACGGCTCACCAATATTACGACCACAGCGGCACAGTGCGCCAAGCATGACTCCGTGGTGCTGTGGGTACCGCATGGTGAACTACCGCGAGAGACCGGCTACGCGAGGTTGGACTCTAACAAGTACAAAGAGTGGCAGGTGTTGGCCTATTTAACGAGTCGTGATGAGACTCTGCAAGGACGAGAATGTCGTCTCTACGAGCAATGGTTGGCTGAACAGCCGCCTGCGGTCGAGCGCCGAACTTACCCGACGCCGCGAAAGATCCTGCCGAGGCCACCGGATGCACCGCCATGGCCAGAAGGCCGTCAACAAGCTCCGTTGGATGATGAGTACTCGTCACCCGATGTACATGGCTACGACGACGACCCCAGGGTCAGTGAAGGCTCGGTCGATGTCGCTCGAGCTGATACAACCGATGTGGATCGTGCTGGTGGGTCGAACGATGGTTCGGACGACGAGGCCAGCGCGTCGTATGACTCGGACGTACCCGGAGACTCGCCGCCTAGCCGAGTGGGTTGCCTGCCCGTGAATCCGAACAGTGGTGCTGAATCCACCGGCCAGGGAGCGACATACGCCTCGGTTGAGGCATCGGAAGCCAGTGATGAGCTGAGTGATGGTGACAGCGTGACGAACGACGGTTCGGAGGATGACCGCGACGTGGTAGCAGTGGCCGAGACAACTACATGGGACGTCCTGCCAACAGGGACCGCTGTGTCCAGCCTGGAGCAAGGAGAAACGCTGGCTGCGGTGTGTAGTAGCGAAGTCGACTGGGGTGAACACGACCCAGGGCCTAACGACGTTCCTACTGAAGCCGGAGCGTCCACCGCTGACGCCGACTCTGAATTCCATGATTCGGATGTAAGTGCGATCGATGACCCCGAGCAGCTACTGGAGGCGACCTATATCTCGGTCATGCATGCCATGGTTGCAGAAGGGTCTGGCGAAGGTGATGACACCGTGAACGATGTTTCAGGGCATGTCGCAAACAAGATTAATCTCACCGAGAACGCGCTGGAGTGTCTACCAACACCTCGACTGAAGCCTACCACACGGATTTGGCCCTACATGGAACGAGGTAAACCAAGACACGAGTGCTGATTCTCGGTGGCGGGCTGGCCGAGTTTTCGAAGTGGAACGGACTTGAGATTATGAACCTGTGCGCAGCCGAACATCGTTCGTTTTGGTAGTGACATGTACGCGTTGCGAGGGCAGCATGATTTGTTTGCACGTGGCCCAAGTCGCGGACGAGGACTAGTTGCATACGTTAACGACGATTGACCTGCTCGCGTGGGTAACCCAGCTCGCGACGACAGACGAAAGAAGCTACTGGAGATGATGATTGAACTGCCTGCGAGGGCTATCCAGCTCGCAGTGACAGACGAAGGAAATTACTGGAATTTGCATATTACATGTGATGTGAACGAATCACGATGGAGTGTCATGTCAGAATGCCTCGGTCAGCACCTCAGCAGATGAAACGAAGAAGGATGAAGCTCAACAGAGGGTAACCGAGGCTTCGGACGCCGATATTAACGTGGAAAAAGTTCGCGCCCGTGCGCCGGACCTCGGCTTGCGACGAAGTATGGATTTGATGATGAAGAGGAGATACGAGTGGATCTGGGACAGCTACGACCGACATGTAAGTCTCGTTCAAGACAGCGGTACATGCTGTAGCCTGCGCGAAAACTGTGGGAACCCTCAACGAGAATTGGTGCGACACGATTGCAACACGGCGAGTCGTCGGGTGGAGGCTGGGGCACCCAGACTTTACGTTACGACCACCGAGTATTTGCTGTAAGAGCACCACGAACCACGGTCATCACTGGTACGGTTTCTCGCGCCAAATAGGAAGAAGCTGAAGGCGCCACCGATGTTTCTGGTGCGGTGGTTCCCGAGCCGCAGACAGCCCGAATTGGTTACGACCACCGGAAAGTCCGGATGGAACTGTGGAAAGAAGGCAGCGAAGTCACGGTCGACACAGCTACACTATCTCCGAGTGATAACGAAGCAAGTCAAGGTGGTACCGACGTTGGCGGTGCAGCGATTCGTGATCTTCAGGCTGGGGCAACCATACCTGCTTCCTTTACGACCACCGAAGTTCCGACGTAGGGATGGTGTGAGGCAGGACGAGTCATAGCACGTTCCCTGACTACTGCACTTGACGTTGAACCCTCGGACGACGCAGAACTAGCTACTGCAGATGCCGGTGATGCCGAGAAGTATGCGACCGAGGTGTGTCGAGCGGCGGTCCGCAGCATGTCGATGGAACGTCGGACCATACGACCACCGGAACTCCGATTGTTTTGCATTGCGGCCAGAAGTGTGGCAGGGCATGTCGCTCAGTTTGAGCCCCAGGTGATGCAGCACTATCAAAAGCAGACGCCAATGCTGTCGAGGAGACTGAGCCAAGGCAGGCCAGGGGCAGTCAGCGGGATGGCGATCAAGCGACCAACGTCGGACCATACGACCACCGGAATTCCGGTTGGATGGGCTTCCGCTTAGAGTGTGGCCGGCTACAGTACGTCGTTCCGATTACGTTTACTCGCTAGAGAAGCCGCCAGTGAAGCTGATGAGAAAGGAATCACGATGCGAAGAGCAGCCGTCAGCTTGATGTCGATGAAACGACCAACGTCGGATCATCCGACCACCGGAATGGATCTGGCAGGATTCCTACTGCGCGCCCCGTAGCGGCTCCGAGCGTCATCAAACTCTCGCTGGTCCCAGCAGAAGATGCAATATCACCGGAGGAACCTTGTGGTGTGTCGACCGACGCTTCAGCAGCGACGGAAGGTACTGGAGACGCGGTCACAGGTGCCGTTTGTGCCGGTACCGTATTATCAGCGTCAACAGGAGCGCCGGTGGGTAATGAAAGATCTTGCGGCCCTAGCCAGCGTTGCAAAGTGTCGGTGACTACATTGACAGCACCCTGGGATGCTGGAGAACAAGCTGGCGTCATTAACGAGGATCCAACTGATGGCGAAGAGCAGCAAGAACGTCGAGCGTATCGGACCAGAACACTGAAGGTCCAGGAGAGCGGCGGTCCCAGCGGTCAGGCGCAAGCGCGATGAATGAACAATGGAGTTTACGGACGAGAGGCGCCTAGACGCTCACCTGTTGTGGAGGCTCGTGTCCAAGCGGGGAAGTTGTGGTATCGGAAAATGGAGATTACCGGAGCGATTGCCCGTCGCCCAAGAATCAAGGTACAATCAAGGAGCAGCCAAGTGCGAGATGGAAGTGGCTGCTTTGGTTAAGCTGACGACATTATCCTCGTTGGAGTGGCAGATAGTGGCAGAAGCTTCGTCGGGTCCTAATACAACCCCGAACGAGGCTTCATGGTACCCACTTTTAGGTACAGATGCATTTAGTTACGTACTTCGGCCGCACTTATTAGTGTAGCCGCGGTCGTCATTTGATGTGTCCGGAATCGCCTTATTGCGATCGTTCACACTAGATATTTGTATAGGACATAGGACTCATCATAGGATGACCAGAACGAGGCCCCCAGGGCCTCAGAAAACTCAGTAATAGAAAGACAGTCTTCCCCCAAAGCCAACAAGGGTCAAGTCCGACTTCGGTAAGTGTAGCTAGCTTATTGTAGTGCCTGGACACGCTCGGCTGCGTGTGGATGCCTGTCGGGGAGCTTATCGTGCATTGACCGAGAGTTTCCTTGGTAGCGCCAAGAGTTGGCGTGGCCGGAGAGGCAGGAACGGTATTAGAGTATCGTTCGGTATATATTTGTGGGATTAGAGTGTCCCTGAGTGTATTAGTCTACCTACCGAGGTTTTACCTTGGTCCCCCTGTATAAGGCCTAACACGCCGGTACCCTTCCTTTCTGAGGGACTGCAGTGGGGTTGCGCGAAAGCGCTACATAGTATCCTAGCCTAAGCTCGTGGCTAGTGGTACAGGTTTTTGGGTTGACCGAAGACAACCTAAGGTGCACAGAGGCGCTTGCAACCGACCCGGTGTAAGGGATCGTTCCTGGTCTTCAGGTTTTGATCTAATAAGCGCTTACCTTTGCGGGTTAGCGTGTTGTTGGTGTCTCTAATACCTTTTGGTAGAGGAGAATTTTAGTGGTATTACCACACCACATTGGGAAGAATTCCGCAACTGTGAAAATTGTATTGCAGCAGGAGATTGGAGTGTATGTCATGGGGGGACACCAAGGGCCACCGGTGGATGGGGACTTCGTACAGGAACTGTCCGCAAAATTGGCAGAATTGCGGTGCACTGGGCGGATATGACATCGACCCGATGCGAGTGCCACGCCCTCATTGCTGGGTTGATGGCATCGGGTGACACAGGTACCCAAGTCTGTGACAACTTAGCAGCCATTCGAACCTTAGAGACTGCGCGTGCCATTGCAAACGGTATTCGATCGTCGCATATTAAGTATAGCAACAAGCATCGAGTGGAAATTCGTACAATGGTGGCGCTGATGCGTCCGGGTGGGACGTTTACAACACAGTGGGTACGCTCGCACCAAGAGCACGAGCTCACATCGGACCCGACACTTAATGAGCAGCGCCAAGCACTTGCAGCAGCTGACGCAGATGCTGCCCAGAGCCACGACCTCAGTATGACCGGCTCATATACAGGCATCATGTGCTGGGATGCTGCTCACTTCATTGATTCTCACGGAAACCCGGTCGTAGGCCGAACCCAGCGATTCTTGACGAAACTAGCAGCGGAAAGACGGAAGTTCACCTGAATTGAAGCAATGGGCACACGTGGAGAACACAGGCAGACGGCGTGCGATACTGACTTGAATATGACTAAGTTACTGGGGTGGGATGACTACCAAAAGCGTTTTTATTGGAGATCGATTACCAATGTCTTACACACTAATCTCAGGAAACACCGCATTCACACCCAGTGGGAGCCACACTGTCGGATATGCAGTGAGCCGCGGATGGATACACAAGCTCATCGATATGGAGTGGGTCAGGACGGATGCGTTGCAACGCCAAGCCTGTATGTTGAGGTGGGGAGACAACTCGAGATCCTGTGTCATCGCCTCTGGATTCAGGACCAGGAGTATATGATACCAGGCCGGTGCCACCTTGTTGCCAAAGAAAGCGGCCGACAAACTCGATCATGGTGGACATGTGATGATAAGGAAATAGGTCCATGGCGGGTGCTCGTCCAACTCAATCCCAACCTATGGGCTCACGCAGCGCAGGTAATCTCGCTGGTACGAGAGTGGCGATGGGCATCGTATGTCAGCCACCTTCTAACCCTGGAAATGCAGTTTTGCAAGAAGCGACCAGCGGGTCGTCTCTTACCTGTGCAACTCCAACGAGCGGCACACGGATGCCACCCTCACGCGGCACAATACTCCTACCACCCGTGCCAGGTGACGGGACTTTGGGAATCGGGAGCGCTAGACCCGCGATACCCGAAATACGGTGCAGCATTACTGAAACCGGAGCCACCTGCTGATCAAGCTGCATGGTGGATCGATGACACGTTTATACCAGCGGACGAAAGCCGATGGGACTCTATTCGCGCCGAATACATCGGATGCAGAGATGAGAGAAAAACATTGTGGGTCGCGTGCTATGATACCTCACCGGCACATCGAGCGGCCTCCGAGATGGGAATCGAGTGGTTTGTCTGTATCCCGGTGAATACACTTCGAATGAGGACTAGGCAAGCGGTAAGCCAAACCTCTTCCACCGAACGTCGGAATATCACAGCCAAGAACCCCTCTCCAGTGTGGATCGGTATTATTCCCCGCACATAACTCATGCACAGCAGCACTGCTGGGCATCGGAATGGTGGTCTGCATTACAGTGCGGTCTCTCTACACACTGGCTTATCATCGAGTACACGAGTGAGGACTTGCCCGTATACGGTCCCCGTCAGGCACTTGTTACATGGAACTCTGCACTAGCCACAACTGGGGCGGACCCCGTTCTGCTGGAAAACCGTCGCTGGCTACAAAATGAGTTCCCAGAGGTATACTCGGCTCCATGCGGTTGGAAGACGTGGCCATCGGCTACTCCGGCAACCGTGCGATGGGCTCAATACCTCATGGTCACTTCTGCCGGTGGCGCGAGACTGCATCTTGGCGTCCTACGCAGTATCTGGATGTCCAATAGACTGCACTGGAAGCCAACATGCCAGGAAAACGTACGGGTAATACAGGCAAGAGACGAAGGCACGCTACTGGACGATGTTAATGCCGACATTCGGAGAAGTCGGCGCCAGCACACCCGCGCAGGTATGGGATTGGACACCGTACTGGCTCGCCATATATCGGTACGTCGTGAGCGGGCCGAGAGGTGGCGTGAGAATTGGCAGATAAGACGACAGGAGGCGGCCCTAGCTGAGGAGGACGACGATCCTCGTGGGACAACAATGGAGGAGCAAGGGCAAGCTCATGCGTGACCCAGAAGGTCCTGATCAGATACATATTTAGGAGGAAATTAGGACGGAGCCGTAGCCGCCGGGTACCTGAGGGGCACGGTCAGCGGGGTTCGATGCAGTGCTCGCCCCGAGCGCTATCGGCGGTAACCGCAAAAAATAAAATAAAATAAAAATAAAATAAAATAAAATTCATAATACCGGGGTTTGACCGTCGGATTTTACAATGAATGGCCATGGCCGCAACTACGACTAAGCCCTCCCCCCCCATTTGCTTGAGCAGCCCAGAATCTAAAAGCCGGTTTTGCAGGCCAGCAACCTGGGCAAGACTGGGCTGACCCACAGTCTTCCGTTCGCGCTGAGGCGGGATGGTGAGTGTTTCCGAGGCACGCGCCTCGCGCCAATGGCTTCGCAACGCGGTGCTGCGTGCCAATCACACCGACGGCGGCCTTAGATTGTTGCCCCCTCGGCTACAAACATTCCTGGCCGTCACCAGCGCAAAGCGAACGCGTGATCCCTCTCGATTAGGCATGCCCTGCTCGATTAACAGGCATCTACAAACTAAGCACTTGGTACATAAACAATCCAAAGTACCTAAATGGAGTTTTCAAAAATGTCCTTGTTTAAGAGAATGGCTTCAGGCTCGGTTCTATAGTAAATATGCCGTTGGTACATGTATTTCTCGGTGCTTTTATCTTATCTAGCGCAGTAGCAACTGGGCTAGAACTACTAGAACCACTCATTCCGTCGCCGCTACAATAACCACTGCCACCACCCTCCTCCCGTTACTTTCGTCACTATGCCTTCAAGCTTCGCGCCAATATAATTCGTGCTAGCTCGACCTCCCTCTGCTCTGTGCATTTGGCACGCCAATGAAGCTCTCATACATGACAGCGCATTCCGCGGCAGCCGTACCTGCCAAATTATGAGATGGAGCTGGGTCGACCAGGCAATCGTAACAGACCAATATACCAAAGTAAGTATTTTAAATAATAAACTAACTACATGTAACCTGGCAATCGACTCATTATCAAATCTTCGTTACCTTACATTGGCTTGTGGATACCACAGAATGAGCAAGAAGCAGCTACACTGTACCTGCGCTCTGTTGCGCATCATGGAATTTATCAGATATTATGGGTAACAACAGCTCTCTAGCTTGGTGGACCTGGCATCACCACCGCACAGACTGAAATTCTCGATCGACGCAGTGTCGGGACTACCCGTGAAATAGTCCCGGTGTGAGAACGATTCACACTCGGCCCCATGAATATATATCTTGCCAGGAACACAAACACTGTTGATAGCGACTTGTAGAACACATTCTCTAAATCATATGCTTCACCGCCATACTAATATATAGATTTTTGTATGGTGCCTAATTCAAGATTTCCAAAGTGCCGATTTCAAGTCCAAATGGGAATTAGGCACAATATCCTAGTTTGTTGATGCCTGTCGATTAATACACCGATTATAATAATCTAAGCTGAGAGAGTTTTACACTGCTGTAGCCTGCATGTAGTGTTAGGGTGGTGTTGTGCTAGCCAGTATACCTACGCCAGGAGGACGTCCAATTATCCATTTTTGGTCATTGCTGATGAGCTGTGGAGTTCGGTCTTCGCGAAAGACTGAGCGGCGGTAACAATGATACAGTGCGCCGGTGCGCCGGTATTTCGCGTGCACCATTTGAAGTGCGGTGTGTGCAATCTATACGCTGCGATTCACGCGGTAATCGTTGAAGCCGGCTGTGCTCAATCTTCGCGCCAGCGCCAGCGCTGGCTGCGGCCCCAGGACGCTGCGGCCCGCAAGTACGCGCGCACCACCAGTTCTCACTTTAGCTTTTGCCTTCGAGGTCACACGCACCCATCCGACCAAGCCCAAGCCGAGACAAGCGCAGCCCGAGCACACCGTCCAACAACAATGGCGCCGTTCAAGTTTGTGACGGGGGACCTCGTCCGACTGGTGGAAACGCCGCAAGAGAAGCAGCACGAAGTGCTGTCCAACCTCAGAGGACTCGAAGCGGCCCTTGACGTCGACCTAAAACAAAGTCTGGACTCAAGTAACACTGGTGATCTGCAGCATCGCGAAGAGGCTTTCGGCAAGAACTATGTGCCACCGCCGCGGTCGAAGAGCTTCCTGGAGTTGATGTGGCTCGCCTTCCACGATATCACCATCGTCATTCTGACCATCTCGGGTTCGTCTCTATCGTATTGGCGTCCACAGTGGGCGACCACAAAGAGACCGGTTGGCTCAAAGGAGCGTGCATCATTCATGCCGTCGTCGTAGTCATCCTCGTGACGACCACCAACGACTACCAAAAGGAGGCCCAATTTCGCGCCCTAAATGCGGTGAAAGAAGACGAGAAGATCAAAGTCATCCGCAACGGCCAGCCTACGGAGGTCACCAAGTGGAACTTGTTGGTCGGCGACATTGTCCGGGTAGACCTGGGCGACATCATCCCCGCGGACGGCATCGTCTTCGATGAGAAGGAGATCAAGATGGATGAGAGCGCCATGACAGGCGAGTCCGACCTGCTCCCCAAGAACCATGACCACCCGTTCCTGTTGTCTGGTACAAAGGTGATGGAGGGTCTAGGCAAGATGCTAGTCATTTGTGTGGGCGAGAACTCGCAAGCCGGTATCATCAAGAACCTCATCAATAACGCTTCTTCTGGTAAGAAGAAGGAGCCTGCTGCTACGAAGACTGGCCACGCCAACATCGAGGAAGACGTGTACGTGGAGATTGAGACCATCTTGATCGTTGGTTAGCTGGATGCCATCGTCTGTCGGGCCATTTGATCAGCAAGACTACCTCTCCGGTGGTGGGGGTATCCGCTAGACACTCACTGCAAGTCCGCGGCTCCAGGAAGCAGTCACCGTCCTGGGCCGTCGTCGTCTTCCAGCTGCAGCTCGAAGCACTGATGGTGTCGGCCGACGCCGACGCGCTCGCGTTCCGATCCGTCATTTACGGGGACTTTCCAGCAATGAATGAAGAGTAGCCAGCCACTCGTCGCACAAGTGAGACTTCACCTACCGAGCGATTATGAAAATCGATCTCGGACGAATCGCCTGCGGGCCGCACACCGGATTGGACGATCGGCCACGAACGCGGGGATGACGGTGGACGCATCCAGCCGTAAGCTTTGGGACTGCAACCACACAACCGGCGGTTGCCTCTCACGGTCGATCCAAACGGAGACGACGTGAGCTCCTCATTGCTGGATTGGAACAATGTACGTGGTCGACGCGCAGGAGGTTATGGGGTGACGACACGAACGTTGATTCCCGTGCAGCATTGAAGGTAAAGCAGAGCTGCAGCTGGAAGACGACGACGGCCCAGGACGGTGACTGCTTCCTGGAGCCGCGGACTTGCAGTGAGTGTCTAGCGGATACCCCCACCACCGGAGAGGTAGTCTTGCTGATTGGCCGCACACCGGATTGGACGATCGGCCACGAACGCAGCAAGTTTGCTGTATTCGTGGCACTTTTGGTGTTCGTGATCATGTCGATTCACTTCTCCATTGACACGTTCGGAAGAGAGGGCAAGCCCTGGAAGAGCGGCTACGTCAACGACTACATGAACTACTTCATCATTGCGATCACCGTACTTGCAGTGGCCATCCTCGAGGGCCTCCCTCTCGCTGTGACTATCTCACTTGCCTACTCGGTGAAGAAGATGCTTGTGGACAACAACCTGGTGCGCCACCTCGACGCCTGTGAGACCATGGGGAGCGCCACGACGGTGTGCTCGGACAAGACGGGCACGCTGACGACCAACCGCATGACGGTGATGCAGCTGTGAATCGGCGACAACGAGTTCTCGTCCGCTTCGGCTGGCATCGGCGCGCTGTCGGAGGCGACCAAGGAGGCGTTCTGCATGGGTATTGCCGTGAACTCGACGGCCGAGATCTTGCCGCCCAAGGTGGAGAACGGTCTGCCCGAGCACACCGGTAACAAGACGGAGTGCGCTCTGCTGCAGTTCATCCGTGACGGTGGCGTCGAGTACCCTGAGATTCGCGCGAACAACGAGGTGGTGCATATGCTGACGTTCAGCAGTGCCAAGAAGCGCATGTCGGTGGTGGTTCGTCGCAGCGCCACGACTTGCCGTGTGTACACGAAGGGTGCGACGGAGGTGGTGCTGGGTCTGTGCCAGAACATGCAGCGCGTGGACGGCTCGTTCAAGGGCCTGGACGACGCTCGCAAGGCCAAGATCGGCGCCGAGGTGATTGAGAAGTACGCTTCGCAGGCGTACCGAACTTTGGTGTCCGGTCTGATGCAGAGCAACGTGGTTCCGCACGGTCCTCAGGTGGTTGCTGTGACTGGTGACGGCACGAACGACGCGCCTGCTCTGAAGAAGGCGAACGTGGGTTTTGCTATGGGTATCAGCGGCACGGCTGTGGCCAAGGATGCGTCGGACATTATCCTCATGGACGACAACTTCAACTCGATCGTGAACGCTATCAAGTGGGCCGCAACGTGTACGACTCGATCGCCAAGTTCCTGCAGTTCCAGCTGACCGTCAATGTCTCCGCAGTTCTGCTCGCGTTTATCGGTGCTGTCATTTTGGATCAGTCGCCGCTGTCTGCCGTCCAAATGCTGTGGGTTAACCTCATCATGGACTCGTTCGCCTCGCTTGCTCTCGCGACTGAGGAGCCGACGCCTGCTCTACTGGAGCGCAAGCCGTACCCGAAGACTCAACCGTTGATCTCCAAGAAGATGGTCAAGCACATTATCGGCCAGTCGATCTTCCAGCTCGCGCTCATGCTGGCGATCGTGTTCACAGGTGAAAAGTGGTTCGACATCCCGTCGGGTCGAGTCGTTGACCTCGACGAAGACGTCAAGAACGACCCGACCGTGCACATGACCATCGTGTTCAACACGTTCGTGTGGGCGCAGCTGTTCAACGAGCTCAACTGCCGCAAGATCTACGACGAGATCAACATCTTCACGGGCATCACCAAGAACCGCGTGTTCCTGTACGTCTGCGTCCTGCAGGTGGTCATGCAGTACGTGATGGTGCAGCACACGGGGGACTGGTTCAAGTACAGCCCTCTGACTGCGGGTCAGTGGTTCGCCTGCATCGGTATGGGCTTCGTTTCACTGCCGCTTGGCCTTGCGCTGCGCTGCATCTCCATTAAGAACGCACCGAACTGGATGGCGTTCTGCCGTGAGGACTCCACGGAGCCACTGGATCGTTACCATCGCCCGAGTGCTGGCACAACTCCGCGTCGTGAAGGCCTTCAAGAAGGCGCTTCAGTCCAAGGCGATCACTGAAGGATAAGCCGTTTTACATGTTAACTCGCAAACAGGCAAAAAGGTTGACGTTGCTTCTTATACATATTCTCCCTGTCCGCTTCAAGCTAACAACTTCAGCTTCACGATCAAGTTGAAGTTCAAACCGGTATACCGGTTTTAGTACTAGCCAAAACCAATTATTATCCCTGAGAACATAATTTGCTCCGAGAAATTCACGTTAGCGTTGAAGCAGACCCAGGCCAATGTCTGCACGCTGCGCTACAGTATAAGCTGGAGACGGAAATGACCGTTGCAGCAATACCTCTTTTTGGCAACCGGTAAGAAATCGGTTTGCGCGGCAAAAATACGAAAAGCCGCGTATCAAGTCACTCATCACTTTTCATGTTGCTGGCGCGCGCACGCCCAATTAACATACAAACACAGGCGCCCCAGCCACCATGTTGGTCAGCATGCGGCACTCGCGATACTGTCTGCTGCAGCCCCGTACGTCCGCTCCTCCTCGCCGCCGCCGTCGCCACAACAGCCCCCGTTTAACGTTGGTTTTGGATAGGTATACCCCTGCCAACCGGTACGCGATGCAAAGATGTGCGTGGCTGCAACGGTTCTTTGTGACTCAAGACTATTTCGTCGCGCGCAAGGATCCTTGCGCGGAGTCAGCGCGGAGGCATTCAGCAAGGCTCGAGCCACCTGGTAGGTGATGATGGTTTATTCCTCTATCTTCCCTGGCAGGCAGCAACGCCGCTCGCCCGCCTTCGTGCTGCTGGTGGCGCTCCCGGTGCTGCTCAGCCTCAGCCTCGTGTCCTATCTGTACCTGTACCAACTGCCCGCCATGGCCGGCAGCTCGCCTGACCAACAGGTCACCACGTCACAGCAAAAGTCCTCGGGCATGGAGAAGCGCGTGGACCTCACGATCGTCGGCGCCGGACTGGCCGGTGCGTCACCTGCAAAAGATATACTCGTGATGTACCTGTACTGGTACATGTTGAAGAGAGCTATGATCTGATACCGAAGCTGCTGATCTGGCCGACAGGCTTGACCGCCAGCCTGGAGGCGGCGAATCTGGACCCGTCCCTCAAGATTCTGCTCGTGGAGAAGGAGAAGAAGGTCGGAGGCAACTCGGCCAAGGCCTCGTCCGGCATCAACGCGGCGCTGGACGCCGCGGACGAGCCGCTGTTCACGCAGGACACGCTCAAGTCGGGCGGCGGTCTCGCGGTTGAGACGATCGTCGACACGTTCATCCCCAAGGTGCGGATTGTTGCTGGTTTATTGCTTAGGGTGCTTGAGATTTGGGCTGATCCATGGTGGCTGCGTGTGCTTTTGCTGGTTGTTGTGTTGTGCGGTGCGTTTCTGCAGACCCCGGGCGCCAAGGAGTTTCTGGAGGGCTACAATGTAGACTTGTCGGTGCTGTCGCAGCTCGGAGGCCACTCGGCCAAGCGCACGCACCGCAACAAGAGCGGACCCAACATCGGCTTCACGATCATCAGCACGCTGCAGAAGGAGACCACGACCAGATCCAACATTGAGATTCTTACCGGAGCCGCCGCGAAGAAGCTACTGCTGGGAGATGAGGCGCAGTCGCCGCCGACTGTGACAGGAGTGGAGCTCAAGCTGGTGGATGGACAGACCCTCTCGGTGTTCAGCAAGGCGGTCATCTTGACGACGGGCGGCTTCTCGGCTAGCCACTCGATGTTGAAGCGCTTCGCGCCTGGTATGGAGGTCTACCCGACCACCAACGGCGTGTGGGCTCAGGGCGAGGGTGTTCAGATGTCGGAAGCCATTGGTGTCGACCTCACGCTCATGGACAAGGTTCAGCTCCACCCGACGGGTTTTATCAACCCGAAAGACCGCGAAGCAGGCACGCGCTTCCTCGCCCCCGAAGCCATTCGTGGGTCTGGCGCGGTGCTGCTGAACAAGAACGGCAAGCGTTTCGTGGACGAGCTGACTACGCGCGACAAGGCGTCAGCCGCTATGCTTGCCCAGCCTGGACAGGAAGCCTACATGCTGCTGTTCGAGGATGGCGCGAAGGCCATGGCCTCGGAACTTCCGTTCTATAAGCACATGGGCATTGTCACGATGACCGAGTCGGTTGCAGATGCAGCGAAGTTCTGCCACTTTGAAGACCCCCAGTCGTTGCTGAAGGAGCTGAACGACTACGCTGATATTGCCGCCGGCAACAAGGAAGACCCCTTCGGCAAGAAGACGTTCCCGTACCCGATTCAGCGCATCCCCAGCATCGACACGCCGATGCAGATTTATGCCATGGAGGTGGCACCCACGGTTCACTACACTATGGGTACGTATATATTCCTTACTGTTTTCAACGTATTGTTAGGAATCTCTGACCCTAATGCTGCCAATGTTGAATTGATTCCAGGCGGTGTCAAGGTCACTCCCAACACGGAGGTGATCCACAAGAACGGCGAGATCGTGCCAGGCCTGTTTGCGGCCGGCGAGGTATCGGGCGGCCTACACGGCGCCAACCGCCTGGGTGGCAATTCGCTCGCGGAGTGCGTTGTCTTCGGCCGCGTCTCCGCACAGCAGGCCGTCAGCACGCTACGTCAGTGACCATGTACCTTGAACTTGTGCTGCATATTCGCCTGCTTCGTCCTGTGAGGGATGGCAGCAAACCTCCAAGAAGCAAGAAAAAATTAAATGGAGCTCGTGATTTGATACAGGCGCTGCGGCTTCCAGACTTTGAGTCCCGATGCCACCCACGGATTTAAAAGGAGGCGTAAGTAGGAAGTATCGCCAAACGTTATCGTCGTTGCCTGTGAACTGATCAAATGCATGCCGCCCACATCAGAGATGCTGATGATTCCCCTGCATCAGAAACCAGTACGATGCAGCCCGCAACGTCGACTCGCGACCGCGCTGTACAGCTCGCTGCGGCAGCTGCAGGCCTTCCCTGGCGAGGACGAGCGCATGCGCTGGCGCTGGCGGCTGCACCAGCTGCGGCGGCAGCAGGACATGGAGCAACAGACGCTTGGGCCGCGCAAGTGCCTTTTCTTCTGAAAAAGGAACAAGTGCCTTTTTTCAGAAAAAGGAACACTGGCCCTCTTCAGCAAACGCTTGGAACCTGAAACCTGGAAGATAGTTCGCGGTTCCAGGGAAAATTGCCTTCAGCATGCTCATTTTTTACCTGAAACCGCGAAAAATGTTCCAAGATTACCTCGTTTTAGTGACAAAGTTTCAGGCAGCTCTGTGAAGCTTGGAACTTTTTAATCGAATAGAAGGTCGTGTGGGCCACACCACCAAGGATGGCGCCATGCCGTGCATGCAGCGGAGACAGCTCAGCTCGACTGAGGGCGCGCTCTGCTGCAATAACAGCACCACGAACTCTGCGTGCGCGCAAAGAGACTTAAGCACCCTCGTGCCATCGAGAGCTCTCGAGCACGGCCACCACACGCTCTGTTGAGCCCCCTCCCGCCGCCGCGCGATCTCTCGCGTGCATGCCGTCGTGCGCACGCGATCAGGCAGCCCGCCACGTGCGCTGCTTGGCGCTGCTTGTCGTAGGCAATCCTTACTTAGCAGTGACCACTAGGCAGTGGGAACGTCTCTCTCCCTCTCTCCTCTCTCGCTGCTGGCGTTCATGCCGCACGCCGGCGCTCGCGTGGCCAACGAACGCGTGGGAAAGTGGAAATGAGGGAGGGCACTGCAAAATTTTATGTACAGAATGAATGTTGTAAAAGTGTGCGGTTCCAGGTGAATTTACCTGAAGTGCCTCGAAAAACTGCATCTTGGAACTTTTTTTCCAGGTTTCAGGTTCCAAATTTGCTGAAGAGGGCCACTGTGTCTTGAGTGGGTTTCTTTCTCTTGAAATGTAAGGTGGTGCCTTTGACTCTATAGCCTAGTTTCAATGGCGTGTAACTTAGATACTAGCTGCCAGGAGATGGGGGCTCGTCCTTTATTGCCGAACCCGAGATCCCATCGACTTCTGCTTGTCCTCAAAATTCCGTGTGGGGTTTCCATTCTTCGATTTGCCGCCTCTCACACACCCCTGCCTCTCGTCGAGCCATGGCGGGTACTGCAATCCGGTGGAGACCTCCAGACAAGGAAGACGAGAGGTTGCGCGCGGCCGCTGATCTTCGCAAGTCGCTCCTGAAAGGAAAACGAAGTCCGCTCGTGTATTCAACTATCGTGATGCCCCTGAACGCTGTTTGTTCAAATCGACTTCTGCGTGGAGTACTGGAGAAGAATGCGGTCGCCTTGCAGAACATCCGGGTGGAAGCTTGGAAGCTGACGAACTTCCATTGCGCGAGGCTCTTCGAGCACCACAGGTCGATTTATCCTGACTATCCAGCTGTACCAGCTAGCTCCCGCGTGTTGGAGACAGTGTTGAAGCTCGACGCGGGGTTCTTCTATCGATGTTGCTCTGGGCTAGCAGCTAGCACCTACGCGAGAGCGTCAAATTCAGATCGAACTGGACCACTCGAAGCTTCTCTGACCCTCTTCTTGGAACAGCGCAGTCGCTTTGACACCTACACGCCTCCGAATGTCACCCATATGAGTTCCTTCCTCAACATTTTGTCGAAGGAGATGGCTACCGCTGCGAGTAATCACATCCGCTACAACTTTGAAGCGCGCCTCGTTCAATACGTCGTTTTACGATATGGATATACAAGACCCGATGCCCAGAAATTGGCTACCAGACTGAAGAACGCGAACACGCACCACACGGACGACGAGATCGACCTGCTGGCTTGGCTAGAGCTGCCCCCGACTGCAGCGAATATCAAGAATCACCTCGTGCTCTTCCTTGGAAAATTGTACGACATTTTGGAGTTTATGGAGCCGCTAGTGCGGGGAGATGATGTGCCAAAGGGGTGTCGTGTATTCTCTCTGCTCCCCCAGCCTGCTACGTGCATTCCGGCATACTACCTCCCATCTGTACCAGATCGCGAAGGACATCATACGCTCGCACGACGAAGACATTTTCAACATGTGCACTGCTCTCGATGGCCAGGGTCGCAAACGGTACGCTACTTCCGCTGAGTTCCACACAGTGCGCGAGCGAATGTGGAAAACCGTCTTCGATTTAAGCCGTTGTGTCAGCTCCGATGGCAATCCAGACACCGATCCTCGGATCGGTAGAGGGCGTCGCAAGTTCGAGTATATGATCCGGACCAATGGATATGCAGTGTGTATTCTGACATCTATACCTCGTGAGCTGCAACGAACGGTGCAGCCGGGCCTGTACAAGCCCCACACTCTCATTGGAGTCGACCCCGGGGAGCGAATGCCCCTCACCTGCTACAGCCGTCCGGTCCCCGGTACCTACGTCAACCTTCCGGACGAGCCTTGCCCAATGCCTGGCTGGTGCAGTGTGTGCCACGACTACAATGGGGGCAAGCGTCATGGTAAGAAGCGTCGGCGAGGTCACAGACGGCGTCAGCGTCGTCGCAAACGCCGAAGCCAAGCTGTGTGCGACGTAGTCGGCTGGTGTGATATCTGCAACAAGACCCAGCCGAAGTTCCTCCCCCGAAAGCACGGCGTCCGTCGCAGAACGCACTTCTTGAGAGAAGGAGCCCATGTCTTTCAAACCTCTTCGGCTGAGTATCGACACATGGCGCGAATTGAGCACCACGCGCACTGGTTCCAAAATCTCAAAAAAAGGCACATGGGCTATGGAGAGTTTATCGACAACATGCCTTCGCTGAAGACGGCCTCATCGTCAGGGCTACAAGTACATGTGGCGACACATGGACGACATTCTGCTGTTCAGCGCCTCCGTGGGGTTCCGCAAGTGGCGCTTTACATTGTCTAGGTTCAAGCGCCAAGCCGTTTGCAAACTAGCAAAGAGAATCGTGCCGACTATCGACCGCGACGTGTACGTCTGTCTCGGCAACTGGAACCAGCACAAGGGAGTTTCGGGCTACATGAACGCGCCCATCAAGCGCCTCACCGCTGAGCTCTCTCGCCGCGCAACGCTCATATCCGTGGATGAGTTTCGCACCAGCCGTCTGTGCTCGGACTGCTTCCCACCAATGGTAGGCATGCCATTTGCAGATCCCGAATCGGACGAGGCGAAGCCATCGAGGAACGTGCGGTTGTGCGGCGCGTTGTGCTGGGAACGCGACGTCAATGCGGCCAAGAATATGTGGCAACTAGACCTGCAGCAAGTTACTGGTCGCCGGCGCCCATGGCAATTCCTGCGCGGACGCCGCCTCAACTAGGACATGCACTCAGTCGTGGGAACGGGGGGGGGGGAACCCAAACGCAAGCCCACTCGGTACACGGTCGCGACGTAGCTCCGGCAGCGACAGTCCGAACGTTTATTTCTTTCGAGAATATAACCCGTAGCGACAGCTTAGGAAGCGTAGACCAGTCCGAGCGTACTTCTCTGGCCCACTTAAGAAACAGCATTCGGCATTAAACCTCAATTTGATGTGGACCACATGTCACATATGATTGGGTATAATCAACTGTTTCAGCTTACTATTGGCCAAAATAAATGGGTCCGCGCATGTCGAGATAATCGCGTAGAAAAACCTCAAAACTGTAGCCCTTCTAACTCGTCTCCAACGCCATTCGTTGTAGGAATGGCGTTACAGCAACCATATGACGACAACACGACAGAAATTAAAGCAACCACCAGGCCTAAAGCAACCCTAAAACCAGCTGGCACCCGGTAATTTATTTTAAATGACGCGTAAATGACAGGGACACGTCGCCCTCGTCATGGTCTTGCTACATATATCTCTAAATTTAGACACGTCGTGGTGGCGTCTAACTGATGTTCTCTACACAGCAATACGTGAAACACATGACAATATGTGTCCCACATTTTCAACACTTAGCAGATTTTGAGCGACAGCAAAAATGGAGAAGAAATCGCTGGCACATGAGCTGGTGCGCGCGAGAATCGCCGAGATTGCACTCCTCAAGATGAAGCTGGATGAGCTTACCGAGCATCTGGAAAAGCTTCTGGCAGCGCAGCTACAAATCCAAGCCCTCGTCGAAGATCGCGAAGAGAACAGCTATGCGTTAGCAGCCGTCTTGGGCGATGAAGGGGCCGACCAAGGTGGTCTCACCGAAGAGGACGACGCTGTTTCCCCAGATGTTCTACTGGAGCTGGCGGTGCGAAAAATGAAAGACTAAGGCAGCATAGACTCTGTATTTAAAGGTAAATACAGACTGTGGTGTTTCTCAGAGCTGGTTCTGTAGCTGCTGATGAATCTGGCTAGCTTTAGCGACGTCGCGTTCAGAGAGATGACGTTCGTGGGAGTAACACATGATGACCCACAGCATTTTCAATCGCATCACCTTGACGTCGTTCTTGGAAATTCTAGAAAGTTGCATCTGCAAGTTCCCCGTAAGATAGCTGTGGGCTTGGGCTACTACCATTACACCACAGCTAGCAAAATCAGGTTGTTGAGGGGCACAGATCCACTCAATCGGATCGAAGAAAAGATGGCCACGGGGGTCAGAAGCCTTGTGCCACCGCTCCACATAACCACGAAGCCCCTCCTTTCCTTCATTTTCTTTGTCTTTCGGAATTCCAGTCCACACGATTTCCATTTCATGGTGATAGTCATCATCAATGAGCGGCTCGTACATGTAAACATGCACCCGAAGCTTGCTTGTTTTTGCCGTGTAGCGTAGGCGAAGGATAATTACCCCCCAGTGGTCTGCGTGCAGATTAACGGGGTGGATAATAAAATTCGTTGCTGCAAGTGCTGTCTTAGGGAGACTTGGCCATCCGATAGCCCATGTCAGTGATGACAGCACATGGCACTTCCCCACCGATCTCGCAAGGGTCTCCAAGCAAAAGTCCACAGGGCTATCATTTAGCCATCCACGACAGATCCCTCCCACGATGTTGTCAGCTGATCAGGACTTTGTTGGAGAGCGTCACAAATTCAGTGCGTAGCCGACTTGAAGTAAACTTTGATATAATTTCGTTCGCTAGACCTTGGTGCCGCTCGGGAACAGCATCACGCGGTAGTCCTGCAGTTGCTGTCTCCGCAGCGAAAAGATCCACGATGGAGTCAACTTTACGCCAATCTTGCTCCAGCCACTTTCGGTCCTTCAACCATGAGGTACACTTCGCCTTGATCGCGTAGAATCCTGTTAGAGCACCTACATATTGTTTAGAAACATAAGCATGTTAAAGCAACCCTATTAAAGCAACCATATCGCTAAAGCAACCATATCACTAAAGCAACCATACCCGCTAAATTTCCACAGTTTGGATCAATCGCCAAGACGACGTCGAGAACAAGTCCTTGCTTCTTGGCCTTTTCATCCAGTACAATTGGCTGCTTCTCCTTCCGGGTAGTAGTCGTTGCTGCCTGCATTGATAGGGCGAGGTCTTGTGGAATTACAAATGTGTGCATGTAGTCCGCAGGTCGTACAATTTCCCAATGACAATCAATCTTCCGAGCTCTTAGATAGGCATCCTCCAGCTGAACAGGATACTTCGACAGCATCTCCATCACCCGCTTCAGATTTGAGGTGTTTCTGGCCCAAATCAGGAACTGATCCAAAGTCACGGCAAGTTCAGCGGGGTACTTGTGAACAGCAAGACGGTCGGCTTTGAGACTGATCGTAGTTCGCCTCAGCTGTTTCGGAGTTGACCTTGACTTTCCTTGGCTTGGTGGCTTAGGAACTCTAACGACATCGACCTGGCGCACGCGCGACTCTGTGTCAGGCTTCGTAGAGCTTGAAACCTTGTCACAGCTACTCATTCCGCAGCTGTCATGAGATTTCTCGTCGATGGGGGGTCGAATTGGAGATGACTGCGAAAGGTGAGTGCGTTGTGTCGGTAACATACTTTCGTCGGACTCGTAATCGCCATAATTCATGGACATGGGGCTGCTTTCCAATGCGTCCATGAGCGTCATAGTCCCCATTGCCTCCACGGGGTCCAGAATGGAGTCTGAGACAGGTTCAGATACTTCTTTCTTCTTGCTTGCTATCTTCAGCAGATTCTGTAGAACTCGGTTGGGGGGCAGGGTTAACACGGTTGAGCCCTATGTCGATCGTTTCCTTCCAGGCACTTAGCTCTTGGTAGAAGTCTGCACTAGACAAATCTGACAGGTGTTCCAATAGCGGTTCCAGCATAGCTTTTGCGTATGCGTATTTTTCAGCTGAAGACAATACAACCTGGTTTGCCCGTTCACCTCGCCGTAGCCGTACGTACGCAACTTGCTTCCTAGCTTTGGTTGGCGAAGCGTTACCCCCCGCAGCATAAAGTGGTTGTTCTGGTTCAGCCCCAGTGTCGTTCGGCAACTTTACTTTCGGCAACCTTAACTTGGACATCTGCACAATTGGCTGTAACATTTCCGCTGCAGCCGTCAATCGTTTTTCACTTCCAAGGCATGGCTTCAAATAGCTGGAAGCAGTTTGAAGCCATGCCCCTCGCGTGCTAAGTGCATAAGATGACGACATGGTAAATGGTGACTGCTATAAAATAGACAAGTACACGTCCACTCCACATCGTGACAGCGAAAGGTTTGATTCCCGCAATAAATTTTCCATTGTAAAGGACTCGACGCTGTACGCTCACAAGTCGCATCTGCCATGAAGTTCACAAATCATTTCCACTCTTTTCTCACTTTCTCGAAGATGTCAGGGTACAATCGAGTTGCTACCGTCCGGAGAAACATCGGTATGGTTTTAGGAACAGGCGAAGTCGAATGGTGCTGCGCGATGACGAACCCGATCTGCTGAGTTATCATGATTTGATGCTGCACCAAGCCCGCAATAGTCTTGTCAATTCATGTCTTGTGCACCAACAGTATTTTCACTTGATTCCAGTTTGACTCGATCCTGTTCGTTGTAGTATTCCCAGCCGTGAAAAATTTGCTGCGAGCAAAGTTCGCCCACATGTCTCGACACGAATCCCAGTTCTTTTCAAAGTACGAGAATAAAGCTTGTTTCTTGTTGTCTTCGCAGTATTGCTTCAATGCACCGTAACTAGAATCGTAACCTGTCTCTGTGGAGCTGCATATGGTTTGTTTTCCAAAGTTAGCGTTACCACAAGAATCATAAATAGAACCTGTTGCGTACCTGTACAGCGTTTTTATCATCAGGTTGAGTAACTCGTCGCGTTCAGACACCTTCAGCTTGTATGGGGCCCGCTGCATCACCTTCTTCCAGTACGAAATGGCATGGAATTGACAAAGTAAAACTTTCGCAGCAGGAAATAGTGTTTTCAGCACCCTCCACTCAACGAAATCTTTGTCGATCACGATGGAGGATATCATCCGCCAACTTGGGTTCTTCTCTTGGAGATACTCCAGGATTGTTGTCATCATCGGAGCTCGTTGGTTGAGGCATATGAAGTCTACAACTGGGAACCCTCTACCAGTAGCGGTTGTGACGACCAGACTCCCTGAAATATCCAACACACAACAGTAGAAAATCACTTTGTTAATAAGGTTGCTATATCATCGATATGGTTGCTATAACTACGCAAGGTTGCCGTAACAAAGATAAAGTTTCTATACCGAACAACTCATACGCACCCAAGTGATAGCCCAAATTGTTCGTGCCGTGAGTGAAATCCATCGTAAGAGTGTCGCCCCAGCGCTCGAACATCAACTTCTGCACCTTTGTTTGCATCACGATACCGCATGTCACGTCCATTTGGTCTTGAATAACAAGGACGTCACTACCGTCTAACTGGCGGATAGCTTGCAGCATGTCTTTCAAACGGGCCTCCGCCGCGTCGTGCCCCATAATACTGCGGATCAGATTACGGGTCTGTTGAGGTGTTATTTTGCAGCCTAGCAAACACACAAAGCGCGAACAGTAACGTAAGTATCACTTCAGCATATCATATATAAAACTACGCACCGATTCTCTCATTCAGGAAGTTCGTGATGTGCTTGGAAGAAACACTAGCATCCGCTAAAGTCTTAACATCTTCGAGATCTTGCGCGTCCAACGGAAGTGTCTTTGTTGTCAGGTACAACGATGCTTGCGTTCGGGTGGTCGGGTGCGTGTGGGTAAAGTTCTGATTATCAACAGCGACATGTGAGAAATACTAACAAAGCAAACAAATACACGAAAAGGCAGATACCTCGTTTCTTATGATAATTCGAAATTTGCCATTTTCCATCCGCTGAACGGTTGGTGTCATGCGTGCAGGACACCCGCAATAGTTGCCTTTTCTATTGCGATGTCCCTTGGAGCGCGACGCTTGCGAAACACCGTGTGTACAGCGGAGGACCTTGTGACTCCAATTAAAACGTGAAGGGATTTGGTCCCGATGATTGCTGCATATGAAAGGGGGTTTCGTTAATAACTTAAATTTCTCATCAAACAGAGGTCACACATACCTGTTGTAGTGATTTCGTGTCTCCGAGCTTCGTACTCGAAACTTGAGGTGGTGCTTCTGCTTGTATATTTTCAAGTGTGCGTTGAACTTGCTCCAACTCTTGATAATCGCTGGGGTAAAGGGCGGAACGGGGCTGATAATTTCTTCGCGCTCCTCGTTGATCTCCCGCAACTCGTCAAGGTGCTTGCTTGATCGCTTCCGCGGTATGTACTGCTTGTTCCGCTTGCGTAAACGTGGGGCCGAATCAGCGTCGACAGACTCGTGAAGCTGCAGCTCCGTCTTACGCTTTTTCGCGAAAGATTGGGCTTCATCCCCAGCAGAAAGCTTGCATTTGGCCAGAGCGGTATCTATCGATTCCAAAGTGAATGTCAATATTAATGATAGCGCAACCTTTTTGCTTAAAGCAACTTTAACGAAAATACCTGGTGTTTTCTTGCGTGCTGTGGCTTTCTTTCTCGGCTCGGGGCTCTGTTTGCGTGTCCTGCGTTCTAAACAAACTAAAAAATACACAATACATTATCAGTTCAACTCAATAAGTATCAACAATAATCCAAACGAGTCTTACCCGCTTCTGCTTCGTCTTCTGTGCTGGATTCTCCGTCGTCGTCTGCCTCCTGTTCATCGTCACTCGCCTCCTCTTCATCGTCGTCGTCACCCTCCTCTTCATCGCTATCGCTCTCCTCGTCATCATCGACCTCTTCTTCGTCTTCCTCCTCTTGGTAGCAATCCTCCGCCTCTTCGTCGCCGTTGTCTTCCTCATCCTCCTCATCCAGAACAGAGTCTTCGTCTTCGTCGTCGTCTTTTTCAATCCCGAGAGCGGCGTACATGTAGTTTAGCTCCTCGTTTACGTTCCGCAGCTTTCGGCCTAAACAATACATACCGACAGAATTCAAACAAAATGTGAGGCACGTAGATACTCTCGTTGCCACCAACATGGAGCATACTGATTACCGTTTATAATGGCTCCCCCCGCAGGAGCCATCGGTCCCCCCTCGCCGTTTGGTGCTTGACTGATTCGCGAGAGGTGCGTGCCCCACGTGGTCTCCGTTGCAGCGCGATTCTTAAAATGAGCGGCTGTGAGGTGGCGCACTTAATGACATCGTACCTAATCAGAAGCGCACTTTAGCGTGATTTGCGTACCTAAGGGCTTAATGGTAATTTAGACATTTAAATTACGCTCGTAATTTTTGAAATCCCTAAAAGCAACCATACATGTCTCAGAATGGCTAAAAGCAACCATACTTATGGTTGCTCTAACCACTCCCGCGCTACAACATCGACAACCGAACATAAGGGTAAAGCAGTCACTCGCGATTACGGTGATATTTTATTATCTAATATCGCTAATTTTTGACGGCACCTCGCTAAAAAACCTAATGTTGCCTAAAACGGACTTCAGATAAAAGGCTGTTTCTCTTTTCTTTCTGCTGCTAGATTTTTTTAAATCATAGCGTGAAACGGAGCAAATGCGCAGCTTTCGGTTGAGGTATTGCGAGTCGACAAACGATTTTTTTGTAAATAGTTATGTCCAGAAAACCGAAGTGTTGTTTCTTATGTGGGCCAGAGAAGTATATTTCTTTCGAGAATATAACCACCAAAAACAAGGAAATTCGCCTCGAGAAGATAGGTAACCACCAAAAACATGGTGGAAACGTCGCCCATTGCAGGAATGGATTCCACCGCTGTGTACGACTCGGCAAATGCCAGCGACAGCGAGGTTTGGTCCTCGTCTGAAGGCGAGGAGCAGGTGATCGAGATCTCCTCGCACAGCCGGATCCTCATTTCTCCGCGGAAGGCTCGGTCCTCAGCATGGGGCGAGAAGTCGCAGCGCAGCGGTCGCAGACGCGTGAGCACCGGCAAAAAGAGACCGACCCGAGTTCTCCAGGACATGGGCATGGTCGGCAGTCCCCACTCCCAGACCAGTCGCCATTCCGCGCAAGCTAAACGGCTAGTGAAGTCGTACTGGCCTGGCAGTCCTCGGAAGACCCCATCGGATAATCAGCCAGCCACTTCGAACAACAAACAACACTCGGAAAGTGGTGGAAGCGATGGTGATATTGCTTCGGATCAAGAAGGTGATGACTCACGTTCTGACAGTTGCAGCTCACTGGAAGACGCGGAGTCGCCTGTGCATCGACGGGTTCCACGAACGAAGCGCGGGGTCAACAAGACCGCCAAAAGCGCGTTCAAGTACACAGCAGCAACATCTTTGAACGATTCAATGCAGTCTCTCGATTCACCTACAACACCAGGCAAGGAAATGGAGGAGCTGAAGGCTACTCTGACGAAGCTGGCCCGGCACGATGACAGCGACGAGAACCCCATCTCGCAGAAGGTGCCCGACATCTCGTCGGCAACAGCTCTGCACGAGTACTTGACAGCCGCGACTGCACTAGGAGGAGTCAATGCCCTTGCTGGAGCTGAACCAAATTGCGCGGGGTTGACAAGGGCTAGGCATGCATCGTTTCACCAACCTCGTAAAAGTCCCTTTATCTCGAAGCCTCGATCGAAATCTGTGCGTGAGACTGCAGATAGCCCGAGGATCCACCGTGGATCTACTGCTGACAAGCTGAACAGTATGCTGGATAGTCCTGTGGAGGGTGGGAATGATCACCTTAGCTTCAACAAGACATTATTCAGCAAGCCACCTCCACCATTCGAAGGGCCGGGGAGGTATGCTCCTGGTTTGGCTTTTCCTGTTCCAAGTGGTGGGGTCGGTGGCGGAGCTCAGGGCAGCCGAGCTATGTTATCTGCGCTGAAGGCCTTGCAAGACAAGATCAGTCGGTTGGAGGAAGAGCGCGGGGCGTTGAAACAAGAACTCTCGGAAGCCAAGCTCAGTGCACGGAAGCGAGAAGCTGAGCTTGCGTCGTCGGAGAAGAAATTCGCGTATGAACTGAATCAAACGAAGGAGTCTGCGAGAGCGGCTTATGATGCTCTACGTTGCGATCGTGAGGAGCTAAAGCTACAGCTGGTAAAATCGGAAGAGAGAAGGAAAGCTACACAATTCGAGCTCCAGCACTTCCAAGAGCTCACAAAGACATTCTCAGCGAAGGCGGACGATCTACAGGCCCAACTGCAGATTTCCGAGTCGCACAGAACACGTCTAAAGGCTGGTAAGACCATTCATTATACAGTCCCGAGCCTTGGAGGGGAGTACTAACTCGTGGTTGATAAATCTCGTACAGAAATGAAGGAGTCTGAAAGCGAGCACAAACGATTAGTGAACGAGCTACAAACAGAGCTGACTCAGGTTCACCAGGAACAACAGGACGCAGTTGAAAAGATTGAGCTGCTAGAAACCCAATTTGAACGCGAATCAAGCAACCATGCTGAGAACAGAGAGCGGTTAAAGGACTCCGAGGTACGTTAATTGCCTAGGTGCACCAGAATGAACTGCGCTAATTCACTTGTGTTGATACCTTTGAACCAGCAAACGGTGGCGTCAATCTCTCAGCTGAACGAGAAGCTGGTTGCCAAAGTGATGGAGGCTACTGAAACCGCGAACCAGGCCATCAAGAGAAACAAAAAGCTCCAGCAACAAATACGACCGTCTACTCTTCTTAAACCGACAGCCGCGAGTCGTGCTAGTGCAGCAGCAGTGAATGAAGCAGCTTCAAGAAGAGCAGGAAGCTCCGCAGCAGCCCAGGGTAATCCGTCTGCGCGAACTCTCAAGAAGAAGAAGAAGACGTCGACAGGAACTGCGTCAGGCACTCAATCCGTGACGAAAAAGCCGAAAAAAGCGAAGGGTGTTAACAACATGACGCTGCTACGTGAAGCAAACCTCGGCAAGTACGTCGCAATCACCACTTGTACTCGCCGAATCTGAAGTAGTCGCTGAGAGCTGACTTGTTTCACTTGTCTTGATTTATTCAGGGATATTCCTTTCTTGCTGGGGAACTCAGTCCAACCGTCATTTTCAGTCATTGGAAATGTTCAGGATGCACTGCGACGGTGTGATACGACGTACGTGATGCCGACTCTTCTAGGTGAAGCCCCAACAACCCCAGGGTCTACTTCAAGTCCTCAAAATACAGTGAAGAAGATCCACAGCACAACAGATATTCATGCAGAGACAACCAACCCGGTAGAAGAAGAAAGTGTACAGCAACTGCCACGCTCAGCTTCTCCACCATCGGATGAACCAGTTTCGGCGACCCCACAAGCGAGTACAGGTGGCTGTCGACGAAGCACCAAGCATAAGCCACCAGCCATCAAAGTGGCAACTCCGTCGCCAAAATCGTACGCGAGCCCTATGCAGGTACGCCAGCAGTCATTTGCTATCCATTCGGAACTATTTCACCATGTACATCCCAGCTGACAGTCTCCAAACTTGTGTTTTGCATTACCTCGCAGTCTCAAATTATGGAGGATCTCGCTGCTGCCGTCGACGCTGCTGATAAGGAGTTTAAGAGCCTCAACAAGCGGTATAAGGATCTTGTCGTCCAGATGGAAGCCAACAATCGACGAGGGACTCCTGGAGCTGGAGATGCTAAAGGCAACAACTCGTCAGCTCAGCTGTCTCAGGCTCTGGGCCCGCTGCTGGACGACCTGGAGGCCAAGGCGAAGCAGCTCAACCTGCTCAAACAGGTGTACCAGCAAGCATCCAACAGCACCGTCAACCCCCCAAGACACGTCGTTCTCAGCCCCGAGGCGATTCGACGCAAAACGGCGTCTCTCCGTCTATTGAACGAGTTCCGTCAGCTAGAGAGCGACTCAAAGAACAAAGGCAGTGGCAGGTCGGCGTCCCCCTCCACTAATATGGGCTTCTTCCATTGACACTCAACATTCAGCGGAGCCCTGAGCGGATAGAAAGAAAACGTGACTTCAACCCACAAACTAATACAGCACCAATAGAGTAGATCAACTTCGTTAGTCCGAGTCCGCAAAGTTCCTGCGCCGCTTCTTGGGGTTTGTCGAGCCGGAGGAAGTCGAGTTGAGAGTCTCTCGCTGGTACTTCAGCAGCAGGTTTGTCTAAGAGGAACAGCAGAATAGCATCAAGTGTCCTGCCGAAGGTCATCGCACTGGAGCGGGCCTAATTACCAGGTTGGGGTGTTTCCGGGCGCAGAGCGTGACGTCCTCCGCCTTGATGATCTTCCGGTTGGCGTGGCGCGCGAAGAACTGCAGCTCCGTCGCCATCACTATTATACAAAGAAACCCAGCAGATTCAGCAGGATAAAACTACACTTAATGGCTCAGGCATGTTGCTGTACTGCAGCAAATTGCACGCACCCTCGGACTGCTTGTAGACGAGGTCCGCCAGCAGCGCCATGGCCTCCTTGGACATGGCTGGTCGGGAACGCGCGTGGTGCTCGTTCTGCTGCTTCTGCGCTGGGAATCCACAGCCACGGGTGAGCGGAGGGCGCGGGGAAGAAGCGCACACCATTGCAGCAGACCTTCCTCGTCGCAGACGCGCCCGACGGTGTACAGGATGCTCTGGCGCACACGCAGTTCCTCGCTCTCAAGTCCGCTGCTCATCGTTTGAAGTTGCGGCGATTTGACCCGGGGGGATTTTGAGTTGTGTACAATACACGAAATGACCACTTCAACTTGACCAGCCGAGCTGGGCGGCGGGGGTGATACTTTGAGGGTCTTTAGCGAGAACTAGCAACGACGGGTAACCTATCGGGCTGGCGCTGACTGCCCCCCCCCCCCCCCGCAACAACCATGGCGAGATTGCCATGCTGCTCTCGAAGCAACAGACGTGCTCGAACCAGCTCCATCGTGGATTCTCGTGTGAAGATTCGAGAGCTATCCAAGCAGTGAAGAAAATGACCCGCCATGGCATAGTACAGCATAACGTGCGGCTCGGTGATATCGGTCTCTCGCAAACAGGACCACCAAAGACGCGTCAGCAACAATAGCAGCCCCCGCACATGACTAGGCACGACAGATCGTTATTAAGTTGGCGCTGCATGCGTAGTCGGAGCGGTGACGAGCTGCGCTCGCCACCGGATGCGAATGTGGACCGCTGGCTGGCCCCGCCTCAGCTGCTGCACCCGACCATCGACGACGGCTGCCGCGCCCAGTCCACATGGACCGTAGCGACTCGCTAAGCGAGGCATCCAAGGGCTTCCGGCGCGCGGTAAAACCGCGGGCACCGAATTTCACCAGGTGGCACCACATCTCCTAAGGCTCAGCGTACTCATTTCTCCTAAGGCTCATACAAACGCCAAGTGCTCGCGAAAAAGTGGCAGCAGCTGTTTTGCGCGCGCGTGTCACATCCCGTGGACGCAATCCAAAAGACCGGTGTGGCGCACACCACTCATCAGCGGGTAGGGCTGCGTTCCATACTGAAAGCCTATCGCCGCACTCTTCCTTTTGCCTCAAAGACCAAAGTGATCCGGACGAGTGCACCCTTCTAGAACAATGAGCCAGGCATCGATCGAGCCAGGTGAGCACCGCTGCGGTTGGTACCGCGATGCTGTTGTTAAGTAGGCACAACCAACTCACCTCGCTGCCGTGTCAACCAACGACTACAGACTTCCTGCTTAACGCGGCGGACATGGAACTCCACGGCGCGGTGGACGGACTGGACGATACGCTGACGCTGCTGGACGTCGGCTCAGTGGACGGCGGCGCCATGCTCGGCGCGTCTGTGGACGACCTGGACCTGAGCTTCTTGTCGGAGCTGCTGCACCAGGGCGAGGAGCTCGTCCCCGAGCCGACGTCGCCGCTCTCGACGACGACGTCGTCGAAGCAGCTGGTGGTGTCGTCTCCCGGCGGAAGGAGCGACACCACGGAGAGCAGCGACGATGACGATGACGTAGTGAATGCATCAGAGCTTGCCACATCTGTGGCCGTGCAGAAGGCTGCGACGGTGACTGCCGGGGACAAGAAGGCGGAGGACCGCAAGGCTAAGCGCAGAGCGCAGGTGGCTATCAGTGCACGACGCCACCGTTCCCGCAAGAAAGTAAGTGCTTGCGCCTGTGTATTGGACGGTACAGAAGATCGAATGGAGAGAGCTAATTTGTTGTGCTACCTGCTGCTTGTAGAACGAGATGATCAACTTGAAGAAGGAGGCGAGCTACCTGAACTACCAGCTGGACTTCCTGCGCTCCAAGCACAAGCTGATGCGTGCCGATGGAGCCGTGGCCGAGTGGGAGGAGAAGGCCATCGCCCAGCGCCACAAGCGCCGCCAGGCCGAGGAACTCAACATGCAGCTGCGCTACGCGCTATTTCAGCAGAGTGGCTATCTCAACAACTTCAAGGCGATGTTCTCACTTGGCCTGCCGTCACACAGCATGGAGCTCAACATGCGGCGCTTCCTGCACACTTACACTCACCTGCGGAAAGATCCGCAGTCTCGTACGCGCGACTTGGTGTCCGTCTGCACGGATGCCAAGCTGGAGCTGGGCATGCAGACGGTTCTGCGTGAGACTGAGGGCATTCCAGTTCTGCGTCCGCACATCAGCACGCGACAGATCAGCACGAGTTCAACGGAGTTCGGCGCGTCCACTGTGGCAGTGTACGCTTTCGACACGATGAACACGGTGCAGATCTTCCTTGCTGCGTGTGGGGCCATTCTGGGATGCGGCAGTGCGTGGCCCAACTACACGCAGCTGGACTCGTACGGAAAGGTTGTGGACTCGCCTTCCGACAGTATTCGCTATGGCGTTTCAGGGTGCCGCTACCGCAGCGAAGACGGCCAGGACGAAGTGGCTGTCGAGAGCCGTGGACTGTCATATTACAAGATCATGGATCGATGCGCAGTGTTGGTGTGGGACTACGCTGACGACGACGACCTGTACCTGATGAACAAGAATACGCTGGTCAAGCGCGACGTCATCGGAACGTAAGTTTGTCGCCATCTATTCTGCCTTCATTACTACTGTGGATGGCGCTAACATGCTTGTCTGCTGTGTTTCACAGTGTGGTGGTCCGGCCCGAGGTTTGTGAAGACGGCGTTGAGCGCGTCGTGTGCCGCAGCATTTGCACCAAGGTGCACTCGGCGAGCATGACTCAACTGTCTCCGGACATCCGCCGGTTCTCCAAGTCGAAGAAGATGGGCGCGCAGATCTGTGGCTCGATGGTCTACCAGACCATCGTCGGCCACTGCCCGGATGCCCGACCAATTGCCGCATAAAGAAGTCCGACATGCGTCCTCGTCTTTGGTTGAATATTTAGTCCAGCTTACAGTAGGGTTGTTGACAAAGGATAACGGAATGAAAAGCTGAAGTTGCACTTCTGTAGTAAAAGCTGAAGTCTAGTTTAACTGGACCAAGCGGATCACAAGTCGCTCGGGATCGTCACCATGACCTTGACCACGCTGCCGATTGGCAGACCCACGGCACTCGTGAACGTGGCCGAACTGACCTCGTGGAATAGGGGACCACAGTTTTTGTGAGTCAATAGTACCAAGTCAAAGCACCCTTGGCACTTTGCCAGACACGAATGCACTCAACTCGACGAACGCTCCTATGAGCCTCCCCGCTGGCTACGTGAACCCCTCGGCCGATGCCGGTACGCCTCGTGCGCTCTATAGTGCACCGTAAGCAGCCAGCAGCCCTCTAACGTGCCGTCGTTTGATTGATTCGCTAGACGCATCCGCACCCGCCCTCGAGCCTCTAATTGGAGAGGCCACAGACAACCAAGCACGAGATTTAGCGGCGGCCAAATGGACGATGCCGATCTGAGTTTCTTGTCTGAGCTGCTGTCTCCTGACCCGAACGCTCTCAGTGTCATCCCCGTGGTGAGCGCTGCGCCCTCTCCGTCATCTTCGATCCACAGCGTCGACAGCAGTAACAGCGCCGACAGCGCGCAGTCCCCTGACGAGTTCGACGGCACGCGAGACGCGCAGCGGAAGCGGAAGGTAGTATCCTCCCCAGAGTCTGAGGACGCTCAGGTGGGCGACCGAGACGAGAGACGCCGATTACTCAGTGCTAAGAACGCACGCACGTATCGCTCTCGAAAGAAGGTGGGGTCTGTTTGCTAGCCTTACTCTTTCAGTGCAGTGTGATGGTGCTTACCTGACAAATCGCTACTCTGGTTGTAGACCGAGCTGGTGACATTGAGGGAGCAAGTGCATCGTTTCGAGGAGCAGCTGAAGGCGCTGCGTCTAAGGCACAACGCATTGAGAGCTGATGGCGCCGTGGCGTGTTGGGAAGAGAAGGCTATTGCTCAGCGTTTTAAGCGTCGTCAAGCGGAGGAGATCAATGAGCAGTTGCAGCAGGCACTGTTTGCCCACAGTGGATTCGTGAAAATCTCAAGTCGATCTTTACCGAGTCAGCACCTCCAAGCGCGGCGCTCAACATGCGGCACTTTCTTCACAAGTACACGCACTTGCGGAAAGACCCCCAACTTCGTGCGCGTGACCTGGAAGCTGTCGGAACGGCCGCAAAGATAGATCGAGCGATGCAATTTGTGCTGCGTGAGACCTCGACGATCCCAGCATCAACATCTCCGGAGATTTTGTTCCAAGAGCTCAACCTCGGTGCTGAGGGCCTCGGCAAGACGAGCACGGCGGTGTATGCGTTCAACACGAGGAATGCAAGCAACGCGTTCGAGGTGGCATGCAAAGCTATCCTGAGCACGTGCGGAGTTTGGCCCGATCACACCCGCGTGGAAACCTCCACCAAGTTTGTCGACGTGCCCCCGACTGAGTTCAATGTTATGTGCAGCATGACAAAGCATCGCTACATGCACAACTCCACAAAGGAGCAGGCTTGCATCGAGACAAGGGACCTCTACTACTCACGCATGGTCGGCTCGTGCGGCGTGCTGGTGTGGGACTTCGTTGACGCGGACGAGCTGTACCCTTTGAAGGGCAGCACGTTCATCAAGCGCAACACCGTCGGAGCGTAAGTGTGTGATGTCACGGAGCTGGAAGTCCAAGTCTGAGTGCTGATAACTTTGTGTATGCTGTTAACACAGACTGGTGCTACGCCCCGAAACTTGCCCGGACGGCGTGGAGCGAATGGTTTGCAGGAGTATCTGCACGGACATGCAAATTCTCGTGAACGTGCCGAAACCGCCACTCAAAGTGGCCGAGTTCGCACGTCTGGAGGATATGATGCTCTGCGAGACAATCAAGGAAGGCACAACTGAGTGGCAAGACGCATGTACTGCTGCTGTATGAAATACCAGGTTAGTTCAGAGAAAACTAAGTCAGAGAAAGCTTATCATCGATAATTGCACATGAGGGGCACCTTGAAACTTCGAAAGGGCATCTCAATAGTTTCATGAAATTAAGCAATTAGTGTAGTCCACATCACCAACGTATCAATACAATTTGTAAGTCAAGTTATCAACCATTCCCCATTACGAAGGATCGGTTGACCGACGGACATGGCTACGTCAGCGTCAGCGGACGACAGCGCGCAGCTGGAGGCGGTGGTGCTATCGGCGCTCAACTCGCTGTACCAGCCGCACCTGACCAACCCCGAGGCGACGCGCGCGGCGGACGCGTTCCTGCGCGGCTTCCAGCTCACACCGGCGGCCTTCGACGTCTGCGCGGCTCTGCTGGACCAGCTGTTGCCTTCCGAAAACAACGCGGCGCTAAATTCGGATGTCGTCCCCGCGGTCTTCTTTTCGGCGCAGACGCTGGCCAATAAGCTGCGCCGCCAGCCCTCCACTTCAACCTGCGACTTCTGCGCGTGGAGTACGCGGATCGTAGCCTGGTTATCCCGCAGCGCCAAGCTGCCCAAGATGGTGGTTACGCAGCTGTTGCTGGCCTTGGTGGCGACGTTGCCGCGTCTCCAGCCGCAAGACCTCAAGTTGCAGGACGCCCAGAACACAGCCAGCCTGCTCCTCGCGGTTATCCGGGAGAGTTACGCCCAGTGCAATGGCCAGAGTGTTGTGGGGTACGCCCTGCTACACTTGGCTCAGCACGGCGTAACCTCCACCGTACTCGCCGAGCTACTGCTGCTGCTAGTGGAGGAGGCGGACTCATTGGCCGAGCGAGGACTCAGACAGAGGATGCAGGACGAGGTGGACGCCTGGGCGCCCGCTGTGCTGGATCAGCTGCTGCCCCAGGTCATGCACGATGCCAGCAGTACCCACTCAGTGGATACCCAGGAAACGGTGCTGCGCGCGCTCACGAGCTGGTTACGTTACGTCCGCGTGGACGCCGAGGTGGTGGTGCGTAACCCGCTGCTGCACTCTCTGCTGGGCTTCCTGGCTCGCGACGATCTTTTCGACGCGTCCGTGGACTTGGCGGTTGAAGTTGTGCGCTCGTACGCGCACCAGAACGTGGTGGTGCAGTGGCTGGCTCCGAGGTTAATCTCGTTGAGAGGAGCTTTCGGTGCCGCAGCAGAGGTTGAGGACGTGGATACGTGCTTGGGACTCTGCAGGATCTTCACGGAGATGGGCGAGGCGTACCTAGAGCTGTTACTGCAGCAACATGCAGTGGGGAACGACCACGCGGCGCTGGTGGATCTGCTACTGGACTGCATGGGTTACCCGGACGCGGAGGTGGCGGATGTATCCATCCCGTTCTGGTTCCGACTGCTTGAAGAGCTGCAGCGGCGCGCCACGCCCGCGCTCTTGGCGCAGTACAAGCCCCGACTGGAGCGGCTAGCGACTCTGTGCATGCAGAAGCTGCAATTTCGAGAGGAGTTCCCGACACTGCCACTGGACAAGCAGCAGGACTTCAAGGGCTTCCGTCAGGAACTCGGAGACATTCTCCGTGACTGCTGCCAGCTACTGGGGGTTGATGCTGTTCTCCAGCACTGCGTGAACGGATTAAACCAGATTTTCCAAGCACCTGCTGAGTCGCGTAGCTGGGAGGCGGTGGAGGCGCATTTGCATTGTTTCCGGTCCATTGCACGGGAAGTGGAGAGGACCAAGTCCAACGCTGAAGCTCTGGACGCGCCTATTACGCTGATCTTCCAGCACCTCCCGCAGTTTGCCGACCACCCGGCGATCTGCTACACGTCGTGTTTGATTGTATCGCGGTACGCTGAGTGGCTACGCGCACATCCAGCATCGCTTTCAGCCCAGGTGGGGTTTCTGAATACCTGCGTGACTAAGAGCGCAGGGGATGCTCGTTATGCAGAGTGGGAGGTAGCGCGTGCCGCTGCATCGGCAGTTCGCGCGTTGGCCATGGACTGCTGGTCGATGTTGGGGGGAGATATCGTCGCCTTCTACCTGCACATTGAGGAGCACGAGCTTATGGTCGTGGAGGACCAAGTCCTGATTTTGGAGGGTATTTGCGCGGGTGTGGCAAGTTCTGGAGATATGGCGCGCATTTTGTCGCTTCTGGATCAAGTCATGAAGGGCATTGGCCAGCGACTCACTGCGTTATTTGCTTCGAGTGCTGCCAAGAGTCATGTACAGGTCGGGCTTAACGAGTTGCTGCGGCTGATGGCGATTTACGAGTACCTGGACATTACGAAGCTGCAAGGCGAGAAGCACCCGCTTGTGATGCTTACCGAGCAGTTGTGGCCGCTGATCAACCAGATGCTGGCGCTGTATCGCGGCCACGATGAACTCGTGGAACGTGTCTGCCGTTGCTATAAGCGCATTCTTCGCATGTGTGGTGCTGAAATTGCCCCACTGCTGCCGCAGCTTGTGGACAACTTATTGGCTTTCTACCAAGCAGAGCCAAAGTCGTCGTATCTCTACACTGCCAGCATGGTGCTCAAGTTTTTTGCTCGTGGTCGAACCAACTCGGCGGAGATGGACTCACTCTTCGCTCGCATGTTATTTACGCTGATCGAGACGACTACGCCGATCTTCGCGAGTGTGAACGATATGGAAGCGCGCCCAGACGTGGTGGAAGAGTTTTTCTTCCTCATGGAGCGTGCCGTGCGTTGCGTGCCGCATGTGCTTGCTGCTCCTGTCCCGGGCTCCGCCTCGGGACAAGATCGACCACTCATGACGAGTATGTTTTCGTGCGCAGTGGCAGCACTAGCCATTTCGCACAACGATGCCAACAAGGCGGTGCTGTGCTTTCTGGAGCAAGTATACGTGCAATCTCAGACTGAGGATGCGCGTGTTAAGCTTGCTTCATTGTGCACATCTAGCAACGCGGCACACGAAGATAGCAACAAAATGTTGGTAAGTTATCTGCTGCGAGGCGTTGTACTTGGCGCCATGTCACCTACACGGGTGGATTCAGACTACGGATCGGCGGCGGGTGTTATGCTGCAGCTAGCCAAGGTCAACGGCCCTCAGCTTCAGCTGTGGATCGCAGAGTGGTTTGAGCAGGCCACGGCAGGAACGTTCGCAACTGCAGCAGTCAACTTCCTCACACCCGACGAGGCGCGCGATTTCCAGAGCGAGCTGTTCAGTGCTGCTAACGAGCGCGCATTCCGCCGTACCGTTCGTCATTTCGGTAAGCTGTGCGCTTCTCGCAATACATCGTTAAAGGATTGCGAGCGTCAGTAGAGCCCAGCAACAAAAGGCACCCATACGTGCAGCGCTACTTGAACGGCACAAGGACCATGGAAGTCGACCCAGGTTTGGGGCCCTTCAAGTATAGGTAGGTTCGCGGGAGGGGATGGAAGGTAGCAGTGCGATTCAGCCGGTGACCTCTGTGCATCTTGTCAGTGTTGATTAATCCTCTCTATATTCAAGAACAGGTAGCATTCGCTTCTCCTGAGGTCAATCCGAGTCTTCTTATTGTCAAAGCGCGCCACTTGGCTCATCTGTTTCGGCGCTGGACGTGTTTCTAGACGACAAGTGCAGATCGATGGCGTAGGTCGAGTTGGTAGAGATGTGACCGCCTCCTCGCACCACGGTGGTGCTAGTGATGTCTTCGTCTTCATTTGCCAGCGCTGTATCTTCAACAGCGCCGTATTCCCACGCAGCACCTTCCTCGTAGGTGTCAGCGTTGTCTGCAGCAGGCCAAAAGGTAGGATCGTTGGCGTCATTGTCGCCCAAATTGTACGTCAGCCTCGCTAGCAATTTGCTCTTCATCCGGAATTGTAGCGTAGACGATGTTGTCTTCAGCTAATGAAGCAGGGACTTCGTCTGTTCCCACCGCTGTTTCTTCTGCTTCATGTTGTTCTTGATCAGGCCCAAGTAGCTCATGCGCTTCACTCTCTGGATCCACCTCCGCAATTGCATTGGTGTCTTTGGTAGCGATACTGACGTCTTCTGTTGTGCCGATGCTGTCGAACTCTGCCGGTGAAGGACTGTCAACAGCATCAGCGCTAGCAGCAGAAACGGCTTCATAGACAACCGCCCTGGTAGGAGTGCTTTGCCGCTGAATCTGGTCACCACTGCCAACTCGAGATTGGTGAGCACTATTTGGTGGCGAGGAGGATACGCGGTGGGGATCCAGCGGTGCAGATCTGTGTTTCGAGTCAGCTGATGCTGCGCGTCGGGCACTACGAGAAGGTGGTGGGGATTCTCTCACAGCAGCGATGGATGCGTGTCTTCCAGAGCGGTGCGAGCTCGAGGCGCGGCCGGAAGATGGAGTAGTTGCATGCGGAATGTTGGTGTCATCGTCACTATCGTCTCCTGCCATTCGTCTCGCAGCAAGACCGTCAAGGTGGGCGGACAAAGTCGCAAGCTGAGCCTGTAGTATCTCCGGTGGACACGAATCGTAGAGCTGCTGGGCAGCTATGTGGTGCAACAACCCAGCGAAGACCCGGCAGAACAGCGCAAGCAATTCCAGCATCAGTCGGTCCTCGGTTTGTTGTGCTGCCTCGTGCTCGCTGTTGACGACGATTTCAGCCACCGACCCTGCGATGCTGCTGCTTCCCGCTCCTTCCGTAGCAGTGAGTGCAAATGGTGACGCCGATAGCCGAGCCTTAGCCACGCGTGCAACCTGCACCACCCCAAACGGAAGCGCTCCATTGCCCCAGGGCGAGAGAATTGGCACAAGGTACAATCCGCGAGCACCACCGGGGATGTCCACGGTATCATTAAAGGCTGTTTGAGCTGAGGGCTCTGTCAGAATCATCGCAGTGGCGTCACTACGAAGGAGAAGCGCACAGAGAGAAGCTTGAGCGCTGACGTAGCGGCGGACGAGGGTTTGCGTGCTGCCATCCCCCGTGTCATGGGGCAATTGCTCACCAGCATGCCACAGCTTGTGTGCTGCAGCATCGAAGATAAAGATTCGTAGCTGCTTGATGCCCAAACACTCGCCCAGTTCGTTCTGCGCGACAGCTACAAGCTGCACTACAGAAGGAGTTAGCGAAGGTCCCTGATACTCAGACGGTAATGGAGACGACGGGCCAGTAGCCAATGGACTACCAGGCACTTCCGAATGCGGAGATCGCATCGTATTCAGCCCCACTGAGGCCTTGGTGATAATTTCGCTTGGCATCTGCAGGATCTGGTGCGTTTTGTGATTGATTTTCTGCAGCGTCTTGGTCACGGCCGTCTGACGGAGGATGATTCCTGCTTGAATGGCAAGCAGAGAGCCGAGGATCTGGTCGTTGGGCGAGAAAGGTTTCTGGTGGGTGGTGTTCCAAGCACGAAGCACTGCGAAGACCCCGTGGCCGTTTACCTTTGTCCGATTGCTGTCTCCAGCGCCAGCTAAGTGTGCTTCGAGATAGAGCTGGAGCTCGTGCACGATCGGCAGGGCCAAAACCTCACGGGATGTCGTGTTTGTGATCGAATCGGTGGAGCTGAAGAAGCGCGGGTCGTCATTGGCACAGGGGACGTTGCAGAGTACATTGTGTCGTGCTGCGTAGCCAGAGATTCCTTTGTCGAGCGGCAACTCCCAGCGCTCAGGCCCACGCTCCGAGGACGTCGCGACCAGTTTCCGAGCTGCATAGTCCACCGTGAAGAGCGCTACGTGCTCGCAGTGCATCAACTCGCACATCCGCTTCAGCAACGTCTGCAGCACGGTCGGCAGATGAGTGGAGCATACGACGTGGACGCAGCTGTTGAGCCACTTCTTCAGCACCACCGACAAGTTGATGGCGTTCGTGATGCTGAACTGCGAGTCGACTTTTTCCAGCACCTTGAGGATGTTGGGGTCAATGTACTGGTACGCTTCTGCAGTGACGAGATGACCGGCGGTACCCAGTGCTGTATTTTGCACAACTTGTACTCGTACTGGTGACCCCGCCCTCCTTGGAGTGGACGATGTGATAGACGCAGTTGACGCGCTATTCGGCCGGCCGCCATAGTTGACGTCGCTGTCCGCGCGCTTCTTCGGTCTAGTCAAACGAGAGACCTGATCAGTGTCGCTGGAAGACTCGTCGAGGTCATCTTCGTGGTTTTTAGCGTCGTGCATGTGCTTGAGAGCCTCAATTTCAGCCTTGAGGCGCTTGATCTTCTTCTCCTGGTTGGACGTGAGGGCCTTATCTTCGGCATGTCGAGCTTCCAAGACCTGCAGAAGGTGACACAAACACAGCAATCGCCATCAGGATGCTGCAAGTAAGCTAAGCCTCGATTCGAGTGCGTACGCGAAGTTTGCGGAGGAAGTCCTGATTCTCTCTGACCAGCGCCTGCAGTGCACTCTGCTGAGCGGAGTTGTCGGATGGATTTTGCTGCTGGTCCACAAGTTTCTGGAGATTCGCGTATACAGCGGCGTACCGTGCTGCGAGTTTGTCGTACTCGTGTCGTTGTCTGAGCACGGTCTTGTCCAGCTCGTCGATGCGGGCCTGTTGCTGCGTCTTCTCGCCTTGAAGTCGTTGGGTCTCGAGACTGAGCTGTGCGATCTGTTTCTCGGTCATGTGGCGATGCTTGGTGCTTGCTGAGACTTCGCGCTCCAAGAGTACCAGTCGCTGCTTCAAGAACGAAATCGTCTGGGCGTCCTGCCGCATCTTCTCGTGCAGCAACGGGTCCTTCGGGAACAAGGACGCGGAGTCGAACTCGTCGCTGGGCGTGACCTCATCGACGGTCAGTAAAGGGTCCGGCATCACCACTTTTGCTCGGGTATTCGCAGGCAACGGCGTGAGTCTGCTACGCTGCAGTGTTGCTAGGTGTGGGCTGGTGCCGCTGCTGCTCTGAAGTGTCCGCTTCTTCGAAGAGCTGTAGACACTCGCACTGAGGGGACTGTACATCGGCAGATCTGGAGCAGACCCACAACGGTTCAAAATGGAGAGCTCCATCGAGCGCTTCTTGTTCGCTGTAGACTCAACATTAACACTTTGTGTTTGGTTCGTCTCGTCCTCTTCTTCGCCCTCGCAGCCTTCATGTACATTGGGCGACAGCGCAGTGGAGGAGTTTCGGAGAGCAGTTGACGTGCTATCGAGCGAGCTGGTAGACTGTGACTGTGGTGCGCTGGCTGGCATCTTCCACTTGGATTTCTTCTTCCTTAGGCTCGTGGATAACGGGCCTCCCTGACGACTACGAATTGCACCCGGACGCGCATTGCCGTCACCACCCCCTCGTCGTAGCTTGGGAGGATTCTTACCGCCTCCATTTGGCAAAATGACACTGCTGCTCGACTCGTGGATAATGAAAAACGAAGAAGACGCCGAAAATCCCGCTGGGTTGTTGGTGCGGCGGACGTCTCGTTCGCTCTCATCTGTGAATGCATCGCCCCTCTCTGGACTGGAGCTTGAACTGCGAGAGTTGACAACGGGCATCGCTACTAGCTGCCTTGGGTGCCCTCGCAATACGCGACTCGACTCGAACGAAACCGCTGCATCCCCAATCTAAATAACGCACCCGCTCGTTGTAGACCTGTATGGCTATGAGGCGAGATGGAGAGAAGCCTCCGCTTGAGGATCTGAGACCCACAGCGATCTCACTCATCGACGCCAAACGATATTCAAGATGCTCTAGGACGTTGAGGGTGCTGCGTCAATATCCAGCCGTGCAAGTCTTCGTTTCCTTGGACCACAGCGAATTTGTCACTGCGGCACATGCTGCAAGTCTAAACTCAACCCGAGGTCAAGCGCACCAAATTCTAACCTCCTGTCCGACGCAGCACGCATCACCAGAAGTGTGCCCGGTGGTTTACCAAAGCATTTGTAATTGGGGCCAAAACGGGCACAATAAATGTGGCTGAGTTCGCAGAAGTCAAGGACATGCTCCACTTCAAGGCAATCGAGGAAGGGAAAATGGACTGGGTAATGCTGCTGTACTGTGCCTGGCTTCGTCAAAGCAAGCATAACAAAAGATTGCTGGCATGAGCTGGCATGACGAAGGCGTGACGAAAGTGTTGATAACAAACAATACGTGGTACACTGTACCATTTATTGCCCCAATTCACTTTATGGAGCAGGAAAACCCGGGTTTTCCAAGAGGGGAGTGCTTACGTACACAGTTTTTTTTTATGGGGGTCGAGGGGGGGTGAATGTGATATAGAGGAGGCGGGCCCAGCGACGAGCATTCCAGCGAGCCGAGCACTGTTCTCGCCAGGTGAGAGAATCTTTTTATCGCAGGAGCGCAGCGGAGCAAAGCCATTTCCCGCGGATGACATCCGTCCTGCGGGAAGGTCGCCACATTGTGGGATGATGGGCTGCCTTTACAAACTCCAAGATATCACCGAAAATAGACTGTGTACGTAAGTCCTGCCTTTCCAAGAGCGATGGATGGGTAGACAAAAATATGGGGTGGGTGGGTATGGGTTTTTACAAACCCTATTCCCTTTTATCAATTCATTTGCAATTCAAATTCAATTGAAAGCTCAGCTCATTCAACTCCAGGCACCGACCAGGCACCGATTGTCACCGATTTTAGCGGGGTGGGTGGGTTTTTAATAACCCACCCAATACCCACTGTTCGAACTGTCGGGGTGGGTGGGTGGGTAACTACGGGATATCCCAACCCACAAAAACCCAACGCATGGAGCGAAGCGCCGGGGAACGTGAGCCACCAGTGGTGGTCAATGAGCTGGACGGGGGCGAACCTTCGACGGAGCTACTGCACGATGGACCTTCGACCCACGAGTCGCTCGATGCTGGTACGGAATATTGAACCGGGAGAGCTTAGAGCGCTCATATTCCGTTCTGGTAATCGTCGTTTTGATGGGTTTGATGCACAGACTTCCTTGTGCCGGGAGATATGCAGGCGGAAACGGTGGAGGAGATGCCACTTCAGCTCGGCGAATTAGTGGCATACAGCGGAGATGTTGGGGGAGCGTGTGGCCAAGTGGACGACCTGGACACAAGCTTCTTGTCGGGCTTGTTGCCACCAGCCAGCAACGCGCTAGTGGAGCCTTTGCCCGCAAGCAACGAGTCCGAAGACTCGTCACCCGCACCAGACAGTCTCAGCAGCGACGCCGCTGATAACAGCAGCAGCAGCACCGATGAGGTAGCGGTGGGTGCTGGCATCCCGAAGAGAACGGAGACATTAGAGTCGACAGCTTTTCAGGAGATGTGGAGGGTGGTGAAGCCGATGACGAGCAAGAAGGACGACTGGTAGACCGGAAAGCAAGACGCCGAGCGCAGATTGCCAGTAGCGCCCGCCGAGTGCGCAGCAAAAAGAAGGTGGGTCATTTACTACATTTATTGTCGACTCGAGACACTAACTGCAGGTTGTGTGTTTGAACGACTCAATATGAGATGATGTCACTCAAGACTGAGGCGACTTTACTCGAGCAGCAATTAGAAGCCCTCCGCTCGAAGCACAAGCAGATGCGGGCCAGTAACAGTGTGGCAGCGTGGGAGGAGCAAGCTATCACCCAACGTCTCAAGCGCCATCAAGCGGACCAGATAAATGAGCAGCTACAGCAGGCGCTGTTTACCCACACCAGCTACGTTACGAAACTTAGGTCGATCCTCGCCGAGTCAGCACCGCCGAGCACGGCGCTCAATATGAGGCACTTTCTTCACAAGTACACGCACTTGAGGAAAGACCCCCAACTTCGTGCGCGTGACCTGGAAGATGTCGGAACGGCCGCAAAGATAGATCGAGCGATGCAAGTTGTGCTGCGTGAGACTTCGACGATGTCAGGATCAACGTCTCCCGATATCTTGTTCCAAGAGCTCAACCTCGGTGCTGAGGGCCTCGGCAAGACGAGCACGGCGGTGTATGCGTTCAACACGAGGAATGCAAGCAACGCGTTCGAGGTGGCATGCAAAGCTATCCTGAGCACGTGCGGAGTTTGGCCCGATCACACCCGCGTGGAAACCTCCACCAAGTTTGTCGACGTGCCCCGCACTGAGTTCAACGTTATGTGCAGCATGACAAAGCATCGCTACGTGCACAACTCCACGAAGGAGCAGGCTTGCATCGAGACAAGGGACCTCTACTACTCACGCATGGTCGGCTCGTGCGGCGTGCTGGTGTGGGACTATGTGGATTCGGACGACCTGTACCCGTTGAAGGGCAGCACGTTTATCAAGCGCAACACCGTCGGAGCGTAAGTGTGTGATGTCACGGAGCTGGAAGTCCAAGTCTGAGTGCTGATAACTTTGTGTATGCTGCTAACACAGATGGGTGAAACGCCCCGAAACTTGCCCGGACGGCGTGGAGCGAATGGTCTGCAGGAGTATCTGCACCGAAATGAAAGTCCTCGGGAACGTCCTCAGGCCAGCATTGGACGGGGCCGAAGCGGCACGGATCGAGGACATTATGATTTTCATGGAACTGAAGGGGAGGGCAGCCGACTGGAACGACGAGTTGACAGCTAACTTTTGAGTGATACTCAAAAATTAGCTGTCGTGACTATATCGTTGATTACTCAATCAAATTTTGGTACACTGTACCTTTTCCACATGTCACTTTTCAATTGGAGCTCTCCACCAGCATGGGACCAGGAGGGCGTCGGCGCCGCGCTACTTGAGCCGCCATCGACGGCTGACAAGCAGGACAGGAATGAGCTCTCGACAGGTCTGCCAAGCTCCGGGTCTTTAAGCTTTGCGGCGCTTGATGGCGGTGCGTCGGAATCTGAATGATAGCGACGTTTTGTTTATTCAAAGGTTGGCGCTAATTCTCTGAATTACTGTAATTGCGCAGACTTCCTGGTGCCAGGGGATATGGAGCTACAGGCCGGACCACTGGAGGAGGCGCCGCTGCAGCTGAACGCCTGTGGACTGGTGACACACGGTGGAGAGAGCGGCGCGTGCGGCCAAGTGGAGGAGGACCTGGACGTGAACTTCTTCTCGGACTTGTTGCAGCCGGAGAGCAGCGCCAGAGTGGAGATTCTGTCCGACTCGGGGGACTCGTCACCGACGGCGGACAGTATCAGCAGCGACGCAGCCGACAGCAGTAGCAGCCCGGAGGGGATAGCAACGAGTGGAAGTGGACCTCGGAGACAGAAGAGAGCGAAGACGTCCGAATCGCCGGCCTCCTCCTCCTCCTCGTCAGCTTCCCCAGAAGCAGTGGAAGCAGAGCCAGACCCTGAGCAGGAAGGGCAACTGGTAGACCGCAAGGCCAGACGCCGAGCACAAGTAGCCAGCAGTGCACGTCGACTGCGGTGCAAAAAGAAGGTGAGTCAACTGTGTTGCTGGTGTTATCGAAGCAGGACTAACAGTAGCCTCGGCACTCGTTGGTTTGGTTGTTTCCACCTGTTCAGCATGAGATGGCAACACTGAAGACTGAGGCGATTTCCCTTGAGCAGCAGTTGGAAACACTGCGCTCGAAGCATAAGCAGATGCGTGCGAGTAGCGCGGTGGCGTGTTGGGAAGAGAAGGCGATTGCACAGCGCCACAAGCGGCGACACGCTGAAAAGGTGAACGAACAGCTACGCCAGGCGCTATTCATGCAGAGCGGCTTCGTGCGCAACCTCAGGTCGATGTTCTCTGAGGCGATGCCGTGCAGCATTGAACTGAATATGCTGAGCTTCGTCGGGGGCAAATCAACGGCCTTCATCGAGGAGTTCACGAGCGTATAGTTGGGCCACACCGCTCCGCAATGCATGATCGCCCTGCACGCGGCCTTGAAGGTCTTGCATGCGTTCCGTGTCTCCATCGCGTAGACCGCAACCGTGGTCATACCGAATCCGTCGCGTCCTAGATCAATCTGCTGGCAGGTGATGTGGGGCGTTGTCCATGGGTTGATGCCTCCGGTCTCCTGCAAAATGATCTGCTTGGCCATGTCCAGCTTCGCTTCAGTGCAGACTCGCTCCAAATTGCTCACGCGAGTGAGAGGGTCGTTCAGCAAACGCGTGGGCGTGTGCAGAAAGTTGCGCATTGGAGCGAGAACTTCGGCATTTTCCTGTGGGATTATGTGGACACCGACGACATGAACCCGCTGCAGAAGGATACGAAGGCCATGCGTGCTACCATTGGAGCGTAAGTGTCCTCGTGTTTGTTTTCTTCTTGATTAAACTGCTAATGCTTTGCTTGCACTTTCAGTGTGCGGGTGCGACCGGAGGTCTGCATGGACGGCGTGGAGCGCATTGTGTGCCGCAACATAAGACGCACCTGCTGGACTTGTCGGCGCTTACTCCGACTCTGGAACAGTACTCAAGAGGGAGGCAGCTATGCGCACAGCTCGGTAGCGTTTTTATCAGTTCAGGGGCAGTTCACTTCAGGTTCAGGTCATGCACAAAAACTTAGCCACATATGATTGCTATAACACGACTATCAAAAGATAATCGCGAACACGAGGCACGCACATGATTATCGTGGGCTCTTGCTGTTGATACGTGATCGCATGGTTTCAAAGATACAAGTAACTTCACTACACTTGCAGGTTGGCTCTAAGACGAGTGATACGACACAGCTCCACTATTGGCTGTCATAGTCGAGCAACAGCACCATCAACACGGTGTATGCCCTGCATCGCGTCGCTCATGTAGAGACTCAGTAACGCGTTCGTTAACGGCAATTAGCACCCAGAATCAGCATGGTAAGTCCAGTACAACGCTTGAGTACAGGCTCAGCCGATTTGTCTGCAATAACCGCATCGACACGGTACAAATACCGTGTACTTCAGTCAGCCCTACGATCAGCTGCGAACACCTGCAACTGCACCAACACGGTACACACGACGTGTTCGCTCTGTATACCGTTTGAGTACAGGCTCAATGAATCGGTCAACTCGTAAAGCCACCACAAGTATTTAAGTAATGCACATGCTACGTGGGTCGCAGCACTCAGCCGAGCAGACAACACGGGCTCGCTCAGGGGTCAAGTTAAAGCAATCCGGTACGTCAACACGTCACAGAAGTGGCACGCTGTCAAGCGCGACTTTTGAGCAACAACCATCAACAACACTGCCGCCATGAAGTCGCCGTACGATGCACGATACTTGAGCGCAAGCTAGCGTGTTGCTGCTAACAACAACTGTGAGGCAGTCGTACAGGCTGAGAGCCTACGCCAGGGCAAAATCTTTGTACATACACTGTGTGCAGGCGAATACGATCACCCTCCGCCCAATGCCAGGCTCAGCGCGTCGTAGCCATACCAGCTCAACACGCTGAATCACCTTTTTACAGCGCTCAGCATCGGCACCATGGTCGATATGCGCGGCACAGTCATCCAAAAGCCGGCTATATACGCGCTATCCCCCCAAGCTGCGGGTCAAGGGAGCACTGCATTGGCATTTGCAGCTTCCATAAAGCTATAGAAGAAGTAAGGTAAGCCGTATGCAGCTACCGAGGGAAACGCCATTAGTGGCGATGATAACACCTTCTTAATGTAGAGTGTGAGCAGGAGTGCAAATGAAACCATACGCGGGCTTCGTGTCCAAGTGCAAACTATCAGCGCCACGGACGCTAATAATGCCTGGACAGAGAGAGAACTCGTTTTGACAAATAATTTATAATGGAATGTGTAGCAGCAGCGTACATACGCACCCCGCAGAACATTTTCTTGCGACCCGCCCACCAGATCCCGGGGCTACATGTAGTCTTTCGCAACCCTGCTCATTTTCAAGCCACAACTTATGACTTTAAATGAACAATTGGTTGCCCTCTGTGATACTTAAGTACATGTTTGTACCTCATTGAAGGACTGCATAATTACACCGTGTAATTACACCGTGTCAGGTGTGATTGATTACCTTGATGCATTTTTCCAGGCGGGGAAACCATCCGAAGATTTGAGCATGTGTTGTTAACATGACCTAGGCTGAACTGAACTGCCGATGAACTGTTTTGCGCTCTTCCCACACTCTGCGGGTCACTGGTGTACGAGAGCATCAGAAGTGAGTCCGCAACGCCCTAATTCGAACGTGGTGCAGCGTCAGCGCTACCGTAGCGTGAAGCTGTAATGAGCACCTACATGTTGTATTTCCCCCTTGAGCCTCTTTCACGATAACGAAATTTGATCATGCTCCATCGTTCACCTTGTCAGCACCGTTCTCTTCCAACTACACTTTGCCAATCCAAGTTGGCAGGCAAAGCCGCGAGTCCCGTAAATACGAAAAATATTTTTTTCAAAAATTTATTTTCGAGGATTAGTACAGACCAATGTGGATTTAGTCCACAGCAAACATCTAAGTTCCATACTCCATGGGCTCGCTACGAATAGCAGCGGCGACAGACCTTGCGTCCGCTTACAGTACAGGTTGTAGTTGGTCTCGTCATAATACACGATAAAAGCACCGTTCCGCTCATGCTTCAGCAACGCTTCACCAAACACCCTCCTCTTCTCGATATTTACAGCATTATTGCAGGTTTCGGGCTCTACGCGAACCTATCACAGGGAACAATACTTAGTACAGTACGTAGATGGTAAAAGTGATAGCATAATAACTTGATGGCGTACCTGCTCAACAGTGTAAAGCTTATCGCAAAGCTTCTTACTGATCAACGAAGTGCTGATGTGCACCCTGAAGTCGAACGCAAGCATTTCCTGCATCTGCACGAGTATGTACTGGCAGTTGTCTTCCAGGTAGCCCACGAGAGCTTCCTCCATTTCTGGAGTACACTTCGTGCACGCCGCCCGCGCGCCGCCTCTCTTCTTGACATCAGCGGCTTGGCGCTGGACGATGTTGCGGGCAGTAGTGGGAGGGATGCCGTTGCAGTCGGCAACCAGCACCCAGTCACGCCCTTCTCGGTGTGCATCGAGCACACGCGTGCGGGCCGCAAGCCCATGCTTCGGCTCTTGGGGCATGTTGCCGGCGGAGACAGTCTGTTACTGACCAGTGATTTGAGTTTGCTCTGCACTAAATCCACATTGCTCTAAATACTAATTTCAGAAACTATTTTCCGATTTTTGGATGTTACTAAAGTTACTTCACACCGTTTTGCTTTACACTGCTGCCAACTTGGATTGGCAAAGGTGTAGTAATTTCGCAGTTCATTGAAGAACTGGTTGCCCTTCGGTTGAATTATTCAATTTTAGGCGGCATTGATCAACATATAAGCAACGCGTGTAAGACTTGTACAATTCACACGGGCTTGCTATCGCGCACCATGTTCGTGGGTAAATGAGCGACTTCTAGCGAGATAAGCAAGCGAACAAGTCACAGCAAGGACACTGAGGAAAGGCAGGGCACGGAAAAATCATACATAAGGCCTATTATTTTTTTAAACACACAAGCTTTGCAGCGCTTCGTTACGACCACGATTGATCACTAACCAAAGCGCTGCTTGGATACTCACACGGGTCCGTCTGTCTACTGTCGATTACACCACGATTTCGGCTTTGGGGATGCGATTCGGGTGGGTTTTGATCAGCAAGTTCCATGCCGAGTTTTCGACAATGTCTGCGTTGCGGCAGAACACCGTCAAGAACGCTTCGTTCACTTTTCCTCGCGGATGCGTCATGACTCCGACGGGCGGTGTGCTGTGCGTGATGGACCGGAATTTGGTGCGTACGCCTTGGTCCGGCAGTCGCTCGGATTCCAAAATCATGCTGTGACACAAAAGTTAAGTTTATGTGAGTGACTGGTTACAGCAAGGTGAGGTTAAAAATCACAAGAGCAAACGTACCAGCCAACTTCGTCGTTGCGTAGCGTCGTCTCGGGGTCTTCATCTGCTGCTGGGGGGTACAGATCGTCATCCGTGATGGTTTCCCACGTGATCATGACGTAATCGTCCCGAACATGTCGACGAACCAAGAAGTACGAGTGGAAATACACCATGCGACCCTTGTGGTCGCGCAGCACGGGCACGATGGTGCGTCCATAGCGCGTGTTGGCGTCCAGCTCCATGAGTCGCTCGCACGTCACGTGGCGGCGGAATCGCTCGGGCACATCGAACACAAAGTTCGAGAACGAGTTCCAGCAGGCCTCGCCCACCTCGTGGTGGGTGAACCCGGAGACGAGACGACCCCGCACTTGCTTGATCTCGAGATCGGGTCCATTCGAGTTCAACTTGATATCCGTCAAAGGATAGGACGTCCCGGGGCCGAACTCACTGCGAATGTACTGCTCTCCGATCACCATGCGCTTGTCCGCGATGCGAGTGAGCATGGTGGATCGCTCGAGTGTGTCGACAGGCAGGCGGTGGTACCAGTGCTGGATGTGCGGCTTCTGCGGAGGCATGTTGATGAGTCCAATGCTGCGGTCGGTGAGCACGCCTTCGTCGTCGTCCACTTTCTTGCGCTTGCGGTGCTGCGTGATCACGTCCTGCTCGCGCTTGATGCTCGTCGGGGAGCTGGATCCTTGGTGGTGGGTCATGATGGCCATCTGCTCCTGCAGCATCTGCACCTGCTCGCGGAGCCTGGCGAGCTCCTCCTTCTGGCGGTTGCGGTGCTTCCTGGCGGACTTGGCCACCTGCGCGCGCCTCCGCAGCTTCTTCTCCTCCTCGGTGAGGCTCTTGACGGGGGCGTTCAGGATCTCCTCCGAGTCCTTCAAGCTCGAGCACGCGCCGTCGCCGTTGACGCTCGACGGGGGCGAGCACGCGGGTGAGTCCGACCTCGTGGAGCTGGGCGCCGACGCCACGCGCGGACGCGGACGCTGGCGCGCGCCCGCCCTCGAGTTCTTCCTTGGCGAGGCGCCGAAGAAGGCCTTGGGCTGCTTGAGGTCGCGGAGGGCGGACGGGGACAGCAGCGCGCTGTCCTGCGGCTGCGGCAGGTTCAGCGGCTGGTGCAGCAGGCCGTCGTCGAAGGCCTTGAGCTGCAGCTGCAGCTGGTGCTGCTGCTGTGGGGCAGGGCTGTCGCTCTGGTGCGCGGGCAGCGCCTGCACCGTGGCGGCGAAGTCCAGGTCGGCGATGGAGGCCGGGTACGCGCTCATGAAGAACTCGTGCTCGGGCGAGCCCACGCTCTCCCCGTCCAGGAACGGGTACAGCTCGTCGTCCAGCGGCGCGGGGTGGAACGCGTGCGCGAGCGGCGTCTCCATGGTCGGGGCGGAGTGGCAAGTTAGTGTGTAGCTGCAGCGGCGGCAGGGGATCTGAGCTGCGGCTGGACTCTTTTGCTGTGAACCCCAGCGTCACGGCCGTCGCAGCGAGGAGGGACCCAATTGGGCTTAGTTTGGGTAGGTCAAGATAAGTTGTTTCGGGGTGATAGAGATGGAAAATACGATGGTTAGACAGCGTAGTAGCAGCATCTGGATATAAATTCGCTTTTTAGAGCATCGTTTATTGTAAGACTTTGTAATGCTGTTAAATCGAAAGTGCTCTTACTGAAGAGGCCCTGCAAATTTGATATTGAAGCCCAAAGTAAGAAATTCGAAGGGCCTCTCCTCAGCGATGTGCGGCAGGCGGGAACGCGACCCATTGTCCGCCTCGCTGCATGAATGCGACCCACCCAGCTCAAAAGGCATGAAACAAGGAGTCTTTCAACCGGCTGCAATGGCAAAGCTGGAGCGCCCGCTGCAGCGGAGCCCGTCCGTCGAGCCAGTCGCGCTTGGCGGGTGCGAGCAATCCTCTCCTGGCGCGCGTAAGCATCATGTTCAGACGTCAGGTCATCAAAGCCGGGCCACTGCCCCGGTGCTGTTCAAATGCCCTTGACAAGTTGAAGTTGTTCGGAGCAACCACGGCCGCGAAGGCATTTCGCTAATACATGTATGTAAATGACGCGCGGCCCATGGCCATGCACATGCACGCTGGCTCCACGCTCGCACCCTGCATGGAGGGCGCCGCTGGCTGCGGTTTTGCCCGCTTCGTGCTCGTCGCTGCCCGGCGGGCCGAACGCCGGCACGGGGAGGCGATTCCGACGGTGATTGGGCGGTGTTAAACCGGGCGATGTAATCGCTCCGATTTCATCAACGGAGACGGGCACCAATTGGCAATTGCTGGCTCCTTCAGTCAATTCTGAACCACGTGGGGCGGCCAAAAGCTCAGAAACTCCGGTCTGATGGAGGTTTGGCTGGCAAGTCGCCACTGAGTGCGAGTCTCAGATAGCGCAAGTCGAGCGTGGATGTACATGTAGTTGTGGCTGCTACGGACCAGGCAGCATCGGCAGCTTCAACGTGTTAAAGCTAGTCCTGTCAACCTCAGCTGTCATAACCTTACCTTGGGGTTGGCAATTCACGTTTAATTACCAGTTATAACGGTTACATTCAGTTAAAAAGAATTTTCACACGTAATTCACAGCTGATGTTCACTGTGAATATTGAAGTTGCGCAATACAGAGGGGAGGTATTGAAGTTTGGCGGTCTTCCCCGCTCCCCCTTCGGAATCTAGAGGCTTCACACTTAGATCCCCCCAGAGCCTGCTCCGGCCCTTGCTTGGCCGAACTGGTGCCTTTGCCGACGCGCGTAGGACCTACGACGCGCGACCTGCACTCGTCGTTGGCAGCGAGCTCCTCGACGCAACTGGCAGTGCCCCTCAACGACTGCAACTACCTTGTGAACTTGCTGCTGCTGGTGTGCAAGGCGCGACCTTCTCGGCGCCTGAACGACTGACCGTCTGTCCTCGACTCTGACGTGTCCAACCTCCAGACTCCGTTACCGTAGACCCTCGTGCGCACTGCTCCAAAGCCGTGGTGTGTCCCGCAAACACCTGTGAACATCAGCAAGGAGGGCGCAATGGCTCCGCCGAAACACAAAATTTATGCTTTGTTTCGTGCGCACGCACCCAGAATTAAGGGTGTAAAACCCCATCCTGATGCCATGTGCTTGGGTTGCGAAATGGTGGTGGCGAACGCGCAGCCGTCGCGAAACTGGTGCAGCATACGATCAAGTGCGACAAGATCGGCGAGGAGACGAAGGAACGGTGGCGGCGCCACGAAGCGGACCTCCGACACAAGCAAGCGGCGAAGCTGACAACCCCTTCGAAGCCTCAGGGCCCAAGAACGCCAACATTGACGAAGCGACTTTTTGGTACGAATTCACCACGGAGTCGCCCGCGCAAGACCCCGCGGCCATCACCATCGTCACAACCCACACCAAAGAAGTCGGCCCAAGAAATCAAAGAAGAGAATTATTTGCGGGTTGCAATTGGGCTTGTTTCGACTGGGATCCCTTTTCGTGTTGTGGAGGAGCCTCTTTTCCAAGCTATGTTTGACTATGAATTGCCTTCTCGACGTCAAATTTCGGGGCGTTTGCTGGACGTCCTTTACGACCGCGAGAAGACTCAGTTGATTTTGAGAATAACGGAGAGTGGCGTGACGAACTTGGCCTCATTACGGATGGGTGGTCCAACACAAATGGGGATAGCATTATCAACTTTGTTTTTGTGAACCCTCGGACCCCACCTTTATTTTGGAAGTCGATCAACTCAAAAGCTGAAGCTCATACGGCAGAGTATATCGCTGGTACAATTTGGTCAACCATTTTGGAGTTCGAGTCTGTAATTGGTTCAGGCAAAGTCACTTCAGTAGTGACGGACAACGCTGCCAACATGAAGAAGGCGTGGCGACTCGTAAGAAAACAGCGCGTCGGACTTGTATGTACGGGCTGTACTGCGCACGGCATGAATCTTCTGATGAAAGATATTTTCAATCTGGATTTTTTCAAGGATGTGCTTGACCGTGCAAAACAACTGGTTCGGTTTTTCAAGGATCATCGGGGCTTGTGGTCAAGATTTCGCGATCTGCAAAAAGCGCTTCGAAAGAAAGGGGAAAAACGGCGGCGCCTCTCGCTACCAGTGCCAACGCGGTGGTATACACATGAAAAATGCGTCGCGAACGTCTTTCACAACAAAGACATCATTGCAGCTATTTTCTCGGACATGGCGCTGCTTAGGAACTACAAGGGAGCATCACTAGACGAGGCACTCGTTATTTTTCGCGATGACGATTTTTGGCAAAAAACTGCCGTTGTGTTGAAGCTCATCCAGCCAGTCAACAAGTGCCTCGCTGCGTTTGAGCGCGACGCCTGCAGCTTGTCGTTGGTGTATCACCAGTTTAGTTGGCTATGCAAACATCCAGTCTACACCGAGCCCCTTGATGATTGTAGCGTGTTGCTACAAGCGGAGGTGCTCGGGCTGATAAATGCCCGACGAGGAAAAATATGCACGCCGACGGTGAAAATTGCATACCTGCTTGACCAGACCAAGACCATGTACGATCCGAACGATCTGGAGGTCAAGGCACTGATTAACGATGCCGCGCAACTTGCCCAGGACTTGCAATTGGTACCGACAGAGTTGGCGGAGAAATTTCACAAGCAGCTGCAAGACTTTGTCCTCATGAAGTCTGCGTGGACAGTTAAATCGCGTGAAGATAACAACGCCTACAGCCCGATCGCATGGTGGTCGCTAGAAACCTCGAACACCTACGCGTTGGTGCAGGAGTTCGCAAAGTTGCTGTTGTATATCCCAACGTCGTCGGCGTCAGCAAAACAAATCGACCAGGCGCAAATACCGTGGTCCACACTAATTACACTTCTAACTGTACCGTGAAAATAGCAACGTTTCTAAAACATTATGATGCAGTAATAGGAACGTTATATTATACATACTTAAGTATGTAAAAATGTTACATTTACGGAGTTGCCCGAGTAACAAAAACTAAATATCTAACGAGCTGGGTCATCACAATTCTATTCATGATCAAACTGCTAAATATTCTTATGAAGTTAAAAAGATCAATGTTAGGGCTAAAAAGAGTAATAATAATGCTTTTGTGAAATCGGGTTATTACCCGCGGAATTTGTGGACAAACACTAATTACAGTCTTGCTTAACTTAGTTTTTTAGATTTTCTATATCCGCAATATTTGCAAACAAACACTAATTACAAGTTTTGATTTGCTTAGATTATTAGCTTTTCTAAACAGCAAGAATGGCGGTTTTTTCTTTGTTGCCGATACACCAAAGCACACCTTCTACGAGCCCTTGGGAGAGCCGGGCTCCTGGGCTCTTGGGTGAACCCAAAAAGTCGCGAGCTCGGGCTCCTGGGCTCTTGAGTTCAATAGGTTAAGTGAAAGAGCCCTCCAGAACTGTAGCCCTCGTTAAGGGCTCCCCCCTCACCTGTGTTAAATATCTCGCTGATGATTGGCCGTCATTGAAGTATCTCCAGGTTCTAACCTGAAAAGGCATAGGAAAGAGGGCTTCTCCTTGAGGGGAAGGAAGGACGATCGGCGACGCTGGGGTGGCCTCGGAGCGGCTGTACACATATGAGCGGCACGAGATCTTCTAGTGTGGTGATCTTTGAGCTCGATCTTCTAGCGTGGCGCATCGATCACGCGAAGTTGCTCGCCTTAAGTCTAGGTAAATTTGGCCAATCCGATATTACTAGGAGGAGCCCGTCATAGATTTGAGGCTAAATTTGAGGAGCCCTGGAGGGGAGCCAATGGGGAGACCGAACTAGGGGTCCTTGATCTCGTAATACCATGATGGAGCCCATTTTGTGCGACTTTTGGCTCTCGTATTAGGGGGAGCCCACTTTTCAAGTTGACGGGCTCGGGCTCGTAGAAGGTGTGCACCAAAGGTCTTCGCAGCTAAAAATAATGATGAAAACTAACGCACTACTTTTGTAAATATTGTCCCTTTGTTAATTTTGAGCATGATAAATGGCGCAAGACTGCGCTAGTAAAAATATCCTGTTTAAGAGCGCAATCCTTTTAAACTTTAACGAAACTTGCGTATCTATTTATTTTAAAAATACTGTTATCGAGAATAATGTGCACTAATTGTCATTTTAAGCTATCTATTTCAACATTTACAATAACGTTGTCATGTTCCTGACGGCCCAGACAACAAGTTGGCACGGATCGGAGATGGCGGTGGGATGTACATGATCTAGGTGTGCTTTCGCTTCGTGTTTAGTGGCGGAGAGCGCTACTTAAACATCGTCAAGATTGGATCCTCTGATAACGATTTGAGTTATCATGTGGAGGACATCGTGAATTTACTCGAAGTATAGAGACTACTGCATCGTACGATACGTTCTACATTCGGAGCACCTCTCGACTGCGCAACGATGTACAAGCCTATGGCATCGCGATTGGGATTAATTCTTCGCGTTTACGATGAGAACGACAGAGAGCGAAAGGGACTCCTGAACATTGGGCCATCGCAGATCCTTCTAGTGCGAGATATCCTTATCTCTGTGGCACTGCCACAGTGTGACAGCCACATTCCCCCGCCTGGGCGGCACTTGCAGATGTGGACCGCATTGCGTGCAATGCAACTGTGCAGGGAAACATGTCCCCCGGTGCTTGAAATTGGAGAGGCCGGGAGCGTGAGCATCCCTGAGGATGGCGAAGACAGCTGGAACGACGTTGATGGTGTCGGTGACAAAGCAGCACGGGACGCCGAAGATCACCGCTCTTGGCAAGTAATTGGTGCAGCTCAACGCCGAGGAGGGAACCTTCGTGGATAACATGGCCTGCTACGTGACCTCAAGCACGGAGAAGACTTACTGCACGACCGTGATCTGCTTGACGCGCAGCACGCCGAGCGCATGCAACCGGAAGGAGCGCTACGACTGCAGCACGGTGAAGGCACCCGACGCTGGACCCCGAGAGCACGTACTCATTCAGCTGCAAGGTCGCGTCCGAAGTCGAGAACCTGCTCGTCGTGCCTACGGACGACGAGGCTACCACCGTGGACCCTGCGAAGACGGAAAGTGAGATCCAAGGCGGCGGCGCCCATGTAAGTAAAGGCACCGCGTCCGTGCTCCGACAGCTCAACAAGAACGCGGACCCGACGGTAGCTCCGAGGCAGATCCGCTGAACGCCGACGTCATGGCGCCGCTGCCGCCCACTTCAACTTTCCAGCTGCATACGAACGACCAAGTCTACTTCTTACCGCAGCGACCTGATATCATTGCCGCTCAATGTCTGGTCGACAAAGGCCGCGGGAGCATCTTGTGCTCTGCTACGTCCTGCTGACGGACTAGTACGACTTCAAGATGCTCAAGTAGCGTGCGATGGCCAACTTGAGCATCCTCAGCGTGTAGTCGCGTGCGACCAGTGCGGGAGCTGCCCGAACCAGGTTCTCCATATTACTTCATTTAGGTGTATTAAATGCAACACGCTGCCACAGTTCTCACATTGTCATTGTGTCATTTGGGTTGAATGCATTACGTACAGCGCATTCGAGGGGACATAAGAAACTCGTGGCAATGAAAAAACTATTTACCCTTCTTTAGACCTGCATTTTCGGCAATGAATACTAGATCTCGCACAAGGTTAACATCCATCTGACATCGCTTTGCAGTCACCGCGTTTCCCGCTGTAGAGAAAGCTCGTTCCGATGGCACCGACGTAGCAACACACCCAAGCCATTTCCGTGCGAGAAGAGCGAGGGACGGATAGTTATGGCCGTTGACAGACCACCACACGAGCGGGTCTTGCTTACGGGGGACAGACTTAGCCGCTTGACGACATGCGGCGCGACGTGGATAACTTCATCGACGCGTTCGGGACTGGACATGGAATGAAGGCTTTTAGGTAGCATCTGGATTATCTTATCCAAGACGAACTGAAGCTGACATGCCTTCGTAGCGGAGTCGCGGTTGGTGATTTCGATGATCGGGAACACTACGTTGAGGCATTGTGGCCAATAGCCTTCTGAGCGTGAAGAAACAGAAAGGAAGGCAGAAAAGGATGCGAAAGGTTCTGGAGGACCTCTCGCTGCAAATCGAGCTTCTTCATGGCAACCAAGAGCAGAATTTCCAAACGATGCTCGCCTTCCAGCTAGTTTTAAGGCCAGATGGATGTCGACAATTATCGGTACCGCCAAAACTATGTCGAGCTCAAACCGAGAATAGATCCCATAAACCCTTCCATCTCGAAACGTGGAGGAGAGGAGAAATTCTCAGAAGAAGCTGGTCGCGTCATTGCGAAAGAACAGCACCTACAACGTAGCACGTTTGAGCTGGTTCGGGTCGAGCACGAGAAGTTGTTTCATCAACAAATGGACTCTCATCACGGCGAGCGCTTGGAGTATCAGACAAAGGCAGAGGCTGCTGTCCAGAAGGAAATTGCTCAAACCAAGAAAGACTTCCTCGTACAGTTTCAGACGCAGGTGAAGACGGCTCACGAGCTGCAGTCGTTTTTCTTTAGCCAGCTCGACAATACTATTCCGTTTTGTACGGCGGCTGCCCGATTTACATCCACCCGGTCGCGGGACAACAACAGCTTGAACTCGAAGCTCTCAAAGCTCAATCGAAAAGAATGCTCGTGAAAGATCTCATGCACACGGCGGAGCGTGCACCGGCAACCCGCGCTGCGAAAGGTAGGCACCTCAGCAGGCTTTTGCTACCAAGTACATAGTGATCAGTTACCTATTATGTGCAGTAAAGCCAGCAAGCAAACAAGAACGAAAGAGGAGCCATGCTTTTCATTTTGTAGCAAGAACCGCTGATTTAGCCACAAAACGAGTAACGACACGAGTACAAAAATATGAAGCAAGAATTACCTCGACGCCATGGCTCCGCATATCAGGCTGACAGCTTCTTCTTGATCCGGTCGATCTGGTTCACACTGATGCCGAGCTCCTTCACAATCTCCTTGTACCGGGCGCCGTCGTTAATGCGCTTGAACACCGCGGCCTTGTCCGAGTCGGAGAGCGACACGCGCTTGGGCATTTTTGGTGGTGACAAGCCACTGAGCGCGCTTGCGTCCACAGCTGGAATCGTCTTCCGCTGTAACGCCCCCGGATGCTTGGCCTCCGCGCACGCGATTAAAATCTGGTGCTTGTTCTTCTTGATGCGGCTTACTTGCTAACTCCAAAATCCGCAGCGATCTTGTTCTGCGCCTCACGCTTGTCCAATCGCTTCAGAATCTCCGCCTTGTCGGACAGCGGGATCATCTTGCGCTTCTTGACGTTGAAATTGTCCTACGACTTCGCCATAAAATTGTCGTCAGGGTCTTTCTGTCCAAGTCGGCGTCGTCCTCGGCCTCAACACAGAGCTTCAAGATAGTTTCTTTGTGTTTCACGGTATTCTTGAGCTGCTACATGCTGATGTCAAAGCAATTTGCGACTTCTTCCGGCTTCTCACTATCATCCAAACGCTTGAGAATCTGGAATTTCTGTCGGAGCGTTGTCGTCACATGCTTGCGCTTAGAGGGAGCTTTCTCACTGACACCAGCATCACCAACGTCGGAGGCCGCACCGATCCTCGGGAAGCTCTTCTTCATTAGCGCTGTAGCGTCTGCAGCAGCCGAAACATAATCCTGAATACGAGCCTTGTTCTTGAGTAGATTGGCGACTGTAAGTACCGTGACTCCATACTCCTCCATGATATCGCAGACCCGATGGCCAGCATCCAGACGCTCGATGACCTCCATCTTGATAACAAAAGGCAGCGTGACACGGGAGCGCTTGGTTTCTTGAGCGTGGGACACTGTCAAATGCTGTCGCCTCATTTGCGACTCCGTCGTCGCCTCGACGCAAAACGTCAGAATGCGCGCCTTGTCCCGCTTGATGTTGGTCACCACAGCCGGGCTGACCCCAAACGCCTTCGCGGCGTTGGCTTGGGTCTCGCCAGCTTCCAGACACAATAACAGCTCGAGCTTCTTGGCAACTGTCAGCAGCTTGGACTTGCGCTTAAGCTGCGGGCCTGCAGTTGGTGAGTCGACCTCCTGGGGTGTGGGTGCGCTCTCTGGGAGTAACGAAGATGCTTGAAGCAAGCCCTGCATGGTCAGCGGCTCGCTTTCCGCCGGAGAAAGCTCTATCGGCGGTGACGAAAGCATTGGGATTGGCGCTTTCTCCTCGAGCTCTTCCTCGATCATATCGTCTGGCAACGTCATTGGGCGCTTCTCCATCGTGCTAAGACCTCAAATGTAATCCTAGAAAGCGGCACCAATACTCTCGCGGTTGATGTTGCTTTAACGAATAGAATGACACGAAAAGTTTGCGTTGTGATTTACCTAGGATAACCTATATCGGATAGCAAAGGATATAATATATCACAAGATATCCCCCGTACACTTAACCTCTTTGACCTTTGCTGTATCGGAATTGGAGGTACAATTGGGATTGATCCGGAGAAGATGCCGCTGCGCACGTGATTACAATCTGGTCCTTGTTCTTCTTCACTGGTGGTTTAAGCGAATAAGACTGGTGTTTGTTCTTCGTCACTGGTATATTTAAGTTTACTGGTTTGTTGCATATGTTTAAGAAAAGGTTTGCCTATTTTCAAAATATCTGCTTTATTCAATATTTTAATTTTGGAAATATTGGAAGGTGACTCAAAATAAGAGTTTTTTATTTTTAAATTTGCTGACAAATTTCTAGTAGTAGTAGTTTTATTTTAATAAAACGTAATAGAATACGTAGTATAGGGATTTTTATTTTTATTTTTTGCGGTTACCGCCGATAGCGCTCGGGGCGAGCACTGCATCGAACCCCTCAGGTACCCGGCGGCTACGGCTCCGTCCTAATTTCCTACAACTTGCATCCTAAATATGTATCTGATCAGGACCTTCTCGTACTGATGTTCTCGCTCTACCGTGGGTCACGCATGAGCTTGCCCTTGCTCCTCCATTGTTGTCCCACGAGGATCGTCGTCCTCCTCAGCTAGGGCCGTCTTATCTGCCAATTCTCACGCCACCTCTCGGCCCGCTCACGACGTACCGATATATGGCTAGGGTTTAGGCCCGTACGGTGTCAAATCCCATACCTGCGCGGGTGTGCTGGCGCCGACTTCTCCGAATTACGTAGTATAGGGATATAAACAGCACCAACACACACAGAGTTTTGCGGTTAACATGTAAACTGCGAGGAGAGCGGGGATAAGCCAAACATTGAACGTCGGTGCACACCCAACTAATATAATATGTTACGTATTATTATAAGTAATAACGTTAAGGTGCTCGACCAGTTTACCGCAATGTTTTACTTTTTCCGCGGAAAAATGGTCATAACCTTTTTTTTCTAGACATCCTCTCAGAAATTTAAGAATATGCCGCAAATCTACAGAAACTCGCCTACAACAAGGTGATCTTGTCGTGGTTCTAGTGGAGGGAGAGAATCGAACACCATAGTTTTGGGAGCGGATCACCAGAGATTTGGACACCACCACCAGAGATTTGGGCGCCACCACCAATGATCAATGAGGGATCAAATCACCAGAGATATCGCACTCCACCACCAAAGAAAAGGTGTTCTATCACCACAGAAAAGGAAAACATCACCACGGTGGTGACACCCTGGTGGTGTCCACCCTATTATAGTACGAGTAGCGAGTTCAGGCCGCCCTGCGTTTGCTGATTCTTTGGCGATCGCAGTCCAGCCTGCACGCGAGGCCGTGCTCTTCGCCAGCAATGCCTAGTAGCTCCAAGCGCTCCGACGAGATGGTGCTCGTCGACAAGCATCGGGAAGATGCGGCTGCTGGAGAGGGACAACAATGCCTACAGAGGCCACAAGGACATAGAGGCCGGTACGTAGTGATCTATCACTCCCACTCATAACGACATGCGAGAAGGGGTAAAGCGCATTAAAATGTAGCGTTCATTGTAAATGCAATTTTCAATTAGATGCACCGCGTTCTTTGAAGCACGGTGAGGTGTATGGCTGTAGTGCGAGACCAACATATGAACAGCCAATGGCAAAGGCTTTAAGAAATGAATTAATGATGGCTGGTGGGCGCCTTTATCAAATGCACTAGCATCTACGGCGTTTAGTCTGCTCGCATGACTGCCGACTACTACTTATCGACCCAAACGATTCTGTGCTGGCGATCTCAGCGTTGATTGTTGCCACTTGAAGTGGGGCTCTTGCGCTGCTTGCACGGGTCATTGGGGCTGCGCCGTAGTTTGAGGCGACATTTATGGTGTGTAGCACCGAATCGCTATAGCTCCGCTGGTATCCATTCGCCCCTTGATATGCAGTGCGTATCTCTGAAAGTGACTCGCTCCGCATTTCACGCTCTCTTAAAAGCATTGCCTCGTACGACCCGATCTCCGCTTCAAGTGGGGTCAGGCGGAATAACTCCATGTCGGCAGGCGTGGTTGTGCTCTCGATGTCTTCACGAATACCACTCTCGGTATCGATGTGATGCTCGATGAATACGGGAGGCGGCGATCTAGGTTGCGGGCCAAGTACTGGAAGCCCATGAAACGTACCTAAGTGGTGGCTGGTGTCAGCACTTGGCGGACGGGCTTGGGGTCCTTGCTCGGGGTAGTGAGCGGCAGGATCTCCATTCGTATCAGCAGGACAAACTCGACCATCACTGCTTTCTTGGTGAGAATTGCCGTCTACTTGACGCCCAGATCCTGGCCGTCGGGAACTCTGCGTGGTAGTACCAGTTTGACGTCGATTACTTACGAAGACCGGTACTGGTGCAGGCATTCCGGGGCAATGCAACGACAGTTCTCTTGCAGCATGTATCACGTGAGTACAGATGCCGAATTTCATGTTGAATCTACACGAACAACTTCGTAGGCGTGCGTCCACGAGCCAACCGTCCCGGGGCATGTCTTGCCACTGCATTTTCAGCACGTGAATAGACTTGTCTGGCATCTGTGACTTCTTCAGGTCTTCTACGTAAAAGTCGTCGGCCTGTTCACTTTCTTTATCTGCACACGACGTGCGTGGTCGGTGACGAACTTGTACCAGATGCACGGGAAGATCTCCAGCAGAGGGAAGCGGAGCGGCCCGTAGCTCTTTTCGGCGAACAGTCAAGTTGTAGAGTGCCTTTAAGCGCTCCAACACTGAGTGAGTGCTGCTAAATGTTTTGTGCATGTGAACGAACACAAGCCGCGACCTGTCCAACCGATCAACCATTTCCGTTGGCGTTGCGCGTTTCGACTTGTTCACCAGCTTGAGCGTCTTGTGATATTGTTCAAGCGGATTGTTCGTGGTAGCACACCCTGGTGGGGTGTGATACGCTTACCAGCAAGAGAATCGAGGATGGAGGATCCACTGCGCGATGATATAGTCGGCTACGACCTTGAAGGGAGGACAAGAATCGGACGCAGACGCCCATGCAGCGAGCACCCTCGATCGTCTTAGCAGGAATTCTTCCTCTGTGCGAGAGTAGTGGAGATTGTTCAAATCTCGCCAAATCATAGCAATAGTCACAGGGGCTAAAGCTGCTTTTTCAATGCGGGCTTTCACGTTTTGACATACGTGGAACCAGCACATCAGAATCTTCGAGTGGGGCAGCTGAGCAACACACGCATTGAATTGCGCATTATCTGCGTCGGTCATGATGAACTGGGGCGAGAACTGAACCACGAATGTTTCCCAAAGGACGCGTTTCAAAAATGCGCAGCACCACTCAATATCAGTACCGGTTCGCTGGGAAGTACAAAAGTACACAATAGGAAAAAATTTCCCACAGGAATCGGATATCCCGAACACGAAAACAGGATACTTCATTTTTACGATACTGTGTGTGCTGTCGACGTGAAAAAGGGTGGTGCACCGAGGGTCACGCTGAATGTTGACGTATTGATCCAACAGTGTGAAACAGGTGAGGCCGATTCGAAAGGGGGAAGTCGGTGTCCCGGTACCGAGCTTGGGGGTCAAAGTCGCACCCTCGCGTGTAGTATCACACATAATCAGAAGTTCATCTGTAGTTTCCGCACTATTTGCCACAACACCGTACATACGAGCCATACAGAGATCAATTACTGGTTGCATAACGTCTTTTTTGTTGAGCTGCGCCACTTCTTCACGAAATTTTGCACTTGAGGCACCGTTGGCTTAGGCCCTTGCATGACGCCGGTGTCAACCTTTTTCGCCAGCAACCCGAACAAGTCAACTGGTGAGTTGGACGCATCTTCTTCGAGCCGTTCTGCTAGCCACTTTTCATCGCATCCGTGAGTCGAACCGGCTTGGGCGAGGAGATGTCTGGGTTCGCCATCGTGCGCTCGCCATCCACTGCGATGGTGGCAAGGCCACTGAGCTCACATATTAGTAGTCGATAGATGCACTTGCATACCACACCACTGTCTTGACAGCGCGCCGACGTGCATCTGGTGAGTATCCTGCGCACCTTGTGCTTCACGAGGAGTTTTTCAGCGTCGTCGTGGTCATTGTGGTTCAGCCGACAACGGACAGGATCATTGCGCTGACGACTATAAGTTGGGAGAGTATCTAGAAAATCGCCCATCGAGACGTCGGACCCAGTCTCATTGCTCCAAAGTACTCGCCATGGTCTTGGAGGCCTTGGGGGGCGTCTTGAGGTTGCTGCGCTTGCGTCCGTGGAGGTCATGTATGGGTGCTGGAGGCAAAGCTGCAGAACTCTGTGAAGTAGCTGGCACGAGCCACGCGGCTGGTGGTTTCAGTCTTGCTGAGTAGCATGAAAACTATTTTAGTAATTCGAGACTGCTATGGCCGTCTATAAACAGCGCTACTTGTGTGCGTTATTGTGTGTTCTGAGCGTACCATCAATACGTTCTAGCATCTGTGGTGATCCAGCCCAAATCTCTGGTGTTTTGATCCAAATCTGTGGTGCGTTGTGCCACCCAAATCTCTGGTGATGAAATCCTGTTTTTGTGGTGGTGAGTTCCAAATGGAACCCCCCCACCCGTTCTAGTGTTTTGCAAGCGAGCTACCTGCATCAAGGAAAAACCAGGATGCTTTGACGAGCGCCGGCCAGTTTAGCGCAGCGAAACATATTGGGGTTTGTATGACGAAGCATCCCCCTTGGCCCTTGTGGTGAAAAAAGTACGCAATTTGGTGAAGAGCGTACAGATTTTGGCTTTTCCTGTAACACATTGCGCGTTTTCTGCAATGGGGGATGCTTCGTCATACAAACCCCAATATGTTTCGCTGCGCTAAACTGGCCGGTCAAAGCATCCTGGGTTTTCCTTGATGCAGGTTGCTCGCTTGCAAAACACTAGAACCACGACAAGATCACCATGTTGTAGGCGAGTTTCTGTAGATTTGCGGCATATTTTTAAATTTCTGAGAGGATGTCTAGAAAAAAAAGCTATGACCATTTTCCGCGGAAAAAGTAAAACATTGCGGTAAACTGGTCGAGCACCTTACTGTATAAATACTAGCAAAGCTTGGAACTTGCTACCGATCGGTTAAAAAACAAACAGATGTTAAAGGGCAACTTCGAGTCTTCTGTAGCAATCTATGCATGATGTGTGCTGTGTTGCGCGGTCAACCGTGCAGTGACTGCAAATCACCGGTAATGATGGGTTATCAACCCAGCCACAGACTGAGTCCGGGACCCGGTCTCTACGTTGATTGGACCCAGCTGAGGACCTGGGGGTAATAACAGCCAGTTGTATTTTAGCCAATCACATGCATCTGGAATGAACAGAGGTCAAAGCCGCATATCCGCTCTGCAGCACAAGCACCAAGCTCCGATGAGATGCCATAGAGGCTTCTGGGCTTATGCCGGTGAAGCCGGCGCTGAGATCTCTGGCAGCGCTGCCCGATTTGCGCGGAAGCAAGCCGCCCAAGATGCACCTGGAGTGAACAAAGCCGCACAAGACTGGTTGCGAACTCGCGTAGGAAGGACTTTGCGCTCGCTGTGGCTGGCGGAAGAACTGCCGCGTCGACAGACGTACATTCTCAACAACGCTGACGACACCTTCCCGCTGGAAGACTACCCAAAAGGCATCGTGGATGGCCGCAAGGACCGTCGGCGATACCCTCGGATGGTGCGTCCAGACGTATCGACGCCGGAGGTTGTGCATGAAGCTTCGGCGGCAGTGCAGGCCGGCAATAGCTCCAACGACCAGGACAGTACTGTGGATAAAGCGCTGGATACGTACCGAGGGGAGCTGGTGCGTGCCGCACTCGCCGCCGAGGTTACCGCACTCGCTCGAGCGATTAGAGGGGGCGCGATTGAAGACGTTGTGAGCCGGGCAGCGGCTATAGTGGAATGCATGGGAGCGCAGATCGCGTCAGAGCTGTCTCTATCAGCCCGGCAGCGGGTCGTCGGTATCTCTAGTGATGTGGCTGCTCATGTGCGGGCTGCTACGACACAGATGCAAATGTACACCGATGCTGAGGTGAGCGCAGCCATTGCGGACAGCGTGACGAGGGTTCGTAGCGCCGATCAAGCGCTCTGCAGTTACGTTCGTAACGCCATGCACTCAGACCCCAAATTGAAGACTACGTATCAAGAACGTGAGAAGTATCGTGCTGTCAGTACTGTTCACCTGAATCACTGTTACTGGCTGGCTACTGTACCCACATCGGCATCGGTTGAGTGTAGTGCGTGTAGCCAAGACGACGTACCTACATGTGGAGAGGCTACCGCAATCGAGGCAACTCCGCATACGGGCGATTTTGCACGGAAACGACTACGAGTTATTGAGCACGAACAAGACCTCGATACTACCGTCGGTCAAGTTCGAATTGTGAACAAATTAAGCGGAGCTTGTGGTACCCGATTGGTTAGTGGTGTTATTGGGGATGCGGCTAGTGAAGTTGGTACACGCATTATTGGTGAAGCCAATGTACATATGGCCAGTGCTGAGGAGGAGATGAGTAGCGGCGATGTGGACAATGAGTGCCATAACGAAGCAAGAGCTAGTGACGAAGTGAACAATGAGAACCATGATGACGCAAGTGCTAGTGGCAATGGGAGCAATGAACACGTGGATGAAAACTCGAGTGATAGAGAAGATGTGGGCAGTGATAGCGTGCATGACGAGGACGATAGCGATGATGCGAACGGAAAGAGTGCACATTACGAGGAGGGTTTCGAGGGTGACAAATACCAAAGCTCGGAATCAAAAAGCTCAGTCTGTTCCGACGGTAGTGTATACGAGGAAACGAGCGCGAAAGGACCAGCCTCCGCCCCCAGTGTACCCAACCGTCGCGTTTTGAGGCAGCGCAAGTCGCACGATGATGCGCTGTTCGTTTGGGTGGACTGCCAGGGTTCGGGCGACGCTAAAAGCTTCCGGTTTTACCGCGAGGACTTGGATAGCTTGCTGCCACTTTCTTTCATGACGTCGATGGCCATTGACTACTTTATTTATCGGGACATGGTCAAGCAAGATGGGTTGGTCTGTACGAGACCACACTCTACTTGTCGATGGAGGTGGCCCGATATACACTGAAACCGCAAAAAAACGCCGCTTGCTAAAAAATCTGATTGAGCAATTCGACTGGAAACGTTATCGCTACATGCTAGTTCCCGTATCCGGCCGCAAGCATTGGAGCCTCCTCGTAATTGAAAATCCGCTGCATTCGGTGCCGCCGAAGGTGTATCATATCAACTCGCTGCGAAGGGCTCATAGTTCCGCCTACGCCTTCGATGTCACCAAGTGGTTTCTGTCTAACCTTCACGAAAAGGAATTTGACGCATTTGAATGGAAGACTTTTGTCTTCAACACAAAGCCACAGCAATCAAACAGTGTGGATTGTGGACTATACCTGCTTCATTACATGGATACGTAGCGGCAGCCGAACCACAATCCATTGAGGACAAATTGGGTGAATGGATATCGACAGACTTTAACGCTACAAAAGCTGCTTCTTACCGCTCCAAGCTCCACAGCAGAGTCGCACGTGGGCCTCAACAGGGTAAGTAACATGTTTAAAAACAATATACGTAATTTGCATCAATCGAGACCTCGCATGTGATCCTCATCACAGCTCTTTTGCCTCAATAACTACCACCTCGCCTAAACGGCAGCTCAACCGCGAAGTCACACTTAGGTAGCTACACTGCGGCACCCACCTACCGCAAAGTCACACTTAGGTAGCTACCCTGCGGTACCTACACTGCGGCACCTACCGCGATGTCATACTGCGGTAGCTACCGCGATGTCACACTGCGGTAGCTACCGCGATGTCACACTGTGGTAGCTACCGCGATCTCACACTGCGGTAGCTACCGCGATGTTACACTGCGGTAGTTACACTGCGGCACCTACCGCAAAGTCACAATGTTGAGAGTTGTATTTACCGCTGTAATTTATCTGAAGCGCGCAGTTATCGCGTATGACCGCGGCTGTGCTTGATGTTAAACGTCCTGGTCTCGTACTCCGAGCTCATGTGCAATTGCAGCTACGTTTTGAGACACCCAATTGAGCGATTTTTTGCGAATACAGCGGACGGTGTCAACACGCTTAATCGCCTCTTCGACTGCCTGATACTTGTCGAACGCCTCGTGGTTGCAAACCCAGCTAGCGATGGTCTTTACAAGATCAATAATTTTTGGTCGTCGGTTGAAGAAGCGTCTCTCGTGATGGTCACACCACTTGGTACCGAGCTGTTGCTCCAGCGTTTCAACTGCATAACCGCCAGGGAGGCCACATGTCCATTCGGTCCATAACTCACGAACCGATTGAATGCCCCGACTGAGTCTGTAACTGGAAATCGCAGAGGGGTCGCTCGGTGTACTGCTACCTGTGCTGGCTCCGGAGGCGGCTTGGGTGGCGCTGGGGGTTGTCGATTGTAAGCCATTCACGATCTTAACTTCCACAAATGCTGATACATTCCTGAGTGGGGCAAGAACTTCCATGACATCTGCTACACGTTCACCAACCGCGTCCAGGCTATTTCGAATACCACTCAATGATGCTCTCATCTCCTGTCGAACACCATCGAGCGTCAACTTCAGCGCGGGCATGGCTTTCTCAAGCTGACGCTCGGTGGGGTCACTAACGTGGTTCATGGCATTCTTCATTTCCAGCTGAAATTGTTTAAAATCATCGCTCTTGAAGATCTCATTGTTCCAAATCTTATGTCCCGGCATTTGCTCGGACCAAATGGCAGCATCCTGCAGAATTACGGTGCGCAGATACTGAAGCAGCTCGAGAAAACCACCAGCCGCGATTGACTGTTCACATTTCACCTGAAGTCATCTTCGACTGCCACTCCTCCACCAACGGAAAAATACGTTTCTGAAGAGGTTGGGGAGGAGCAACGCAAGTACGCGCCAGAAAATAACTGCCTCTTCCTGGTTCAAAGCCCGCAAGCGTTCGCATTGCTTCTCGCGGGAGTGAGGTGAGGTAACATTTCTCCATCGCCTGAGTATTCCACCTCCCTAGGCGCCGTATCTGAGCTTCACTGGCACCCCCAAGGTCTGCCATTCGGGAGCCCGATCCTCTGCCTAGATGTGTTTTGGCCCTGCTGCGTAGACCGATGTGGTCGAGCGCGTCAACAATAGCCGCCCGATGAACCTTGTACGACATTGGCTTGGTTGGATCTTTCCCCGTCTTTAGCAGTTTTATAGGATACCATTATTCCGACTTCGTGGAATCAGGAAACGACTCTTTATCCACGTGTCATCGCCAAAACAGATAGAATCCGAGCAATCCATGACCACAAATCTCCACTTTCTTACTGCGCATACATGCACCCACTTCAATACGACCAACTTGGTTGGTTTTCCCTTGTGTCATGACCATCACCAGCGCCCGACAAACACTGTAGCCTTCATTTTCCAGTAGAATCGAGTGAAGATCAGCTAGCTCCATCAGCCGAGCAGACTCGCCACGCATTAGCGCATAGTGAGACAACAGGAACGCCAGCAAATTCCTCATGCTAGTTCCAGGGTCGTGCGACGAGGTCCAAAAGTAGCGAGCAATCTGTTGTAGCTGATCCGTTGTTGTGTAGCCATCCAGTAAAGTATCAGCTCCTCGATCTGCAAAGTTCTTACGCCGCAGCTGGTCCTCCTCGTACGTCGTAATTTTGAGAAGTGCTGTAACAGCGCCATCTCGAGGAGACGGGTTGCTGTTGATATTCAGTCGTTTCTGTTGCCGCCACAAGTCAACCATGGCAGCCACATAGCTGTTGACAGTCGATTTACCAACTTTTTCGCTTCTCCCTCCGTGACCCTTTCGTCGCTTTTCCCTCCCAATCACGCACTCCACAAGAAAAAGGTGAAGTTCTGGCCCTGTTACTGTGTACTGAGTGAGATCACTGAAAGCCGCGCCCTTGTCGTCACACCACCGCTTGAACTCGTCCTGCTTGCTTGTATATGCCCTCGAAGTGTTCTGAGGACGAATGTTAGAAGCTTTTTCGTAGGTGCGGCGCACAGACTCATCTAACGCTACACGCATGAGAGATTCCTCGGTCATGCTGCTCCTGTTTTCAGTGCTGCTGCATCTTGTTCTTCAGTGCTGGAAGTTCGCCCCCTCCCTCTCCATTTCAGCCAATGGGTGTGACGAGGACACCGGGGCGGCTTATTTGTACCGGTGGCTAGGGCAATAACAACGGGTATACGTGCCGGACCCCGGTTATGATAATGTATACTACAGGTGAAGAGACGGAAACTCATAAGTTTTGGAATTGTATTTTTTAGGTGCGTCAGGCCACTGTAGCCATTCCCTTGACAATGGCTGCAGTCGGTCGGTGGCATGTCAAACTTGCTGTCGGCTGCGAACTGCAGCTCCATCAGCAACAGCGGGGGAGCCGTATAACTACGCACGGCTGCCCCGATCTAATATGTGAAGCTACCTAATAGACGGCGGGGGACTTGGGGTCCTGCACCGAGAACTTGGCCGAGAGCATGGGCGCCGAGAGGCTGTCACCGTGGGTGGGCAGGCTCTGGCCGAGCAGGCGGTTCCAGTCATTGCGCGACTCGGCGTGGAAGTAGCCGTAGACGAAGTACGAGAGCGCGCCGACGGCCATCCAGGCGACGCTGAGACCCAGCGCTAGGTGGCCGATCTGCGCGATCATGTACCAGTCGGCAAGAATGCTGATCATCGGAATGAACGGCACCAGCGGAGCGGCGAACAGACCGGGCGAGTTGGCGGTCTGGGGGCACTTGATAAACAACACCACCGAGATACCCACAGTGATGACGAGGAAGACGATGGCGAGAACCAGGCACGCCGAGGACGAGTTGTTCTCGTATCCCTCCTGGTACAGGAAGGCCGTGCATCCAGACGTCACGAACATCGCAGCGACCAAAATCGGGGCCAGCTTGGGCGACTGCGGCTTCATGCGCGCCAGCGTCAGCGAAACGTTGGCAACGATGAATGACATCATGACACCGAAGTTCACGATGTCCCAGAGCGTGTCGAACGGCACCACAACGGCGATCACCGTGAAGAACAGGCCCGTGATGAGCGTGTTCTTGAACAGGTTGCCCTTGGAGTCCACCTCGGCGAAAACACGGGGGAGGAGTCCGTCGCAGGCAAGCACGTAATTGAGGCGCGGCTGGGCCAGGAAGCCGATGAGCGCCACAACCGGCATCGTCACCACCTCACCTGCACGCACAATGGTGCCAGCCCACTTCCAGCCGTGGCCCTCGAAGCCATCGCCAAAGCTGCCGGCATCGAGGTAGTTCACCATACCGGCCAGCACGAGAGAGCACAGCGTGCTGAGCACCATTGTTCCGACCACAACGGACATGACGGCAATGGGCATGATCTTCTTGGGGTTCTTGGTCTCTCCGGCGAGGCAGCAAACCTCATCGAAGCCCACGTAGCCGAAAAATGCCTGCGAAGCGCCGGTGATGATACCCTGGGTTCCAAACGACATATCACCATCCAGCTCAACGCGCGCAGGGACGAACGGTGACAGGTTGTTGGGGTTCATGGCAGCGAATCCTGCGATGATGATGAAGGCCACGACGCACATCTTGACAATGGTGACGATGTTCACGAAGGCTTTGCCGAATCGGACGCCCATCAGCAGCACCACCATGCTCAGGAATTGGATGAGACCGCCGCTCAGATTAGCGGACTGCAGGTTGAGCCAGTGGAAGCTCTTGTCCGGGTGCTCGATCAGCAGCCACTCCTCGACCTTGTCACCCCAGCTACGCGCGACACCCGCACCGGACACCGCGTACTCCAGCGTCAGCAACCACGCGGCGACGACGGCGGGAAGCTCTCCAATCGTGTGGTAGGCGTACGCGTACGTACTGCCCGAAGACGGTACACGCGTAGACAGCTCCATGTACGCTAGCGCATTGAGACAGCAAATAACGCCACCAACGAGCCAGCTCAACACCGCAGCGGGGCCAGCGGTCTCCGAGATGATCGATCCGGCGGTGGAGAAGATGCCGCTGCCGATGGTTCCTCCCACCCCGATACAGCAAAGGTCAAAGAGGTTAAGTGTACGGGGGATATCTTGCGATCGCTCTTCTGCGTCGATGACAGCAAGGGGCTTGGTGCGCCACAGCGCCGAGAAACCGGAGCGGCGAGTCTCGGCCATTGTCGATGGAGTGTTCTAGTCAACGGGAGCGGGGCGAGACGTCTGCGTTCTGCCACTTGCGCCGACAAAAGAAGAATGACCGGCCAACCCGATGACCTGAGCCGAGGTGGGGGTGGTGTGAGCTTCGGCGACATGGACCCGCTAGCGAAAGCACGGCACCACCCAATCCAGCCGCGGGCCGTGCACGTGTCACGCCCGGACTCGCCAAACCTTCACCGCTTTCCTCGTCTTTGGCCGTTTAGCAGTGCATAGCGTCGGGCAGCATTCCGGATGTTGCGCGGTCGCAGTCCCTATGCGTTGAAACGCGACCTGATGGATCTTGTGGGGATGTCGGCTGCATGAGGCACTGATTAAAGCAACATTGAAATGTTGGCGTTGCGTAACATTGAGCGCAACAATGGTGCCTCTGCCTAACATTGCACAATGTTACGGTATCTCTCGTAGCAGAATATTTGGTTTACCAATGTGACAATAGCGTCGCCACGACAGCTCGACAGCTCGACAGCACGCTGTATCACTCGGGGCGTGCGCCAACAGCTTCCGCCGCTAACGCGGCAAGCGCGTCATGGTGTACGCGCCGACACATGCAGCAGGAGAATGGACTCTACGGGATCTACGCGCAGCTCTACCGGGCGCCACGTGTTGTCTATTCCTAGTTGGCAGGACACTCTCGCGTTGGCTTTCGCCTGCGGACTTAGCAACGGCACTTCGGGGGGGCCCGCCCCTCTCTCGCTTCGCTCGGGGGGCGCCGCTGTGCGGCCTGCCCCACCCCTCGTGCCTTACGCTAAGTCCTCGGCTCGGCCAGGCGCGGTGTCTAGGAAAAAAAATATCGGGTTGCAGCGCTCGCCTTCGCTCGCTCGCGCAGACCCGCCCCCGCCTGATCGGCGGGTGTTGACGATCGGTGGACGCGCTCAGCGAGGCTCGCGCTCGCGTTCGCTCGCCCTCCCCTTTAACCTAACTGCGCTGTTGGCTAGAGGCGCATTAAAAGCGCTTAAGACTCCTTGGAAGATAGCGCATTCGATTGCATGCAACACGCATCGCGCCTAACGCAACGCAACGCACTGGGAAGGCGTTTGCTCCCGCATCCGTAGTACACACATGCATATAAGCACCGCAGTAGGCCAGCGCGCGGGCGCTTGCTTCCTACCCGGTAGATTCTGAAATGAGAACTGTTGTGAGCCAGTCGCTCCAAACATGAAATTTCACGTCTGGAAAATTTACATTGCGTCAATGTTAGCGATCACGCAACATTGAACCCCATCAATGTTATTGATCCCACACATTGAGGCTGATTTTCAATGTTGCTTTAATGACTCTCGCTGCATCATGCAGATGGGCTCCGAGTCTCGACAACGGAACGCATGGGGAAATGGCTGGAGCTGAGCCCTTCGTCGACGATGAGAAACCGCATACATGTACCGGTATTGCGCTTCCTGCAGTCGCGCGGGCGTTATCATCGTCTACCGTCGGGCATTCCGGTGTTTTGGCGAGGTGCGAAGTTGGAGACCGGCAGCACGTGGCAGAGATCCCGGCGCTTGGTCAACGACGACGGGAAGACTGTCAGAGGGAAACACGCCAAGTTCGACCTCGACGAAGGACGGACGGCTGCCACGTCCAGTGTCCGCGTCCGAAGCCGACTGTGCAAATCATTTTGAGCCGATCACGCCCGTCACACTCTTTGTCGGGTCGCGACCGAGGATACGTACATGTACAGCTTGTTGGAAGTTACAGTATTTCAGCGCCACCCAGAGCTTGCTGCTGGAGCAGTCCGTTCGTAGCGCAGGTTGGAGCGCTTGTTGCTGGAGAATCTTGGAGTGCTCGATCTTTCGTGTCGGGTGCAATTAATTTTGTAGCTGTGTGTCATTGGCTTAAAACAACTGTCCTTTAACACATCATATATGTTTTGTACACAACTATTATGCATTAACGAAGGTGGTGAATTTCTGCGAATGGCGCCCGAACTGAGACCAAAAAGCTCAGCCAGCTACGCGACCAGCATGAGCACGTCGGCCAAGGAGCTGCCCCGCGGCTGGAAGGAGGTGCAGAGCAAGAGCCGCCCCGGCAAGGTGTACTTCCTGCACGTCAAGAGCGGCGAGAAGACCTGGAAGCTCTCGCACGTGCACGCTAAGGAGCGCGAGTTCCGCCACCGAGCGGCGGACAAGAAAAAGCGCCGCTCTGCCGACGGCTCCTCCAGCTCGGAGACCGTTCAGGTGCGTTCTGATAGCTGCAGCGATCAGAAAACTGTGCGAGCATAGTGTAGCAATGGTGCTGACCTTATTGCGCGTGTTGGGTATTGGCTGCAGGCGCTGCATATCCTCGTGAAGCACTCTGGATCCAGAAGGCCGTCATCATGGCGACAGGAGACCATCACCCGCAGCAAGGCGGTGGCGGAGGCCAAGGCGGGAGGAATCCGCGAGAAGCTGCTAGCATGTGTGGAGGCCAACCCTGATGTACGTTAGCTGGGGGGATCGCAGTGGCAGATACATTTTGACTTACGTGTCTATCTCGACCTTCACAGAGATCATCCGAAGCTTTGCGCGAGCTTTTTGAAGAAATCGCCAAGGAGGAGAGCGACTGCAGCAGGTATGTTGGCAGGACCATGATCTTTTGTGTATGACGAGTTGAAAACTTATGCAATGTGTTGACGTGCCAATACAGTGCCAAGCGTGGAGGCGATCTGGGTCCGTTCACTCGTGGAAAGATGACCCCGTCGTTCGAGAAGGCAGCGTTCGCGCTCAAAGTGGGTGAAATGAGCGACTTGGTGGAGAGCGACAGCGGTATCCACGTCATTCTTCGCATCGCATGAGTATGCTGGCCAGACATCAGAGTGGCCAGGTTTGTGGATATGCGGAAGCACCTCCAGCCCAGCCAGGTTTTGTTGATATTTTCCAACATACAGACTGAAGAGAATCACACGTGAGTGTTCACGTTCATCGGCATTACGATCACCCTGCGCACTGTGGAACTGAACGCGACTTAATGGACGCTTTGGTGCATGTATGCAGTCTATGACATGGATATATTAGCTGAGGAAAGCTGGGTACAAAATCTAAAGCTCGAAAACCTTGGCGAAGACGTTGTCCTCTTCCTTGACTTCGCTGTCGTCGGCGTTGTCAACGCCGTTCGAGAAGAGAGCCTTGCAGGGCTGGAATGCGAGCGGCACCTTACCCTTCTCCTTACGCTTGAGCTGCTTGTCGAAAAGACTCTTGTACGTGATCTCCATGCTCTCGTCCACGTCCACGAACTGGTGACGCAGCTTCTCCTCGAACATCCGCGCCTTCACTGCAACGTCGGCGTTGTAGTGGTGCTTCATCGTGTACAGCTCCCACAACGAGCTCTGCCAGGCATTGCACTTGATCGGGTCAAGCTCGTCGTTCACGAACGGGTCATGGCCGTCCTTCAGCACCAGCTCCGTCTTCTCCTTGGAAAGCTTCTTGGCCGCAGCGTCAACAGCCGTGCCGCTCGCCAACTCTTCCCGGCGCTTGGCGGCCTTCTCGGCTGCGGTGAATGCGCCGGTACGGTGAATAAGCTGCAAGCACTCCTTGTGACGCAGAATCAAGTTGTACACCATCGGGATAATAAACAGGATAGCGCCCGGCTCCGCCGTGAGGGCACTGCGCGACAGCCGCTTGGCGAAAGCAGCCACCGTGTACGCCGGCAAGTGGGTCGACGAGAGGAAGAGGTTCAACAGGCCGAAGAAGCGGTCGCGCTGCTTGGCAGAGTACAGCGTCGGGTCGTCCAGTAGCGCATACAGCTTGTTGTAGAAGTCGGGCGAGTCGAAGTTGTAGTCCTTGATCAGGATGAACAGACTGTTCAGCGCCAGCAGACTCGTGACTCCACCAATGCTGTACGAGTCCGTGAGGAAGTCGGCGAGCAGCAGCGGGTTGGTCAGGTGCGGCATGATTTCGTCCGGCAGCTGCACCAGCACCTTCTTGTACGAGGTCTGCGGCAGCTTGTGGCGCAGCACAGCAATCCACGCCAAGCTGAAAGCGTGACGGTGCTGCTTCACGTTGCGCAGCCCACGAGTCTTCTTGGTCTTCTTCGCCTTGGCGTCGCCTGCCTTGCGCTTTGATCCAGCAGTGGCCAGCACCTCCTCCTCCTCTTCCGCGTCGCTCTCGTCATCACTGCTCACGATTTCCTGCTCCGGCAGACTGGCGTCCTTCGGCTCCACCAGGAACGACGTGATTTCCTTGTCGTCGTACGGCATCTGCACCATGTTCAGCATCCTCAGGGCGTTGCCCACCAGCTTCAAGTTCTCCTCCTCCGTCGTCTCCTCCTTCTCGTGCGCCTTGTCCAGAATCTGCGCCAGGTTCTTGAGCGTGTAGTACTGGACGTCCATGTAGGCGGCCACGTACTCGCCCTTGAAGACGCTGACCAGCTCGCCCTTGAGCTTGTCCGTGGTCGCCAGCTCCTGCACCACACGCGTGAACGTTTCATTGCCGAACAGAGGCCCGTTTCCGCCACGGATTTCGCCCTCGCGCGACACAAACTCCATCAGTGTGCGCAGCGCGCCCACGCGCAGGTTGGCGTCGGCCTCGGCGTCCCCGATCCACTGCAGCATCTCCTTGATGAAGCCCACGTAGACGTCCCAGAGCCAGCGGTGGAACTTGTCGATTGCCTGCGAGTCTCCGCCCTTGGCCTTCTTGGCTGCCTCCTGCGTCGTGGGCTTGAGCTGCAGGTCGCCCTTGTCCAGGAAGAAGAGCAGCAGGCGGCGCGTGCTCTGCATGGCCGCCTGGGCCACGGCCTTGTCCTCGCTCTGCAGCGCCTTCACCACCTTGGGCAGCTCATTGATCTGCTTGACATCCTCCTTGATCTTGGCCTCCAGCTGCTTGATCTCCGCCGCGCTCGCCATGGTCGTAGAGCTCTTCGGGACTGATGGAGTGGCGTTGCACCATGCATTGACTGGCACCAAGGTTGCCTCTCACTAGTCATACCATGCCATAAGATAGGTTTCCAATGTGCGCCTATGATTGGTCAAGCAACTGTTCTAATTTCCGCCAATTGAACGACGGGCTAAACGGCACCAATTGACGGCACGTCGTTACAGAAGAAGCCGTGCCTCGTCGGCGCTGTAGACGGCGTTCTCCATCGCTTTACGCTTCGCATCACGCTTTCAGGGCCTTTTTCATTATTTCAGCTGCCTACTGGGGTCGCTCTTCGACTGGAGTGAGCCATGGACGCCTCGGACGAGCGCGAGAACGACTATCTGCGCTTCCTGCGCGGCATGAGGCCGGACGACGCCAACATCCAAGCTTCCATGCGTGCGTAGCTTCGCTTTACTGCAATAGACACTCTACCGGTTGCATTGAACTGAGATCTGTGGCTTTGGTGTTGATATTTGCCAGCTGATCTGTCGACGGCTCAGTCGTCCGACTTGGACTTCCGCACGTCGTTCGTGGGGCCCGACGGATTGCCGGAGATCGACCATGACGGAGCTGAGTTTGCCAGGATGCTGCTGGCCCAAGCTGAACAGGAGCAGAAGGACACAGACACTGAGGCGGAGGAAGCTGTCGCAGCCGCTCAAGCTGAAGCGGAGGAGGCTGCCGCGGCGGTGAACGGAGTGCTGCAGTTGGCGACAGCGCGAGTGCGACCGGAGTTTCGTGTCACCCGACGAGTAGAGACGCCACCAGCACCTATTCGGTCGAACGACACGTTTGTGTTGTCCAAGAAAACCTGCAGATACTACAACAAAGAGCGCGAGAGATGCAAGCGCGCTGCCACGGGCCTGGATGGACGTTGCGCTATCCACAAACTGAGTCAATTCTGCAAGCACCCCAAGTGCAACAAGTTCAACCAGGGAAATGGATACTGCATCAAGCATGGCGGTGGCAAGAAATGCAAGCAAGCAGGATGCAACAAGCAGGTCCAAGGCTATGGATACTGCTCGGGACATGGTGGCAAGCCCTTGTGCCCCATTGAAGGATGCGAGAACAAGAGGATGGAAGGAGGGTAAGCCACTTGTGTGCATACTTGCTTGGGCCTTCCAATGCCTGGCAAAGCTAGATTGCTAACTCACTATGTGACGTGTGAGACAGGTATTGCAAGGCTCACGGTGGCGGTAGATTCTGTCAAGAGGAAGGCTGTAAGAGGCGTGACATTGGCGGCGGTCGCTGCATTTCGCACGGTGGTGGTAAAAAGTGCCAAGCGAAGGACTGCACGAAAGTGGATCGCGGTGGTGGGTTTTGCAAGGCCCATGGCGGCGGCAAGAAGTGCGAAGCTGACAACTGCAAGAACTGGGCTCTCGGCGGAGGCATTTGTCTGGAGCACAAGGGTCCTGGCAAACGCTGCAAGACGCTTGGATGCACGAAGTACGATCTTGGAGGCGGGCACTGCATTGCCCACGGTGGAGGACGGAAGTGCGTGGTTGAAGGCTGCGACAAAATCCGCCAAGTGAACAAGCGCTGCCGTGGTCACGGCGGCAAGGTCATGTGCAGTATTCCGAACTGCGACCGCGCGGCGCAGAACCGGAAACTCTGCAAAGCTCACGGCGGTGGCAAGCAGTGCCAACACGAAGGCTGCACCAACAAGCAAAAAGGCAAGGGACTGTGCATTCGCCACGGCGGTGGGACGAAGTGCAAGGAGGATGGTTGCAGCGCGATCGAGCGGGGCGGAGGCTACTGCAAGGGCCACGGCGGCGGCAAGAAGTGCTCGTACGCGTATTGCAAGAAGTGGGTCCTCGGCGGCGGCTTCTGCGACGACCACCTGGACATGGAGCTGTCCCACCAGCCCGAAGAGATGCCGCGCATGGCGGCCAATTCATATTTAACCAGCGAGTCCGTCGCGACAATCTAAGCTCAAACCCGAACGAAACACCTGATCGTAGTCACAACGTAGCCACAGTACACGTACGAGTTAGTCATGCCAAGCCTCAACACTTTCAATAATGTGTAGCCATGTGTCCAAAACTCAAATTTTAGCTCTTTTTGGCTCTTTTTTCAGTGCACGACCAGCGCCACGTACCGCGACATTCGCCAACGTCGCGATGCTCGTCCGCAGCTTGTTGCTAGCGCTGAGCTTGGGGCTCCTGGGCCCCATCGCCGCCGATGACTACCCGCCGTCTCCTCCCATCAACTACAGGACGTACGCCGAGATGGCCGCGTACCTCATGCAGCTCAACGCCTCGTTCCCAGACGTCGTGCAGGTGTCCATCGCCCAGGAAACATACGACTTGCCGTACCCCGAGGAGCTGCAGTGCGTCGTGGACGACGGCACGAAGGCCACGGAGCCGTGCAAGCAGTTCGTGGTGCACCTGACCAACCACTCGACGCTGGCGAACGACCCGCAGCGACCGGAAGTCTTCATCAGTGGAGCGCTGCACGGCAACGAACGCGTCGGCCCCAATGCGGCCATCGAACTCGTGGCACTGTTCGCACATGCGACGTCTAAATACGCAGAGGACGACAACTTGAAGCCCACGGTGGACACACAGCGCTGGCTGAGAGAATTGGTGAACACGAGGAACGTGCTGGTGACGCCCATGACGAATGCGTACGGCTACTCGCACAACCACCGGGAGGAGCTGACGGTGGACCCGAACCGAGACTACAACTACATGAGATCAGGCGCCGAGTGCATGCAGACCATGACGTCCCGCGTTGTGAACGAGATCTGGAGAGATCATATCTTCCAGTTGGCTGTAACTTTCCACGGCGGGACGCGAGCGGTGGCGTACGAGTGGGGATCCCCCGATCATTATCTGGATGGAGACGAGAAGAAGCCAAGTGAGAAGTCTCCGGATCACATGGCTCAGTTCCAGATTAGCCACACGCTGTCCAATTTTGCTGGCATCTTCCCTGATGGGAAGCTTTATCCGACGGGGACTATGAACGACGTTGTGTATGGCGTCACTGGTGGGATGGAGGACTGGGGCTACTCGGCATCGTGGGAAAACCACTTTTACAAGGCGAACTCGCAGCCGTTCCGACCGTGTAATCCTACTACGTTTGGTGGATACCCGGAAGAGAAGACTGTTTACAACAACATCACCCACCGCGCTTTCAACATGCTCGTGGAGACGTCTAACTTCAAGGAGCCGAGACCTGGTGACCTGGGAAACTTCCAAGAGCTATACAAAGCCAACGTCGACTTCTACAGGACGGACAGTGTCAAGAAAGAGTTCGTGGGTCATGTACCGCGAAATGTTCGTCTGGCACTCATGATGATCGAGATGGTCCAGCCTCTGGTGCGTTGGGTGGATGCAGCAGAGGCATCGAGTCCCCAAAACCAAGGCATGCTGAGCACCTTCCCGGCAGCAACTTTGTATATGACGAGCTCCGAAGTGGGCCAAGTCACTGAGATGGGCTGTGGTGCTCTGGCGTGGGAGCGCAACGAGGTCGCAACGTGCAATGTCTCGGACTGCGCTGTTACCGGCGCGGCGCACTCCAAACTGCAAGTTGCATGGGAAGTACTTGGCGCACTCACCATTGACAGCACACATGTTCAAGTGTCGTCCAGCCCGAAGTTCGAAGCTGAAAGCATTTTGGTGGAGACCGCAATCCAAAAGGGCACCACTCGCCGGTTCTACGAGTTTGCGTCGGATTCGTCTGAAGCTACGGCTGCCAACGTCGATACGATGGGGACGTCGCTGTTTGTAACGTGTCTCAGCCTTCAAAATGCCACCTCAGACAAGCTGTACGTTCGAGCTGTGGCAACTGTAGACCAGGTAAGCTACCCCATGATTCTCTTCTCAACGAGCCGCTTGCTAACGTAAAATGCTTGTATCATAGGACTGGAAAGAGCAAGGTACTGGGGGTGATTCTCCGTCACCGCAAGTTCCGCCACAGTCGCATCTGGTGAATGCTCGAACGAACCCCGATTGGAACTTCGAGTGGAATGGTCACCGAGTGAAGGGTACTCTTGATTGGACGTCACCGGTGCGTAAAATACGCTGGCAAAACTTGCTTCTGAATATGAAGTGCTGACATATATTGCAACCACAGATTATCACCGTCGATGTCGCGAACAAGCTGGCAGCTAGCCCCACCAAATCGCAAGAATCGGCAGCATCTGCGCAGAATGCGCCAAGTCAGGACGATAGCGAGGATAGCGTTGACGGCGCAGATCCACCGACAATCGGTGAAGAGCGTGCAAAGGATGCTTCTGCATCAGACGAAGACGAAAGTGATGATGAAAGTGACGACTCCAGCGACGACGACTCTAACACTGACACGACCTCGGCCTCCAAGCCTTCCACAACGAAGGCTACGGATAATGATGATTCCGAGTCCGAGTCCGACGACAGGGAGAGCGAAGACATTGAAGATGACAAGGAGACTACGCTGGACGACGAGATGAAGGCCTCCTCTGATGACCAGAGCACCACACCCCAGCCTTCTTCCAATGTTACGACTCAAGATGCCACCGCTCTGGCAGCGAATGGATCGGGCTTGGACGACAGCACTCCTTCCTCGCTGCTTCAGTTCGGGTACCTCATCATGAGCTCCTGCGCGATGATCATCGTGCTCACTCTGGCGTATCTCTACCGTCGCGTGTTCCGGCGTGCTCGGCAGCCGTACATGAACATCAGCAGCCTCGAGCAGCCAACGCGCGTCACAATCAACAACTTCGACGACGAGGACTACGACGTGGATGACAACGAAAGCGACGACGAAGACGTCAGCCAAGGCCCGCGCATCCCTCGCCACGCCCAGTCGTCCAGAAGCGTCATGTAGATGCCATCCCAAAAACTGCAACTCGCATCGCGTCACACGTCACAGATTTCGTTAATCTCAACTTTATGTTCTCTACACAAATCAATTCTCCACTCGAAAGACCACTTGGGCCGGATAAGCATGGAGAACTTGCCTCAATGCATGGTCACCGTGCGTTTCCACCAGGTACTGTCCACTGTTGCAACCACTATGTGCACCTACACATGCATCTCTTCTGCCTCCTCCCAAATTTCCAGACACCAACTCTATCTAGGAGCGTCAAAACGACAATATTCCCGCACTTGCTAACGTTATTAATACGTTCTCCTGTTCAAACCAAGGCGCTGCATGACGGACTATTCAAGGAGGAAGATGTGATTGCATTGGAGACTAACCGGCGTCTCAGTGGCAAGTACCGCGGCCTGCGTGCCTGTGAGGGACGGTTCGACGCCATGCTTGAGAGGGGTAAGGCTGAAGAAGAAGGTGCTGACCCAGCCACGTTACCAGCCTCGGAGGTGCTTTATGCCGAGTACATCACCTGTGCCAGCGGCGCGCTGTGCGAGAAGTCGATGCTGAGGTGGACGAGCTGTCTCGAGTCAGTGCAGGCTGAGAAGAAGAGTTACCGAGAGTGTGACCACGTCAAGAAGCTGCTGGAGCGCTGTATGCGCAGCACGACCGAGGACCTCCTGAAGGCCGCACAGCCCAAGGTCTTCCGACCGAGCGCCGCTCCGTAGACGCCAAGACTGGAGCCTCATACTTCAGAAGAACACACACACATGTTCGCTTTTGATTTTTGTATCTGTTTCTGGTTTAAGGCCACGCGATGGGGACAAGCAACGCGCAATTCCGAGCCAAACTAACCTTCGCGCCTACGTGTTGATAGGGAAAACCTGACAGGGGGAGCAGGAGGCTACGCGCCGGCGCGACAACTCAACTCTTCGGCCAGATCCTGCTTGTCCTTGGCGGGGAATTTCTAAACAATCTGGTACGAGTCCGTGGAAAGCAGCTTCTCGAACCCAAACGCAATCGGCGAGCCGTCCTCGATCTTCTGAACAGCCTCCACCTGCACGTCGCTATACACGCTGCGCGAAAAGAACGAGACGGAGATGGGGAAGAACGCATCCATGTCGCTGCCGCGAACCGAAAACTCCAACGTGCCCGAGTTGTTCCTGGACAAGCCGAAACAAAACGTTAGTTGCATGAATATACAACATCACAACACGATGATAAGGTACGTACGCAGAGCTGATCTGGTCCTGATGCCAAAGGAGCGTGCCTTCGGCCGAGTTGTGCTGGTACTGTCCGTCCACGTTGGCCACGCTTGGTGCGTCGTGGCCGCCGAGCGGGATTACGACGTTCACGTTGTCCAGCACCATGTCGCGGTCCAACGAATACTCGACGCTCACGTTCATCTTTCCGTTGCCTTCCTCCTCGGGCCAGCACGTGATGTTCAGCGGCAGCATCGACTCGTCCTGTGTCTTCAAGCTCCATCGCAAGAATGCCACACGGGAAGTCGGGAACGGCTTCGTAGGATCCCGCAGGGCAAGTACTGATTCGCTGTCATAAAGCCTCTTGTCCACCTTGGGGTGCGTCTGGAATGAGATGCCATCCACGCCTCCAGTACGCAGCTTCAGGCGGCAGCAGCCGGCGCTCGGGTCGTTCACCGACACGTACATGCTGCCCTTGACCTCGAGCTGCTCTAGTGCACCGTCGCGGGTAAGCACGACCGTCATCTTCTCCTCCACCACCGCGCCGATCGGGTCGTGGCTGACCGCAGCAGCCACCTCGGGCTTCTGCACCGTCTCGACTGCTGCGCTCATAGGCGGGATCTCCTTCAATCCGTCCTCCGCCGCCATGGCGTCCATGAACGACTTGCCGCCGCTGCCGAGGCCCATGCCCTTGCCACTGCTGGAGCTGCCCAGCTTCATACCAGCAGCCTTCGACACCACCGGCTCTGGACGGCTGTTGTATGAGGTCGGCGACGTCGCGGCCGGCGAGCTGGGGCTGTTCATGAAGCTGTCACTGCTGCCGCCGCTGCGCGGAGACTTAAACGCGTTGCTAAAGGAGCTGCCGAACGAGTTCTGCGATCCGAATCCGCTGCCACCCATGCCCGCACGCTCCAGCCGCGCGCGCTCGCGCTGCTCCTCCTTAATGCGCGCCGTGTGGCGCTTCATGTCGTCCTTGGCGGCCGCGCGCTTGCTCTCGAGAATCATGTTGTGCAGCTTCTCCTCGTGGCTCTCCATCTCCATGTTGACGCGGATCTGCGAGACGTTGATGTTCTCCGAGTGGCCCCCGGCCGTGATGAGCTCGTCGAAGCCGAAGACCAGCTCGAACTGCTTGTCGCGGATGGACGCCTCGCTCAGCGGCGCGCAGATGTCGGGCACGAGCTTGGCCAGCACCTGGATGGTGTGCAGGTCCTCCACGATGTTGCTCGTCTTGTTGGTGATGATGAGCACGAAGAAGCTTTCGAGCGGCTGGTACACGTAGCGCACGCTCTCCGTGTCAATGAACGTGTGCTCGCGCGAGCCGCTGGACAGCAGCTTGGGAAACGCGGCTAGCAGACCCTGCTCAAGGAATAGGCAATAGAACCCATTAACCACCCGAATAATGCAATTAACCCAGCGTTTCCACCCACCTCGAGGCGGATCCGGGTGATCTCCACGAACTGGCGCGCCACGAGCACTGCGCGCACAATACAGAGACGCCGTCAGTATATGGAACAGTCTAGCAGACACTGTCAGACGGTCGCAGTAGCCGCACCTTTGCCATTTCGGGTCAACAAGGCGGCCGAGAGCACCACCTACGTCAACACACAGCGACGTCCCCAGGGAGAGTTAGCGCGCGGGGCCAATGGGTACAGAGAGAGAAGACACATAAGTGTGTTGGAGAGGTGGCAACATGGCTGGAAGGCTGCGTGGGAGGTGGATACACAGCTTCCAGGCAAGCGCACGACACTCACCATTTTGCACGAGGAATCCTTTCCTTATCTTACAACAACGCGGCCCCCTCTATACGTGGAGCTTCGAGGGGGGCAGTCACTATTTTGACCAATGAGGTGATGGATGGAACTCGATTGGGGGAAATGATGTTTCGGCCAATGGCAGAGCAGGATAAAGTTGAAGTGGCTCCCTATCTGATTTGCATATACTTCTCGTTGTACTTCTCGTTTATTCACCTAGCTCCAAAGACCTAACAGTTTAGCCTGACTTTGGAATTCCTCGATCGAAGTCGCCGGCGGAAGTGCGTGGATCGCTTTGGGCTGTGCAGCTAGCCATTCCGAGTCTGGGTCAAAAGGAGGAGAATCTTTCTCCTTTTTTCGTCGATTCAAAGCGGCCTTCTTCTTCTGCTGTGTAGCATTGAGCGAGGTGGAATGGTGCTTTGCATCGTCATGCCGGTGCTTGTAGTCGTGAGCCCGAGGTGGTGCAGCGCCGTACAGTCCCGCCGCTGATACAGCAGCCAGCAGTGCGGCTTGGCTGTTAATGAGGCTCTCGGTGGCGCCAAACGATGGAGGAAGCGACGACGTTGACGAGGAAGTCGCGAGACTCGACAGCTGAGCTGGAAGTTTGGATGCAGCTATCGACGGTGGCGCCTTCCGCTCACTTGGCGTGTGGTCGATACTTCTGACCGATTCCTGGGCGTCATGATGCGGATGTTCCGGCGTAGTCTTCACCAAACAGGGCATGGACTGAGACCCGAGCATCGCGAGCTTCTGGATCTCTCCATCTTTTCGCAGCTTCCGAGTCGCCGCGTCTTTAAGCTTCCGTGCTGCATGAACAGCGTGAGTCTTACGCACTACCACGCGAGACAGCGGCGACAGCGTGTAGTTGGGCGTCATGAAAGCCCCCGACGCACCCAGACGCTTCCCGGGGCCGCCATGCAACTGCTCTGGAGATCGCACTCCGTCCATTTGGTTATGGCTTCCCTTTGTGTCGTCTTGAGGCTCACGCTCTTGGTTTCCCTCGTGTTCTACCGCCCGAGCATCAGCCCAAGTGTCTTCTTCTTCGCTCTCTCGCTCCTCCGTCTCCGTCATGACCGCGAGACTTTCTTCAGGATCCAATTTACCAAAGAACCGCGTCTCCATATACTCGCGCGCGCCTTCATCACGTTGTTGACCCACTGTCGTCTCGTTCTTCCTCACCACAACTTCATTATTGTCCCCACTGGTAGAACAGTTCCCCTTGGTCTCAGAAGACCTCGTCGAAGTGCCAAGCAGGTCAGCCGCGATGGTGGGTAAGTGAGGAGGCGGTGGCGTGCTCGCTGCAAGTTCAGCCTCGAACTTTTGTTCATTCAGGGACGAATCCTGCGAGATCTCGATGGTGTAATTCGGTAGAACAGCGAACTGTTTGTGCCTTTCCCCGGACACGAGCGGTGGGCGGATGAGCCCCGTCGGTAGCTGTATACTACCCCGCAGAGACGCCGGAGTGGAGGCGGACAACCCCCCGTTTGAAGCAAAGTCCAGGGATAAATGCAACAACGCAGAGACCGCACCCGATTCGACCTTAGGAGAAGGACCTGAGAGATTCGACAGTGCCAGAGTGCAGTGCTCGCGGATTGCTTCGTTCTCCAGTTTGGCGAGCTGGATGAGCGCCGGCATGGCCCCTTCGTCCACCATTTTGGCCGAGTTTTTCTCCTCCGGGACGATGGTGAGGTTGCACAGAGCTCCAGCGCAGCATTGGAGCGTGTTCAACGAAGAGAGTCTGGCCGCACGATACGATTCGTTGACCAACATAGGGGTGACGCCCAACTCGACTAACTGCAGTCGATACTCGGGCACCGACGACAGCGCCCACAAGCTGGAAGCACAACGCCAACGTGTCTCCGGTAGCTGTTCGTCACTCATAAGTGACTCGATGGCTCTGAGAACGCTGCTGTCCACGAGGAAGGGAGAGGGCCTCGGAGTCGGACCTGGCGATCGTCCCTTACCGGGTGTATGAATGTCTGCTGAGTGCAGTGGCTCTCTTGCAGGCGCAAACACTATGGTGCACAGCGCGTCTGCGCAGTCTAGACTTGAGTTAACGTCTTGCTTGGCTGCAACGTGACGGACGAGGTTGCAGAACAGCTCGAGAATTGGACCAGGTTGTTCACTCATCGCTGAAGCGAACCCGGGAATGTGACTGAGCTGTCGGAACAGGATGCACACCAGCGCGACAAACTCTTCATCGGTTGAGAGGTGAGATTCGTCGCTGCTGGCGGGAGTTGCCGTTAGAATCCCGTTCAAATGCACCACAACGTTCTCCCTCAGCATGACTTCCAGCAGCTCTGCGTTGTGCGTCAAGCAGCAGAGCGTTAGGACGCAGGTCTTGATGGCTTGAGAGGAATACGTTAACAGATCGTCCTTGTCCTCACTCGCATTCCCACCACTTCTGCTGACATGAATTTGCAGCATTTGCGTTAATGCACACGGGATCTCTGCGCTCTGCAAGAACCGCCGCGTATCTTCGTGCCACCCGAGCCAACACAACGCCGCAGCAGCGTACACAGCGCACTCGGATGCATCACAGTCGTCTTTAGCAGTGTGCAGATCCAGGAATTTCAATAAAGTTGCCAAATTCGCCGACGACGCCACCGCCATGCGGCTATCCTCATTTTTTGCGAGCGTGAAGAACACCAGTGCGAGTGTCTTCTCCGCGCAGTGGCTACTGCAGTGGTTGTGGGCGTGACTGTGCTCGTGGACTTCCGCGTAATGGTCTTCGTACATTGAAATCCGGTGAAGCGCGTCCAAAATTCCTGTTTGGACACTTAGCACTCGTGAATTTTCGTAATACACGAGTTCACTCAGCAACGTCTCGTGTAGCGATGCCAGCCGCCTCTCGTCGGCATCCGAACGGGGCAGCGCTGGATCGTACGCCATTAACTGGAAGAGCGCATGGAGAGATGAACGCTCAGTGCAAAGCGCATTCCTTCCCACCGGGTGAGCCAGCAACTTCCCAAAGATAATGGTGACGAGAGTTGCGACTTGCTTCGAGGCCAAGCCAGCGTAAACGGACAAGATCTTGACCAGCCCCTCCTTGACCATGTTCTTCATCGTCTCCGCATTCAACAGGTTCAACAAGGCCCGGATACACGTCTCTTTCGTCGAGACGCTGACAGCTCGAACCATACTGATCATCATCAACACCCCCACTGCACCTTCGCCAACGAGCACGGCTTCATTGCCGCGAATGCACGATAAGTTGCAGAGCACCTTGGCACAGTCGCGTTGGCTGTCTTCGCTGTACGAGTTGCTGAGCACCGCTACAATCGCCACAATACCTGCGGACGCCAAAGTTCCCCGAATTTCGGGTTCTACGGATAAATTTGCGAGTGTGATAGCACAGCAGCGTTGGATGGTGGCGTCCTCTTTGATCTTGGCTAGTGTCGCCAGCACGGAGATGACGCCCATGCGTACGAGGGCAATGCAACAGCTCGGATGACAGGATACGCTGGCGAGCACGTGGCAACAGGAAGCTTTGCTCACCTGGTCGTGCGACTCCACACAAGTCGCTAGCACCATCTCGATCGCGCCCACTTCGACCATAATGAGCGAACACTGCTCGTCCCGGCACAGCAGACTCAAGCACGAGCAACAGAAGCGCTCGATTGCAACATTGGAGTGCTCCAGGGTCAAAATCCGCGTCACGCATTGCACCACCGCCGCATTACAGACATGAGCTGCTGTATGAGAATCCGCCGCAAGGCTGGCAAACGCTGCAGTGCATCGCGCGCGGATCTCGCTCAACAGACCAGCAGATTCCGAGCAAATGGAGGGCGACTCAGCATCTAGCTCATCAATACTGGAGAGAAAGAGGAGCGCAGGGACCACCCCCGCCTCCGTCACTGCAGCTCGAGTAGCCGCTTTCTCGCAGAGTCCATGAAGGGCCTTCGAGAACAGGTTTCTTCTCTCGAAGGACTGCGCCGGTGCCATGCTGAGTTGGATCAGAGAGGTGATCGCCCCGGCAGTGACAATGTCCGCCGCAGCCTTCTGCACACTGAGAAGATTGCAGAGCGCCAGCGTGCACATTTGCTTGGCGTCGTCTCCAGTAGCGCGTCGGGATAAAGACGACAGAGTATTCACTGCATCGCGCTCGACCAGTTTGACACGGGAGTCTTCACAGCACGACACGTTGAAGAGTGTCCGAGCACAAACCTGGAGCAGATCCTCCTCCTTGCTTTCGGGATTTCCTTCAAAGCTGAAGTCCTGGTTCACATCGCGCTCTTTGTCGTCATCACTGTGCACTCGCCCACACAATTCGTTGACAAGCGGCAGCAGACCTTCCGATACCATCCGAATCGCGTTGCCGGGGTCTTTACTGAGATTCCAGATAGTAATTCCGATCAAACACTTGGTAATGATGGCGCTGGACGCACCTGATAACGCCACTAAGGTGCCCATGCAGCCTTTGGCGACCATCTCGTTCCGGCAGGCTGGGAGTCTCGATAGGTTGAGCAAAATGTGCGCTAAAAGCTCTTGAATCAACGGGATATTCGGGTGGAGCAGTGACGTGATGGCGCTGACGATGCCCTCTTCCATGAGACGCAGTCGAATGCGCTTGAGATTGGACAGATTGCACAACGCCTTCGCAGTGATGTCGTCGTATTCCTCCTCCGTTTTACCAGCAAAGCCGCTCATGTTAATACCCCCATTTCGTGTCGACGTGAGTGCGATGAAGGCTTTGAGCACGCTCTCGATCTTGTGGTACGACTGCGAGACGCACGTGAGGTTGAAGAGTGCACAGCGGCAGATGTGAGAGACCTTCTCGTGTTCGTTGATGAGCGTCGAGAGCGCACTCACAGCCCCGTCCTCCACCAAGAGCCCCTCCTCGCCTTGCAACGAGCACAAGTTGCACAGTGTGATGGCACACGCCGTTCGAATGGTCTTGTCTTCCGTGTCGTTCACAATCTCCGCTACCGTCTTGACTGCGCCTTGCTGCACGATCACTCGGCGCAGCTCGCAGAGATGCGATAGGTTCATGAACGTCGTGACGCAGTTGAGTCGCGTCGTCTTGTCTCCGTCTTTGCAGAGTCGAATGAGAGCCTCCACGACGTTCTCCTCTACCATGAGCCGAGCATTCTCCGGGTTAAAGCTCCAGTTGCTGAGCGTTAGCGAACAGCGTTGCTGCTGCCTGCGCTGCACACTAGTGAGGGTGGATCCAGGCTCGCCCTCTTCTTCGCTCGGACTGGCAAGTATTACCGTGGAGGCGCTACGACGCGGTCCACCTTGCTTGCCACTTCCCCCCGCTACAGCGAAGGCATCGGACACGCCGTCTTTCAGTACGTTGCGCCCCTCGGTCCGCGCGACTTCACCGGAGAAGCTGAAGTCGAGCTTCTTGCCGCCGCTGGAGGCCATGGCCTGGAAGCTCCGCTTCATGCGGGACATGTAGAGCATGCCGTCGATATAGTCGCCGCGGGTACTGAACATGTCACCGACGTAAGGTTTCAGAGTCTGCGAGGAGTACTCAGTGCCTGCACGCTTCCGTCCGTTCTTCCGCAGTATTTGAGCCGTCTTGGCCATGGCCGGGAACGCTGCTGCTGCCGACTGAGAGACCGGTCCTGGAACTGGGGACGTCTGCATGATGGAGTTGACGCGGATGGACGAGTTCCTGTTCGTCTGAATCCGAGCAACAGTGGCCACATTGGTGCTGGTGGTTGTCTGGATGGGGGTGTCGATGGTGAACTGTAGTTGAGTTGGCTGAGGGATGAACTGACGGACTGCACGGTCAGCGTACTCCATCGCAAACTCGTTGTTGCCACTGAAGTGTGTGGCGATGGTCTTGGTGGGGGTTGGTGCGACGCTGGTTTCGAGTAGCAGTCGGAATACTCGATCTCGGTCCCGCAAGTAAGTGCTAGATAGTGCTGTGAACTTCTTTTTCATCATAGTGGAGGGCTTCGGACTGGCAGCAACAACGGGGGCTTTGGCGCGGCTGACTCCATTGGGAACTCCTACGCTGTCGCTCTCGGGCATACTTGCACGGCGCTCCCCATTCGTAGGCCCAACACTCACCACATTCAGTTCCGCTGCAACGCGAGCCTTTTCACGATTCCAGAGCGCTGCCAGGTCCATGGAGGGCTCGTGCAGCCCTTGATCGAACACAAAGCAGCTTCGGACAGATTGCAGACGGTCACTACAGAGCAATTTTAGATATTGCATGGGGTAACCGTTCTGGTAGCACATTGCTACAGTGTACTAGAGCTCGCGTTGATAAGTACAAGGACGTAATGCAGAAATCTACTTCAAACTAAAACTTATCATACTGGCTTGAGTGGTGGGGAGTGTTCAGTGAGCTAGGTATTTATTTGGTGGCGGCTAGCATCGGGGATGCTATAACGAACCATGGCAAGAGTCCAATCCTCAGATGTCACCGGCACAACTCGGTTCAACAACCGCTCAGTCAGATCAAAAAGTGAATGCGTTTGTGGTTTCCCACGAGGGGCTAGCAGGTCGTGTTGTCCTTGTCTCCTATTTTTACGGACAAGGCACCATCTATTCGCGTTCGTGAGCCTGGAGCACGGGTTTGGTCCGTCGCACACTATACAAATGGTCTCCACCTAAGGCACGTGCACCAGTTGCCTCCTCCATTATATCGGAATGGGTGAACGGGCCTCCTCCCCCGCGGTGGCGCCGCCATCGAGAATGCTATCAACTGGAACTATTCGAGAGGCCAGTAATTCATTCGAGTCCGCTACGAACAACAGCAGCAGCTGCACGGCGCTACCGGTTCCAGCCCACCGCCAATCGTCCACAAGGTCGATGCTGCTCAGCTCCTCGACGCCGATCCCTCCTCAGTCTCGCTCGGGTGGCCGTATCACTCCACCCGTGAGGGTTGAGATGAGCATCACGGAGCAAATTGCGAGGCAAACGCGCAAGTCCACGGTGCTCGATCCGAAGAACGCACTTCTGATCATGGCCATCCCAGACTACGACGACTACAAGATCATGCAACCGTACAGCTGCAGGTCCCTCTCCAACAAGAGCAAGTTCGTGGGTGGCCGAGACTTTATCACACGCCACAACCCGCAAGAGGTCAACGAGTTCAAGAAGCAGTACTCGCGCGATGTCGGCAACCTGAATCGACATCGGTCCATCCTGGCACCGCCGACCTCCAATCTCTCGACCACCGGCCTGTTTTCCTCTTCATCCGGGTCCATTGGTCCCCAGGGCTCGCCTTCTAGGAGCGGTAGCAGCAACAACAATCTACTGGTGAAGGACGGTGGACTATGGCGGAAGACGTTCACGTCCACTATGAAAGCCTGTTGGGTGCTCACGGACATGGGCATCCAGGCGCTTATCGGACCAGAATACAGACTAACCACGAGGACCCCAGTTCTACCTGCACTACCGTCTCCACGACCTCAGAGACCGCCGATCCTTCCTCTGTCATGCCGGTCACCTGCTACGTCGTTGAGACCCGAGACGCCATCTTCCTTGTCGGCCTTTTCAGCGCGCGAGTCAGCTCGGAAGGGGATTGGAGTGGACTTGGCGGACGAGAAGACGCTGGCAGCACTCTCGCGACTTGCAGCGAGCACTCCGAAGCCTCGCACCCCCCCCTGCTCACCTTTGAAAAGAGCCTCGAGTTTGTCGACTAAGTCGAACAGTGAGAGTGCCTCCACTCCATCAACCTGTACGGATGGGGCAGAGCTGCTCTCCCTTGCTCCCTACGCGGGCATTTCATGGGAGCGGAAGGATGAATGTGATCGGAACCAAAGCCCAGCAGCATCTCTTGAGTCAAACCCTGCAACGCAGCAGAAGAATGTCGGGGCTTCAATGTTCTCCCCTACCGAGCAACGCCTTCCCGCTGTGTCATCCATAACGCAGCATTTCGCCATGGAGGTGTCACCTCCGATGCTGGCATTGGACACTCTTCAGACTGGGCAAGTGTACCTGTTCCCGGTGCGAGTGCGGAACGTGGGCTCTCGACAGGAGCGCTTCCGTGTGAACCGAGTGACTGCCACTTGTGCCGGTTTCCAAGCTGGCATAGCTGAAGCCAGCTACCAGCGCGAATCTGCACGTCTAGCTCCGGGCTTGGCTGCGATCGTCACTGTTGCGCTCAGCTTCCACCACCCTGGTCGAGCGGCGGGCTCTCTGCGGGTAGAAGCAGAAGGCCTCGGAGCTTGCGATATTGACATCAAATGCATCGTGCGATAGAGAAGGCAGCTTTAGAAAATACACACCAGCGTATGATGCCCCGCAGTCACCTTCCATACATCAAGATGCAGGCTTTCTCGCTTCAAACGGTTTGAATTTGCGTTTGAGAAAGACTGTCACTTCACATTGAGCTCTTGGCCGAGCAGCTCTCAGTTCCAGATCTTCCTGGTGAGGCGCAGACACAGCTAGAAGAAGCAGCAACAATGCAGGTTGATCAAGATCCCGTCCAAGCGGCTGCAGGTGAGGAAGGAGTTGTCGATGTGCCTAACCAGGACGACGAAGAGCGACACTGGGGGTTTGCTGTGGGCGACGTCGTCCAAATAGCGCAAGGACGTTCTCAGAAGCGGACGTACGCGCTGTACTGTGGCCAAGGGCGTGTCATCCACGCGTGGACCCCGTCTCGCCAGAGCTTCCGCGTTCGAGTGGACTCGCTACGCGGCCTGCAGCGCGCCGGGTACAAAGCGACGGTGAGCTCGAAGGAGTTTGATGCGTTCTTTCTCCAGCTGCTCGATCTCTCTCCGTTGGCGGCAGCGGAGGTGGTTCTGCGTGCCAAAACTGCGCTGCACGCTACGACGGCTTCTCGCGTCTCGAACCTGTCGTTCATTCTCTTCGCCCGGTACGGGGACAGCATCTTCGTGCTGCTCCAGTCTCTCAAGACGGCGTACGGCATCGCCCTGCACAGGTGGGCGTTCGGGTCACCTCCAGCTTCAGAGCGCCCGGAAAGTCCACGAAGCCGCGGATCTCCGCTGGATGACCCCGTTCGCATCCACAGGCGCAGCAACGAAGGCGATGACAACGCAGCATCAGCTGAGCCAACAAAGTCTGCGATTGAGACTTTCCTCGGAACGAACGGCGAGCACCTGATCAGCGAGTGGCTGGGGAGATCGCTTGGCGAGTTTACTGGAGCTTTACGCAGGAAAAGCCCGTGGTTTACGGTTCTCATGCCGGCAGCTACCAACTGCCTGAGTAAGTTTGCATCTGCAGGAAGTACATCGCGATGAGCATCGTAGCTGACACTTGACCCAATGTGCCCAACGTAACGTAGCGCTGCTGTTTCTGCTCTACGACCAGCCTTCAGCGGAGTTCCGAGTCCGGTTCACGGCAGCCGGAGGTCTATCGGAGCGACTGGCCGGAGATCGCATGGAGTGCGGGTACGCACGATGCTCCTGGGTGGCGTTGACTTGTACTGGACAAATCATTTTAACCTGCTTGAGTTTTGTCCGCAGCGTTTGCTGGATGGACTTCACGCAGCTCAAGGTTATGGTCCTGAAGTGCTCGCACTACATGTGCGCCCCGTGCCTCGGTCTGTTGCCACGCAGAGAGTGCCCGTACTGTCGGTAAGTCCCGCCACGGCAAACGGCGTTCTCGAGTAGCCTTCAAATGCTAACTCTTATGTCTCCCTTGCTTGTCACTGAACAGTGCACCGATTCGATTCGCGTTTGAAGTCAGCGAATGCGTCAAGCAGGAGGCGTGTCGACTCATGCTGGAGGCGATGGCTCTCGAGGACAAGGCACCCGCTCCTGATCTCCAAGAAGATGAGCCAGTCGACAAGAACAACCACGCGGAAAATCCCCCGAATGTCGAAGACGAGCCCGAAACGAGCAGTTGACAAGCGATTGAAAGCACCATGCTGCCAAGCCTTCGATCTTTCCTGCACCGACAACAACCAATATAGTAAGCCACAAGACACTCAGCAACCCCACCGAAATAATGATAATGCCGACACTACGTTACCTCATACTTTTTCGCAATTCGTATCTCGAAAACATTTTTCTCATTCCTGGAAATCAATTCACTAGGATGGAGCAGATCCGGGAGCTCCCGGGCGGCAAGTTCATCCGCAAGTACTCACCCGAGCACCCGCTGTTCGATGCTGGCACGCGTCTGTGGGCGACCAAGTACTACCAAGCGCCAGAGTGCGAGAGCAGTGGGTTGTTGAGAGGACGCTCCCGAATATTGGCTCATGCGTTTTGTGAGTTTTGTGAAACAGGTCAATGGTACAGCTGGAGGAAGCTTGCGATCAAGATATCAAAGAATCCCCCGCTATAACATGTCGACTGGCCAACTGCGATGTGAGCTTCCAGTCCGTTGCGGCGTATGAGGAACACTACGACATGTACGGCCCTCCTCTTCTCGATCATCTCATTTCTTGTTGAAGCCTAAATTTTGTGGCTTATTGCGTGCATACAGGTTGCACCGCAACATTTGTCGGGAATGCTCGCGATCATTTCTGAGTCTTCGTCTATTAGATATCCACATAAGGTAAGGGTCATTGCAACAGCTTGCTTCACACCTTAGAAAGGGTAATAGGCTCACTTAGAAGCTTTATGGAACTTTCTGGTAGTGAAACCCATGATGCTTTCTTCAAAATCCTTTCGAAGAAGAAACCATTGTACGTGTGCTTGGTCGATGGCTGTCCGAAGACGTTCCAGCACGACGACAAGCGGACCCGGCACCTGATCCAAGTGCACCAGTACCCGGAGTCGTTTTCGTTCCACCAGCGACGCAACCAGAACAAGAAGAAGGGCAAGGCGGGCAAAGAGAACTCGGGTGCCAAGCAGGAACGGCCTGAGGAGCCTGACGTGGATGCCGAAACCTTGAAGAAACGCGAGGCGCGAAAGCGGAGACGACAACAGAAGAAGAAGAAGCTCTTGGAACAGGCAAAGCAAGAAGGTTCTGGCATGCAAGTGGGCGAGGGAATTCCCCGTGGTGATCCCAACATCGAATCTGCGCAGAGTGAAGTCACCGATGTCGACATGGCTGAATTGGAGGAAAGCATGCGTGAGCTTCGTATTCCCAAGAGTATTCACTTCGGTCGCAAGCGCAGAGTCTAATTCGACGCCTAGCGCTTGACCTTGCAAGATCGCTACCACCTACAGTAACGCTTTGAATTTCCAGTGTTTCCACTACTTCGGTTATACTTATGAAGTACAAACTCATGCCTCGAAACCAAGACTTAGTTGTGCATTCGAGCAAACATCGCTACACACCTTAGCTTTAGTTCACCCAACGGGCTACTGCATCGTCAAAAAGCTACTACTCCTCGAACTTCATGGAGAACAGCTCCCCGTACTTTGACGGAAAATCCGAGAAGAGCTGTCCGACACGGCCTGAGTTCACCACCGTAGTAGCCAAAGCTCGAATATCCGCTGCCTTGACCACCTGCGTGTGATCTTGCTTGACCCATTCGTACAGTTCGCGAGGTGAAGCATTTTCTGGTAGCTTGCCGATGTACGGGGTGCAGTTGAGTGGCGTGTTCTGCTGGATCCGCTAGCTCTCAGCGAGAGACCCGCAGTCAACAGGGTCAAAGCCGATGGTAGTCATAAACGCACTCACTTCCTCCTTAGCGTTGGCGTTATCACCTGCAATGGGGAGTGCCCAGCGCTCGGGGTCGTTCTCAGGTCGAGGCCCGTAGTGGAAATGGAACTGGTCGAGGTTGTGGAATGCCTTAACCATGCTGGAGCCTTCCAAGTGACACTGAACTAGTTCACTGGTCGTGTAGAGACGCTTGTCGAGCTCTTCAAAGTATCCATCCCGCTCTGGGTAGTAGTTCATCGTATCGATGACAATCTTCCCAGCAAACGCCTTGACGGGGAGTTGGAAGGCGTTCTCCAAAGGGATAGAGACCGACACGATGTCACTTCGTTCCACTGCATCTTCGACGGTTGCTGCGCTTGCTTGAGGTCCCAGCTTCGCGACAGCGGCGGACAGAGAGGCTGGACCTCTGGAGTTGCTCAAAATGACACGGTAGCCTGCCTTGATAGCGTGCTCGGCCATGGTGGAGTTCATGTTGCCAAACCCAACGAAGCCGATCGTTTGCGTCATGACTGGAGTTTGCTGGCCTCGAGGAGGAGGGAAAGTGTGTTCTGGATTGTGTTTTCAATTATGTGGAGATAAAAGACCATGGCAGTGCAGGATTGCATCACTCCGAAGCACCACGCAGGACTTGATGACGTCAGTGATAACCTCACGTAAACTGACTTACTACTGTAGTACCTAAAGTAAGTTACCCTGACTTGGGCGGAAACAAGACGGCTCTCACCTCCTGGTGATAATCGCTTCGAAGACAAAGCAGCAGTGGCCGCCACTGGCTAAAGCGGAAGTTTCGAATAGGCTCTCGAATGAGCTTGAGGAAAGGCGAGAGGCTTTGAGAGTTGTGGCTGGCCGTCAGCTCCCGCATTGTTGGCTCTAAGTGCTTCAAAATCGCGACTATGATGTACACCTGCCAGCAAGATGGTAAAAATTCACGCATCGTTAGTGCTCCTATTTCATAAACAACCATGCGTCAGGTCCTGCCTACCTGGAACTCAACTCCATACAAAACGCTGAAGTAGGTGTAGAGTACGATGTTTTCCCAGTCGAAATAATTCCAAAAGCTTTGGCTGTGCCAACGCTGCACGAGACTCAGAAGCGAGCAGTGGCATCGATCGATGGTTCGCAAAACCTGTCGCGAGAAAGGAACAGACGATAGTAAGTAGGGAATACTTCATCGGTGTTGACAGTGTAGTGTAAACCTACCAGTGGAAACTCTCGCTCCAGTATGAGCTCAACCCCTTCAGCAATCAACATTGCTGGTGATACTTCATTCACTCCGTCAGCTTCATTACCTCGCTTAGCAGCACTTCTTGGCCAGAGGAAGCAACCTGACGGAGTGGTAAGACAATGCGATAGGAATCGCAGGATATCTGCTTCGTCGTAGGTTGGATACAATATCATCAACACCGTAACCGGAAAACAGTCCATGGCCGCCTTGCCGAACTTTTTCACGATACAGTGTAGCAAGGTGGGCGAAGATTCTAGTGATAAACCACTTGTGTAGTTCTTGTAGAGCCGATTCATGAGTTTTCGCCCCGAATCCGTCGGAAAGAACTCTGCAGCATCTTGTCCCGAGTAAACACCGGTGTTGCCATCCAACGCCCCGATGTTAGAAACGTCTAAACGACTGCGGTTGCTAGGTACGAGGCTGTACACGAGTTTTGCGAAGACCTCGGTGAACGCAGCCGCTGATCTGGAAGTGCCGGAAGTTGTTGAGACCACGAGTTTACTTTCCAGCTCGTTAACCATCTCCCACGAAGCTTGCGAGATCAGCACAAAATCCATGGGCACTGACGAGCCGCTCTTGACGCCATCGTGAATCGCTTGGAGTATTTTATCTCGCAGCGTAACGATGAACTCTGAAGCGTGTTTAACTTCCGATTCTTTGACGTTAGCTGCCGTACTGCCATTCTGCCGGGAATACCCATCGAAGGCGCAAAGCTCACACCGAGGGATTCTCTCACCCGCGCCTCCAACAAACTCGAACTCGTAGCAAAGTTGCTTCTCAAGCAGCGAACACGAGCCTAGAATCTCGCTATCACCACACAACACATCACGTTGCTGTACACTCTTGGCATCAAGGTTTAATAACTTGAGCTCTGCAATCAGACCACTGCACTCGAGCAACGCTGGGACGCTTGAAACGAGCGAGAGAACCAGCGAAAACGCCACACAGCAGGTATCTTCAGCATCGCACGATCTCATACACTCCCCTTTCACGTGGCGTGTCAGAGCCCTCGAAAGGAATTCAACCAACAGGCCGCACTCATTTAAGAGCAAGGACGACGAAGCGTACTGCGTACTCAAACAGCATTGCAATAGACGTAGGCGCCTAACCAGGTGGGTTAGCTGGGGAGGACATTCATGCTCGGGGCTGTTTATTGCCACTGCGAAGTCGGCACTCTCTCGAAATTGCGCGATAACCCGATATATGGTTGTTTGTACCCCATCGAGGCTGAAACAAGCCTTCGCGGATGCTGGAGCGCATAAGCAGGCCAAAAGTTCTCGGAAATCAATTGTTGCAAACCCCTGCCATTTGTCGTTCATTTCGAGCAAGTAGGTATTCAATATTGATGTATCGTGGGCGTAGCGAATTCCAGGCACGGAACTGCCCAGCGCACGGACGTTATGGCCACGGAACTGCAGCTCGTGATCTTGCGTGGATATTACGTTGCGACCTTCCCAAAGTTCACTGACAAGCCCAACTTCTTGCGCTATTCTGAATGTCTGTGGGATTAATGTCAAATCCGTGATCGACTTCAAGAGTTTCTTGTGATAACCCTCATAAATCAGTCTTTCACTCGGAGACCACGTTTCCTTCCTCCAGAATTGTAAGACGCGCTTGCACGTCTCAAAAATTAGCTTTGTGTTGTCAATGCTTGGTACTGGAGCCTTGAAATTGGTCACAGTCATGCTCTGCAGGATCATGTTTACCAGTAGCAGCCCAGTCAGTCGAATCGATAGTTTGCTAAGGGCACCACTCCGGATTCTTTTTGACACGCTGCCAACGACCAAATCGCATACTTCGGTGATGTCTTTCTGTTGCCTAAACGGAAACCATGGACTGTTCTCTTCAGATTCTTTCATGCTGGACAAAATGTCCATCCAACCAGAATCAATGACCTGCAAGTACGCAAGGGATTAATATCTACTAAGTACAGCACAGCCATGAACAAAAATAATACCGAGAAAAATATATTGGCAACGTACCATTACAAGCCCTGCGGTTAGATCACCGCCGCATGCTGCATGAAGATATGTTGCAACACTGTTAGAGATAGCCTTTGTCCACAGGTCGTCGTATGAATCTTTTACGATCGTTTGCGAATGTCTGGGTATCGTCACGATTACCTACAGCAAATAATATTATACAATCAAACAAAGATCAGCACCTCAATTGAATAATGTTGTGACAAATAACCAGCATTGAGGAAATGTGCCAGTACCGATGTGATTGATAGGATGAGTGCGTCAATAACACCCGAACCGAGGTACTCGTAGTCAGCGTCCAGTTCCTCATGTTGCTCCTGGTATATCGCTTCAGGCTGCACTGAGCGGAAAATTGAGTCGTTCTCGGCCGCAATGATCTCCAGGGCCGGCCTCCCCCAGGAGGTATGTCGTTGCTTGATGTAGGTGTGTGCAGACACACGCCTCCATCGACTTAAAAGCTCTCGACCCTCTTGGTACTCGCAGACGTATGATAGAACAGCCAGTGCCTACGACAAGAAACCCATGGAGAAACGAATTAGCCAGCGGTGAACTATCTGAAAATACAAAACCAACTTACACTCTGAACAGCGCGTTTTTCAATGACGTCGGTTGCGGACGTTGTCGATTTTATCAAAGCCAAAGGCCGAACTCGAGACATGTACTGAAGTAAATCAGCGATGAAACCCGACTCCTCCATCGCTACAAACAGTTGCCGTGCACTTGGGCAATTTAGTAGCCACAATCTAACCCATTGCATGGGGCAATCATCGATCAAGGCCATCATCAGAAGAGGATTGGCACGCTTTGCTTCGACTTCAGTCTCCGTCTTGGAGTACATCGTCAGGAGATCAAACGTCGAGAACATCACTCGAGCGAGTGCATCAGCTGAAAAATACACCCAGTGCCGCGTAACTCGGCAAATCAGCGCGTGCAAAACACGAAAGCAATCCAAAACGGCAATAGAGTGCGCATCGGCACTTTCAAAAAGGCTCTGGCGATCCAAGTTCAGTTTGTCCGAATTCAATTGCAACCCCATAAACTCGAGGACAGCTCCATACAGTTCCAGAAATTGAGCAGCGTCCTCAATTTGGCTCATCAGGTCGAATATAACCTTTTTAGCACGTTCGGCAGTATCGCATTTTTCTCCCCGGATATCAACATCGAGGAACAACCCGACAGTCGCAGAACACGCAGCAAGGAATACTGGTCCAGAGTGAACGATCTCCACAATGGGCACCTACACAGACCACGCACAGTGACGTTGTGAAAAATCTGGTACGCTTCGAAGCCAAAAGAGCCAACATTTTCCTCTTACCTGCATCAACTCGTCCAGCGCCACCGCACGTTCCAGCGCATCAGTGCTCTGCATCCGTATAACCGTCCCAGGAAAATCCTCCATGCACGGAAAACTGTATCCCAATTCACAGATCACAACCAGTTAGTCGATATAAACCCTCGTGTTCCCCTGTTGGTATTGCCCAATTAATCGCCCACCTCATTGCGGACCTGGACACATCGTCCAGATCATCGTCGAACGTGAGCACCTCGAAGGAGCAGCTCTCCGACTCCTCAGCCCTTTCAGCTTCTCGTTCCTCGTCCGACTTCGGTTGCATCTCTCTCGAGTCCGCCAGCTTCTGCAATTTGTCCCAGAATTGATCCAGGAAGTGCTCGTCTGTACCTTCAAACCCCCTTTTGTTCTCCTTTTCAGCACTCAGCAGACGCGTCAACCTGGCCACCTCCTGCTCCACATCGCTTCTCAGTTGTCTCAAGGCGCCCTCCAGCTCGCTGCTCTTCTCCACATGAGCTTTGGCACTTGCAACAACTTGCACAGGGTCCTGCGGCTCCTCAGAGGCCGCAGATCTCACCGCGTCTCGCACGCAGCCGCCCACCCGCGTCTTGAGCACGTTCCGGATGAACTTCACCACTTGCAGCTGCCAAAAAGACGGCTCTTGACTCTGCAGAGCCAGCAGCGTCGACTGGAAAAGCTGCAGCAGGCCTCCGAGCTGCCACAAGTCGAACGCATGAGCCAAAAATCGCCTAAACCAAAGCGCAGTTCACTACGTAGATGACAAAGAACACGTACCGGTGCGTCCTCTAGCAGCGGGAACAGCGTTTGATCTACGAGAGAGCGCTGCTGCCGCAGGAGCTCCTCCAGAGCACCGGTAGCTTCGAGCGTCGCCATTGTTGCCACAAATGACGCTTCAACTGTCCACATATCTTTTGAGCAGTCACAGATCAGATATCCAACCCCAAATAGGTTTCCAAATGTACATAGAAGTTACATTCCAAAATCCAGATATACCACAAATACGCATTTTACCACAATTAACTACCCAAATCATGGCGCGGTGGCAGCTTGCGCTGGTCGCGGCGGCCGTGCTGCTGTGCCAAGCGGGCTTCTTCTACCTGCAGGCGTGGCGCTGCGAGCTGCAGGTCCAGCGGGCGGCGGACGATGCGGACTCACTTCGGGTGCTGGTCGTGACGGACGTGCATCTGCTGGGCAGGAGGAGGCGCTCGGGCGCCGAGCGGCTCTGGGTGGACTGGCAGGTGCGCGCGTCCGCCCGGGCGGCCGTTGACGTGCACAAGCCGGAGGTGGCGCTCGTGCTGGGCGACCAATTCGACGAAGGCAGCCGCTGGACGCCCGACGCACACTGGGACGAGTATGCGGACAGGTTCTTCAGTGCCTTCGCCAGCTTCCTGCCGCTCAAGACGCTGTACTTGGTACGGGATTGAGATTGGGACGAGGGTGATGGCAATGGAGGTGACGCTGACGCTGTGTATGACTGTCTAGGTTGGCAACCACGACACGTCATTCGGCCGGGAGATGCGGATCGAGGACCTCAAGCGCTACGAAGTCACGTTCGGAGCTGCCAACCGCATCGACGAGATCGGGGGCCACACATTCGTGAGTCTCAACACAATGGCGCTGGACTCGGACGTAGCGAGCGAGGCAGTGAGGACAGAGGCGCGAAGGTGCAGCACTACATTAACCTGCGTACTTTGGGGATAGAACGTGGTCTTTACGTGGTTATGCTGTCTTTGCTGTTGCAGCTTCCTGGAGAGCGTTAACTTTGCCGATCTGCGAGCGCGCGCGCCTGGCAGTGTCATCTTGCTCACGCATTTGCCGCTCTTCCGCATGGACGATCTCCAGTGCGGGGAAGAGCGACTGCGCGAGTCGGGTCATGTCACGTACGAGCACCCGGGCTTCAAGTACGAGACCCACCACCACGTGCTCTCGCGCGCGCTGTCAGCGGAGCTGCTGGACAAGGTGCAGCCGAGCCTGGTGCTCTCGGGCCACACGCACGCCTGGTGCGAATACCAGCACCCCGACGCGGTGGCCATGGAGTACACCGTCCCGGCGTTCTCGTGGGGTCAGCGTCCCGACCCAAGCTACGCGCTGTTGCGGCTGCCCCGGGCGGGCCTTGCTGGCATGAAGCGACCACCGAAAGTCACCGCGTGCCGCTTGCCGAGCGAACCACTCACCTTCGCAACGTACGCCGCGACAGTCGCGACCATCGTGCTGACAAGTGTTGTCAGGTTCGTGCTGGCGAGGCAAGCGGCGCCCAAGACCAAGGGCGCGTAAGAATTTCTGGCTCAGAATGACGCCGATGCTCAGCGAGTGGTGGGTGACGAGGACGCTGAGCTGATCGTTTTCGTCCATGTCCGTCCACTGCTGAGGTGAGAGCAACACACGGCAACTGTAGCTACCGATTTCAACTTGAAGCGCTCCGGTATCCATCCGGCCCGTCAAAACTTGGGTCAAGTCTTGGACCGAGCGCCAAGCTGGACGCGGCCGAACAAGGAGGACGGTCTCAGCTACAGGAAGGTGCTTTGGTCATGGCAGTAGCGCGCGCAATCGGGGCTCGGCTGCTTGCGCGTTTAACAAGTGAAGACACGTTGAAGACCTTGCGTCGCGCTTGCATTGCATTTCCACCCACGACGCGACCACGACTCGTTTGCACCGCACATTGACGGGCCAAAAGGTGATCGCTGACCTGCTTTAACTAGTCCTGTCAACCTTACCTTACAAACCTCCAACCTCCCACAGGTTAAGGTAAGGTTAATCTCACCTTCCTAACCTCCCTAACCTCCCCTATACAAAACTCAGTATAATGGAAAAAGCCGGGACCAAACTCCCAGCCAACTCCAGTACTACTGGCGGGCACGGAGCTGGTAGTGGGCGTACAGTACCTTGGGCGTGGCTGCAGCTTCCAGCCTGCACGAACGCAGCATATTGCAGAACAGATTTCTAAGCCTCACCGTTTGATCTACCAATAATGTGAACTTCTACAGTGTAGTAGTAAAACAATTCACCTTTTATTGTGCCTTTCAATCCATTTACTTCAGAAGTACAAACATGTGTAGCTAGTTCCCGAACCACCACGCCAATTCCATCGCACGTCGGCTGGTTCAGCAGCCAGAGAGAGAGTAGTGCGTCCACCTAGGTAGCCCGGTGGACGTAGCGAGAGAGATCAAAGTGCGAGGCAGACACGTCAACACTACCAGACAGCTACTGGCCGTCGGACCAGACGTCCTCGGATAGGAACGGTGGGGAGGACACATTATCGGCGACCGTCACCCCCGGATAGGGTCTTTGGGCTGTGTCCCGCAGGTAATCCGTATTTCTCTATCTACTTCGAGTTCAGGAGCTCAAGCCTGAGTGCGGCGAGCGAACTCCTTCGCCCTTACGATCATGGCAGGCTCTGGCCACAGTCCCCACCACCCTACTGTGTTACGCCCTCATCGTGCACCAATCGTCCTAATCTCTGCCTCACCTTGCTGCTGCCAGTTTGGACATACCTGCCTCTGATGTTGCTCTTGCCCAGACTGTGTATGCGACACCGGCCACTACTCAAACGGAGCTGGATGCCCGCACTTCCTCGCTGGCGCTGCCGCATTCAGAGACACCCAGCCAGCTTTTTGCGCTCGGAGTTGTAGCTGCGTCAGCCCGCAACCAAGACTCACATCGCCGCGTTGGGAATCAGAAGAAGAAGGCCAATACTGGTGAAACGTCTATCGCTACGAAGCAACCCTCCTTTGCGTGGACGACTGCAGCAGCTGATGCCCTGCTGCGGGCTCGTTTTGACACGGCTGCAACTTTCTTCTCAAAGCTATGCTGCCGTACTTTGGCAGCAGCAAACAGAACACCTTGATCTCGTAGTAAACCAGCAGCAATACGTAGGAAAGTTGGCTTGGTGCAGCGAAGATTGTCTTCAAACCAACTTGCATACGCGGCTGTCTGTAGCATGGGCTCAAAGTGCAGTGAGGTCACGGTACGAATCTGTTCCTTAGGGCCTTGCGGCGCATCGTCGGATTCTCCTGATAGGAGGACTGCAACCTGTGCGACAGCTGAGCGTGTAGCAACCAGTACAGCTTCCTCTTCGTTCATTGTGTGTGCGGCTGAACTGCCTCAATCTCCAGCTACTTTCTCCTTCTCCAGCTCCCAGAGCTGGAGAAGGAGACGGGGTAATTCTCCAGTTGTCACGTTGTGAACTAAACTATTTTGACCAATCAAAAGTCAAGAAATAGAGTTGATGAGAGGTCATCTCCATCTCCAGCTACCCAGCGAACACGCTCTAAAAATGAATCGTGAATTTAATAACAAAAGAAATTACAAAATACGCCCGTAGTTTACATTTTGGTACATTCAGAATCCTCCAAGTAGAAACTGGGTGTGTCATGCCGCTGCGCGCACCTCCTGACGGCGGGGATAAGGTCGCCAAGGGCTCCCCGCATGAACGCAGGACAGAGTACGGCACCTTCTCCGCCTCGAGCGAGCTCAAAGACACAGAGAAGTCCGCCGCTAGTGCCTCCCAGAAGCGCCCAAACCCAGCATCCGCCAATGCAACAGAGAAGTCGCTGCCGTCTCTGCATCCCGAGTCGCCGGCCACCGCCTGGTGGCGCAAACTCTTCTTCGAGTTCTTCGACAAGAAGCAGCTGGACAGCGAACTGGACGCGAGCCAGGTGTGGGAGCTCACGGCGGAGCACACGAGCGCCGAGGCCGCGGCGGCCTTCCGACAGGTCTGCGCGCAGAGCCGCCAAGGCCGCAGCAGGTGCAGGATCAAGAGCGCAATCATTCGCACACACTGGTGGAAGCTCGTGGCCTGCTGGGCGCTGCAGCTCGCCAGCCTGCTCTGCGACGCATGCACGCCTGTGCTGCTGTACATGCTACTGGCTATGGCCATCTCCAGGGAGTACACACAGACGCAGATCTACGCGCTGTTGGGATTATTATATGTGACGGCTCTGGGTGAAGTATTGCTGCATTGCCACAGCCACTTTATGGGCTTCAAGATCAATATTAAGATCGTGGGGGCGCTGAGAGCGCTGGTGTTTGAGAACACCATTAGCCAGCCGGAGCATATCCCGGGCCATGCAGTCGGGAGCTACGACAGTGAGAGCGGCAAGAAGAGGATGGCGGAGGTGGCGCATTTGTACGCGGAAGACGTGGCCAATGTGGCGCGCATGGTGACGCACATGCAGTTCCTGTGGCGCAGTGTGCTGCAGATTATATTCGAGCTGTGCATCCTCGTGCAGGTGATTGGGATCAGGTTCAAGCCTGTCGCTATCGCCTTCCTGTTTATGGCAGTGTTTGCTAAGTTCCTCTCCGCGGCGGGCAGTCGACTGCAACGCAAGCTGCAGAAGAAGATCGAAGCGCGGCTGAATGTAATTCATGAGTGCTTTAAGGGCATCCAGATGGTCAAACTCAATGCGTGGGAGGACAAGATGCAGTGCAAGATTGAACACGCGCGGAAAGAGGAAAACCGCGAGCGTCGCAGGGTTAATGTCGTGGCTGCGTTGCAGTACTGCGTCGGAGTGGATTCACCCAACTTGGCTTCAATCTTTATCTTCGGGTGGGTCGCGCTGCAAGATACCAGCGCGCTTTCTCCAGCGCGGGTGTTTCCAGCGCTATTGCTTCTCCGTCGGATCAAGACGCATTTCTCCAACACTGCGCGGCTCTTTGACGTCGCCAGCAAGGGCCAGGCATCCCTTTGCAAGATCGACTGCTACCTCAACGAGTGCGACGTAAAGTCTTGTGCACAAAACGAAGCCGAAAAGACTCGAGATATGCAGCTTAGCAACGTGGGGTCTAACGGGCCTGAAACAGTGATGGCGATGGAACATGCCTGCTTTGGTCAATCGTCAGAAGAAGGGAAGGCACTGTTGGCCAACGTTTCGTTTCGCCTACGACGGGGGCAGTTGGCTATGCTTCAGGGGAAGGCAGGAGCTGGCAAGTCCACGCTACTCAATGCGTTGTTGGGCAATACCAAATGCATCGATGGAGACGTTTTTGTAGCGCAAGATTGCAAGATTGCGTACTGTGCGCAGGAGCCGTGGTTGCAGACACTCAGTATCCGCGACAACATTCTATTTGGCTCGGAATTTGACAGTCAAAAGTACTGGTGCGTGGTCGAGGCCTGCTGTCTGAAGGATGACTTGCGGATGCTCCCAGAGGGTGATAGCACGCATGTCGGGCCGAAGGGAATCAATCTGTCTGGTGGGCAAAAAGCTCGAATTGCACTTGCACGTGCTTGCTACGCCGATGCCGATATTTATTTACTGGACTGCCCCTTTGCGAGCGTGGATGCCATTGTCCAGAACGAGATCTTCACGAAGTGCATTGTGGAGCTGCTGCGGTTCAAGACTGTGTTGATGGTCACACACAATCGGGAGCTTTCGTCGTCGAGCTTTGTAGATCACGTTCTTCGCGTCAAAGATCTCACGGTTGTGGTCGAGTCGGCCGAAAAGGGCTGGGATGTCGGTCGTCATCCGTCGAGGAGAGTGGATCCGAGAAATTCGCTCCCGCCATGGCGAGGTGAAAGCAAGCAGGATGGCCAGAAAAAGAGTGCACAACAACCTCGGGGTCTAGCGCTTTGGCAACCCGTTGCATTGCCGCTATCCTCCGCTGCTGTACTTGTCAAGCCAGTTGCATCAAAAGCAGTCGCCACTTCAAGCAGCACTCAAGTACCAGTGACATCGGAGTGTGTCGGGATTAAAGTGGCGAGGAAGTTCAAGTGGAAGGAAGAATGGTTTTCTCTCAAGACGTGGAAAATGCTGCTCAAAGGTGGCAAGTGCATGCGATACCACGTCCCTGCCAAATTCTTCCTCTTTCTTTACGCATTCGCTGTCACATCGAAGGACGTCTTTCTTATGAAGTGGAGTGACCGCGTCGACCATGGAGACGTCTCGAATATGGACGGCTCTGCAAAAGTTTATGGGGTTCTGGTGCTTAGTTCAATGGTTTCGGGGTTTGCCAGCTCGGTCCTGCATGCGCACGCTATGGCCAACTCCGCCAACAGAATGTTTCACGAAATGACAGCAGCACTATTGCGTGCACCGATGACGTTCTTCTACTCGACGCCTGTGGGGGAGCTCTTCAATAGATACTTCAATGATATTCGCGTTCTGGATACAACCTTCGCGTTGGCCTTTATGGCCATGTTCCGTTCGGCCGTGACGATTCTCGCTGCTGATGGGATTCTTTGGTACTTCACGGGTGTCGCTGGTACTAGCATTATCCTGATCGTGTTGTACGTGGTGAAAGAGTTCATGACGCTCGGCTTCCTGGTGGGGCTTCTGCGGCTCTCTTTCCGTGCCGAAGCTGCGAATCTAAATTTCATCTCAGAAGCGCTGGACGGTTCCGCGACAATCCGCGCGTTTGGTCGGCAGCAGATCAACCGTTTCCGCGTGGAGCATGGAGTGTTATCCGATGAACTGATGAAGGGGCAGTATCACACGGAGGTGTTCAACCGATTCGTGTTGATCCGCTGCGACCGTGTGCTGGGTATTCACATGCTACTGCTGATGTTCTTGCTATCGATGCACAATATCTCGCCGGCTGAGCTGGGACTCATGCTTTACTACGTGTTCACCATCAACTCGGACGTTTACACGCTCAGTTCCAAGCTGCTTGAAGTCGCATTGTGTCTGTTAAATGTTGAGCGAGTGCGCAAGTACGGACTGATTGAGCCGGAACTGCAAAGCTACGAAGGTAACCCGTTGACGATTCCAGCGAGCTGGCCTCACCGTGGTGATGTTGTATTCGAGAAGGTATCCTTCAGCTATGCGAGCTCGTCCAGTGACGAGAAAGCAGCTCTGGCACTTTGCGATGTCAGCTTTTCCGTGAAGGGAGGTGAAAAGGTTGGCGTGGTTGGCCGCACCGGGTCGGGGAAGAGTTCGCTGGCGATGGCGCTGTTCAGGGTTCACCCGTTGACAAAAGGACGGATTATTGTCGACGGCCTTGATGCATCGCTGCTGAGCTTGAGCGCGCTGCGCACTAATGTGTGCATCATCCCGCAGTCGCCTCTGTTCTACAGGTGCTCGGTTCGCAATTATCTGGATCCGTTTAACGAGTTCGGCGACGTGGCGTTGCTGAACGCGCTACGTCGTTGCGGACTGAAGGGTAGCATGGCAAACTTGGAAGCGGAGCTGTCCGACAATGGTGAGAATTGGAGCTTGGGAGAGCGTCAAATGCTGTGCCTTGCACGTGCCGTGCTGCGACCGGCACGTATCGTGGTGCTGGATGAGTCGTTTTCTGCTGTGGACCAAGCCAACCAATCTACACTGCTCAACGTGCTCGATACGGCTTTCCGCGACTCGACTCTGTTCCTCATAACCCATCGCCTGGACGACGTGCTCCAGTTCGACAACATCCTTGTCATGAAGGAAGGACGAGCAGTGGAATTCGGGCCTGCAGAAGACCTTGCGGCTGACCCTGGCAGCGCGTTTTATGAATTTTTGGAGACAACGCTGCTGACATACTAGCAAGTCAAGCCCGTAGCATCACCAAGAATGGCAGAAGTGTTTCGTGTTAGTCAAGTTACCCCAGCGAGCGACCACAAATTAGCGTAACTATGTAATATACAAGTAGTAGATCCACTCATCCCAACAAACGCACACTCGAGGGAAACGCCGAACATCCCAGCTATCACTCATCGTCTCTGTGGAGGAGGTGTTTCGCTCGCAGCTTCGTGGACTTGTGAATTTCCTCCGCATCCACGATCGGCAGACGGCAATACGGGCAGCACTTTTCCCCTTCCATGTTGGCCTGGACCGCAGCGTAGCACACAGCGCACGTGAAGTGGTCGCACGGGAAAGCCACCGCTCGCACGCGCAGCAAATCGGAGTAGCAGATACTGCACTGCAACTCCTCCTCCACCAGTCGGTTCGCCAGAGTATTGTGGCGATCGTCCGAGTACTTCCTCGCCGAGTCCGCCGCCGCGCGGCGTCTTCGTGTCTCAACCCAATTCTCCATCTGCGTCATCGCATCCATTGCCGCCGGCGCACTAGCTGCCGGGAGAGTATTCCACAACAGCTCCCTCGCAGCCCGACGCACCTGCTCCTCCGTCTCACTCTGGCGGTCGTTCCCTTCCTCCGACGACGCTTCTCCGTTAGATAACTCTGCTGGCATTCCAGCCGACGCCGAACCCATGGAAGCCCCCACGCCAGAGGACGTCGTGAGTGCGTCCGCCTTGGTGAACAGCGAGATGAGCCCTCCCACGACAAATCCAGCCATGCCGCCGACTACAGCGCCTACCATGGCGCCTGCCAGCACTTGGTTAGCGTTGGACGCCACCTGCGGCGACGCGCCGAAGCCGTAGCGCGCCCAGGTCACGAAGTGCTCGCAGTTGTGCGCCAAGTAGCTGTACTGCGCCTCTCCGAGCCGCGACATGGCACGACGCACCACCTCGCCCCCCTCCAGCGGCTGTAAATTGTGGTCCGCCAGCATCCTCTTGTCGAGCTCGTCTGTGAACTTCTCGGGCGGCTCGGACGCCTCAGCGGCGTTCGAGCGCTGCACGGAGCGGATCGAGTCCACGCGCACCTGGAAGTCGCGCTCCGAGGGCGACCACAAGTGCGCCACACGGTTACCGCCCACATACAGCGCCAGGTGGCTGTACTGCCCGCGGTCGAAGCGCACGACGTCGCCCAGCGCGAACGAGGGAGCCGCCATCGTAGTTCCGGCGTCTCTTCGAGGAATGGAAAATGACATGATGCCGAATATACTCGTTTAAGTTGCCAATGATACCTTGATGTCTCGAACAAGTATCGACACTTAAGTGGGCAGTAACGGTACATTCGAACTCGAGTGCATCATCGTTGCTCATTGATACAGTGTCAATGCGCAGCGCACGAGCAGCGGACCGGCTGAAGGCGGTGCGCAGCGAGCAGCCGTTCCGGGCGCAGGCCCTGCCCCCGCGACGGTACCTGTCTGCCGGGGCGAGTCCCGTGGCGCTAACGCCCAGCTTCTCGAGCCTCTCACCGCTGTACCCGCTGGCCGCGTCCCCGCACTCGGTGGTCTCCTCCGCCTCCTCTACCACGCTGGACGACGCCATCGGCCGCCTCTTCACGCGCTACTTGCCCACGTTCTTTGACTTGCTGGAGAAATACCAGTACCAAAAGGTAGAGGTTTTAGTCGTAAAATGATGGGAAATACGGTGCTAGCGATGAGGTTGTTGACGGTGTGTTGTTGTGTTGCAGGCACTGCTGATACTGGAGGATGAAGAGGAGACACAATGGAAGAGCTGGGAAGCCTTCAAAGTCATGCTGAAACTCGGTGCATCCTGTGAGAGCACGTACGTTGGGTAACGGGGGATAAGAGTGTGTTGGTTGTGTTTGTTTTTTAACTTCTGGTTGTTTGGCTTTGTTCCAATAGGTATCATTTGATGAAGTACGTGGAGGCGGAGCTGGTGCAGACCGACACGATCGAGCAGTTGTATGGGAAACTGGTTGTGCTTATGAGTCACTTGGCGGATGAGCTCAAACCGATTGTAGAGCGGCAGAGCAGACACTTTTCCGTGCATACGCCGACCCCGAGTGTCATTGGGAATAGCAATGCAGGTGTTAATGGGACTCATGCCGGGGAGGATGATAGCGGTGACAGTGGCGATTATGCCTCTGACCCCATGCTCATGATGGAGATTGCGATGTGCGGCGATATGAGCTACTATGTGGAGCTACTGGAGCAGGGTGCCGAGTTCTTTTCGGTACGTAGACCGAGATCTGTCTACGAGTCGTGTTGATAGTATGACTCCTTATTTCCCTGTTGGCGTTCAATGCAGCTTCGTGTTCCGATGATACAGATTTACCGTGGTCTCGCGCTTTCAACGGTTCCTCGTGACTATCATAGTGTACGTGAGAGCCCTACAATATATTTGCCTGCGGCTTTGGGGTGGTTTACTCACTTGATAACATGCAGATTCTGAAACGACTGGAAACCTTGCTACTACGATTCGACACTTTCGACCACCCGCTTCTGGAGACGTTAAAGCAATCAGCCATCGAGGAGCTCAGTACGGTGCACGCAGCTATTCAGTGTGAAATTCGCGTGGCGGAATACGATTTCACCCGCTCAATCGTGGCATTACACCGACTCAAGGTCCAGCTTCGCTCCTGGAGTGATCATATTGATGCTGTGTCGGACTACCCGCTTTTTGAAGGCACTGGTGTCGACTGTGGTGCTGGTGGTGATGAAGAGGGCTTACTCCTGGACGAGTCGGACGATAACTACGGCGTTACTTCGGAGTCAATCTACTCCAACACGAGTCACCAGTCCACGTCGTCCTATGCACGTGGGCCCTTGTTGAATTCAAGTATGAGCGGAGACTCGTACGGTCCAAACAGTGCCACCCCAGGTGCCGCTCCTTCATCGCTGGTTGAGTCCCTGGTATCTTATCGTGGAGGGCGTTTTACAAACGTGGGTGATACCTCCTACGACATCGCCGACGAGATGTCCTTGCTTGAAAGGCACCAGTCGGGTGTCTCGCTGAACAGCTGCTCCAGTCCAGCGTCGGAGACGCACAGCACCTTCAGGCGACTATTTTCTCACAGCAGTTTGCTGCGAAGCGGGCTGACTTCAGCTCTTCCAATTCGACGTGGGCTTGTTCAAAAGCCAGGGGATCCTTACATCAGCTCGGGTGGAGTGAACTCCTCCGTACCGACCAACACGCTTGAGCAAGCCATCTTGGGTGGAGGAGAAAATGGTACTGGAGGCAGTGGGGGTGTTGGCGTTGGCTCGTTGGGGGCGAGTCAAGGCAATGCAAGCGGCGGAGGCATGATTGGCGGAAGTACTAATCCAGTGGCGGCCGAAATGATGGCGTCTTCCATGAAGAAACAAGAGCGTGACGATGGTTTTGCACTGCCAGTTTTCCAGTGGTCCAAGCGTTTCTACCGCTCGCTTGTGGCGAAATTCACGCTCTACTTTCACCGCTGGCTCGAACCTTTCGAGAAGAAGACAGACTACCTGTCACTCGAGCTCTCGCGCTTTATCAAAACACCACTGGGGATTTCGTATCTTCAACTGATGGATGTTCTGCTGTCCAAAGGTAGGAAGGTGCAGCGTGTATTGAGTCGTTTACTTAGCTAATGGGTTTACTTGATGTGCTTCTTGGTTTGTAGCAAGTCGAGGGGATGGAAGCAAGCTTCGTGTCATGCTAATTCTTGAAACACAAGCACTCGAGAACAAGGGCGCTCACTACTATGAGAACGGATACCGGTGTCCAGGCTCAAGCAACGCGCTGTACACGCGCACGGATCAAGAGAAGCAAGACGACAAGGAGGAGCAGGAAGCCAAACAGAAGGCCATCGCTTCTGCAGGCTCTGCAGATACGTCGGGCAGAAGCAGCCGCACTCATTCGCCTGCATCTTCTAGAGGGGGAGGCGCGTCGCCAGCAAATGGACGTCGGCGGTCGCTGGATCAGCAGACGAATCACGCGTTGTTTATGCGTGTTGACCGCGAGGAGAACGAGGAGCAGAATGACTTCTCGGAGCTATGGGGGCTTCGCAGCTGGCCAGCAGTGTTTTGTTATCCTGAAGGCTCGACACTCCCGCTGGATCACTGGCCGAACATCGTTAGTCTCATCATGGATAACCGTTCTTCGCTCGACTCCGTTCGGCCTGTGTAAGTCTCCGCATCCTGAGAGCAGTATTCCTTATGACTTCGTACTTATATACTCGTTGCCTGCTGTAGGTTCATGCACGCGGAGCGGCGGCAGAAGACAACGTATCACATCTCGCGAGTGGACGAAGCCATGTACCTCGTGCTACTCGCAGAAGGAGTGAAGAAGTCTAACGAAAAGGTGGCTCAGGTACGGCATGTAGAATTCTGGTTACGATAAGGCACTTGGAAGCGAATTACACTGACGAGAAATGCTACGTGGTGATGATGATATAGGACTTCATGCAAACTGTAACTGAGAACTTGCAGCACTCGGGCGCGTTTGCACCTCGAGTTTTGGCTGCAACTTCGTCCACCACGGCATAGAAGTTCGAAAGAGCGTATCGAAAGCATTTTGTGCATAGCGAAGGATCAACGCAATGTTTTGCTTCACGAGTGTATTAGTCACATGAACGAGTATACAGTACACGCCCGCTGTATCTGGAGCTGGTCCTAAAGAATGTAGACAGGCTTGACGTCGGTTGGTGAGAACACGTCGTGGGTGTCCACGCATTTGATCATGCCGTCGGTGCTGCCTTGTGTGAGGAGCTCGATGCCTCGCTTGCTATACACACGGCCATTCGGGAGTACCAGGGGCGGGTTGTGCTCGTCCATGACGCTCTGTGTTACGCGGCAGACCAGTCGCGAGTGTGGATGGTACGCAAACGGAAGACCTGAGCACAATTGGCTGCCGACCTCGCTGCATGCAGGACAAATTGGTACCGTTGAGTCGGTGTGGCTGTGCTTTCGCCTCTTGCCACCGGCACAATTGGTGTTCCGTTGGCTGGATCTGTCGGCGCCATCTTCATTGCTGCTTGGCTTGAACCACATCTCATCGCTTTCGTTGCCGCTGTCTTCGTCGTCATCAGCGCCTGCACCAGTACTTTCGTCACCTTCTCGACGCGGCCGTTTGCCTCGGGTTCCACTGCGAGCAAGCTTCGCCTTCAGATTAGCGTCTCGTGTGAGATGGCACGCTCGTGTATTCAGCGTGGACAGTCCAGCGTGGAGCGCGATACAGAGTGACGGCGGGTCGTGCATCCCGTAGACGTCGTTGAAAGTCTTGAGGAACATCTCTTCCAGTGCGAGCCACCGATCCATCGAAAACACCTTTTCATACGCCTCAATGCCGCACTTTTCCGGTGACTCAAACGCCAACGTAGCCATGGCAATCTGAACCTCGCCTATTGCAGTATCACGAAGATCCTGCTTTTCCGGCTGCATAGCTAGCGGCGTCAAGTACGTGCGCGCGTACTGAACAGCCTCTAGCGGCTTGCGCGCGCGCACAAACTCAACGAAATCCTGCAGCCGAAGGTGGAATTCCAGCTGAGACTGCAGTCGTCGAAGCCGCGAGCCATTCTGCGAGCACCACGAGATCGCCTTGGCCGTTTGGTGCGCCCGAAGGTTCTTCAGCACAGCTTGGCATTCCACGTGCAGCTCATGATCCACCAAATGGCCGACGTCTAGCAGTGCGACAACAAAGAGCAAATAAAACCAGTTTAAAAAAATATCATCACCAGTACATTCTCAGCCTCTCAGTGAACCACCTTACCTTTGGTATCTTCCACAATCTTGGCGCTTTCCAGGAACCCTTGCCGAAGCAAATAGTCGGCGATGAGTCTATCATTAATTTCCTCTTCTCGATTCGTCCCCTCCTGGTGGCTCGGCATCGAGGGGTCACCTCCGATCTTTGCCGCCTCCAACGCCTCCAAGTACTGCGCTCGCGTGGCGCAGCTCTCGAGGTCGCGCTGCTGCTCGAGCGCGCTGCTCTTGGCGCTGTGCTTGAGTTGCTTGAGCTTCGCGGCCAGCTCGGCCAGCTTGCCGATGGCGGCCTCCACATCCATGCGGTGGCCGGGCTGCTGCGCGTCGCCGTCGTCCAGCGCCTCGATCTGCGCCGTGGCCTGCGCCAGCTCGCGCGTCAGCTGCTTGTGGTACAGGCGGAAGCTCCTGCTGGCCCCCTCAAGAGGCACGCGCACGAGCGGCAGACTCAGCTCCATCTTGGGCGCGTCTCTAAGGTCTCACTTGTGCGCTGGGAGTGCTTGTGGGGGGAGTCAAAGGCAGCGGGCGGACGCTGCTGGCTGGCTGGCTGGTTGGTTGGCGAGCGCGCGGAGCGAGGCAAGCACAGGCAACGACAACACACAGCAGAGAAAAGCCGTCAGGAGAAGACTCTTCTCCTGGTTCAAAGCTGCATGTACCATGGAGGAGAGACCTACAGAGAAAGAGAGAGAGAGGGGGGGGGCAGATAGAGATACACACACGCGCGTAGGCGACGAACGTGGCTGCTGGGTGCTGAGGCTGGGAAGGGGAGGGGCCTTTGCTTGACGCGGCCGAGGCTTCTTGCGGAATGACGGAGCTCAGCTCATGCGCTTCTTCCTTCGTCGCTCGGTTTTTGTTGCACTTTTGGCCCAGCAGACCCGGGTCGAAGTTGCGATGGTTTCTGATAAGTAGGGGAAACGGAGACTTATGATTGGGCGAGGGAGGGAAATTTGGGAAATTTGGGAAATGTAAGAAAGCACTTCAAACTGCTTGCTACCATGAAGCTGCGGTGGAGACTTACTCCAGGTCTTCGCCGTAAATTGACTTGTCCCCTGTGGCTTATGAGGCTCCTCTGATCGCTCGACGCACTGGAGGCGGGAAGAGAGGTTCAATTTGCTCACAAGCGTGAGTGGTTCTACAGACCTAACTTGTGTGACGTAGCGCGGACGCAACGCTGGAGTTGTTGAATACAGTACTACGTGTAGTATTAGTTGGTGTTTTGTTTCTTCCTTCAGTTCACTCTCCATCTTGCCGATTAGGAGTTTTAGTTTGCCCCGTAAGCAAGTGGGCGCTGATTGGTTGATTCTACACTGGACGTATCTCCTGCGCGAATCCATGACGTTGCGTCGCTCTGGTCGCAAACCGTATCGCGAATAAGGGTGGATCGTACACCGAGTAGTTGGAACATTCATGTATGCGCCAAAGCATCCCCACCGCTAGATAAGCTCAACGTCCAGGTACGGGGACTTTAAAACACGGAGGTGCGTGGATTTGAACAAGAGTGATTGTCAACTAGTTGCCGAAGTTGAAGTTGTCATGCCATGTGATTCGAGACGAGATGGTCTGGTGGCGTTCTGCTGTTGCCTTACTGTATGAGTTAGCGCCAAATTAAGTTCAAAAGGGGTAGAGCGTAGTAACAAAGTTTCTTTTGCATTCTCTTCGCCATTGATACCTGCCGAAAACGTCTAAAGCTAAGCTGACAGGCTCGTTCACTAAGCTGCACATGATCTCTCACTTTCTGCGCGCACCATCCTATCGTGCAAGCGCTTATTTCTACACCATCAAACAACCAAATGCCGTTAGTACTTTACCCCAATCCCGTAGCCAAAATGACAACCACAACACCCGACTTGCCTTGCGGTTGAAGCGCTTGCGAGTGGCCCTCTTCTCGTTCTTCGCGTCAATCTTCTGCTGCTCTTCGTACGAAAGAGACGAGTACTCCTTGTGTTTCTTCTCGTTCAGCTCAGCCTGGCGACGAGCGATCTCCTGCGCACGGGGAAGTGAAAAGAATGGACCAAATTAGGAAGGCAATCTAGAAGCAAATGCGAAATAATGGGACTTACGTCCTCCTTGGCAGAGGCAAGCGCCTCGGCGGCCTGCTTGATCTTCAGACGCCTCTTGGTAGCGCTGTGCTTAGCCTGTTCAAAATGAAACACATCGTTAGTGAATGTTACGGACCCCAACGCAAGCAACTGAGAACGTACATTCGGCGACAGCTTGATGGTGGCTCCGGCACCATCAACCAGGGCGAATACGAGCTGAAGCGCCTTCGGCACGTCCAGCTTCTTTGAGCCAACCGAGAGCTTGAAACGGATACGCAGCACATGCTTCTGCGTCTTGGGCATGCCCCTACGATACAGGAAAGCATTAGTCGTTAAGTCGCATAGGAGCGCCTAGAATGAGCTTAGACTGTGCAATAACCAAAAATACTTACACAATTAGCTGCCTGTTCATGTCCGTGATCACAATGTACTCGAGGAAGTCCTCTAGCTCGTTGATAGACTGCAGCAAGGAGGAATAGCATCCGATACATTAAGCGATGTCCACTCATGCAAATTTTTAGGAATCAAGAAATCGAGAACCGTACCGCCTGGAGAGAGTGCGTCAGCGCAGTCTTGGGGATCTCCGTGCAATCCGTAGCAACCCACATCGACTCGGGCACCTCCTTCACCGGGACTTGCTTCGCGTGCTCAAGCTAATAGCACAGCAAAGACGTTTAGATGGTTAGGCATGTGGGTTGTTCAACAAACGAAAAGACTGCAGCTTACCAGCTCAGGGAAAAGCTTGGTCAACGCCGTGAATCCCAGCTTCTTGCTGATTCCAAGAATGAACGGGTCCACGTCCTCGCCGTGCAGGCCGACATCGATAGTCTAATCAGAATAGTGCATTCAACACGTCGCAAGTAAGTATCATGACATCACGTTCGCCTGTGCATGCAGCAAAACCGTACCAAGTAATCCGACGTCGGCACGATGATGCGGTAAATGCGCGAGATGAGGTCGTGGTGAGACTTCAACTGCAATCGCAACACCAAACAAACCAAGTCAGCGCGCAACACCCTAGCTTTCAATCGCACGCAAGCCAAAACAGTACCTCCAGGTCGGCGACAAAGCGCGTCAGGAAGCGGCGGCCCGTGCAGAAGTACTTGAAGTTGCTGCGGCTCTCCTCAATGAGGCCCATGCCGTTCTGCACAGATGATCCCGTGTACGAGAACTGGGTGCGCAGCACTGGCTCCGCTTCCTCCAGCCTGGTCATCGTCGCAACACGCATCAGCACCTCATCCAGCAACACAGTCTCCTCGCCAACGCAAAAACTGCCCGTACCACTTGTCAGCAATGCGGCGGTTCTGCGCCTTGCCAACGAAGTACAGCACCAGGAACAGGATGCCAAAGCTCCAGCTGGCCGCCTCGATCGCAAAGTAGTCCGCTGCAGCCGGAAAAACACCCAAAGTCGTACCGCAATGTCAATAAACCAGAAATCAACTCCCCCATTGCCAATTGCCATTGTAGACGCACGGTTCTGGAACGGGATGAACTGCTTGGCCAGCGTAGCGAAGTCCCGGGGCGGCAGCGCGTGCACAGGCGTCGGGGCCGCGCGCTCCTGCGTCTAAACGGCGCCGCAACACGTCAGCAACTCGCTCCAATAGAGAACCATTGTTGGCATTGCCACTCACCTCCACGACGTCGAACTCGTCCTGCTCTTGGGCTGATGGCACGTAAAACACACACGCCGTTAGCACGCAGGAGAGCGCTGCACTCGATGCCGCTGCAAGGGGAGGGGCTCCTCACCGTGCACGAACGCCAACGCCATTGCCAGCAGCGCCAGAACGCCGACCTTGCGCCACATTTCGCTCCTGCGTGTCTTTATCCGCTCGATGAGTTGGCAGCTCGATTGTGACCCGCCACGCGGTCAAGGTATCCGCTAGCATGTCGAAAAACCTCGGGGAATTGATTAGCATGAGGTTTTATAGAACCGGTACATTTGCCAGTCGACCACTTCCATCCAGGCTCGCTCTTCAAGCACTGCAAGGTCCGAGGGCTTGGCTAGGCCGATAAACGCATGCTGAGTTTTGCTTGTTAACATGCAGTCGCTACTGATGTGGAAAATAGTGTGAATGAAATTTTGTACGTGTAGTTACGTACGTCTTTATCGGCTAGCCGATTTTGATTTTTTTTGTGAACTTGGTATGGCAAGGCGCGAGCTGAAGTTCATCATCCTAACAAGTAAAGTCCCGAAGAAGCTCTGAATTTCGCATCACAAGTTGTGATTCACAACGCTTCGTGTGAGCTTAGTTTAGTTTGTAGGGAAGGCCCAAGCGTAATTACAACTAACCCACCTCGAGGTGTGGGTCTAGTCTAAAATACGCGTGTCATGATCACCGCACACGCAAACAAGCTGGGTATTTTCAATTGCTTCACCGCCAGGATCCTTTAAGTACGATCACTGAACTTGGATGTGTAAATAGGGAGAGCTACGAGATGTACCGTAGCAAGCAAGCCATCACCTCCGAGTTGGAGCGAATAAACATGAAATGAAGCAGTTGCGGTATTTTTTACGGAAAGCTGTGATTGTAGCGATCATCGTTTCAATGCCTTGCATACAAAGGCGAACTCCACGCACTACAGAGACTGAATAAAACACAGATGGATGCGAGTGGAGGGGGGCGGAAATGCTTACGATGGTCCCTACATCGGAAGCGGTTAGTGTATATAAGTCAAAAGTTTGTATGTTGACTCTGATGTGGCCCGAAAATGGATTTTGATCGGCAACTAACTGCTGGACGCCAACTCGCGCAGTCTTCTAGCGATAGCGTGGATGAATGGGTTGCTCTGCAAGGACAAACAACGTAAAATGTTAGCAGAGAAGCACAATATACATAGACAACGACATAATGAAGCACGTACCTCAATGTCACTGACGATGGCAAGCACTTTGCCGAGTGTGTGCTGGACGGCGCCCGTGCTTGATGCCGCTTCGGGGTGGCCCAGGTAGTGCGCGAAGTGCAGCAACAGCACGACGAGCATGTTCTCCACTACAAACGACACACTGTCGGCGTGGTACTCCAGTACACTCTCCAGAGGCGTGGTCTCGCACTGGTGCTCACGCCGACGAAGAGCGCGCTGCTGCGAGGATGACACGGAGGAAACTGAAATTGAGCGAGCCGAGTCAGATTCATTTTTGACAGCTGCAAGTGCGTCCACAAGCTGCTTGCTCGTCTCGAGAGCGAAGACTGTCGAATCGAAACGCGCAGTAAACTCGTTGATCGACGGCGCAAGCGTCCACAACGGATCAGTGGCTGCTGCAAATGCGCGCGGGTCCACCGATGACATGGACGGGAACTGGTTCCTGTTCTGTTGTTGGGCCTTGTTCGTGATGGACAACAGTGGAGCGGCACGGCCTTCCTTGCTCCCACCAACCGCAAGCGTCATACGGCTTGCGCAGAAAGCCACCGCATTACACAGAATCATACGAGAGGCGTATAGTTTCTCCTCATCAAGGAGGGACATGTGCAGCAAGCTTGCACTGCCACTGGACTTCACCGCCGCAGCGTCACACTTTTCCAAGATTTTATCTTCACAATCCACACACGAAAACCGCTGGATAGTCGCGTTACGCTGCTCCTCCGTCGGGTTATTGCTCCACCATGAAGCTCCGTTATTGTCGCTCATCCCATCGATATCGTCGCTGGGAGGCACCAACTCCGCGCTATAGTACAGGAAGACCTGAAGAATCAACTGCGAGATCTTCTCCCACTTAGCGGTTGCCAGCGTTTGCTCGCACAGGTCAGGGAACTGGATGACGTAGCGGAAGACGAACGTCACGTAGGACAACTCGCGCAGCAGGTTCACTGAGGTAGGCTGTGACTGCTGACCACCAGCACATAGCTTCAATGCTGACGTGAAAAGCTTCCGATTCTTGTTCACGAAATACAGAACTTGGCTCGTAAGTGCGCGGTTCTTGGGAAGTGCAGCGCAGCATGCGCTCAACAGTCGAGCCACCGGAAGCCACTTGCGGTAATACACAGCCTCGACACGCTGGAATGCTGCCACAGATGCGAGAGAGGACGGTGCGTTGTTTTGCTGAACAAAATACTGTGGTCGGTGTGTGGGCAGGTTGCGCGCATCGGAAAGCACACGGACCAGCCCACCTTCTAGCAATGCAACCGCTCCGTCCTGCGTCTCAGCAACTCGGGCGAAAAGCGACAAAAAGCACTCATACATTGTGCCAATGGTCGTAGAATCCATTCCGGGTGGAAGCACGCTGCTTTTCACCATAGTTGCATTCCCATTGCCGCGTTCAAATGCCGCTGCATCCATCTCGCTCAGCTTCTTGAAGATGTCAATGAAGTGCAGCAGGTAGCCACGTTCGCGGAAAGTTGATACAAGCGACGAGTGGTCTTCAAATGCAACCAGAGACTCGAGCGCAGACACCGCCAGTGCCATACCCAAAGTGTCTTCGCCATCGCTTGCGTCCCGGCATACCAGATCAACAACCTGGTTAGTGAGAAGATGCCGAACACGCTGTTCCTGACTGAGTGCAGAGCCAGACAAACCGAATTTCGCCGAGGCTGAGTCCTGTGAAGTACGACTGGGCAGCACATGCAGCACATGGACAATGCATGAGTACAGCAGGGTGCGGGAGTTGCGCGCCGCTGACGGGTTTCCTGTTGCCGCAGCGCTGCTGTAGATGGAACGGAACAGTAGCTCGAGGAAGCCCAAGTTCTGGCGATGACGGCTCTCCGGCAGCACAAGGGGCTGGCTTGCATCATCAGTGTAGCTGAGCTGTGAGAAGAGCATCAGTGCAATCCGCGACACAATTTCAAACAACTGAGCCGAGGCACTAGCCTTCTCGGTCAGTTTGCTCAGCACAGCTGCGACAATACCGCTCATCAGCTCGAGTCGTACTTCCGCGGATGCAACAGAATCAAGTCCCTGCCACATAGCCGGCGTTTCGAGTCCTTCTTGTTCACGAGGAAGCGCTAGGTAGTCCAGCACAATCACCTCCATAAGCTCCCGCAGCGAGTTCAACGCGTGACTCTCAGCAGCGATTCGCTCCGAATAAATGTTCCACTGCACAGCCCACTGGATGAACCTTTCGGCTGCTGCTTCAGCACTGTTCTGGCTGCTGGTACTGCTTGCGCCGTCTCCGTTTACACGGAACCTCTTGGCCGATGAAGAGTAGTAGTCACCCATTCCGTCCTCAGTTGCCGTCAAGTCGAGCGTCTGAAGAGCCTGGCAGAATCGCTCAATATCGATTTTGAGCCACTTGTAGTATCCCTGTTCTACTGCCACGGTCACCTGCTCAGCCAAAGCCAACACCTGCTGGTTCGTTGGCACCGGTGGTGGTGAAATGTGGAATGAGCATTCATCGAGTAGCTGCAACAGCAGCATCTGCTCTTGCCTTGCGATAGCATGGTGCTCATTTCGGTAGCCCACAGAGATGGATAGCAAGTATCCCATCAGCTTGTTAATCTGCTTCATGTGCGGGGGTTCCTTGTGCAGCCCTACATGCAAGTACACCGCCAGTGTTTTGAAGAACCACCCACGCATGTTCAGCTCGGCGATGGTTGTAGCAGCAGTCCTTCTCCTCGACACATGGTAGACGCGGCTGAACAACTGGATCTGAGAAGCAAAGTAGTCGCTCGGAACACTCTCAAGCGCCGCAATAGTGTTCGGCGATGAGAATTCCTGGGTGATCAGGCAGTGAAGAACGTGGTAGCAACGTTCAGCTAATTCTGGCGTCTCCAAGCCAAAGTCCGCGTTCGACACAAGGGTAATCACTGCAGCAAGACCAGTCTTCATGTACGAAGTTGGGGCAGCGGCGGTCTTCGAATCACCATGCTGATTAACATTGCCGAGCAGCAAATGCGCCAAATTAGGCGCCGGCTTGCTCAAATTTTCGAGCAGCAAATCAAGGATGGCGGCTCGAATAGAGGGTGGAGATGTATCTTGAGCAAACAATTCAAACGGGGACGAGAGCATCCGGCTGTCCTGGCATTTTCTCCTCCTGGGAGAGTCCGATCCGGCCTCGTCATGATCATCGCTAGCTTCAGTCTCGTTATCTCCTTGCTCATTCTCGTCGTCATCATACACGTTCAGCAAACGGTTCATGTAGCCAATCATTATGTCTGCGCTCGCCCCGCTGTCAATAAGCAGGTCTACAAGATCGGTCCCGCTCATGCGCCCGCTAATCAGTCGCAAAATAACTGCAGAAAGGTGCGGGATGTGCGCCGACTTTGAATACTTGATATACTTCACAATGTTCACGAAATCAGAGCGGTGGCGACACAGAATCGTGTGCATCATCTCGACTTGCAAGCGGTGGGAAAGCTGGCGGTTAAGGTCAATATTCACGAATTGGACGTCTTTCTCCAACACCAAAACCACGATCTCGAGTGCGTGCTGCACACACCGCTCACGCAGGGCAGCAACCGCCGTAGTTTTAGTGAGATACGTTTCACTAGGTTTTTTCGACACGTCAATGACGAAGTTCAGTGAGCCGTGTTTGGCTTCCGTCTCGCGTTTAACAATGTCCAGGCAGTAAAAGAATGAGTGTTCCAGGTGCATGTCCGTCGACGTACTCTCCAGATTCTCAACGCCTCCGTCTCCAGAGATAATAGACAGCACTTTTGTCAACAGTGGGTTGCTTGACAAGAACCGAGCCAGCAGTTGATAGGACAAACTACCCTCCGTGGTCGAAGTATCCGCATTCCGAAGAATCTTCTTGAAAATGGCAAGCGTGCCATTCACAAGCGCCCACTTTTCTTCCTCCCGCTCGTACTTCCGCAGGTCAAACTTCAAGAAAATGTGCTCCAACAAGAACTCGAAGTAGAACTGGATAGCCGCAACACGACCATCACCCTCGAACGATTTCCAGGCGTGTGGGTTCTCAAACAGTTCATAGAGCAGCGTGACGAATCCACGTGTTGCTGGGTACGTTCTACTCAATGATTCGTAGTGCTCAAGTTCGTAACTGATATCCTGATTGCCGTAGACCAACGTGTCTCCTGTAGTACGTAAAATCTGCAGCGCATCCACTTGACGCCACACAAATGGCGCAATATCCGGAACCCGCGCGAATACTGCCAGTGTCTTCATAAGAGCACCCTTCAGCGAGCTTGGGATACGACACTGTAGGAAAGCCACAAAAGTCGGGATCGGGGACCAATCATGATTGTGAAAGAAAATCAGGGCCAGCTGGGGGTCCGAAATCACTTCCTGGATAAGTTTCTGGATCGTCTCGAGAGCCTCCAACTCCTTCGGACGGATAAATCGGGGGCCAGGATTAGCTGCGCTGCTCACATTGTTGAAAGTGCTGCCATCGATACCAACCCCTTGCGCGACGCCACCAGGCATGAGCGGGGAGTATCCAACAGGCTTCTCAGCATCCGTAAGAAGTCGCTGGTACTTCGCCATCACGGCAAAGAATTGATCCCAACTAAGCTGCTGGGGGTTCTGCTTGATGTGGTGGAAGGCCTGCTGGGCGCACTCTGGTCCGCTGGCAGCAGCTGCCACTAGACGCATGTAAGCAGCCAGGCACCCAGGGTTTTTGAAAGCTGCGTCGCGGCATGCGATCAAAAAGTCGTGACAGCTGCCACCATCAACGCTGCTAGACATCGTTTCAGGTTGTTGGAGATCATCCCCCGCGTTGCTTCCGGTACTACTGCCATTGCTGCCGTGAAAGTCATACTCCTCGTTGGTGCCACGCCAAAATGAGCAACAGAACGCCGCGTTGCGGGCGCATAGCGACGTTGCAAACTCAATAATATTTTCGAGACAATCTCCAGTCCAGACTGCCACTTCGCCATCACTTTCTGATTGCATCGCAGCGATGGCGGCCTTGTCAGCGACGGTTGGCACATCGATCATCATCTTGGACGAATAAGTACAGAACAGCAGCTCGAAGTTACGTTCGTAAATGTTGTACAGCCGCAGGTCGCGCTTCCGGTCCGGCAGATATTTAAGCTGCACCTCGACCAGCGTGTGAAAGACGCGGTTCTCAATAGCCTTTTTGACCACGCGAGTCGATTCGTCCGCCTCCGCGAAAGTGACATTGCTGTTATCGTTGCCATCTCCGTTGCCAGCAAGAAAACCGGCCCATGCGAGCATCGCAACACTCTGAAAACTCTTTTGCTCCCACTCCTCCTCGAAAAAAATGCGGTGGAGCTCCTTCACCACAGAGGCGTGCTCCCGTCGGCAAAGCGCGGTTCCAACCTCCATATCACCTGTCTCGCGATCCATTTTTCTCGTTTTCTGCAGCAACACGACGAACAGCGCCACCTGAACCGCAGTAATTGTCTGCAGCATGCAAGACACCTGTCTCACTGCTCCCTCGGGCGACGTTCCAGCGAGTGATCCGCCTTCGAACAGCTGCGAGAACGACGACAGGTTCACAATGTGCGGCGACACCTTCGCCACCACATTTTTTAGCCGCCCGCACAGCGACTTTAACAGCTCTGCGAGCTTCTGTACTTCGTGGGCCAGCGTCAAGGTGCTCGACACAATGAACACCAGGCAGTCCGCCACAAGCGTGTGCCAGTAGCTCACGCTCTGCTCCATCCTGGGCACCTGTGCTAGCTGGGTAAGCTCTCCATCAAAAGCCGCCACGAGATTGGCCAGCAGCTCCTCTGTCAGCAGCTTGTTCGTGAACGTCACGATGAACTGCGCGCGTTGCTTGTCCAGCCGCGTCTCGAGCCGGAGGCGCAGCAGCTCCTTGAGCAGGTGCAGCTTGTACTCCGTCTCGGACGTGAGGAAGTAGCGCGCCGCGCTCTGCACCGAGTCGGCGATGGTGGCAGGCGGCAGCTGGTCGGCGCGCTCCACCCACTCGCGCTGCTGCTGCTCGCTGGCCAGCAGCCAGAACTCGAAGCAAGTCTGCTCGCTGGCGCGAAACTCGTCGCTAAGCTTGCAAATCTCCTGCTGGATGAGCGGCGACACGTCGACGTGCTTGCCGGCCACGGTCACCGTGTTGGCCTGCAGGGCCGCGCGCTCCGTGGCGCTGGGCGGTGCGAGCGTCAGCGGCTTCAGCAGCTCGGGCGCCGCCGCCACCAGCTGCGCCATGAACTGCGGCGCGTCGTCGTCCGTCATGCTCTGTCCCGCGAAGGCCAGCAGGTCCTGGTGGAGCTGCCGGAACCGCAGCGCCGGCGCGTCCGCGAGCGACAGGCTCTCGCTCATGGTCGCAATTTGGAGTCCGTTGGCTTGTGGGGGCTTTGGGGGGATTGCATTGGCGCCGAAAGCTGTCGTATTTAAGTGAATGACTGACCATCACTCCCAAATGGTGTGTCACACACGATTGCGCACTCATTGCATCAGATCGGCTTGAACCAGAGGAAGATGAGGAAGCTGCGGATCTCCTCGCGACTCAAGGCCCCCGTCACGTGGCTTGCGCTGGTCTTCATCTTGCTATGCGCGTACCACGAAAACCTCGTGTGTCTTGCGGATAGAACGGCGCCGGCTACGACGTATCGAGTCGACGGCAAGACCAACATCAAGGACATATTCAAGTGCTCGGGCCTCCACTTCATCGGCTCCTTCAACGAGTACTACGTGGCCTGCGAGCTGGCTGTGCCCGCCCAGGAGACAATTCAGCTGCTTGAGATCGTGGACGTGACGCTGGACGGCTCCAAGCTGTCGCCGCTGCCTGGCGTCCACGCAGAACTGGCGTTCCAGCTCAACGCGAGCATCGCCACCGTGTCCATGCGCAACAGCCAGCTGCAGGCAAGCGCCGTGGAGATCCACGCAGCAAATGTAACTATGGATGAGCACTCGGCTGTAAATGTTACGGCGCGAGGGCTCAAATTCGGGCCCGGCTACAACTCGTGGAACTCGATGGGAGGCAGCTACGGAGGCATAGGGGGCGCGTCGCTCACGGAAGTCCGCTCGAAATGCGATGACATGCCTCCTAATGACTTTTTCAGAGTTGTGGGAGATGTGTCCGGGGATATGGCGAACTTTAGGGGTTATGGAAGTGGAGGAGGCAACGACAAGAGCCGAGGAGGAGGACGGATTAGATTGGTGGCGGGACAGAATGTAGAGATCAATGGATCGCTGCTGACAAATGGAGGAGATGCGTGTACAGACTGCTATGATAGTGCTGGTGCTGGCGGGAGCATTCTTATTGTTGCAACGAAACGCATTCATGGCAATGCAACGGTGCAAGCTAATGGTGGGCAACCGAGTGTCCGCAATGGAGATGGTTTTAGTGACGGTGGTGGAGGGGGCGGTGGAGGAGGTGGACGAATTGTGTTTGATTCGATGAATGCGGAGGAGTTGGGACCATCTCGGGTTGAGGCATACGGTGGTGGTTTTAGCTCAGACAATAACGCGGCGATTGGATGGTGTCAATTGGGAGGTGACGGGACAATATTAAAGCTGCAGCATACGACCAAGGAAGACGGTGGGCTTGACGGTAGCGAAGAACAGGACCGCGCTGGTGACGGCAAGACGCTCCTAAGCACGTTGTTAATAAAAGGGGGTCGTCTAGCACACTCTGGTCCGGTGAAGCGAATCCAGATCTACGGGTGCACTCCCATATTCGAGCAAACGTCAAGAGGTGCTCGGTTTCTCCCAGAATCCCTGGCACATGTTTTCGTAAGTGGGGGAGCAACAGTTTGCGCATCAGTAATCCAGCTGAAGGTACGTACATTGCTTGATCAGCGTGGGCTACTTTCTTAAAGCAAGATACGGTGAGTTGATTTTTTGTTACTGTGGGGCTTTGTAGGATAGCGTTGGAGGTATCGAGAGTTCGATTGTGGTAATGTTGTGGAGGCACTACCAACCAACCATCCTAAAGCTCGGTGAAGCTAATACTACCTTGGTTTGTGTGCTGTATGCCAGATCGACTCCGGCTCAGAACTCAATATTCTGGATCGTGATCGGGTTGTTCAGCTATCGGCAGCGCAGATCACTATTCAGGTAGGCGCAAAATGCGGGGAGGACTTTGCTCCTGATTATAGTGCATGACGTGCTGAATGCTGTATTTGGGCAGGGATATGTGGGCCCGTCTTCGCTACAAGAGCGCGACTTGTTTGGTTTAAATCTTATTGCCGCTGACGTATCGTTTTCAAATGCGTTGGCTATGGTGCATGAGCTTGGAGTGGCTGCTCGCGGTGCGCTGTCCATTGATAAGTTTTCTGAACTCAAGTTTCGGGCGCAAGTGAAAGTCGAAACGGGTGCTTCAACTAAGGTTGAAGGTTTTCTACAGCCTTTGGCTAAGCCCTTCCAACAAACGGGTGGTGACGGCCCCGATGATATTCCAGTAATCAGCTTTACTAGCAAGAAAGACATCGAGCTTCGACCGCAAACTGTTGAAATGGGCCAGGTCAAGTTCCGCATCGATGCCAATGGTACAGGCATCCTAGATATGCCGTTTGACACTCCCTTTTTGAGGCTGTCAATATCGGCAGCAAATGTGTTTGTCGCCAACGTGAACAGTGGTCCTGTGTTTGAGTGCAAAGGTATCAAGCATCAAGCTGATGCAGCTACCTGCAAATCTCTACATGGAATAAGTGATGATGCCAAGCCGTATTCTATCAGTGTATTCGCTTCCGAGGTTGCGACGATTGGGAACATTTCCGCAGGATCCATTATTTTGTGCAGCGGGAACAATATGACCATCGAGGGTGCAATTTCCAGCTCGTGGCTGGGGTGCGGGTCTGGTGTGGGGCCAGGAAAGAGTGAAGTATCGGGAGAAGCCAGCGGTGGAGCTGGTCATGGTGGACGAGGTGGCAACGTTTTGCCTGGAAGCACTGGAGGTGGTGCCACCTACGACATTTCGAAAGAGCTTGGACTCCAACAATCAGCAAGTTGGATCGTACCATCGTCTGCCGACATGGGGTGGCCAATTTGGCCTGGAAGCGGTGCAGCGAGTGGGGATACACCAAATAAAATCACTGGAGGCAATGGGGGCGGAATTATCTACATCGGATCCAAGAATCTCGTTGTAGCTAAGACTGCGTCAATATTAGCACAAGGAGGGGTTGGGTCCATGGGTGGCGGTGGTGGATCAGGTGGAGCATTAACGCTTTTCATCGCTAACATTTCAGGCGGTGGCGCGATTGATTTATCCGGAGGACCAGCATCGACACCTGTAGTGTCCCCGAATGTCGACGAAACAGCGAATCAAACGTCGATTTGGGATCCGAACTTGCTTCCTGGAAAAGCCGGGAAAATTGGAGGAGGAGGCGGAGGAGGAATAATCCGAATCACGTATCTGGATGATAAAGCTGGAGGAAACGGCGAACAATTTATCGAAGACGGAGGCCGCATTTCTGTGGACGGTGGTGAAAGCACAGGGGGCGAGAATGGGGGCACTGGTGTAATGGTTGGGGCGAATTGCAGTCCAGGTCGCGGAGGTGTATTTTGCTTGCCGTGCCCGGAGGGCAGTCACAGTCCAGGTCGCTTTTCGAAGTGTTCACCTTGTGACCCCGGAACTTGTTCAAGCCATGCTGGCGCTGCAACCTGCGATGCCTGTCCTATCGGTCACTTTAACCCGGATTTTGGTAAGAAGGAGTGCCAGCCATGTCCGCTAGGATCATTTAGCGCGAAGACGGGGCTGAAGAAGTGTGAGCTATGTCCACCAGGCGCATTTGCTGGCTTGCCTGGCAGCAGCGCATGTTCTGCTTGCCCGGTTGGTACTATTTCAACGTCATCCGGTAGTAGCAATTGCACCATTTGTGGTATCGGGGAGACCACAGTAAAAGCTGGTGCTACCGTGTGCGCTGCCTGCAAGACTAAGCCTGTTCACTCAGAGTTCAATATGCGCGGGAACTGTTCTTACGCCTGCTTCAAAGGCCGCAACGGTCTGGATTGTTTGACACCCTTCGAGCGCTTGGTGAAGCCCATTGGTGGGCCTATAGGCTTTGTGATTTTGGTATTTAGCATGATGGGGCTTATCTTCGGTGGCTGGGGGTTTCTTTCGTATCGAAGCTCTAGGTCCGAGCTGCGTCGTTACGCTGAGTACAAAGCACAAAGGCTTCGCGACGAGCTCTCACTGGAAACGTTAACGCGGACACTAACGCCTCGGCTCACCGACCAAGATTTAATTGCTCATGTTGCGCGATTATATCTTGCCGGAGACAACCATCTTAAGAGTGCGTGGCGACTGAACCCGTATTTTCTGCCTGCGAGTTTGCGCGACATCGTCGAGGAAGGCACGTACGCAAGTTTTGCTTCGACATGCAACAAATTGGTGGATTGGGACCCGGCAGGCTGGGAAGCATGGATCTACCGCTTGCTGCTTGTCACGATGCCTCCCGTGAGCACCCTTTTCATGCGCCGTCGCCAATTGCATCGTGTGGTGGAGCTTTCCAAGTATATCGTTCACTACGGCGGGCGTTTCTTTCGTGATATGAACTTTCGGGTGCACGGTACACAGCTAAAAGTTGGCTTCAGCTCCGACTTTTCTCTTGGATACTTTGACGTGCTGATATCGCAGTCCAATTCTTCATCGTCCTCGAACTTAGCTGCAATGCAAGCAGTAAGTCACGAGGATTTGGTGCTCGTTGTTGGCGGGAGTGGATCATTTTTCAGACCATATCATCTCGATACGAACGACATCATCCTGCGGGCTATACCTTCGCGTTTGGAACTATTGGAGCACAACTTTTGGATTGATTTTGTGGCTGACATCAACCAAAAGCTGCGCGTTTTACCTCAGCCTTCATCGACCGTTCGGCGTGTGCACGAGGCGGCCGAGGTTTCTCGTGACATTATTGCGCTTGTAGATACTTTCAACGAGAAGCACGTAAAGGACGGGTTTGCTGTGGCGTTTGGGACGTTTTCAGTTGGTGACGCAGTTGCAGCTGACGGGAATGAGAGTTGCTTCGAGTCATTCACAGTCGAAAGTGTGGATACGACATTCGCATTGTACCCGCAAGAGGCATTCAAGCTGGCTTTCCTAGTATCCCGATTGAACTCACCAGAAGCTTCACCAGCAACACTGCGTGATGTGCGTGACAGTGCGCCAGACCCACCCGTGGAGTTGGCATCTGAAATGAATGACAAGGTAAAGGCCGAAACTGATCCTAGATCCGCCGACTTCCGATACTCGCAAATTAGAATGGAGGCGCTGTTTGCACAGCCTGAGCGTCAATCGTTTGGAAACTACGGCGACGACTTAAGCGATGACAGTGACAGTCTGACGCCACTCAAGAAGCCTTTGAGTGGCTCCAACGCACGCCGCGCGAGGGCACTGCTAGAGTTTGTGTGCACAAATGATACAGCGAAACGGTGGCTGATGGTGCTTTGGCAGCCTGTGTACCCTCTTTTCCGCTTGCGAAATCTGCCGCGACCTGAGCTTCCTGTTCGCTGGTTGCTTTCTGTGACTATGGTGCTGCTGCTAATCGCCGACATGGGTGTTGCCTTTTGGATCATGGTGGAGTATTATTGTGTACAAATTCGCGATCCAACTGCTCAGGACTCGGGCTGCTCTCGGGTACGTACTTTGAAGCAATCGAAGATATACCCTTTTGGTGATTCTAATGGTGTGCGTTTGTGTTTTGTCTGTCATTCTGTCGAGTCCAGACAGCTCTATGGTCTGTGTTAGGTATCCTACCTGCAGCGATTGTTGGCTCACCACTACTTGGATTGGTATTTGTCACGAGGAAGAGTATCTTTTGCGGCAAGTTGTTCGCCGTGTGGAATACCAGTTCGATCATGAACCAAGTTGTAGCCTTTATCTGTGGGCTGGCATTCTTGGCGTACATTCACGACGAAATCCTCTTGGTGGCAGTCGGCGGTGTGCTCATCAAATATCTCGAGAAGGAGGTGGCGCTACGTTGCATCGCGCAATACGCCAGCGAGCGGCCACTGCGCGGTTGGCGCGGCCTGCACACCACCCGTGATTGGTATGATGCTGCGTATACTCCCTTAGTTCATTACGAAAGCTGAGGTGAAGCATCGAATAGAGCCAATACACTGTATTTCGTGTTAACCTTAGCCGATCGCTCTCCAGTTAACTCTTCCGACAGCTCTACCATCTCCGCGAGAAGAGCTTCATGTAAAAATACGTGACGATAAACACGATAATCAGCATGGCCACCAGCCACAGCGATGTCCAGAAGCCAATACTGGACGCCAGTTGCTCCTTTAGCTTGGCGTTCTCACGGTCAAGCAGAGCCGTGTTCGACTCGGCGCTCTGCCCCACGGCGTCCAGGATCTTCACATCTTCAGCCAGCGACTGGTTGATCGTCTGCGTCCGGTCCTTGAGTTGCTTGGCCAGCGACATCATCTCCGACTGAATCGACTCCTGCTCTTCACGCGCCACGGTCTCGGACGCACTTGCCTGCGCCCCAGCGCGATCCACAAGGCCCAGTCTCTTCCTGATGGCCTTGGTGGACAGCTTCTCCTCCTGTGGGGTGGCCACCTCGAGCATCGCCTTGAAGTCGTCCGCCGTCAGGTCTGAGCGCAGCTCCGGCGTTGAATCCACCACCGCCTCCTTTACCTCCTCACTGAGCGCCGACTGCCTCTCTTGGCCATCCACAGGATCCTCGGGTTCAGTCTGCACCTTGGCAGCAGCACGAGCGCGTTCCTCCCTCATCTTGGCGACCTCGGCAGCTCGTGGAATCCGCATGGGTTTGACATTGTCCACCTCCAGCTCTCTCTTAAGTGTGGCGATGGCGTCCATCACGGGGGCAAACTCCGGCCCCAGGGCCTTCAAGCCGTCGCTGTTCTGGCTGAGCTGCTGGAAGTGCAGCGCCAAGTGCTGATACTGTTTGGACACGTAAGCACGAGAGTTGTGAGTGTTATAGGCGGAGAGGAGAGAGTGGAAACGTGGTAAGATGTGTGGGTACCTGGTCTATGATGTCGGCATCTAGAGGGTACTCCTTGTTGGCTTGGAATCGCGTCCAGGCCGCGAGGAAGCGGCGGCAATCCACCGCCTCCATCGTAGCAAGCACAGGTAATGTCATTGTGCACAGAAGGGGGTATGAATTTCAAATTTAACATTATTCTGCGACACCCCCTAACCTTTTCCAACATTACCCCTATTTTTGCTTCGTTAACCTCAACTCAACTATTTTTCGTAATACCCCATGCCCCTCCCCATAATTTGACTTACTCGTCGTTCAGCGCAGCACCAATGCGGAGGAATACGTCGCGCGGGATGCCACACGTGCACCCCGGAACGTCACACACATACTGCTGGCCTAGTACGACACTGCTCTCACCTCGACTACGCGGCACCGAGTTGTTACTATTCACGGTGTCTTCTCGCAGTCGAGGGGTCTTCTTCATCGGTGTCGGGGGCACACTGCGCTGGGACAAGGTCGGTTGAAGCGCCTGGTCTTGCCGAGTGCTTCCTAGAGGCTCCGCGTTGTGCTGCTGGTTGAAACGAACAGCATTAATCTTGACGGACGCGTTCTCGACCTGCCGTTTGAGCACGTGCAGCTCGCGAGCGTATTGCGCACAGTCTTCTTGAGCCTGACGAGCTTCTGTCAGCAGCTCCTCGATCTCTTGCAACTCGATCTCCAATGTCTTCACCGCACTCTGCTGCTTCGCCACGCAAGCCTGCGCGAGATCCCGCTGCTTGACGGCGCTGGCAAGTCGCTGCGCATACAGCTGTCGTCGCTGGCTGCGCTGCTCCTGAGCCTCTCGAGACTTGGCTAACAGAGCCAACAGCTCCGCGGCTGCCTCGCTTCTCGCTACTTTCTGCCGGTCAATTTCGTCGTGGATGGCTCGCTGCTCGGCTACTCGAGCTTGTGCTTGTGTTTTCAAAGCGATCAAACGACTACGCTTCGCTCGGGTGATGTTAAACTCGCAGCACAGCCGAGCCCACGTACTTAGCGCTCGAGTCAGAGACCGCCTGCGCCAGAAGTGCAGCTTCTTGTCCGCAACTAACAGGCCACGCAGCGGTTGGTCCAGTAGATGGATACCCGCGGATAGTCTGAAGCTGGAAGGGTCCATCTCGGATGGGCATTGATGCGCACAGCGGAGACCGTGGCACCATCCGTCTACAGCGAGAGTATCCGCTGAAGATTGGAGGCTACCGAGACCCCGTGGACGGAGGATACCAGGCGATGCAAAGGTAGCAACCGACCCCCAGCATCCGATGAAGAGAGCCCCAAAAGTGTAGAGCCCCACCCCATGGCGAGTTCTGCATGTAGTGGCAGCCACCGACAGCGTCCCAGAGCTTCCCGCCGCACCGACGTCGCCTTCGTAGTGCAGAGCGGGGTCGTAGCGCGTTCCGTGACCCGCTTGATTTCCGTTGAGCCATTGCCCGCAGTACATGTGACCCGACGAAGTTGTCAGCACGCCGAGGCCATGAGGCTCCCATTCGTTTTGCTCCGATCGGCCTTGCAGTCGAGCCTGTCCCCGGTAGATCCCGCCGCCGAATGCAAGGACGCGGAACGAGGTGTCGTCTGAGAAATTGCTGTCGTCCGAAGATGCAGCATCTGCTTCGTCGCCTGCAGCAGTCGCTCCATCGACTTCCAGCTCATTGTCGTCCTCCTCAAGCGTCTTGCGGGCTCGGTCGAGCTCCAGACGCAGCGCGGTCAGTTCGAACTCGCCGTACGCGGACGGGATGGCGTCTGGATTGCGGATGCTCAACCTGCCCGACGGATTTGGTTCCGCTTCGGCAGCAACAAAAGCATCAACAGCGCCGGCGATCGAATCTCCGGGCGCCAGCTTCAACACGTCACTTGCCGGCGGCTCCGCAGATCCCGAGCCTCCACTTGCAGTTGCAGTTGCCGCCGGTGCGCGCAGGGACTGGTCTGCAGGCAGAGCTTCTGACGCAGCCTGGCCGTGAGCGCGCAGGGCGGCGGCGTCACCCCGGCCGGCCATCTGGACTGACGTGCAGGCGCCGCGTTCAAGCGGGGGGCACTCGACTGCGAATCGTCGCCGCTTCGCATGGTTTTGCTGGAGCGGCTCGCCGACACCAAGCAGAGCGCGAGCGCTTTTGCGCAACGCAACACGTGGTTGAAGCGCGCGCAGGTTCAAGCCTAGTTCAACCGCAGGCGCGTGTGTTAAAGCACGCCGAGCGCGATTGTGAGGTGGGGCCTTTGTCAGTCTTGGTTGCGTTGCGATTAGCGAGTCGCGCGTGGCTCGAGAGTCTGCCCCAACTCGTCGAACGCCGATTGCGCTACGCTCACCCACGAGCGCCACTAGCCCCGCGTCAACCACGCAGATACATGTACGTACATGCACGCGCGCCGAGTGTCTTCAAGGCCCACGGCGGGCGGACTTGGTCGGGATCTGCAGCACAGGTTTCGTGTTCAAGTTGCCAGCGGATTTCCGGTGCATTTTCGTCTGTCTCTGGTGGACAAAGACCGGATCTGTCTGCCACGTCACAGGTGCGCGCGATTTGGCTAGGGACCGCCGAACTTGCAGTTGTTGCAGGCGAGCGTATCAGTGGGCGGAGGAGGGGCCATGCTGCTGCAGGCGGCGAGCGAGCTCTAAACAGCTCGCGGCGTTTGACGCCACTCGCGCGCGTTAAACCGCAAGCAGGGCTCATTCCACATTCCGCTCCGTCCGCCCCAAGCGCCTGCCCCAGTCCAAGCAGAAGGAAGCCGGCCCCGTCGTCGATAAAATGATGCAAGTTTCCCAGTTCCGAGCACTGCGCCGCGCACAGTCGGTCGCACACGCCCGCCCGGTGCAGTCGGCGCTGGCCCGAGCCTTCTCGGCGCAGAGCGACGTGGACGTGGAGGTCTGCGAGGAGGAGATGCTGCGCGCGCTCGACAAGTTCCAGAAGGACGCGGCCAGCAACACCGTGCCGTGGTTCCTCGAGAACATGCCGCCCTCGTACTTCCGCTCCGTGCACGAGGAGGACCGCATGCAGCACCTGAACGCCATCACGGCGCTGCTCGGCGCTGAGCAGCCCGAGGTGCTGCTGCGCTCGCCCGACCAGACGGTCTTCTCGCACTTCCGTTCGGGCGCCAACTTCCCCGGACGTCTGGCCAACGTGCTGGACCAGCTCCCGCAGACGGTGGACGGCGCCACGCTGGCCCGTGTCAAGATCTTCACAGCCCTGGACGACTCGCTTGGCCTCGACATCTTCCGCTTCGGTCAGCAGGAGCCCTTCCTGAACAAGACCGAGGATGAGAAGCAGGCTCGCGCCGCCATCCAGCAGTTCTGCGCCGACATCCAGGCCGGCAAGTACGCCGGCCAGGCCTGCTACCCCGTGGCCGGCCCGCACTTCGAGCCTGAGGCCGTCGACGCCTTCCTCAACCAGAGCAACACCATGTACGTGCAGTTCAGCAACCCCCGCCGTCTCGCCAAGCAGATGGAGCTGTTCCAGCGCGTGCGCGGCACCGAGGGTGTGTCCGTCGACGTCGAGCACAACTGGGAGACCCGCAACGAGGAGAACAAGTACGCCGCGAGCGGCGTCCCGCAGACCATGCTGACCATCGCGGCCTCCAACGTCATCCCCAAGAGCTTCATGCAGAAGGCCGCCACCTACCTGGGTCTGTGCAACCTCAACGTGGTGCGTGCTCACCTCGACGTGGTCAAGGACACCGAGAGCAACAACGGTGACGGCCACGTGGCCATGATCCGCATCCTGGTGCAGCCCAGCGAGCAGGCCCTGGCCGACAACTTCGAGTTCGAGTGGTCCAAGATTTCGGGCAACCTCAAGTACCTCAAGTGGGTGGACGACCGACCCGTGCACCTGACGCTGCAGCACCCCGACCTGGGCATCTCGCGCGCCGAGCTCATCTACGCCTACGGCAACATGCTGCACGGTGTTCTCGCAAAGAAGGACCCGTTCGCGTACTCGCTGACCCGCATCATGGAGACGCTCGAGCACGAGCAGCACCTGCCGTTCGCTTCGCGTATCTCGGACTTCTTCCTGAGGAAGTTCGACCCGCAGCAGCAGGCTCTGACCGACGCCGAGCAGGACGCCATTGTGGACGAGATCAAGGCCGACGTCCGCCGCAACGTGGAGCAGGAGGACGCCATCGTGCTGCTCAACAGCATGGCCGACGCCGTCCGTGGCACGCTCCGCACCAACAAGTTCGTGCGCGAGCGCTACGCTCTGTCGCTCCGCATGGACCCCAAGGTTATGGGCTACGGCACCGTGGGCAAGGACACTCCTTTCGGCGTCTTTTTCATCTACGGCCGTCGCTTCAAGGGCTTCCACGTCCGCTTCCGTGACATTGCTCGCGGTGGTCTCCGCATGGTGTACCCCAGCTCCACGGACGCCCACGCGCTCGAAAGCGCTCGCCAGTACAACGAGGCGTACAACCTCGCGTTCGCCCAGCAGCTCAAGAACAAGGACATCCCGGAGGGTGGCTCCAAGGCTGTGGTGCTGTGCGACCCCATCGTCGGACCCGTTGGCGATGTCGCCCCGCGTGACTTTATCATCCGTAAGAGCGTCAAGGCCTTCTCAGACGCGCTGCTCGACCTGAACACCACCGACGAGGCTGTCAAGGAGAAGGTCGTGGACTACTACGGCCAGGACGAGCTGATCTACCTTGGCCCGGATGAGAACATCATCCCCGAAGACATCACGTGGATGACGAACCGTGCTGCGGACCGCGGCTACCCGGTGCCGCGCGCCTTCATCAGCTCCAAGCCCGACGCTGGTTTCAACCACAAGGTCTACGGTGTCACCAGTGAGGGTGTGGCTGTCTTCGCTGACGTCGCCCTGCGCTCGCAGAACATCGACCCCACCAAGGAGCCCTTCACGGTGAAGATCACCGGCGGAACTGATGGCGATGTAGCTGGCAATGTGATCAAGATCCTGCACCGCGAGTACGGTAACAACCTGCGCGTTGTCGGCATTTGCGACGGCACGGGTGTGGTCGAGGACCCGCAGGGCCTCGACATGGGCGAGCTGCTGCGTCTCGTGGACGAGTCGCTGCCGCTGTCCAGCTTCGACGCCACCAAGATCTCGGCGGCGACGGGCGTCAAGCACGACATCAACACGGCCGAGGGCATCCGCGCTCGTAACTCGATGCACAACCGCGTCAAGAGCGACCTGTTCATCCCCGCTGGTGGCCGCCCCAACACCATCAACGAGCACAACTGGCGCGACTACCTCGACGCGGACGGAAAGCCGTCGTCGAGCCTGATCGTGGAGGGCGCCAACCTGTTCATCACGCCCGAGGCGCGTCAGCTGCTGTTCGACAACGCCGGTGTGGTCATCGTCAAGGACAGTTCGGCCAACAAGTGCGGTGTGGTGTGCTCGTCGTACGAGATCGTGGCCAGCATGCTGCTCGAGACCGACGAGTTCCTCGCCGTCAAGGACGAGCTTGTCGTCGAGGTCGTCGACAAGCTGCGCGCGCTGGCCCGCGTGGAGGCCCAGCTGCTCTTCCGCGAGTACAAGAAGGACCCGTCGTCGGCGCTGCCGCCAGCCAGCGAGCGCATCAGTCGCGCGATCACCCGCGTGCACGACGCCGTCCTGGCCCACTTCGACGACGTGTGCGAGGAGGACCAGCAGATCCTCTTCACGCTCATCGAGGAGCACCTGCCGCCCAAGCTCCGCGAGCTGGCGCTGCACCGCGTGCACCAGAACGTGCCGCTCGCCTACATCCGCTCGATCGTGGCCTCGAGCCTGGCCAGCAAGATCGTGTACCGCGAGGGCCTGCAGTTCACGGAGGCGCTGCCGGAGGGCAACCTGGGCGACATGGCCCTGCAGTACCTCAAGCAGGAGAAGAAGGTGCAGCGCCTCGTGCAGGACGTGCGCTCCTCGCAGCTCGCGAACAAGGACGACATCGCCGACCTCATTGCTCGCGGTGGCGTTCGCGCTGGCATGGACACCCCCAACTAAATTGTGCATTAAGGGTTAACTGATAGGAGGGTAGCAGGGTAGTAGACGTGTATGTATCGCTCGAAGAAAGCTTTCGATTTCAACTGTTTCGCATATTGGTTCGCATCGTCCTTTTGGTGCAAGTTGAAGTGCTCTTCAAAGATACTTTTATTGCGCATGTGCTGGTGCAGGTGGACAGCGTACAAATGCACGCGCGAACCTCTCTCCAGGTTGCTGCTACATACGAATACTACAACATGTATGCATGTAGTAGTGCAACGTCCCCCATCCACGGACTGAAAGCTAGATTATCAACATGCGGACACCTTCGCTGACGCCATAGTCTCTAATGTGCACATCATTCCCCATCTGACATTCGTCTCCAGGAACCAACTCGAGTACATGTACCAATGGTACAGTACCAGGTACTATTACATGCAGCTCACTGAGTGTCATCGTCCAATGTCGTCTCATAGTGTTGCTGACGACATATTGGGCTGTTACCCCTTACCTTTTTTGGGATCCCAACGAGACTTACTCCGCACGAGCGCATGGCACTTGGAACCGCTACTGGTTCCCAGTCGCGGGGGTTATCCGTTGTGACTTTATCTCGACGATCCGTTCACTCGACCACACCGCGACGGGGCTACGCTGCAAGCGAGTGAGCCGTTCTACCTGCACAAGTGTGTTTCGATCTTGGTGTTTAGCGATGGAGAACAAGCAGCAAGAGCTAGACCACGTGGATCCAGCATCTGAGCTGGACAAAGAGAGCGAGGTTTCCACCCGAGGTGCGTCGGATAGTAGCAGATGAAGACCAAGTTGTGCTCTCTTACTAATGCTTACACGCCATGATCACTTGTAGATGGAGCGGTACTGTCGCGGATGTCCTTGATCACATTGGAAGCTCGAGGCTGATCTACTCTACTGTTTGTTCGTGTAGGTCGCGTTTTTGGAGAATCGTGGGGCCGTCGTAAAGAGCAAGTCGCCATCGAATGCAGCTCTACTGAAGGCTGGACTGAAGACTAACTTGTCCCCAGCGGAGGCAACAGCTCAGTTGCGTGTGCTGTGCCGGAAGTTCGCTGCTCTCACCGAGAAAGTGAAGGTACGAGGCCTCTGTTACACGAAGTAGAGATCTTCACCCCACTGAAGGTTCGCGTTCATTTCGTTAGGACGAGACAAAAGTCCGCGAAGCCGCGGAACGAGAAGTTCGTCGACTCAAAGCGTTGCTTGACAAAGATTCATCACCCGTTGTTGCGTCCTGCCGTGCCGAAACTCAAGCATACGTTCGCGAGCTCAAAGATAGCCAAGAGAAACTCAAGCGAGAGCTGCGAATCGAAAAAGAGAAGAACGAGCGCGTCGTGGCCAAAGCGCTGGAGCTCGAGCGCGAAAAGAGCGCGCTTCTTGCTACTCAGTCGCAACAGCAGACGCAACCGACCACTCGATCGCAGCAGGACGCGAGTTCTGGCAGCTTGAAGCACCAGTCCGCTTGGGATAAGGAGCAAGTGTATAAAATTCAGTCGACACTCAAGCTCACGATTGAAGAACTCGAAGAGGAGCTGTCGCGAAAAGAGGAGGAAGTTCAAACGTATCGAGAGCGGTCTCAGCGCGATCGTGTTCGGATTAAAGCGCTTGAGGACGAGATCCGCGCCAAGGACGATGCACAACGCGCTGCTCAAGAAGCTCGACGACAGCTTGAAGCAGACTTACGACAGGCGCAGAACGACATCACCAATGAACTGGAAAACATGCAGCGTATCCACGACCAAGGTCAGGAAGACCGCGCGTTGCGAGACACACTGGAGCAGCAGTTGGTCACCCTAGGCGAAGTGAACGCTGCTCTGGAGCAACGCAGTCGCGCACTTGTACGCCGGTTGGAGCTATCAGCGGCTGTGACACAGGAATGTCAAGACCTCAAGCTTCAGCTGCGCGATGCCGAAGTGGACAATGAAACACTGATCCAAACTGCAAGTGTTCGTCTATCATATAGCTGCTCTTCATCATGTGAACTAACCCGTGTTGTGTTTGTCAGATTCGCAACCTAAAGGATGAGCAGTTCGGGCGTGAAAAGGACTGGAAAATGAGGTTAGAGAGCGCCAAGGAAGAGAAGGTCCAAGTGGAGCAGCAAGTCCGTGAGCTGCAGGAGGATCTCGCCTCGCTCCAGGCGCAGAATTCGCTCTTCTCCGAGTGGATGCTGGTTCGCAATGAAAACGCAATAGCTGCGCAGCGTGATACGCCTCAGGACCCGACTGAGTACCCGCAAGAGCCTCAACAATCACAACCTCGGGCTGCATCACCAACAGCCAAACGCAAGAGTTCTTCATGGCATTTGGAGCAAGACTACGACGCCGACTGCAGTAGTAGCAGCACGTATGCTTGTCGTGACACCACCGGCACCAATCTACGTGGACGTCGGACGGCTTCTCCACGAACAAGTGCTAGGAATGAAGACGACGATGACTCACACTTCATTTTCTCAAAAACAAGCGTGCGCTCTCGTCCGAGTACTCCAGCATCGCCACGGCTATCGTCGTCGAGGAGGTGGCAGTCGGCTAATCCTTTGAGTCCTCGTGGAGTAGCACGCACTCGTAACCTGGAGCGAACCAAGGCAACACCGCGTTCACCCCGCCGAAAGATGTCGACGACATCGATATCGTCCGCGTGCTCGTCGGCTACTTCGATAACACCGAGTGCGTCTTCATCCTCCGCTAGAGATGACCACGAGCGGTTGCGGAAGCTCATGAGCCGGAACCGCGAGCTACAGCAGCGACTGCAACAGGAAACGATGGCCACGCAGAACCTAGAGCGAGAGATCACCAACATGACGTCCTAAGCTGGGAATATTTTGACACGTGTGCTAGATTGAGAGCAGGATGATACCGACGGCTGGCCTGAATGAAGAAGCCCGTCCATCTTGCCCCGTTATTTCTTCTTGGAGCCGATGGCTCCATTGCTTTGAGAACCGCTATCAGCGTTGCCTGTACTGAGAGTTGCACTCTCCTCGTACAGCTTGCTAACGTAGTCGATCATGCGTTGTGACTCGTTCTTGATCTTCTCTTCAACTCCAGTTAGAGCTTCACGCATCGACGAATCTGTGAGTATGCGGCGCATACTGCTCAGCAGCTCCTCGTCACGCTTGCGCAGCGCCGATAAGCAGTTCTTGTCCTCCTCCACATGCGCTTCGAGACCTCCAGCCTTCTCTTCGAGTTCTGCTGCAACGGCCGACACGCCTAGCGCTCGGTACGACGCTGCTTCGCTGCGCGCCGCAGTCAACTGAGCCTCGTTCTCCTCTACGCGCGACATCATGAACTTCACACAGGGCAGCTCGCTTTCGAAGTAGTTGAGCGAGGCCTCGAGCTGCTGAGAAATACAGGACGTCTGCTTTGCGCGCAGGGCGTGCACCTGGCTGTGGGCAAGTCGTGCCTGACGCACTTCATTTTCCACTCGGCTAACTTCCGTCGTGATAACGCGCCGACGCTGCGCCCTGGAGAACCGCCGCGTTACGTGCTGGTGCTCGGCTCGGAATCGCGCCGTGTCCGTGATGAAGCGCTCCTCCACTGCGCGCATCCCCTCGTCAGCCTGGTACTGCTCGCCAACCACGCGCTCCAGCTCGCTCTTCACTGCGCGCAGCTGGGCCTCAAGCTCCTCTTGCTTCTGGCGCAGAGTCTGTGCCTCCGCGCTCGCTGCCTTCTTCTTCTCGCGGAGCGGGGCCAGCTCGGCATCCTTACGGTTCTGCATCTCCTGCAGCGCCTTGGTCACCTCCTGCATTGCCGTCTCGTCCTGCGCGGTCTGTGAATCGTCTTCCGGGCTCTCGTTATCCTCTTCTTCAACTTCCTCCTCTACCTCATGCTGCTGCTCGGAGCTCTGCACGCGCTCCTCCACCAGCTTGGTGAGCTTCTTCAGCCGCGTCTCGTGCAGCTTCAGCGCGTCGCTCCGCAGATCCCGTCGCTGGAAGGACTCGCGGATGGTCTGGCCCCGCACAGCTTCGTCCGCGCTCGTCACCGCCGCGATCTTGGCCTCCAGGTTCTGCACATCCTTCGTCAGAGGCGAGTCCAGGTCCACGCCATGCAGCGACAGCGCGTGGGCGCACACTAGGCGACTGAGACTCCTCGCGGCGCGCTCCACCTCTGCATTCACGTCCTCCGCGTCCTCTGCAGCGCCCTGCAACTGGTCCGCAATGGCCCTCACGGCCGCCACGACCTCGCCAGCCATCTGTCGATGCGGCGCGGCCCCCACGGACCCCTCAGCGGCCTCGACGTTGCTGCTCTCCACCGAAAGGCAGTTGGCCAGCAGCGCCTCCAGGTTGTCGAGCACTGCAGCTGCCGGCCGCGAGCGCAGCACGTTGCTGAGCAGCAGCGACAGCGCGTCGCTCTGGAAGAAGGTGAGGATCGTCTCCGTGTGCACGTAGAGCCTGCTCCAGCCCAGGAGCCCCACGAGCGCTGCGTGCGTGTCCGGGATGGCCGCCGCTACTTCGAGACGACGCGTGAGCGGCAGCTGCGACGCGTCTTCCTGCGCGGCGGCGCCTCGGTTGGCGGCGGCCGCGCGGTTCTCGCTCTGGTCGGCCTTGTTGCCCTGGCTGCTGCTGGTCTTCTTCTTGCTCTTGCTCTTCTTCTTCTTGGCGGCGCCGCCGGAGCTCGTCGGCGTGCTGGCCGTGCTGGCGCTGCTGCCGCCCACGCTGCTGGTCTTGGTCAGCGAGCTGAACATGTTGGTGGTCTTGACGGCCTCGTGCGCCAGCATTGTCGGTGAGAGCTTGCGTTGCGCGCTGCGGGTCCGGTGCGATTCTGACTTGAGACCGTCGGACGCCCACGTGGTCGGCCTTCTAGATTTGCAAGATCGCGAAGGGCTGCGATCGATCGGCATACGCAGGGAATGGCGGGTCCAGCAGGAAGGCTTCGTATCCTGGTGATAGCGTTGTGCGGGGCATGCATTGGCATTGGGATGGCGTGTGTGTATTGAATGACAGTTAAACTATAGTCCGAGGCTGAAGATCTCGTCTTCGCCGACAGCGACAGCGGCGGCGTCGGCAGCGGCTTCGTCGTGCTTCTTGCCCTCGCCTTCCTCCTGCTCTGCTACTGCGGGCACCTCGGGCTTGATGTCCACGTCGGCCTCGACCGCCTCCGCAGCTTCTCGTGCCTCCGCCGCTGCTGCAGCGGCCTGGGCCTCGCCGATCTTGGCGGCGGCCGCGCGCAGAGCCGCCTCGTTGTGCTCGCGCGCCGCCAGCTGCGCCTGCTCGTTGATGGACGGCGTGTCTGTCTTGCCCTCCTCTTCGGCGTCGGGCGCCATGGCCGCCGCAGCGGCGTCAACCATCTCCATGGCCTGCGACGTCGTCACGGGCGCCGCCGTGAGTGTGTCCATGAGGAAGGCCGTCTCGTCCGCCGCCGTGGTAGTGGGCAGGGACACAGCAGGCGGCACTGATACCGACTGCGGCACGCCCGCAGTGGCCAGCGCCGCCGCGTCATCAGCAGCGGCGGCGGCCGCGTCGCCGGTGGGCGCACCGCCCGCGTTGTCCACGACGACGGGGTCGAGCCTGTGCCGCGAGCAGAAGCGCGCGAACCAGCCGGGCGAGGCCTTGAAGTTGGCCATCTTCTCGTAGTTCTTGGACAGGATGATGGCCTGCTGGCGCACGGCCGTCTGCGTGAGCGGCACGAGCTGGTAGGGCTGCGACTCGCGCATGCGCACGATCCACTGGTACAGCTCCTGCTCGAAGGGCGCGTTGCGCTTGAAGCCGCCGCGCTTGCGCTTGTCGCGGTTCTGCTCGTTGCCCATGTAGTAGCGGTTGCGCACCGTGTCCTTCATCTGCCGCAGCTTGCGGATGGCGCCCTCCGACACGCCGTACTGCTTGGCCAGGTCCACGTTCTTCACCTTGGCCTCGCGCTGCACGATCTCCAGGATCTCCATGCGCTCCTGGTCGTTCAGGCGGCGTCCGGCGCCGCGTCGACCCATGGCTCTGCTGCTGCTGCTGCGGGGCACCGTCGAGCTTGACGCCTTTGGACGCACGCTCTCGCCGACACAAAAGGCCTTGTTCTGAGTCTGGCTTCCTCTCTAAGTACGAAACCAATGGCCCAGAGAACGTGGTGTGGAGGACGTAAATCCATGTGGACATTGTGTTCAGGCTGCCATTTTGCTGCCATGAAGCCGGCGGATCAGCCGCCGCAGCCGAGGAGGAAGCGCCGCAAGCCGCGCTCGCTGCTGCTGCTGCTCAAGAGCTTCGTGGGGCTGCGCGTGCGCATCGACCTGAAGAACGACTCGGTGCTGGAGGGCGTGGTGCAGGAGGTCGTGCAGGACATGGACTTCATGCTGCTGGACGCCTGCGAGACCAAGCCCAACGTATGCCGGTCGTAGCAAAAGACAGCAGTAAGGCGCACTACAATATTCACTATTTTATGCATGGATTATAGGGCACTACACTGATGCTGGACGAAGTGTTCGTCATGGGCAAGACGGTGCTGTACGTGCACATCCCCGACCGCATCAACATCTCGCAACACCTCCAGCAATACGTGCGTCGACCCTTTTGAGACAGTATCCCTGTCAGATTAATTGCTGATCAAACTGTGTGCTTGTGCAGACTCGTATGCTGCGGCAGAGTGCAACGATGTACACAAGAGCGAAGCGGACGGCGCCGTCGTCGAAATAGAAGACTACCAATATTAAATGCATGGTGAAAGATACATTGGATATTATACAGGTGGAAGACGCTGTGTTGTTGGTGGAATAGGCTTCCTGGTGTACTGCTGCTGTCGGTGCTGCGGCGAGCTGCTTGATCCTGCTAGTGCGAATTTGAGCCCTCCGCCGAAAGTCTTCTGCAGTTCGGTGAGTCGATCTTTGAGCTGCAGGATGAGGTCTTTCTGGAACTCGGCCTCGCGCATCTTCTCCTTCCGCTCGCGCAGAACCTCAGTACTGACCGAAAGCTTTTTGTTCGTGGAAGTTGTGACCGTGGTCTTGTACTTGGTCTCACGAACTTCTTGGGTCTGCATTCGCACGTTATGGAACTCGCGACGCAGCTCGTTCACCTGCGTTGTGAGGATCGCGTTCTCGCGCTGCAAGCGGTGCAGCTCACTCTCGCTGATGGCCATGCCTTTCATGATCTTCCGCTTGAGCGACTCCACCTCCTTCTCCAAGTACTCGCGTTGGCGGTTGTACTCAGCCTGCGAGTTCGGCTCTTTGGCGTCGGGGGTGACGCCATCTTCGTACTTCTTATTGAGCGCCATGACGGCAACCTTAAGGGCCTTCTTGTTGTCCAAGAGCTGCGCACAACCCAGTAGATCTGTCTGTACCTGACGCACTAACGCTTTACCGAGGGCTACTTGAGCAGCTTGAAGGTTGAGCTCCTTCTGCATACCGTCCATCTTGAGTCGCAGTTCTCCAATCATGAGGTCCAAAGCCGCGTTGCTCTTGTGGTACTGCTCCAGCTCCGCATCCATCTCTTCGATCTGCGTCTTCATATCGGCGATTTCCTGTTCTCGAGGCTCAATCTGTCGCTTGAGCTCCTTGATCTTGTAGTCCAGCACGAACTTGAATTTCTCGAGCTCCTGATTCTTCTTCTTTAAATCGTAAATGCGCTTCTCCTTGTCTTGGATGGTCTCCTCACGCTCGCGAATCTCCTTCTTGTGACCCTGAATGTCTTTTTCAAGGCCGCGAATATTTTCCGCTAGCTCCTTGCCCTTCTCTTCGAGAGATCGGATCTCTTCGCGTTGATCCTCAATGTCCTTCTGCAGAGCGGAGAACTTCTTCTTCATGATGCCATTCTCTCCTTTCAAGCGCAGAGTTGCCTCGCGTTCGTCCGACAGCTTGAGCTCATACTTGGTCTTTAATTCCTCAACTTCAAGCTCTGAATCCTCTTCAAGTGCCCGCTTTAGCGCTTCATTCGTCGCGATAAGCTCCTCCTTGGCTCGAGCACACACCGCTTGTAACTCCTGCTCGCGAGCTACCTTTTGGTCATATTCTGTTGTCATCTCCGCCAGGAACTGCGTATGACTTTCAACGAGAAGATGATTTTCTTCCTCGAACCGCGTGTTCTGCTCACCCCGCGCTTGCTCCAGCGCTGCATATCGAGCTTTCTCAGCTTCCACTTTTGATTCGTAGGTCGTTTTCAGCTCTTGCACTTCACTGCGGTGCGTTGATGCCATTTCGCGCATCTTCTTCTGGTACTCGTTCTCCATTTCGGTTTTGTCGTTTTGCAAGTCTCCACAGCGCTGTCTGTCTTGCGTCAGCTCGGCTGTAAATTTGTCAGATACTTCCTTGATCTTCTCCTTGTAGTTGAGGTCTTTTAGTCGAAGCTGATACTCGTTGTGCAGTGTTAGTTCATCCACCTTGGATTTCAGCTCGTTCATTAGACGGTTCTTCTCCTCCAGATCCGACTTGGTAACCAGAATCTCCTCTGCGAAAGGCAAGCCAGAACCATTCGCACCATTACCGCCACCTCCAACCATCGCGGTGTCGCTTCGGGCTTCTCTTGATCCGATAACACCACCACCTTGGCCACTACTAGCGCCACTGCCACTCCCTTTTCCGATCACATTCACCGTCTCGAAAATACACAGCGAACCATCTTCACCGGCCGAGAAGAGAAACTGGTTATCGAACGACAGCCGAAGACGCGACACTGGCAAGTCGTGGCAATGGTACTCAGTGTACGCTTGGTTTGTTGAACCTGTCGCCGCATTTGAGTTTGCTAGCGTTGACCCAGTCTGACCTGAAGCTATGATTGAGCCTGGTGAAGTTAGAGACTGCCCCGCACCACTACCCACTGCAGGCGTAGGCGGCGGACGATCTCTTTCTAACGGAAGCCGATATAACCGCACCATACCAGGACGACCAGGCTCCGCTGAACCCACGAAAAGCACTTGCTGGGAGTTTGCCAGTGTGAGTGGCCCAAGAGTTGCCCCATTTCCACCAGTCCAATTTTCTGTGCGTGCAAGTCCAGACGCCATATCAATCTCCTTCAGCATATTGTCGGAACCTGTGACATAAGCTATATCTCCTTCTGGTGCCAAGGCAGCATCAATATACGAACATCGCGCTTGCGAATGGCCCTCGCCAACTTTTGATGCTGCACGAAGGCTCCACAGCAGCACTGTGCCATCAGCACCACAAGTAAGTAGCTTTCGATCGTCAGGTTTCCACGAAATCGCCGTCACACGATTCGAATGGCCCCGAAGTACAGCTATCAATTCACCAGTGTACGTAGCGTACACGTGAACGACATTGTTATTTGCCGCTGCGAAGAATTGACCACCATGAGAGAACCGAACTTCTCGGCAGCCCTTGATAGCGAACTCCCGGCACGATCGGATGTCGTCCATAAGCACGTTGAGCATGCGCAACTTGTCGGTAAACCCCACAACAACATGCAAGCCCGAAGGGTGGAAGGCAACGCACAGTGCGTCTTCACGGAAGAACTTGAGGATATCTGTCGACTTGTCCAAGTAATTCCACACTCGAACAGACCGATCCAATGCACAGGTGACCACGAGCGGTTTACGGATACACGTATCTAGTCCAGTGATGTGGCAGCTCCCGTTGCCACTCGGCGCATGGAAAGCAGTGGATACCAGCTCGAAATTCATAGCGTCCTCTTTGAGGATATCGGTGCTGGAGAGTGTGAGCGCGTACAACTGGTTATTCTCCAGCGAGCACACGAGTAAATCTTCGCTTGGACTGATGGCCAGGTCCTTGATCGTGCTCGTATCGCCTTCAATCCGGAACGTTTTCGCCTTCTTGTAGTACTCACGCGATCCTCCGTCATCGCTGCGATCGTAAATCCTCACACAGCCCCCCGATCCGCCGCACACAAAACCCTTCGAGTAGCCCAGCAACGAGTTCACGAAGCTCCCGTCACCAGTCGTACCTGTCGTCGGAGGTGTCAAAATCTGCCGAAACTCAAACTGTTCAAACAGCCACAACTCGCCCGAGTCCGCCGAGGCCACGACCCGATCGTCGCTGACCCACGCGTGCCGTAAGAAATGCGCCGGCTCGCGCTTCAACGGCGTCGACTGCAGTCGCAGTTGGCCGTCTGTAAACCGGAAGAACTTGAGCAATCCATTGCCACTGGCACAGATCGTGAGCGGATCATTAGGGCTGAAGTCTGCCTGGTGCACAGCGTTGCCCTGCGGCGTCGACGCCTTGACGCTGGCCAGCAGCTTGGTCTTCTCCCACAGCCAGAGCGACAGCACCCAGTCGGGTGCGCCGCCTTGCGTGATGCAGTACTTGCTGTCTCCAGAGAAGGCCACCCAGACGCAAGTGTCCGCCTGCGCGTCGCTCAGCGTCAGCGTCTTGCGGCGCCGCAGCGTGTTGAGGTCGTGGATGTGCACCACCGCGCGCTCCGCCTGCTCCGCCACCGCCACGTAGCGCTTGTTCGGCGCCACAGCCAGGGCCGTGATGCCTTTGCCCGCGGTCTCCACGCCATGCAGGAACTGCTGCTCCTTGGACTCGAGGTTGTAGATGATGACGTTGTGGCCGCATGGATACACGAGCACGCCCTCCTCCGCGAACGCGATGTTGTTGTGCACACTGCCCTTGAGTCCGAAGAAGTGGCTACACCCGCAATTCCCCCAGTCAGCGCACGCACTTACTATAGAGTAATACATACAATAAGACTGTCATTACCGATGGATCAGGCCCGGCGCGCTGCTGCTGTTGTTGCCGCCAGTGCCCGGCATCCCTCCGATGTAGCTATGTTGACGTCGGTTCATGGGACAAACACACAAAAACCGCCTGTAATTTGTGTGCGCGCACACCACAATGTTCCACCCGCAATGGTACACCGCCCCGTCTTGCCCGCCAGCAGAATTTTCCGCTGCGCTCCACCACGTGATTCATCGCTTCCCCTTTGGCGTCCAGTGGCTTGCTGGAGGCAGAATCTTCGACCGCGTCGACCAAGGTGAGGCCCGCACCAGGGGGCGAGACGGACGGCAGGATCCGCGCGGCCTCCGCGTGACCCGCCGACCGTCTCACAACTCACGCGGAGCGGCGGCGCGCATTGCGCCTGCTCCCTTGCTACTAACTAGACAAAAGCTAACTACGTGATCTATTGGGCCACTGGGCAGTAGAGCAAACATGCCGGAACTCGTGCAGAAGCACCTGGCGGTGCAGGACCTGAGCAAGCTCAAGCTGGAGGAGCTGACCCCGCTGACGCCCGAGGTCATCAGTCGCCAGGCCACGATCAACATCGGCACCATCGGCCACGTCGCCCACGGCAAGTCGACGGTGGTCAAGGCCATCTCGGGCGTGCAGACGGTGCGCTTCAAGAACGAGCTGGAGCGCAACATCACCATCAAGCTGGGCTACGCTAACGCCAAGATCTACCGCGCCGAGAACGGCACGGGCATCGGCTGCTACCGCGCGTTCGGCAGCTCCAAGCCCGACCGCTTCACGGATGAGAACGACGACAAGACGGTCTGGGTGCTGCAGCGCCACGTCTCGTTTGTGGACTGCCCCGGTCACGACATTCTCATGGCTACGATGCTTAACGGCGCCGCCGTCATGGACGCCGCCCTGCTGCTGGTCGCCGGTAACGAGGTGTGCCCGCAGCCCCAGACGTCCGAGCACCTGGCCGCTATTGAGATCATGCGTCTACAGAACATCATCATCCTGCAGAACAAGGTGGACCTGATCAAGGAGGACGCCGCCGTGGCCCAGCACGAGCAGATCAAGAAGTTCGTGGCCGGCACGGTCGCCCACGACGCCCCCATCATCCCCATCTCGGCCGTGCTCAAGTACAACGTGGACGTGGTGTGCGAGTACATCTGCCGCAACATCCCCATCCCGAAGCGCGACTTCACGTCCAAGCCCAAGCTCATCGTCATCCGTTCGTTCGACGTCAACAAGCCCGGCGAGGACGTGGAGAACCTCAAGGGTGGTGTCGCTGGTGGCTCCATCCTCGAGGGTGTGCTGCGTGTCGGCGACGAGATCGAGGTGCGCCCCGGTATCGTCAGCAAGGACGAGGAGGGCAAGATGACGTGCGTGCCCATCTTCTCGCGCATTGTGTCGCTGTACGCTGAGAAGAACGACCTGCAGTTTGCCGTCCCCGGTGGACTGATCGGTGTAGGAACGCACATTGACCCGACGCTCACGCGTTCGGACCGTCTTGTGGGCCAGGTGCTGGGTCTCAAGGGCAGCCTGCCGCACGTGTTCACGGAGCTGGAAATTAACTTCTACCTGCTCAAGCGTCTGCTGGGTGTCAAGACCCAGGAGGGCAGCAAGGCTTCCAAGGTGCAGAAGCTGTCGAAGGCCGAGGTGCTCATGGTGAACATCGGCTCCACGGCTACGGGTGGCAAGGTGCTGGCTGTCAAGCAGGATCTGGCCAAGATTCTGCTCACGGTTCCCGTGTGCACGCAGGAGGGAGAGAAGATCGCTATCAGTCGTCGTATTGACAAGCACTGGCGCCTCATCGGCTGGGGACAGATCCGCCGTGGCAGCCGGATCGAGATCGCCGACTCGGAATAGATACATACCCCGCCCTGCTCACCTCGTGTCGCCGCAGAGAAAAGCAAGTTATCGAGCGCGCCGGAGGATTGGAAGCCAGGAAAGGATCAGATGGAGATGGAAGAGAGAATGCGGAGTCTGCAGCTCGTGTAGTATGGTAATTCCAGTCTCATGCATTGCGTTTCTCGTCGTGGGAAAGGTATATTTCGAGTCACTCGACATCAATCAGCTCAACTACCACTGGGTTTATTGATGTAATGTGCCCATCTTCGAACTCCGCAGCAGCGAATAATCCATTCCTTCTTTCTCGGCCTCTAGCGAATGCTGTCGATAAACTTTGTCTTTGTGAACAAGGCGAAGTCTTGGCATGGATACTATGGGGCGAGTATATCCATCGCTGCACTGATCGATGAACTCAGGCGCCTAACTTCTGCGTCCGGTACTTGGCAAAAGGTGGCCCGAACAACGATTGGATTCGATACCCCAGCGCGGAGTGATGCAGAACAAGATTCCAGCGAGGGTCCAGGTGATGATGAACGAAGACAACAAGCTTGAACTGCATCGTCAACTAGGGGATCCTGCCTTTGGCTTCCCTGAAAAGGGCTCCCGTGACGCCCACAGCAATATCCACATATTGGTCGAGGTGGACAAGAGGCCGTGGTGGAGTCTCAGCTGGCTTTGGGAAGGTGAGCTCCAAGAGCGAGTTAGATTAGTTGCGAAGAAACACATTTAAGCCAACTGGGTACGACAATGGCAAGTTAACGCGAAATGAGATACTGGTAGTAGTATTATGCTTTGTTCCAATTCTGTCTAAACGAAGGAACTCGTAGTTTTAACAGGGCAGGTGGAAAGAGACGACTGCCGACAGATGTCGTTAGCCAAAGAAGTTAAGTGACAACAACATGCCTCAAACTGAAAACGAAAACATAACTCGTAGTTTTGTATTTGAGCGTCCGACTCTAACTCGTTGTTTTACCATAACCCAACGACCTCACTTCGATACATGTACTTAGTTAGTAGTCTTGGATGTCATTCTGAAGCAGGCTCTTTGCTTATAGTTGAAATGTTTCAGCCATTCCACGATTTCCCCTGGAAGTCGAGCTTAAATCGAGCTCTTCGCTCGTGCATCGTAGTTTGCTCATGACAATAATCTAGGTGTGTGGAGCGGAGTAATTGTCTGACTACACGGTTCTTATTGTCCAGGCAGAGGTGGGGGGGGGGGGGGGAAGCGACCTTCAGATTGGCACGTGACGTAAATACGATCATAGCTTGGCTCCTCACTGTCCACTAGTCCACTACAGCTACCGCATCTGGACGTGAAGCGTATACAGAGTACCGTAGAAACACACCACTTAAGAATCTCCATCTTTAACGATACTAAGTAAGTTGTATTAATATCGTAAGTCGAGAATTGGAGGGCCGTTGGCATCGAGGATGAAACTGGAAAATTGGGAACGGCAATACACTGAGAGTCAGTCAGTCAGCGAGTCTGACTACATGTACAGCGGCTCCAGAAAGTCACCGCCCAGGCAACTTCAACATCGATTTTGGGCAATAGCTAGACAACCACTACAGAGAACTCCGGTTATAGTGGAGGTGTTTGGCCATCAACTTCACAAGCTCTCTTATAGATTTTTGCTGTTATAAGAGGGAACCTATTATTGAACATTCAAACTACTATAAAGCATGGAAGTAGGAGGTGATTGACGTCTGGCGCTTAGAGATAATTGCCATTCTCCTCGTGGCATTGACAACGTTCTGTACACTGGTGTCCTGTAATCCGTGAGCAAACATGTAGACCTGAAGCTTTTGAGCTGCTTCTAGTGCCTCGCTGTGCGAAAACGGTCGTTCCTCCTCACCACCACAATCACTCTCACTGTCACTTGAAACTTGCTCGCTTGCGTCGTCGCTGTGTGGGCTATCGTCAACAGCACCTTCAACATCAACGTAGCGTGCCGCACTCAATGGATCCAATAGATCTAATCTAGATATCAGCGCTTCTAGATCTTCCAGCTCCGTTTCTCTTGTCATCGGCTCACTGTCGCGCTCAAGCCTAGCGCTCATGCTTCCTGACACAATCCTAGTAAGTGTCAAATTGTCGCATCCGCATCCGCGTTCCATGCGCCCACGACAAATTTTATTGCCGTCAACAAATCTAACCGCTTCTGTGGACCGGTCTGCTCAATCACCCACTGCACAAATAATTTCTTGTACTTCAGCTTGAAGTTTCGAATAATGCCGGCGTCCATTGGTTGCAGGTGCGACGTAGTATTTTTTGGTAGGAAATGAATGTACACATTGTTCAGTTCAAAGTCAACATGACCGGCAGCGTTGTCGAGCAGCAAAAGTATTCTGCGTCCATGCATCTTCAGATTTAGCGCCCGCACCCACTTCAAAAACACTTCAGATGTCATCCACAACTGAAAGAGGCCGCATCGAGTATTCTCGATTCGAGAATGCCGATCGCCACACGTTGCATTTTGAGTGTCGGAATCAGTATTGTCTGCCTATCTGGCACGGAATGACTAGCACGCAATGATGAATTAATATCGAGAAACAGCCAAGTAAATTGAATCTCGACTTCACCGATCTAATGCAATTGCGGTAAATGAAAAGCACCGCCGACCTACAGCAACGACCTTAATGGGCGTAGACGTAGATTGCGGGCTTGCCCGGCGACGCCGTCTCCATCTTCTTCTCATCCGCGTTAGGGATCTCCTCGCCCACGTAGAAAAACTGCATGTAAAGCAAACAAAAGATACGTTAGCAACACATTCCGGGTAGGTTTTGCTCGAAATATACAGCAGCGGCATCTTACGTCGATGTCCTGGAGGTCCAGCGACCGGCAGAGGTACAACTTGTTAGAGGCAAGCACGCTCTTCTGGTCGTATGGCATCCTGTGAACAAACAAAGCGGAATCATTCAGTTAGCAAACATTGTGACAGATAGAGAGGGGGGGGGGGGTAACCACATACCTCAGCTCCAGAGCCTCACGGCCGCGCAGCTCGGCCTCCGCCTTGACGAAGGCAGCGAACTGCATCACGTTCTTGGTCAGCTTCTTTAGCGAGTCCTCCTTCGAGATCTCGGCCTTGAGCTGCTTCATGAAGTCAGCACGGAACTGCTTGGTCGCATCATCGAACAGACCGTCCATGAACACGAGCACCTTCTGCTGCCACTCCGGGAACTCCGTGGTCAGGTACACCTGCGCGTGCGTGGGCTTCTTGGCCGGCTCAGCAGGAGCAGCGCCCTTCTTGCCCTTCTTCTTGTTGCCGCTCTTGGCAAGCGCCTCACGGAAGCTGCGGGTGACCTTGTTCAGGAAGTCACCCGCACGCAGCAGCGCGTGGTCGACCTCCTCGGTCTTGGGCCAGGAGGCAACCGAGACGAAGCCCTCCTTGCCAATAGCAGTCCACATGTATTCGCAGAAGTGCGGGCAAATAGGGGAGAAAATGACGAGCTGCGACTCAATGAAGCGCATGATGACGTCGTAGTGCATCGGCACCTCGCTGCGGCTGCAGATGTCACGGTACGAGTCACGAGCAATCTGGTACTCGAAGAAGCCCGTGTGAAGACCCTCACGCCACTGCAAACGCTCGTAGAACGAGGCCGTCGTGTTGATGAGGTTGTTCATCTGGTTCAGGAACACCTTGTCGTTGAAGTTGAGCTCGCCCGTGCGCAGCGAGGCCTTGTCCTCCACAGTGCGCTTGATCCACTCCTCCTCCGTGGTGAGACGCAGAATGGCCATGCGGCACGTGTCCAGCGCGTAGTTAGCGTCGTCCATGCCATCACCGGCGTCAGCGCAAGCGAAACGAGTGGCGTCGGCACCGAACTCAATGGCGCAGTCCTTGAGCGTAAGGAAGTTACCCATCGACTTGGACATCTTCTTGCCGTCCACCTGTACGTGGCCGTTGGTGAAGAAGCCACGCGGCCACTTGGACGGGTCGTCACGCCAGATCTCGGCGTGGTTGTACAGACACATCGTCAAGTGGTTGCGGATCAGGTCCTTGCCGGACGCGCGCACGTCAACGGGGTACCAGTACTCGAACTCGTCACGGATCTGCTTGAGCACAGCCAGCGGGATCGTCGACTCCGTGGGCGGCGACGCCTTCAGGAAGATGTAGTCGAACACCTCCTTGGTCATCTGCTCCGGCTTAATGCCGTGCGGGCCCAGCTTGGAGCCGTCCAGGTTGGCTTGCAGGTGGTGGGCGATGGTGTAGTAGGCCATGTAGATGGTCGAGTCCGTAAGGGACTCCACCACGAACTCGGGGTCCCACGGAAGACGCGTGCCGAGGCCGGACTGACGGCACGGGGCCCACTCCTTCAGCCATCCGAGGGTCGACTTGTACTCGCCAAGCGCCACCGGGTTGTAGGCGTCGAAGGTCTCCGGGTTGCTGATGTGCTCCATCACGCGCTTCTTCCAGTCCTCGGCACCATACGTCAGGTACCACTGGTCCAGGTGAGCAACGACGCACTCGTCACTGCTGCGCGACATCACCAGCGACTCCGGCTCCCAGTACGGGATGGCGTTACCAGCGTCCAGCAGCTCCTGGCGCATGACCGCCTTGGCGTCGCACACCTTCTGGCCCTTCTGGGAGCCAACGATGAGAACACCCTCGTAGAATCCCTTGAGGTACACGAGCTCCTTGGCCTTGGCGAGCTTGTCCTTGTCGTTCTGCGACACGATCTTCAGGTCGTTGCACACCTTCTCGGCAGCCATGTCACCGAAGCCCGGGATCTCGATAATCGGCACGGGCTCGTACGGCAGCACCATGTGGTCCTCAATGCCGTACTTCTCGCGCAGAGCGGGCTTCTGCTTGAGGTCGCGGAACGCGGCGAAGTCATCCGGCGAGTCGGACGGCACGCTCATGACCACACCCGTACCCTTGCCCATGGAGATGGTAAGCAGGGGCAGCGTGTAGATCGTGTCGTACGGCGCGTTGGGCGACGAGAGCGGCAGGCCGAGCAGGTCCCAGCCCTTCATCTCGAGCAGGCACTCCTCCTTGCCCCAGACGCGCGAGTACTCCTGGTGGGCCAGGTTGCGCGCGGCGCGGCGGCTCATCACGAACACGTCGTTGTCGTCGTTGATGAGGAAGGCGCCGTAGTCGCCCTCGGGCAGCACGAAGCAGTTCGTCTGGCCGTAGAGCGTCTCGGGACGCAGCGTGGCGGCGGCCAGGTACACCTTCTTGCCGGCAAGCGCGGCCAGCTTCTCCGGGAAGGGCTCCTGCACGCGCAGCTTGGCGAGCGTGTACTCCTGCGGGCCCACGCCCTCACCCGAGGCACGGTCGTGATCGGCGCAGCTCTGTCCGTCCAGGATGGAGTAGACGTTGGGGCGCTTGCCGCGCACGACGCGGCCCTGCTCGTTGAGCTTGTTGAGCTGCCACGTGACGAACGCGTCGTAGAACGGGTTCACGTCCGTCGTGATAAAGGAGCGGCGCCAGTCGATGTTCATGCCGAAGCGCTTGAGGTCGGCGATGGCGTGCGGCGGGAAGTACTGCAGCCAGTAGAGCGGGTCGTGGAACTTGGCGATCTCCTCCTCGGGGATGTTGGAGATCTTGAGGATGTCGTACTGGTGCACGACGCCGCCCGTCTTGGCGGCGGCCTTGGACTTCTTGCCGTGGGCCTTGTCGAGCGAGCCCTCGGCGGTCTTCTTGGCGGCCTGCGGCTTGTTGTCCGCCAGGTCGCGCGAGAAGTCGGGCGGGTTGCCGTACGTCTCGAGCTCGCGCTTGAGCTTGTTGGCGGCGGCCTGGATGGGCATGCCCGTGCAGTGGAAGCCGAAGGGGAAGATGACGTTCTCGCCCTTGAGGCGGTGGTAGCGCGACGCGAACTCGACCTTCATGAGCGTGAACAGGTGGCCCACGTGCAGGTAGCCGTTCATGTACGGGTACGGGAACGTCACCATGTACTTGGGCTTGCTCGGGTCCGGGTCCGACTCGAAGAGCTTCACGGCGTCCCACTTGGCGATGATCTCGTGCTCGATGTCGATCAGGTGGTCGCGGCGCGCCATCTTCTTCACGGGCGCGGCGGCGCCGTCCTCGAGCTGCACGTCCTCCATCTTGACCGTCACGTTCTCCATCGCTGGTGTACTTCTCCTTCGTGCGGGGCTTTGCGGGCCACTGAAAGATTGTGTGGGAAAATTGCTGGGGGCGACGTCAGGGGCCGGCGTCCGATAGGGGAGAGTAGTACGGCCACAAACGTCGGTTAGGCTGTATGGCAGGATCTGCGTCCGGCGTCCGATGATTGGAGAATATACTGAGAATATACTGTTCGAGTACCGGTATAACAGTATTCTGGGCTGCAATGGCTATTACAGGCTGTGATTCACAGCAAACACGAAGCGTTTGCAGCCAGAAGAAAGTTGTTTGGAATAAATTGGTGCAGGTTGTGGTTCTGGTGGTTGTTGACCATGCTGCCAGCGTACGATAAACTTACATCGCGTACCTACATAATACAGGGACCATCTATTAATAATAATGTAGCCCACTTCAACGTGCCTGTCTTTGAAATGCTGTCTCTCATTGGCGTTTTGCGCCGCTGAAGCCAACGCGTCGATATATCCCTTCTTGTTCACTGGCCCAGTGTACGCTCTGGATTGCATTTGAATTCCGAGCCGGGGGCATGCGGTACGAAGCGGGATCGCGCGCTCTTGTTCAAGCATCCCGCTAAAGAACATATAACCGCGTGTAGGGAACCGTATGTGGTACTTCACCACTAAGTCCACAATGTCGTTCGTCTCTCTCTCATTCCGTACATCGATGTCGGTGGGATCATACGTCCGAACGGGCCGGGCAATAGGGATGGAGACTCTGGGTGGCTCATGGTAGGATTGCACACGAGCATGATACTTTTTGGCAGAGGTCCACCAATACCATAAAAAATTGTATTGCCAGCAGCATGACTCCATTATAAAGATTTCAATATAGCGGCCAGCAATAGTAAATATTGCCGTATTTTATATTGTATTGTTAGTTATTTCTTCATGTTCTTCTAACTCTCGCTCTTCTTCCACTACTTCCCGTAGGCACGCCTATCTCGATAAAATCTCTGCGATCCACAGGCCAAAACACGCCGAGCTCCTCCTCTTCAAAACGCGCAATGGCATCTTGTGATAAATCTGACGCTGGCTGCCAAGTAGGACGGGGGTATCCAACCCAGCTCACAAAGTAGTAGTCGTTGCCATCCAGATCAGTCTTTTTTGCATAAATAAACTCAAGGGTGTATACATTTGGCCCTTCAATGTCGGAGCTGTCACTCTCTGACGAAGTTGAGTCGCTCACAACAGCATTCGTAGGGGCACTTGGCGCACCGACGCTAGCCCTTACTATTTCCGCCAATGTTGGCCGGCGGGCTGGCTGACGAGTACGACTGGTACTTGAACGCTTCCAAAGGCTTGGAGGGACCGGATGGAGCTGCTCTCGAAGAAGGAATACTGGGCCTCAAACCCCTCGTGTTTACCAGCCAGGTGCGCCAGAAGGTTGGAGTACCCGGATCCGGGCATCTGCTTGCGATCTTGGTCACAGAGCTTGCAGCGAAAGAGGCCTTGGCCGAGATGGTCGAAGAGGAAGGCGGTGAGAAGCTTGTTGGAGACCATTGTTTTTGGAGAATGCAATGTTGAAATGAGACGCTAGGCCGCCCGAGAATGGCGGCTGGGCTTCTCTACGAGTCTGCTCCTGACCAGTAATTGTATCGACGCTAGTGTAGTGTGGAGGACCCCATTGTTGATGTGTCATCGGTGGTGCCATGTGATGCCATCAAACGTAGATTTGTGGTGGGCCGCAGAACCGCACTTTTTTCATATTTATTGTCAATAATTGGGTCAATATCATATTGTATTGGTAGCTGGGATGTCCAATAATAAATATTTTTATTGCAAAACCCAATTATTTATTGAATTGAAATATTTTTTCCGACCTCTGCTTTTTGGCTACGTCAAGAAAGTGGGCTCTAACGAGCGGCACTTGCTGAGGAACGCACCGGATCAACTCTTTCTTGTCGTGATCGGTCGCATCCGAGTAGATCCAGCCGAGGTTGAGTTTACCCATCCGTTGCCGAAATTCTTTCTCTGCTGCCTCGACAAAAGCCTTATCGTTCTGCACAACGCATAGTACCCTGGGCTTCCGGCTTTCTGCCTTGAGATAGTGCCCCAAAAAGGATAAGGAGCACTGGTCTTTCACTCTGTCGTGTGGCCAAAACTCATCTGACATTCCCAGCTTCTCAACGCAGAACATCCCAGGTTCATCGATAAGATAGTTCCCAGTAGTGCCTCCATCAATGAGATACATCCCACAAATGCCATCCGGGATCCAGTCGTAGTCGTCGCTGAAAAGACCTTGACTTCTTTCTGGCGGGGGGTAAATGATCGGATCGTCGTCGTCCACGGGCGTCAAATAGACTACCTCTAGGGGGTCAGACATACCCGGTTTGTACACCTCGATGGCCGATTTGACTGCCGAGTCACACTGCAACACATGGGCCCATATCTTCTCGAGGGCATACTGGGGGCGACGACCGCACGTGTTCGTGTAGCACATGTGGAGACGAACAAATGCATCTCGACGTGGCTTTGCCGACTGCGGTTCCCAGGTCACGTTCGATACCTGGGTATTGTACGCCGCTCGCGTGTCTTCATTCTCGCACACGACCTCAAGGAGGTCGGCAAAACACACGCTGAACGGCCTACCCTCGTACTCCGCGAAGCGCTCGTCCGAAACTCTCTTCACATCCGTGCCGTGGGCGCGGTAGATACCTCCAAAGAACTCATCCAGAACGCTAGCGAGAGTGACCCTGTTGTCCGAGATGCGGGTGATCGAGTACGCCTCACTGAGGCTCACCCACGTGACGTTGCAGTCGAAGTGCAGATCCTTGAACGCCCGCTCGAGCGTCCTCAGCTCAGCCTGAGTGACCCGCGTTGACATGGAAGTTGCTGGAAGTTCGTAAGTCCACGGACCTTCTTCAACGTGGGCTTAACAAAATCTAAGCCCGCTTAAATTGCGCGTCGTCACAGATTTCCCGATGTGGAAGATGCCACAACGAGGTTCAGTTGTGGCATCTTCCACATCGGCCACAAAGAACGCGGGCGCGGGATCCCGGCCCGGAATTTTCCCTCCACCGTCGTGCGGGGACCCGCGTTCTTTGTGGTTAGCGCCACAACGGGGAAATTCTCCAAGGGGGAATAATATAACAAGCTAAAAACAGGGGCCTCATTGCTGGAAAATTTGGGTCGTGTGACCCCAAACACAGACCAAAAAGGGAATGAAAAGTTAACAAAAAACGTGGGAAAGTTCCGAAATGTGATGCAAATTTTACACGGTTTGGAAAATAACGTACTCGCCCGATTAAAGCCCGGGCTTTATTTTATAGTGCAGGCCCAGAAGCTTGAAATTCTCAGATATTTTATCAGCTCCAAAACTTTAATCTTGGAGTTTGTGTGGACGAGCCGATAGGTACCGGTTTTTCTTGTGACGGGCTTCTATTCGGGAGGGGGCTTATATTCAGGCGAGTATGTTAATTAACAAAGCACAAAAGCGGCTATAACTGGTTGCATTACGGTTTTTTTCTACCGCTACCTCTTTCGTGTACAGTAACACGATTCGTGTTTTTGACGGTGTTATTTTAATAACACCTATTAAAAAACACCTATTAACACCTATTAACACCTATTAAAATACGTTGTCCTAGTGATCTTCCTTCACGCGAGAAGCAACGTATTCTAACGATTTTAATTCGCAGTTCGTTAGAACTGTCGTTTGTCGACGATTGGAGGGACCCAATGTCACAAACCGGTATCGTCACCGGTCCACAACCGGTTTTGAAGAGAGACCGGAGGGTTCCAGTACCGGTGCGACATCGGTTGAGCAACTAGGGAGTGGGACCAGCAAGCTTCAACCAATCAAAGCGGGCTGATTTGGCATTATTTTTTGCCAAAGAGATACATTTTGCACTGCATGCCAGCACAAGCACGAGTTACTTTCCCTGCATTCAAGAATATACTGCGGGGGTGGTAAGTGCAGCAACCATACATAACAGTCCTTGCTCGTTTGTGCCGAAGCTAAACGTGATGAATCGACTAACACCGTTGTATGGAATTCCATACGTTTACGTCCTTCGTATATATATATATTAGCGTTTTGAAGCAGTATCGGTTGACACGGATTGTCCAGTAGCAGGCAGCAGGCTGTAAGCTAGGAGAATGTACGGTACGTGCAAAACTAACAACATGCGCATAGGTTTCTTGTGGTATCCTTTTAGAATAATTGGAGGGCAGGTTGGTGCATACATCGTGGCATGGTGCATTGAAATCCAAGTTTGGGTGATCTGTCTGGTATGACATTAGAGATGTAGTTGCATACCGTCGGTTGCCGTTCATACAGCCTCGTGTCGCATTGGATGCGTACTAAACTCGTAAGTGTATTGCTGACAACAGCTCTTTGCTCTATCATGTGATAGTTTCTGTGGTCGTGCACCAGCGGTGGCATTGCTAACGTTTACTTCTGTTTTTATTGCAATTTCGTCGGCCAGATACTTAGCGGTGAGAATCGTGGAACGGGCGAAGCTGCTACGTTGCTTCGATTACTGTGGCACTTGGTGAGTTTGAGATGACATGAGCGATAGCGGAAGGGTGGCAAGATCACTGTGACCAAAGCCCACCGAGTCCTCTCCTGCTAACTCAATCTACCCGCTGCGGCGTGGAAAGCTGCGGGTTGAAGGCTACGTAGGTTGGCAGTTTGTGACAGGGTGATGACATGAGCCACATAGGATACCGCCAAACGCTCGCCACGATCTCTCTCGCTATAACCTATCTAGCTGCTGCCGCAACTTCGAGTCCTGCTCCTTTTTCTTCGCTTTCGTGGGCCGGGTTCAGATACGAATTGTTGTGCACTGAAAATAAAATTTCGAGTTGGGTACACGTTTTTCCCCTCTACGACTGTGTGGTAGCGTGCAAAAACTGGTAAGCTTACTTGGCCACCTCGTAGCCCTCCACGAACTGCGTTTCCCCGCCGGGTAAGCAATCGATTCAAAAGCATAAAATTTTACCGGTAAGTACCGGTAGATTGAGGGTGAGCTTCGTTATTCGGATAGGGGCTTCTATTCGGGTGAGTACGTTCGTCATGTGACCCACACAAAGGCGTACCCCGGTTACCCGATCAAGTAGACGCCGATGAGTTCGAGTGCGGACCGGCAAGCTGCGCGCTTGAAGCGCCGCGCCGAGCGCCTGGGCCCGCAATCGCGAGCCCACAGCAGCTCCGTCGGCGGCACCAGCAGCACCAGCAGTAGCAGACACAGCAGCGCGATGAGCTCCCGGGACGCGTCGGCCGCCGCCTTCTCCTCGCGGGCACGCGGCTCCAGCCTCCCGACCCACAGCAGCAGCGGCGAGAGCCTGCGTCGGCCGCCGCCCGCACCTGTCGCCTCTGGCCACTCGTCTACGTCGGCCAACGCTGTGGCTATGAGCACGCGCCGCGGCAGCAATAGCGCGCGCAGCCCGCGAGACATCAACGTGCTGGTGGACAAGCTGCTGGCCAAGGTGCACGGCGCGCCGTCCGCCATCACCACCCGCCGCACTGTCGTGCGCCTCCACGACGCCGTGTCCGTCGCGCCACAGACAGACTCGGTACGTGCTGCAGCTGCAGTCTTTTCACCGCTCCTATTGCTGTACTAATGACACGATGTGCTGCGTAGTTTTCGGTGCTGGAGAAGATCAAGCGGAAGATCGCGACGGACGCGCCGCAGTTCTACCCTAACTCGCAGGAGACGGTCACGAGGCTCAACGAGGTCTACTCGCGCTTCGTCAAATTCAAGAACCTCGACAAGAAGACGTACGTGCGGCGTGGTGTTACGCTGCAAAACAATTATGGCTCTTGTACTGATGCTTACTTGATTTTTGTTGTTGTTGTTGTTGTTGCTAGTGAGGCGTTGTTGTTACTGTATGGGCTGATGGATTCAGCGCCTCCGCCGCCTCAAAGTGAGAGCGTCAACAGTCATCAGGATGTAGAGCCGATGAACGTTGACACTTTTGAGATGCGAGGGTCGATGCCGGGGAGCCTGGACAACTCTGTCTCGGAGAGGAATGGGGAGTTCGGTGTGCACCATCGGTCGCAGTCGATGCCTGGGGCAGCACCTTTTACGTTTGGAGGGCAAGACGCAGTGTCGCCTGTTTCAACGATGGACCAGTCGAAAACGGATCTGGATTCGCTCGAGGACTCGTTCAAGTTCGCTGTCGGTATCGCTCCAGTTCACAAAACAAGCAGAGGGAAAGGCAGTCCGCGTACAGGCACCAGTCCTCGCACACATACAGGTGGGACGATCGCTCCAGGTCCAATGCGATCTCCCAGCGGCGGAGTTGGAGGAGGCCGCTCGTCCTTTGATGTGCCGGAGGAAGTTCTGCTTCGAGACGTTTTGTATGCCTTGCAAGCGGTCGAGTCGCGGTATTTGTACTTCGACGACGCAGCTGATCGCTTTCAGATCACGAGGAGTGTGGGCGTTCCGACGCGTAAGTACTGACTTGCGTTTCCGGTATGATGAGGATAGATTCTTACGCTTAACATTCGTGTGATGCCCCTTTTGACAGCGATGCGCGAGCTGATTCACATGCTGTGCGACCTGGGTTGGCTCTATCGCAAGATTTCGGAGTACATTAAGCAGCATCGCGAAGAATTAGCGTTTGGCCTGGTTGGTTCCTGCTTTCTTACCATGGTGGTCCATAATGAAGGCAACTTACCCTTCGCATCTTGCTTGTTACATGTAGGTTGGCCAGAGCTTTTGCCACGTGCTCAACACTGTGCTGACAGACTACTTCCGCCTAATAGCGGTTCTGGCGTCTCAGATCGACGAAGATGCCGAAACGAGACAGCCACATGAACGATCACTGAGCAGTCTTACCTTGCGGACTCTGATCGTATGGATCCAGGACCCTCTAGACAAAATGCGCTTGATGGCTCGTCTAATCGACAGGCATGTAGGCTCTGCTGAGAGGTTTGGAGAAAATGTTCGGCGGCTAACAGTCGTGTGTTGCTGTAGCGTTGAAGGTCTTCGTGGTGGCGCGCTTGCGTCCGGTATTCACTCGCACGTGCTGCACGGCGATCCGGACGTGTCACAGTCTGTTCAAACTGTGATGAAGCGAATTGCTGCTCCAATCATTCGTATGATCAAACGCTGGGTGTTTGAAGGCGAGCTTGAAGACGTGCATGTAGGTCACGCTTATGTGCGTTGATCTGGTATGGATCTAACCGATGCCCATGCGTATCATTTGTTCGATAGGGCGAGTTTTTCGTGGTGGCAGATTCAACAGTGAGTGACGACCAATTTTGGGCCAACAAATACACTCTGAATCGGAAGATGTTGCCGACGTTCATCTCAGTGTACGTTCATAATATTATGTCGAGCGCGCTTACGGTAAGGTGGATAGCTAACTCGTGTTGATATCGATTCATTCTTATAAAAAATAGTGAGCTCGCGAGGAAAATTCTGGTTATTGGAAAGAGTATCAACTTTATTCGCGAATGCTGTGGGAATGCTGATGTGCGTGAAGTTTTAGTGTTGTTTAGTGCGTCCATCTTCGCTAACAACGCTTCAATGTTAATACAGTGGGTCATGGATGCTGCGCAAGAAGGCACTGTGATCGGAATGGATACCGAAGACGAAGCAGCAAATTTTGCAGAGCTGAAGCGTCTGGAAACAATGATCGAGAATGTTTCGAACTCTACAAACGAGTACCTGATTCGCACATTGATGGAGAAATATCGACTTCTGGATCATTGCCAGGCACTGAAACGCTATCTGTTGCTCGGACAGGTACGATGTGGTATGGCTGTATAATGCTCTAAGCCGACCAGAGACGAACGCGACATTAATTGTTTTGTGTTTGCGATTACTGACAGGGCGACTTTATTCAATACCTGATGGACCTTTTAGGGCCAGAGCTGTCTAAGAGAGGCTCGCAAGTGTATCGCCATACACTAACGAATGTGCTGGAAACCGCTCTAAATGCTTCCAACGCGAAGTTTGAGGTTTGGATCATCGTTCTAGAGGTCTATGAAGTAGGCTCGCACCTAACACTCTGTTGATTTTAGTCAGCGGATATCCTTGGACGTCTGGATGTTGAGCTGCTGCAAGGATCCTCGGGTGAGCAATGTGCGATTTTGCGCCGCTTTCAAGATATATTCTTACGGAATGGTTTGCTCCTGGTTAATAAAATGTTGTGCAGCGGACACTGGATGGGACATCTTTAGTTTGCACTACAACTTGCAAGCGCCGGTGAATAGCGTTATTCCTGCCTCCTCGATGCTTCAATATCAGCAAATATTTGACTTCCTGTGGCGGCTCAAGCGAGTAGAGCACTCGTTGTCTGCGTCATGGACAAAGGACATGAATCTCGGGCACGAGGTTCAGGTAAGCGTGGGTGAAATTGCGAGCGTACGAGTGTACATTAACTGGCGTGGTTGTACTTTAAAACTGCAGGGGTGTATACCGGGGATTCGACCTGTCTTGCACAGAAGTCAGCTCGTGCGATCTGAGATGATTCACTTCAGCACCAATCTTTTGAACTACATGATGTTTGAGGTAATACGGTTAACCCGTGCAACCAATTGTAACTGGCACGCTAATAACTTACTTTATCGATGGTATCTTAGGTTCTCGAAATTGCCTGGCACAAGCTGGTAAAAGATCTGAACGCAGCGAAGGACTTGGACGAGTTGATCGAAAGTCACGCAGCTTACATCTTCTCCATCAAGAAAAATGTACGATATAAAACTGTTCCATACTGAAATTGTTTATATTAACAACTAACGGGTGAGTTCATGTGTGACCGACCGTAGGGCTTCATGATGAAGGAGTCAAGAGAACTTCTGAAGCAGTTGAAGCTCATTTTTGCAACCATCATCAGGTTTTGCAAGGCGCAGGAGAACTTATACACTACTGCGATGCACGCGAAGCAAGTGGAGGGAATGCGTCAGCAACTGATTGGACGACGAGAGCTTGATGTACACTACTGCATCTCTCCTGTTGTTTGTCGTATCGTGCTAGATACTAACGGTTTTGGTGTGTATTTGGTAGGGTTCGTGGGGAATACCCGAGGAAGACGAGTACAGCGTGCAATCAGAACAAGATACGTTCGGGGCCAACTCGAAGATCTTACGCCAAATTGAAGAGATTTCGGAGGAATACAGTCGCCAATTCCTGGAGCTCCTGGAAATTGTGAAACAGAACTCCATCCGGTACGCGACTTTGAAGGTCGGTTCATTCTCATGCTTATACTTAACACCAATGTGCGTTGATGACATGCAGAGGATCACAAAGCCTGTCATTCTTGATGTCGCGCTTCGATTTCAACGAGTTTTATCTCAAGAAGGTCACCCCTCCCATGGACGCAGATGAATAACCAGTTAAGGTGAGAGCAGCAACTTGTTACGAAGTACTAGATACTTTATGAACAACAAAATGGACACTTCTCTCAAGCGTCTGCTAGCTATTGTCTTTCACCTTTGTGCCATGCTAATCCAGGAGATCTCGTAAGAAGTAGCAGAGCTCGTTGTTGGCAATATTGACGCCCTTGTTGATGGAGAACAGGTCTCCCAGATGGCGAACAGTATCCAGCGTACAATCGACGGAAATTGAGTTTCCAAACGCGTCCTGCAAGCTTTGGCTCGAAGCATCACCTGCCACAAGAGTAGCATTCCCGTTGTCTTGGCTGCTATCGCTGCTCGGATGTTCAGCTCCTCGGAAAAGCTGTTGAATTTCACTTAAAATCAAGTGGAGCATCTTCGAGAAAGTGTTCCGGTCAATCAGGAGTGAGTCTTCGTCTTCCATCTGCGTTCGCAATTTGCTTAGTGCTGCTTTCAAGTGCTGTACCGCTTGTCGATCCACGTTACCTCTCTTGCTGAGCAAAGGAGACGACGCAAACTTCTCCACTCGGGCAAGTGCATCGGTGTTGCTTGCAGCGGGCGAGTCTTCTGCGATGGAAACTTTGGTTGTGCCAAGCGTGAAGTAAAATGTTATCTTGTCGTTGTGCGCAGTCTCTCCGACCTCAGAAGCAAGCGCGGGGGCGAGGTCTTGTCCCCAGAGAGCACACACCATTCCAGCGCGGATTTCAGGATCGGATGAAGGAACAGGAGGAAGGTCCGTCAAGCAAGCCATGCGCGAGTACGTCGAATGATACTGCACCAGAAAGGAGTGGAGAAGAGCACTCGTGTCCTGGATTGCTGCGGTGCTAACCGGCAGAATGTGCTGCATACGCTGCAAGCGCACAAAGTAGTTGACGATTGCGGCGACGTCGGGTGCTTTGTTGTCTGTTGGTGGTGGAGCAGTGACGTCTTCCTTACCTGCTTCGGACTGAGCGTTGATCGTAGCTAAGACTGAAGGCGGCAGCTTTTCGACGGAAGTGACACTACCGTTCTGCAACTCAAGAGTGTCGAACAGCACTGCCTCGTGCTGTTGAACCTCTAGCGCCAAATCCAGATAGTGGAATGCAGCTTGAACGTGCGTGTCCTCGCTACCCGGGACCAGCTTCTGGCCAAACAGGTTAACCAGTTCGATCAAGACCAACCGTACCAACTGGCGATCATATCCACCTTCAATCGACGACTTGATGGACCCTGTGAAGGCCTCGACACATTCTTCAAATCGCAGCTCCAAATGTTGCTCGCCTTGTACAGGTAAATCGACCTGGATCTGGGTCATGGTTCCGTACAACTTTTTTGAGAGTATCACCCCCTTCAGCAGCAGAAGTCGTGCTTTGGTGGATGACATTCGCTGCGTGGTATGGTCAAGAGCTCGAATACCGCTCTCAACAGATTGCAGTGCTCTCTCCTGACGAGTTTGTACGTTTTCGCTGCCAGAGTCCAGAGGAAATTCGAGTAGCACCTGCGCTAAATCAGCGTGGATCTGAACGAACTCGGGAATTCCAGGCCGGTAGATGTTGAGTCGCTTTTCAGCGTGCTGGTGATCAGCACTAACGCCGATCCAGCCGTCGTGTTCCAGCAAGGCGTCCAGCACGTGTTCTGCTTCGCTCAGGCGTTCGTTGACTGCATTCAGTGCAAGTGGCTGGGATGACAAGAGCGCTTTGGATCGGAGCAACGAGCTCAACGCTTGAAGTGTGTGAATGTAGGTAAGCGAAGCTGAGGTGTGGGATGTCAGGGCTTCTTCTCGCAGAACGCCGAGTTCTCTTTCGGTTTTTGCACGCTCGCCGAGAAAGACTTCGGCCTGCAATCGTAATGACTCGAGGTGCTGTCGAAGGAGCTCTTCACCTGTCCTCTTGGCTTCTTCGATTGCAGTCTCGGCAGCTTCAAAGGCAGCGTGATAGCGTGTTTGGGCAAGTAGACAGGCGACGACGTGTGCTCGACACTTGGCAACAAACGTACCTCGACCAAGTACCAGCGAGAACTTCAGCTTCTGGTCCAGTTCCAAGCGCAAGTGGTGCTCCGGACCGGTAGGAATCGTGTTGTATTCGCTGATTGCATCCATCGCACTTGACATGGATGTACTCCACTCACCCTCGCAAAATGCAAGATAGCTCAGCTGCAGGTGAATATCGGCTCGAATGCGATGGGTCTGGAGCAGCTCCCACGAAACCGACTGTGGTTCTGCAGCCACCTCTCCAGCAGCTTCTCCAACTACAGCATCTCTTGGGGTTTGAGCAGGAGAAGTCGACGCCTCACTGGGCTTGACGATCAATAGCATCGCTTGGGCCAATTTCTTGGCCGCTGAGCGAGCGATTGCTGCGTCGCGGTCGTATCGGCTTTCATGGCGAGCTAGTGCAACAGCGAGGTGCAAAATCGTCACCAAGATGTGCCCCACCAGCTCGTCGGGGTAAAATTTCTTCAGCTCCGACTGCGTTTGCTCTGCGTTAAGCGAAGCCAACCAGTTCAAGGCGGCTCGATTACTCTCGTCCAGAATTGGTTTACTGTCGTGGAAAACGACAGCGTCGGGCTCCGGAATGCCGCTGCTACTGCGCGGCGTTGACCCACCTTGCAACAGCTTCATGATAATCTGGAATGTTTCCTGGAAGCGAGCACATTGGACTAGCGCTTCAACGCGGAACCTACGAGCGTTTGCTACATGGTTTGCGTCTTCGAGGCAGTATTCCGCCACGTATTCGTACCCGGTGATGACAGGCATCACAGTGGTTGCACACTGGTGTTCATACTGGAGCAAAACCTCAGGAACCAGCACCAGCATGATGCAGAGAGTGAAGGGAGAGACGCGATCTGGGTCTGAGAGCAGCTTTCGACCTGGCCAGAACTGTCCAAGCATCCGGTACGAGCCAAACAGGAAGCATTTGGTCGGGTGTGGCAACGAGCAGCCGTAGAATCGAGTGAAGATTGCCGCTGCCATCAATGCGTAGTCGACGGCCTTGTGCAGTTTGTCACCCGATGAGAGCATGATCAGCTTGGAGAGGACGCTGCAGCATTGCATCCCCACCCAGAGTTCGTCCCCAGCGATTTTGTCTTTATTCGCACTCTCAAGGAACTGGTCAGCAGGTGGAGTAAGGGCTTCACGCCAGGACATTGCGACGTTGAGCGTGCTGAAGGCGTTGTCCAGTGACTCAAGCCAGCTCTTGGTAGCCGACTTTACGTCTCCGTTGGCGAGGTGGAAGTCTCCAGCCTCTTGCAGCGCCTGGCAGACGATTCGCTTTTGACGCTTTTGTCGAGACAGAATCACACAGCGGTTGTATGCAGCCACAATCTGGCGGCGAAGTGCGAGCAGGTCGTCTTGATAGTGGTGCGCGTTAGTACTGCTGCGCTGGTCAAGACGATGGTACCGTTCGACTAGTTCGTGGCACGTGTTTAACGCTTGGTGGCTCTTGTTGATGGCGTTCGATAGCTCGTCGTAAATTTCCGAGAGATCCGCCAGTTTGGCTCGTTCAAGGTCCCGATCAGCGACGAGTTCTTGGATGCGCTGCTCCAGCACCTGCTTGTTGGCGCGGAATGCGATCTCCTCGGGCGAGAGCACTTCTTCCACTACAAGGCGCGACTTTTTCTTCTTCTTTTTCGCCTCTTGCTCCTGATATGCGGTGACGTAGGCGTTCAGTTCTTCTTGGGCGGCTTTCAAGAGCGTTTCCTGGTGGTCCAGGATCTGCTGCTGCGCGTAAATCAAGATGGGGAAGTTCTGCTCGGAGAACCGACTGCCCTCGGTACTGCTACCACACAAGGCGTGATACCTGCTTCCTTTCTGCACGATGCTCTTCCAGTCCTTGAACGAACAAAACACTCGCAACGAGAACGCCATCAGCTGCGCGAACCAAGTTTGGTCAACGTTCAGAGCGCTAGTGGCGGCGTACACCACAGTCGACAGGGCCATCGACTGTTCTCCTGAGGCAGGGGCTCGTGCTGTTTGGAGCGCTGTAGATTGAACTTGTGACCCGTTCGTCGCGATGTCCATCATGTCCAGCAACGCGTCCACGCAAGTCGACAGGTGTCCAAGCCTCGTAGGTGACGTTCCAATCCGACTTGGCGCGATCCACGCTAGCCAAATAGCGTTCCAAAGCTGCTGGGCTGCAGCTTGAAGCCCTTGCCAGCAATTGGCAAGCCGAAATAGTTTGCAGCATCCCGCAGTCTTCTCCAAGAGTTCACCAAAGAGCTGATCGACTTGGTTGGCTTCTGGGGTGTCACTTGGCTCAGCTTGGGGTACGGTAGCGTCTTGGTCTTCTGCTGGTACATTCTCCTGGTCCACATCCGTTTCTAACGCGTTCTTGGTTTCGTTTGCGCCCTTTGTTTCGTCTTCCTTGTTGTTCTCAGGATGAAGTAACGCGTACGTGCAGTCTTCCGTATCTGGGCCATTTGCTGTGTCGACTTCCTCAATTGTGTTGCATAGTTTCACGATCTTCCGGAACTGTTGGCAGATCAAAACAGGGTTAGTCGTATCGTACCTGCCTGCCCAAGCAACATTCGATGGCGGACGTACCAGCAGCACCGATTGAATGTAGAACAGCTCCCCGCACCACCGATACAAGTACTCATCGTCAGCTCCAGCTACCGCATCAGCCACAGTTGCTTCAGTCTCAGGGGTCTCACTGGTTTTGTTCTCTTCGTCAGGGCGAGAGCTGAGCGGGTTCGCTTCATCCGGAACGACAACATTCTTCAGCTGAGGTAGCAACTCTCCACCGCCAAGCGATTGAAGGGTAGCTCGAAACTGGTTGCTGATCTCTCCTGCTACCTTGAGAGACGCGAGGAATTTGTCCATTTGAGAGACGTCATTCCCTCCAGATCCGAGGACCGCCCCGCACACTTTGCTTGCGAACTCGATTGTTCGACGATCCGAAGAACTGTGCCGCTCCAGGATGGCGAAAACCTTCAAGAGATCGTTCCCAGCGGCTTGGAGGAGCTCAGCCAAGCTCTGCATCACTCCTGCTTCACCCTTCTCCGTCTCACTTCCGCTCCTCGGTGTGGCTTGTGGTGTATTACTCTGGCTTTTGTCTTTGGCTGCGGCTGCTGGGGCTCCTTTCGACCCTCGTGGAGTAGCTGCTGCTGTTGTTGGAGGCGCAGGAGTGGAAACTTCTTGACTCCCTTGTGAATTGCTGGCCAACTTGAAAAGAGCCACAACTTCACGCAAGCTGTCGTGCTCTTCACTGTTGTTGCCGGAATGAACCTGCTCGTGGTTCTGAACGATGAGTGGAATGGTGACCCGAGAGATGTCGCTGTGGGCTTCTTGAGCAATTCGAAAGAGCTCGAAGCCTATACGAGCGTGAATGTTTCGCGTGTCGTCGTCCCATTTCTCGCTTGGAATCGCATGAAGCGCCTACATAACAGCAAGGAACGAAGCACTGAGCCCCGAGTCATTCCTCCGTCAGAGTTACAGCGCCTACCTGGACTCACCTTGTAAAACGTCACGAGTGCGGCGAATGTCAAACCATCACAACTGCCTTTCAAGTGCAGCAGCGGCAATAACAGTCGGTATCCTTTGAAGCACAGGACGCGAATCGCTTCGATGTTGTCTGTCGCGCAGGCGATCTCAATGGCCATGGAGATTTTGCGACTGTCTTCAAGCGCTTTGGTCTGTGTCGTGGTCAACGATTGAGCGTCAAAGTCCGAAGTCGCGACGAGCTTTCCATCCCTCTCCAAGTCGCCAGGCTCGTTGTGACACAAGATCAGCAGTGCCTGGATGCAGAGGTTTAGTATCGGCAGGGGGAATTGGGCCACAACGTCTCGCTTCAGTGCTTGTCTGTAGAACAAGTTGGCCATCCACGAAGGCCTCCCAGCACACGCGTGCGAGACTACGGCGTTGTACAGATAATGAGCGGCTTTGTTGGCTCGAGTTGCAAGCTGGGTGTCGTAGCACGCCTTCGCGAGATACCCGTAGCACATGGGCAACGGCAGCGGGTTGAGCGCTACCACCGGCTCCGAAGTCTCGCCGATGGAGTTGATCACTTCGTGTTTGTTGTCATAAGCAGCAACAGCGAACACGTAGCTCTCGTTGGGTAGCAAGCCGGAGATCATCACGTCCAAGTGTGGAGGGTACACGGGGGTAGCCGTTCCGGTGAGGTGGTTGCTGTTGAGTGAGACAGCAGTCCCCACCCCTGTGGCCTTGGCGAATACCATGTAATACTCTACCCTCCGCTTTCGAAGCGATGGCAATGAAGGCCGATACCCCACTATTTGCAGCGTGATCGCTGAGCTCGATCGAGATATGACGATGGGCGCGAGAGGGACAGCGGACTCCACGGCTTCCGTCCTTATTGAAGCTAGTTGGCGACAGAGCTTCTCCTCTTGCTGCTCCACTTGTTGCAGCAGTTGAATGCTCTCGTCTGCTATTGCCAGTCGCTCTTTCACCGACTTCTGCGGATGAACAAGCCGCTGGATGTTCAGTAACACTCGCGCGTAGCCATTTTGATCGCACTCTTCGAGGAGCTTGAGCTCGGCAGTTGATAGCACGCTGCTTGTTTGTAGAGAAACACCTGGTGTGACGACGGAAGGTTTTGAGTTGGTTAGAGGGAGAACATCCACCATCGAGGCTGCCTGAAGTTCCAATCGGTACAAAAGCAGCGTCAAGTCCACTTGAACACAACACATGTCCTGATGAACACCCCCAAATTGAGAGCCTGTTCCTCGCACACCTACGCGATCTCGAGGGTTTTCTCCGTCACTCAGCGGACTTGAGTCCCTAATTGTGCACGTAAATGAATACTTGGAGATTGGCGTCGTAATTCCTGGGTCCGACTGTCTGTCAACCACCGAGTGGAAGTGCGAATGGAAGTTCACTAACTCGCTCCGGCGCGAGTTTATCCGCTCGAGACACTGACGCACCACTTGGCTGCCTCTGCGCGCTTTGCCACGGATCGACAGAAGCGTAGCCAGACGCAAACAAACGCGACCGTGGAGCAGTAAATCCTCAAATTTCACGGCGGTGAAGGTGAAGTGGATCGTCAGCAGCAATTCACACGTGAGACGTACGAATGGTCTTGACATTTGAGGTGGCTCCGTAGCGTCCAGATCCTTCAGCATTGGGACCGCAAACTCTCGCCACATTTGCAACGCCACTGACGCCAGCAACTCTGCATTCGTACGCGAAATGGAGCCGTCGCCGTGGAAGACGCAGTCCTGCATGGCTTTCGACAATCTTAAAAGGAACTTGGACGCTGGAAGTTCACCCCCAGACACTGACAATTGCTGTCGTGGCTTTAGCTTCACTTCCAAGCGCTCGTCTTCTGAGAGGGACTCCCACGACAGCCAGGACGCTTTGATCTCACGAAGCGCCTCGAACAGCTCAAGCAAGCAGCTAATGATTGACGCATCTCTCCCCAATAAGCCCTCCGACGAGGAGTTCAGTCGTGCGTGGGCACTTCTAATGAGCAGACGCATCTCATCGCCGGGTTTCCCCAGTAGAAAGCTGTGCCGAATAGCGCTCAGGTGGAATGATACTGGGAAAATCGTGTTGTCCAGTGCAGACTGCGATGTCAGTTCTTCCTCTTCTTCTCCGTTCAAAGGCTTCAGCATAGGGGCCACAATCTCCATAACGAATGCAAGCAGCTCTGACATGGTCTCGTTCGTTGGGGGCTGCGTGGTGGAAGGTATCAATACGAATGCCCCTTGCCCTCCACACCTCTGCTTGACTTCGCGAGATAAACTTTCCAAGGCATCAATCGCAGCGCGCATCTGGTCACGAGTCTCTGGAAATGCCGCCTCAATTGAACTTCTAGTGACCGGTTGACGTCCTGCTGCAGCTTTGACTCTTGTCGCTAGCATAGTAGACGTCGTCTCTGCTTGGGTCAGAACACGCTGCACTTCCACCGGCAACGGCATATCAAGCTCCTCCTCCTTACGCAGCCGTTGGACGATTTGTTGCAGATAAGCGGCACACGCCACTGCCGATTTAAGGTGTTGATCACTTCTCATCGTCTCTTTCAACGCCAAATCCTCGTAGCACTCGCAAATCGCCGAGCCAAGTTGCAGCCGCCACATAATGTACTTGGTCGTCGACAACGCCACCGAAGATTCCATGGCCAGCAGACTCCACTTCAGATACGCCACTACTTCTCGAGAAAAGCCCAAAGCTTGTAGAGGCTTCGCGATGGAATAAATGAGCACAGACCCGTTCAAAGTCAACCACGTGAACTGGCCCGAGTACTGGCGCTCCATAGCCACCGCCGTCTCCATCCCCAGGCGCAAGAATGACAACGCCTCGATCATATTCTCCAGTCTTCCGGGATGTTTCACGAATCCATCACACCGCTTCTGAACGTGGAAGCAGCTCATGGCTACACCAAAGAGCGACCGAACGTAGGCTTGGCCCTCAATTCGACTCCGTTTTACCGTCGATGACGACGTAGAAGCGAGAGTACGCTTGAGAATATCTTGGGGTTTACTAACAGCGACTTCTTCCGGTGTTTTCTCCTTCATTTCGTCCAGAACGAGCACTTTTTCGTAGAAAAACATGGAGGCGGCTCGAAATTCCTGAATGTGGTAGAACTTGTCTCCGAATACGAGGAGCAGCTCGGTCTTCTTGGCCGTGTTGATCTGATCACTGGTAGCTTGCATGAGCCTGTCCACTAGAGGGGTCAGCTTCTGGGCGATGTCACCGTAGAAGACCACTTCTTGACGTGCGTTGACGACGTCTTCTGGAGAACCGCCAAAGCTCTCGGAGGTCAGTTCCTTGGACTGTTTCTCGCGGGTGAGCTGCAGTATTGCAGTGAACTCGCGCGTGAACTGTTCCACCACTACATCTGCGTCAGCGTCGGCGTCTGCGCCGTCTTCAGGCGCTGAAGCTTTCGGGACATCCGCCGACTCGATTCGGATCCGTGTCCCCACCGTCTTCGTCATGGAATTGCTCGAGTCACTGTCACCGCCCCGCTGTGCTTGAACGATACGGCGTTGAGTGTGGATATGGGCCCGGATCTTCTTTCGTAATGAAGGGTCGGAGGAACTACTTTCAACAGTCGAAAAAGCGTTGAGATGTCGAAGCCGACGGCGTTAGCGGCCTTTGCAGCCAAGCAACAACGGGTTGAATTGGTTGATGGTCTTAGCAAGACGGTAGAGGCAAGTTCACCAGGTAAGAGCCTCGCACAAATCAAGGTTCCATCGTTGAAGCCGTTAGGCGATGGTGGAGGTGATGGCGGTAGCAATGGCTTGGGGCCTCCCGTGAAACCTCTGAAGGCGTTGAATGAGCTGCGGCCTGTCGGTGATGGTCGGGGATCTTCTTCTCACAAGCTGGTAGGGATCGCGGCGACATTGGCACCAATGAAGTCACCGGAGACCGACAAGGTCAATAATACTAGTACTCTCGAGCCGGTGGAGACTCCATCACGGCGTTTATCCAGTCTGAAGCCCCTGGCGTCGGTGAGCAGCGACAACCAGGGAGGAAAAACTGAAGCAGAGACCCCACCAAATGCAGGCGAGGGTCAAAAGGATCCAGATAAACCGAAGCCCAAAGCCGTTGATGAAGCTGCTCAACCTAATGCGGAAACCTCTTCTAGTCCAGACGAAAGTGCAGCGACCGACACCAAAGCTCCGTCTGGAGACGCCAACAGCGACGACGATGACTTCAATTTTGATGATGCTGATGGTGAAGAAGAAGAAGAAGACACTGCAGCTAAAGCAGAGCCAGAAGAGCAAGGAGACAGCTCGACTCCGGTGGCTGCAGCGAAGCCTGCTGCTGTTGACGTCGAGGAACTCTATGATTGTCCTCCCGACTTGAGCCACGAAGCCTCTCACTCACTACAAGAAAAGTACGTCCTCTCCAGTTGAAGTTGGTGAACAACAACGTATTTCACCTTTGCTTTGGTGATCTTCATAGGCAACCAAAGATGTTTTTGCCCCGGGCAAGCGACATCGAACTGTTTCACGTAGTCCTGACCGATGATACAGATCGATTGCAGCGGTTTCTGGAGGAGATATCCCCTCATGAGATGCTCGAAATTGTTGATGATTCCGGTCGCAACCTCTATCACTACGCTGCTCTGTCAAGAGATAAACTGGTGCAGGATCTGATCTTCCAGCACGTGAACTCGTATCGTGACACAGAGTTCGAGATCGAGTTGAAAGCACTGATGCGAAAGAAGGACCGGATGAATGGGTAGGGAGAACGATTTGTCTGCTTTACCTTCTTCTCCTAAAACTTATACGTGTCTGTGGCTAGGTGGATGCAAGAGAAGAAGTTAAACGGGAACGCGTGGGTGCCACCTCGAGTGAAAGAGCTGCAACGCGAGACGACAAAGCAAAAATGCGCCGACTGGACGCAAATATGCGGCAGTGTGGACGAGAATGGCCGCTCCTTCATCCACTATGTGAGTTTGGGAGACGTCTCGTTCGTTAAACACTCTAATGGGCACTGTTTTGCTGTTCAGCTTGCCACTACAGCATCACTTGTCCCTATCGAAGATAACTACGAGTTTTGTAGTGCTCTTCGTTCCAAGCCCAGCATTTTGTCTACTAAAGGTAGTTAGCCAACTTTCCATTGGAAACCACCTTGTATTTCACTATTATTGCGCCTTGTTTGTTAGATAACTTCAAGAAGCTCGCACTCTACTACGCAGTCGAAAGTGGGAACCTTCGGCAAGTCAAGTGGTACTTTCAAATGGGTGTCAGACTGAGCCAAGCGGATGTCGACTTGCTGTTTTCATTCAACGTATCTCGAGTTATGGAGAACGTTATCCTGCGTCAACTCGAGTCGATTGACATTCAAAACTACTACTTACCAACACCAAAAGGTGACAGTGAAGAAAACGACAACCACTGCGACCCCGGAGTTAGTACCTTCGTGCTGGCCAAGTTGCAGCGGATCACAGACGATAGTGCTGGACGTTTGCACCAGCTACCGTTGCACCGCGCTGCCATGTTTGGGAATGTCCGTGCTGTGGAACTTCTTCTCGAAGAAGGGGCAGATCCAAGAGCTCGCGATGCAAACCAGTGGACGGCAATGCATGTACGTGGAGGTATTGTGGAGGTATTGTGATTCCAGTACTGAACCATGGTTGCTTAATCTTCTGTTGTTGTAGTATTGTGCTGAAGAAGCCACAGATAATCACATAGCAATCGCTCGACTTCTCATGGAGACGCCACAATCCGTCGACGTAAATGCGAGATCACTGAAAGGCCGATCACCGCTCCATGTTGCCGTTCATTTAAGAAAACGCAAAATGTTGCACGGCAACGGCAGTTTAAACGATGAAGATCGCTTAGCGTTTGTGAAGTATCTTCACGAGTGTAAGGCAGATCTGGACCTCAGGGATGCGAATGGGGCGACGCCATTACTTTTAGCTTGCCGTGGTGACGATGTGAGTGTGATTGAATTCCTTTTACGCGTCGGGTGTGATCCAACAGCGACGGGTGACAACAAATGGAACGCGCTTCACTTTGCCGGTACGATAGGTAGTCCCAGCTTCTGATACAAACGCATGAAGCTCACTATTAAACTTGTCGCCAGCAATTCGAAGGAATTCCAGTATGATATCGTTCCTCCAGTCGTGGGATGCTGACTCGCGGCTGTGGACTTACTCGCCTGGAATTCAAGGGAAAAAGCCTATCGACGTCGCAAAGAGCGATAACGTCCGGCAAATGCTAGTGGTAAGACATCTAAACACTATCTCTCTGTGAATGGTTAACTCATGAAATTACTGCCAAGTAGAACCTGTGGACGGAATGCTACAGTGGAAATGTCGACCAAGTGCGACGTCTGCTACTAGCTCGTTCAAAACGCGGCTCAAAGCCGTCCGAGCGTATCGGATTCGTATCAGTGAAGGACAACACAGCTCAAGCTGAAAGAACTCCACTTCATCTAGCGGTACGAGTTCAAATCCACCTTATTATTGACTGAGTAAACCAGCAAATTGACCATTATTTTCTGTAGATTCTGGGGTATATGGACGCTCTGCAGTCTTCAGAGTATTCGCCTGCCCCCAATTCGTCACACGAAGAGCGTCTCAAGCATCAGAAATCATCGGAATTGAAACGAACCGCTCCAAGTCGGTTCTTGCAAGTTTCAATCCTGCTGCTTCAAGCTGGAGCAGACTTACGTGCTGCCGACAAGTGGGGGGTTACCCCTCTCATGCTCGCTGCTTCACTAAAGGATGCCATCTTCATGGAGACTCTCCTCGAGCGGATGTCCGACGAAGATGATCTCTTAGCTGTTGATGCAGAAGGCAACACCGCCTTGCATTACAGCTACGCATTCTGTCAGGTACACAGCGCATCATGATCATTGAGTAGACGAACGAATACTCACATCGTCTATGCCATAGGCTCAAGTCTCAACAATGCTGGAAGACCAGATGGACGATGTGGTGAGTAAACCTCTTACTCAGGAAATCTGACAATGTTTACTCACGAAATCGCATTTGTTTCAGGAAATTGAAAACAAACAGGGAAAATCCCCATTCGAGATGACAGGATATCGCGACAAGATCTACCCAAAAGAGTACCGTGACTTCCTCAAACAGCAACAAGACTTCCGAAGACGCCAACGCCAACGCCAGCACACAACCTTCAAATGAATTGACCTCCAAGTAAGTATATTGTTACACAGCTTTCTGCTTCATAGTCTAAGGCTCCTCTGCGGGCGGTTAGTTATTGATTGAGTCGGTCTTGTCTTGGTCTTAGATACGCCTCTCTCCTTAGAAGCCTTCGAACGTGTCGCTGCCCGTGAACTGCCGGATCTTGGTGTCTTCCGGGTAGGCGTCGAAGTTGCCGGCATCGAACGCGTCCTTGATGGCCGGGGTGTACGGCGCCTTCATCGTCTTCTTGACCATCGCGGCCCAGTCGAACTTGGCGTTCGTGAAGAAGGGGTGGTTCACCACGTCCTGCATGCCGCCAGCCAGCGAGCCAATGCGCAGCGCCGGGTTGGTCTCCAGCAGCTTCATGACCAGGTCCCTAGCGTCCGGGTCGAACTTGGGCGGGAACTTGACCATGGCGCGGCCCTGCAGGATCTTCTCGAAGATCTTGTTCTGGTCGTTGTGCTGGAATGGCGTGCGGCCGGCGATGAGCTCGTAGAGCAGGCAACCAAGCGCCCAGTGGTCCACCGCCTTGCCGTGGCCCTTGTTGAGCACCAGCTCGGGGGCGAGATACTCAGGAGTTCCGCACAAGGTGAAGGAGCGTTCGTAGAGCGCACCATTGCGGTAGTACGGCACGTGCTTGGCGAAGCCGAAGTCGACCATCTTGAGGTAGCCGGCGCTGTCGATGACCAGGTTCTCGGGCTTGAGGTCGCGGTAGGCCACCGTCATCTTCTGCAGGTAGCGGAGGGCCTCGACCACGTTGGCAGTGTAGAACCTCGCGGCCGAGACGTCGAACGCGCCACAGACGCCCTTGGCCACCTTGAAGGCCTTCTCGTAGAGCAGACTCCACAACTCACCGCCCTGCACCAGCTCGAACAGCATGTAGAGCTGGTTGGCGTCCTGGTACGTCTCATGCAGCTTGAGGATGAACGGGTGGTCGCACTCGGCGATGATGCCCTTCTCGTACATGACGTTCTTCTGCTGGTGGGTCTCGACGATCAGCGCCTTGGACATGCACTTGAGCGCGAACGCCTGGTTGGTGGGGCGGTGGCGAACGATGATCACGCGGCCGAAGGTGCCCGTGCCGATGGTGCGGATCTTCTCGAGGTCCTTGTACAGGATCTTCTTGGCCGCCGGAGCTGCGGGGGTAGCGGATCCCGGACGGACGTCGCTGCGTCCACCGAGAACCGACTGCTGCACGAGCTGCTGGCGTTGGATCTCACGCTGCATGATGTGGTCGAGCTTGCCCAGAAGCTGCTCGAACGCGGCGCGTTGAAGCGTGAGGCATTCCACTCTACCGACCGCAACGCAGTCCGCAGCACGAGGCTCGTTCGCCAGTAGAGCGCGTTCGCCGAAGAACTCGCCCGAACGGAGCTGCATGATCTCGAAGCCCGACTTGCGCACGCTCACCTTGCCGTCCGAGATCATGTAGAACGTGTCCGCGGCGTCACCTTCCTTGATAATGGTGCTCTTGTCCTCGAACGAGACGACGTTGAGTGCGTGTGCGAGGATGTCCAGCTCGTCGTCGGTCAATGAAGACAGCAGCGGCACGCTACGCAGCACGCGGATGCGCATCTGACGGTCGATCAGCGAGCGCAGCGGACCCAGCAGCTTGGTGAACTCGGCGCGGTCCATGACGTAGCAGTCCACAGGACCCACCGCGATGCAGTTGGCCTGGCGAGGCTCGTTGAGCACGAGTGCCATCTCTCCGAAGTAGTTGCCGCGCTGGAGCGTCATGAGCTCCTTCTCGGCTTCGTCGCCGCTTCCGGTTCTACTCGTGCAGCGCACCGTGCCCTCCACGATGATGTAGAACGTGTTGCCGTCCTCACCCTGTCGGATGATGTAGTCGCCATCGTTGAAGCGCTGCAGCTTGAGCGCCGCCGCCACCTTCTGCAGCTGGTTGTTGCTCAGACGCTGCAGCAGCTCGACGTTCTTGAGGAAGTTGACTCGCGCGAGCTGCGTGGCCGACGCAGTCGTGGCCATGATCTTGCGGAAGGTAGTGCGTTCTACCGTCCACAGGATGCAGCCCGTGGTGGCGCGGATCGTGGCCGCGCGCGGGCAGTTGTAGAGCAACGCCAGCTCACCGAAGGCGTCGCCGTTCGTGTAGGTGCCCACGAGCTTGCCATCGATCACGATGTCGCAGTTGCCGCTCTCCAGCACGTAGAAGCACTTGCCCGACGTGCCCTGGGCGATCACCGCCTCGCCCGCCTGAATGGTGACCATGGCCATGACGTCGATCATCTCGTCGATCTCGCCCTGGTCCAGCGAGCTGAAGAGGTAGTGCGCCTTGAGCGCCTTGGTGATCATGGCTCGGGTCTGGTTGTTCTTGGGCACGCGCACGTGCTGCGTGCTGTCCAGGTCGCCAGGTTCCACCGCGTCCTCCTTGATGGGGGCACGACGCACGCCCTTGTGCTCGTTCAGGTCGAGCACGTTCATGGCCGGAGGAGCCGCATTACCCAACTGCACCGTCGTGGTCGTAGCAGCAGCCGACGAATTGGCGCTCGGCTTGATGGTCGGGGGCGACGGCGGCAGGATCAAATCCTTCATACGCTTGGAGAAGTCCATGGTTCAACTGCTTGCTCGCGTGCTAGGCGACTCGGGCGTTTTTCCGAAGGACGGGGGGTGGGCGCGGGGGCGACGGGGCTGACTTGCTTGGAGGCGAAAGCGAAAGTGATCGACACCATCAAGCACGTGGAGAGCCCGAAGCAGCCCGATAAGGAAGCATGGACCGTGTCCGACAAGAACCACCTAAGAATACCGAGCCATGGCGACATGGTTCACTGCCTTCTTGTCTTCTTAGTCATGCCAGCCTTCGAGGCGCAGGAATAGCAGGATGTCAACAATGGGCATTGCCTATACAGAGCTGTTGAAGCTCTTTGGCGACAAACCGTCGGTCGTTTCGTGGATCGGCATGAGGTTTGGAGGCAAAGCAGCGAGTGAACGGATATAGGATTGGCTAGGGCAACGATGGCCCATGAGCGAGTGGGGAAGCGCGTGCGGGTGTATTGGTCTGACGAGGAGGAGTGGTTTGAAGGCACCATCCAGAACTACGATGAGACCCAAGGATACTACGTCGTGTATGACGACGGAGACGAACGGTGGGAACTCGATGGACAGCCGATGCTGGTGGAAGGTGAAGAGGAAGCGCAGACGAACGAGAACTACCAGGCGCTGACTATTGAACGGGATCCAGATCGAACGCCTGAAATGATGGAGCCGCCAACTTCACCAGGAAGCGACTATGACGACGACTACGAGCAAGAAGCGAGTCACCAACAGCTTGAGCAGGACGGCGATGCTACTGCTAATGATGTCCCTGATACCCACGACACGGTGCAGGAAAACAATCTGACCGAGAACGAGATCGACAGTAGCTCCCACCAAGAGAAGGAGGTTGATCAACAAGACCGCGATAATGGTTTGCAGGAGAGCAGCGATGACCGCGCGGGCCTTGATGACGGGGCCGACAGCGATGGCGGCAACAGCGAAGGTGAAGCGTCGGTCGCAGAATCGGAGATGCCTCAGACTTTTGCCAAAACTGCATCTAAATTGTCCCCCGGTAGTACAGGTCGACCTCGTTCTACCTCTGCCGTACCTTCGACTGTGCCTGTTCCAGTCAAAGGACTTCTGGAGGGGAGGGTACTACGCGCTACTGGCCTCCAAACAAACAGAGCGCTTGCTCCCAGCGCATTTGTACGGGTGTCGTTTGTCGAGTCTGGTGACACAACGCACGCGAGTGCCATGCTTCGTTGCAAGGAGACACTATCCACCACGAGTATCATTCGAGGCTCCGTCAGTCCTGTATGGAGTGACAACCCGTTAAGTGATGCTGGTGGGGATAGTTCTAATGGTGACTTTAAACTTGAATTACTTCCCAAGATCATCCCTCCTGCAACGAAACCCGCGTGGCACCAACTTCCAGGCGATGTCCTGTTCACCGTCTTCTCAGCTTCGAGGTCTGACAACAGCTCTCGCACGGGATCAAACGAGCACATTGGCCAAGCAACTGTATCCTTACGAACTCTATTACAAGACCTATTAACCACCTCCCCATACACCGTACGCGTCCTTGAGCTTCGATCTCGCAGCGGAAAGCGTCTCGGGTACGGGAATGCTTCAACGAGGAGCCTCTTCGACGATGGGAGGCCTGAAGCTCCGACGTTAGTCGCATCGTTCCGCTTCATCCCAATGTACGAGACCAAAACCAAGCAAACGGTACCTCGCTCCTTGCGTAGCGTACCGAGTGTACCAAGGTTGAATACCCGGATAGTCCCCGCTAAAAGTTTGTCTCGAGCTAGTGCACGACAGGAGAAGGCTTACACTGCAAAGCGAACGATACCAGCTCAAACGAGCAGCAGTTCCATAAATCGGCGACGATTTGAGAAGCAGGTCGCGAAAGATAATCGATCTTTTGCTAAGCGACTGGAATGGAAAGAGGCTCGACGCACTCGTCAATCCGCACAAGCTAAAGCTCAGGAGAAGAAGAAGGTGACTCCACCGCAGCATGGAGCGAGGAAACACGGACACAAAGCCTCATCTGGGATCAACCGGACCAAGTACGTGCAGCAAGTTGCAGCGGAGAACAAGGTGATAGGTAAGCGGCTGCAGAATATCATCGGTAGTGACGAAGGTGCTCGAAATCCTGAGAAGTTTTCGAGTTGGGCAGCAGCGGAGCCGAAAGATAGCGCAGACTGCGACTACATGGATCGAGACAAGCTGCATGCACAGGACAAGCGCTGGCAGCGACAGGTTGAGCTCGATTTCCTAATGGAAAAGGCCCAAACCAAGTATCAGCAGCAAAATCAAATGGTGGAGGAAGTCATGGAGCTCCAAGAAGCGGTTGCATCCTTGAAAACCCAAGTGGATACGCTCAACAAGAGCGTCCTTCGCCTCGATATCCTGAACAAGAAGGACCAGCACGTCCGTGACTGTCTACTGCGTGCTGCTGTAACGTCAGGAAGTAAGCCAGTGAAGGTATCACCCCGACCGCCCACCTCCAAACTCTCGTCCAAGGCAAAAACCGAGAGTAGCAACAACAACAACCAAGAAGACGGCGAAACTTCAGGGAAGTACCGCAAAGAGGAAGAATGGGAGCTTCTAACGCAACACAGAGATCGTCTTCAAGCGGACAAGCTGAAGCTAAGTCAAGAGTTGAAGGCTCTTAACCAACAAGACCTTGATCTTGATAAAGAAATCAACGACCAGCAAGCCAAGTGGGAACATGCAATAGCGACGCAGCTCTTCCATCGGCAAATGGAGAAGAACAACCCAATTCAAGCGCAGAAGGCGGTTCAGGAGATGAAGAGGAGACAGAAAGCCCTCGAGCTGTCGCGAGAGGAGGAAGAGCAGTGGGCGTGTTACCAGGCGCATCAAGAACTTACCCAACTCCAAATCGCCATCCAGATACTCAAAGACCAGCGCGGTGACGAACCTCGTCGTTTAGCTGCTACGAGAGCGTCAAGTTCCTCCTCCACCGCGGTCTGTGACTACCTCATGAAGAAAATTGAGAAGCAGGAGACCAAACTACTGCAGCTTCAAGCAGAAGTAGAGCAACGGCGCAAAGACTACCATGCTATGCTCGCTAGTGGCGGCAACGAGAGTCTACGAAGGCGCGTACAGGAGCTGCAAAAACTCGTGTTCCTATGCAAGACGCAAGCTACACACGTCAAGAAGGCGGAGCGGATTGCACAGCGCAAAGGGGAGCAAGTCGACATGGAGTTCCAGCGACGCATGTTCAACGAGCAAACTGAAACAGAGATTGTATTGAAGAGACCTCATAAGCAGTAAATGGAATAATGCAATCTACACGAGTACTACCAAGCAAGCAAAGCCTATGATCGTACTGCTTACCAAGCCATGTCCCGGCCGAGAATCGCGTACAGCTTCTCGTTGTACGGAGCGTAGAAAGCAGCCAGCTTCGCGCGGACTGCATCATCGATGGGGTCGTACTTGCGCGTGTTCTTGGCTGAAGTGTCCTTGATGCGGTGGTACGGCAGGTCCAGGAAGTTGAACACCTTGTCCATCGTGGCCTGTAGAATACACCAAAAGCAAGTTAGCAGCAGTTGGGGTAAGATGCCTGCAGTTAACTACGTACGTGAAGCTTCTCCGTGCTCTTGAACTCGTCCAGAGTGAGCAGCAGCACGTTCTCCTTTCCATACGCCTCAATCCAGCCCGCCAGCTGCAGCGCGTACAGTCCGCGCGCTACGAATGAGTGTGCGCCGTGGTCGAACTCGAGCTGCTTGCGCATCACCTTCTCGTCAAACTCCTCGAAGTCCATGTCCGGGTGCACGCCGAGCTTCGACAGCTCCTCGATCTCGTCGTCGACGATCTGCTCGAAGCTGCGGCCCTTGAGGTGGTGGTGGCCGCGGTTGCGCAGCTGCTTCTCGGAGCCCTCCGTGTCTGCAGTCATCGAGTAGTGCGAGTACGCACGCTCCACCGGGTTGCGCATGATAGCCATGATCTTGCGGCAGTGCGGGATCACCTGCTTCATGCGGTTGATCACCGTCTCTCCGCCGAGCATGTAGCTGGGCGTAGCCTCACCCGACATCAGCGACGGGAATCGGTACAGGATCTTCCGCTCCAGGTACGTGTCCTCGAAGTAGCGGAGGTGCTGCTTGGCGCCTTCAGGAGTCGAGGCGTCGGGCAGCTCCTTGTTCCATCGCCAGTCGAAGTAGTGGGTCTCCTTGCGCTTGGCAGGCCACACGAGGTCGTGCTGCAGGATGTAGTCGTAGAGCGACGTGGTGCCGGCCTTCTGCGCGCCAATGACGACGAACGAGGGCGGCACGCGCTTGCCGTAGTCCGTGGACAGGTCCACCGAGCGACGCGTCTGCCACACCGTCGTGCCCTGCTTGAGATCCATGCGGTTGAGCGGGAAGCCCTCGTCGACGTAGTCGAAGATCATGTGCACGCGGTGCTGGTCCCAGTTGTTCTTGACGCGGTGGCGGCTGATGTTGTTGAGCTCGTAGAGGTTGCCCTGCTTGAACTCGTAGCGCTGCATGTTCTGGTCGTTGGGTCCCACCATGAAGTCGATGTCGGGGCTCGTGAACACGGGGATGTGCATGCGGTGCGTGAAGTGCACCCACGAACCGGTGTCATGGTGAACGGGGATGTCAGCTCCAGGCGGCATGGACGCCAAGATGCAGCGCACGATGCGGTTCACAGGGATGTTGATCTGCTCGAAGATCGGGGCGAGCTCCTTCTGCCACGAATGGTACCATGGGAACGTGAAGACGTTCTTCAGGTAGTCGTCGCAGAAGACGAACACGACCTTGCCGATGCCCCACGTGTCGTGGCCGGCGCGACGCACCGGCACGTTGTCCTTCTGGTTGGCCGGGTCCCAGAGCTCGCGGCCGCCGGCCAGGATCCGCTTCTGCAGCAGCGAGATGTCGATGTTCTCCTGCACGGGCACCACCATGGCGAAGTCCTTGGCCACCTCTTCAGGGAGCTCCTGCATCGGGACCTTCTTGTGTCTGCAGTGCAATAGATCATCGTAATGTTAGTCAATTGCATTGCATTGCAGTATTATTTGATGCGCATCATTAGTTGTGACACATTGTCGTTCGCGCGCCTTACTCTAGGGGCACCTGGGGGATGGCGGTCATGCTTGTAGTGGCGGCAGTAAAGAGCGGCGGGGCTGTGTTCGGGCGGTCAAGGCGGGCTCTGTAGGGCCGGCAGCGCGCGTGTCGAGGCGGTCGATGCGGGCCAGCAGATCAGCGACGTCTCCATGCAACGTCAGTCGATGCGCCACACCACGCGCACACCAGGCCTCACTTCGGTGTGCGGCACACCAATCCGCACTTAGCACGCGCGACTGGTCCCGACGTCAAGTGTACCTTGTCGCTGGTACAGCGCGGGCTAGGGGAGTGAGAGGTGAGCGATTGGCTGGCAGACCCACCGTTTAAGCGCGCTTAGCCGCGTTCCGATAGTGTCTGGGGTTGAGCGTTTAAGCGCGCTTGGTTGGGCCGGCCGGTGTGGTTGGTTCCCAGCGCTCACGGGCCGAGCCCAGAGCCTCGGGCAGTCTTTTTGCGGCGCCGTCTTCATCAAGTTTCAATTTTAAGACTAGCAATATGGTACGTTGCCTCTGGCGATTGAGATGAGGCCGGCGCGCAATGCGCCGAGCCAATGAGCGTGCGCAGGTGAATGTCCGACGAGTGTAGCCGGGTTCCGCGCAACAAGCGGCGCTGGAGCTGCTGCGGCTGGCTCGCAATCATGCAGCGAAAAAACACAGTGGCAATCGGTGGATGGATGTCTATCTGTCTCTCGCGCTCCGCTCTCTTCCGACCTCCAAGTGGCGCCAATTGGATTGCAGTGAATATGGGCGCACGAGGACGAAAGGATCGCGGGACTACGCTACGAAGCAGGAAGGGCACGAGTCGAATAAACAGGTCAACGAGCAGTGGATACGATGTCGGACGGAGAGCGAGACGCAGAGACAGACACTCCAGCTACGAAATACTGCGAGCAGCAGCCACAGCAGCCTACAGACGACGGACACTTCACCTGCCAATGCAACGGATACGTATACAGGTCGACCAGGTTGCTAACGTACGCACTGCCATGTTGATCTCTATTGCAGGGTATTGATCTTGTCGCTGGTGGCAAGGTCGTCGGCAAGAAGAACCGCACGAACCCCAAGTCGGACAATGTGTACCTGAACCTGCTCGTTCGCCTGTACCGTTTCCTGGCTCGTCGCACGGACGCCAAGTTCAACGACATCGTGCTGCGTCGTCTCTACCAGAGCAACACCAACCAGGCTCCTCTGTCCCTGGGCAAGGTCGCTCGCTTCATGAAGAAGCACGAGGGCAAGATCGCCGTCGTGGTGGGCACCGTCACGGACGACATCCGTCTTCTGAACGTCCCCAAGCTCTCGGTTGTGGCCCTCAACTTCACCGAGACGGCCCGCGCTCGCATCGTCAAGGCTGGCGGTGAGTGCCTGAGCTTCGACCAGCTGGCCCTGCGTGCCCCCAAGGGCTCCAACACGGTGCTGCTCCGTGGCGCCCGCAAGGCCCGTGGCGTGTACGCCCACTTCGGCCACAAGTCGACGCTCGAGTCGGTGCACACGCACGACCACGTCAAGCCGTACGTCCGCAGCAAGGGCCGCAAGTTCGAGCGCGCCCGTGGCCGCAGGAAATCGCGTGGCTTCAAGGTGTAAGCGGCCTAGCCACGAACACTCTGAAACCAGGCCTTCTCTGTCTTGTGCCTTCCGGACGTGGATTTCGCGGGCTGTCATCTTCAAGTGGCGGGTGTGGCAGGTGTAGCGGCAGTTTGGCTAGGAGCTGCTGCGTGCTGGCGGCGAGCTTGCCTCGCTGTTTGGCGCCACTGCTGCAGTCGTGGAGACGGCTGCTTGCTTATCAGCGGTTGGAATAAACGAACCCAGGGAATAAAATTGAGACGCGCACCAATTTGACTTTATTCGTATCCGTTCTGTGGTACGGCCTCGAAACGATGCTTGACATGTCATGTACACTGCAACAGTCGCCACAAAAAGTATCTTTCGTGTTGACGAGGCTAATGACTTCAATGAACGCAAGAAAGCAAGCAAGCCAGGTGCACGTTGGTCGACTAACTCATTTCCTACGCGAGAGAATGTACTTGAGCTTGGCGACGATCTCGGCTGTTCAAGTCGACGACGTATGAACAGATGTGCAATTAGTCCACCATCCAGGGGTTGACGATGAAGCCAACCACTTTCAGTGCAGCACGTACCACATTCATACGGCGAGTCGGCTGTGTAGTCTGTGATGATCTCCTCGATGCTGTCCTTGAAGTAGATCTGGAACTCGGACGGGTCCTGGTTGAACCGCACCCAGACCACGCCAGACATAGGCCGCTCCGCCTGCAGTGGACACGAAAGATGACGATGGACAACGCATTAGCACGCTTACCGCACAGTAAACTTGCAACAATAACACAGATACGTACAATCTTCGTGGACTTGCTCGATGTGATGACGCGCTCTCCCACTTTGCGGTTGTAGATCTTGTTGAGATCGATGCCCAGCATACGCTGCTGCTTCTTACCATACTTGTTCTTCTTGATAACGTGCCACTCCTTGAACATTGCGGCAGTAACATCGTTGAACATAAACGTCTCTGGAGGAGGACGGGAACGACTGTCCACATTCGCGGTCTCCTCCACTGCTGACGGCGCTGGTGCAGAGATCTGAGGTGCATCGGCGAAGATTTCTGAAGAAGGAAGAACATAACTGCGTGTCAGCATCCGCACAAGACATGAAGAACACCGACATCGGCTTACTCGTTGCTAGCGTCACCTCGTGGAGATTCAGCGGCCGCAGCTTGGTGTGCATGTCGATCTCATCACTTGCGAGGTCCAGACGTTCGCGGTCTGCCTCGCTGATCTTAAGCACATAAAGCTCCTGGAAGAGCTGAAGCCTGTGCTTTTTGTTAAGAGTCGGTAGCAGATCTTGGCCGACTGTGGTGCCGTCGATAGCCACCACAGTGTAGTCGTCGCTCTTCGGCCTACAACATAGCACAAGTAACGACACGGTTAGCGATGATAGATCACACAACCAACAGCAGTATGTTGCAATCCGCACATGAAGATTTTGAGGAAAGCCTTGTCGTTGGGCAGTGGCGCCTTGGCGGCTGCAGCGCTCGGCTTCGCCGCTGCGGCAGGTGCAGCGACATCTACAGTACAGAGCACAACACATGAATGATCAGCCACTCCACCACCACACCAACTCTCACCATGGAAAAGCTGCAGCATACCAGCAGGTGCGTCGCCCGACGGCGGGCACGCATCCGGTCGCTCACACAGACAGTACTCGTGGCCTCCCGCATCACCGAAGTTTTTGATCTTCCGAGACCGGTCAAGAGCTGCAACACACAACACCCACCCACCAGCAACACACCATGAGCACACCATCAGCACAAGCTTACCCCGTCTCACAACCAACACACTTTACCTGGGAAGTCCTCATCCGGAATGCCGTCCGAGTCGTGCAGTCGGAGCTCGTAGCACTCCGGGTGCCCGTAATACAGCGGCGGCTGACGCGTCTCCGCCTGGTGCACCCTCAGCAGCTCCTGGATCGCTTCGTCCACCGTCGACACGTCATACAGATCGATCTTCATCTCGTCCCTCGTGGGCAAGTAGATGGTCAGGTGCAGCACGGCTCCTCCGTCCGCCCCCATCATCTGCGGCCTGGTGCCCATGGCCGCAGCCGCCGGGCCCTTGAGCGCCTTGTCCAGCAGCGACGACTCGTGGAACGAGATGGGCTCCACGTCCTCCCTCTCGAAGGTGAAGCCGTCTCCCGGCTGCTTCTTCTCACCTGCTGCAGCACTGTCCTCCTTGTCCCCGTTCTTGACACTTGCTGCAGCGCTGCTCTTCTTGTCGCGACCTGCTTGGGTCGACGTGCGGCGCCGTGATGCAGCGGCGCTGGAGGCCACGCTCTTCTCGCGCGTGTCGCGCGTCTTGACGGCGTCGTCCCCGGCCTTGGCGCCTCCGTTGGCCGCCGAGATGCTGGCGCTGCTGCCCTTGCGCAGGCCCTTGGGCGACTTCTTCCCCGCCGACGAGGACGAGCCGGAGGTCGACGCCAGCGGCTTGAAGGCCGTCATCTTGTCGATCCACGAGTTGCGCAGCTGCGACTCCATCTTGGGCGACGAGTTGTAGATGCGGTCCACCTCCGAGTCCTGCCGGTCGTGGAACGTCGGGCTGTTGCACGCCGCCAGGCGCATGAGCCCCACCACGTGGTTCAGCTCGCTCAGCTCCGTGAACTGCATGGCCACTACAGTCGCTACAGCGGCGAATGCACACGCAGGAAGGAAGCTCTACTCTACTCGCTAGTAGCGAGTCGCTACAACGTCCAGTACCGCCTTCCCCCTCTACAAGGTACAATACACTATGTACCCCACACAAAATAGAAAGTAATTTTCGTATCTAGCCGCTGAGATTCGTCGAATCTACGATTGGATTAGACATTCCGGCCGGTTTTCACAATATAAAAGAGATGAAAAAAGAAAACGTAATCGGAGTCTCTGGACTTCGTAAAAAAAATCTGGCGTCCCATCGTACTTAATTGGGCTGGTGTTCTCCATCAATCACTGAACCCACATCGCGCTTGGCTCGTGGTCAGTAGCAGCAATGGAGCGGAAAAAATACTTCCGCTTGGTCCTTGGATCGTCTAGCCCAGCATCCCAGGGTGTTGTACGCGCTTTGAAGCTTCCCGATGGGGTTGATGTTGATGATTTCTGCTTGGTGCTCCATGGTAAACGCGAAAGCTTGAACCTCCCACCAAGCCTTGAGCCTTCAGCTCTCAAAGTGTTTGCGAACGGCAAAGCTCCGACACCTCTGGAACTGGACAAAAGTTTGGAGAACTATGGTGTGAACACAGCAGACCCACTCATCGTGCGAGTGCCAAGGATCTGGTTCCAGTTGAAAGGTGCCGACAGACGCGATCTCTCTTGCCCAGCTTCAGTTCCGCTCACCGAGGAGGACGCTGTTGAAGTTCTACTGGACGCAGTTCAGAAATTTTACAAGGACAACCATCTTGCCGGGATCGCTGCGTCCGACCTTGTGGTCTACGCCGGCGATGATTTCACGGAGCTTCTGGCTCGTGGGGGGCAGATTGGCTCGCGTGGTAATTCAGAACAGACACCACTCATCGTGATGATGGCCCCAATGAGACTTCCCATCGACATTGGAGAAGAGCAGAACGAGAGCAAACGACAGGAACTCCAGCGCTACCAGAAGCAAGGAGAACTGATCCATAACAACTGCAAGGACTACTGCGGTCAAATTCTGGACAAGATTGACTACTACTACGAACACGACGACGGCGACACACTCCCATTCATCTGTGTACAAGGGTCGTCGGGCATGGGGAAATCCCAACTAGCATTTGCGTTGGGAGGGCACCGACCGTACTTCTACTGGCTTGGGGTTAGCGGTGGTGTCGGCGGTCAAGTGCTGTACGGTAATTTTACGTCGATATCGACAGCCTTTCTTGATTGCGTGCGCCTGGATCAGCCAAATGCTGAGAAATCGGACCATGTACTTGACACCTCGTCAAGCTTCTACGGTCGAGACTTGTGGACTTTCGGTTTTCTTCGTGCACTGCTAGAGCATTGCGACTTGAGTACCTCGAAAATGATCCGGTTTGAAGAGCCCGTTACACTTAGGTGGAAAAGTGCAATCAGAAAGCTGTGCGTACTGTGATTGACAAAGTCAAAAAAGAAGGTAAGCGAGTGCCCTTCTTCGTGTTGGATGAGATGGCGCCGGATTCGAGAGGGGGTACGAATGAGGCTGCGTTTCAGCGTAACGTCTTCCGTGTTTGTGGCCTCTTGGTGATGGTCATGGGAACGGACTCCAAAATCACCAATTTGGTCAACCATTCTCATGGCAGCTCCGGGTCGCCGCACCAGTGGATGTCGGTCGTTCCACGATTTCCGAGTTATCGAATCATGCTCTTTACTCCGACGGAGATGGAACTTTGGCCGAGAGTTTCGGCGCGGTATCCTGTCGTGGATATCATTGTGCGGCGGTCGCGTGGTAGATTTTCGAGGTCGTTCATCGTCGGTGCGGTGGAGTGCTTCCAACGAGACTTCAGCATTGAGCTTTGTGATTTGCTCGACGCGGCATTCTCCCATGTTTGCAGCGATGCGCACAAGACGAAAATGTTTCTGAAACCAATTGGCGGTAAAGTTTCTCAGCTTGTGGCGATCTCTTACACGAACGCAGTGGGTGATGTAGAAGATTCGACGGCGATAACTTCCGTGAATACAATGGGCGTGGGTGGACCAGCGTTGAAGAAACGGCGTGTACAAGTGAAGTCCTCCGGTATGCACAAACATTTTGCAAACTTGGTCGACGAGGAGGTTACAGATGTGGCGGTATCGGCACAACAATTGATGATAGGAGACGTTGCTTGGGAGCCTAAATGCAGTTTTGCCTCAATTGTCGACGACATGCTGCTGTATCTTGCAATATTGGGCGGCAAGACCTATCCGAGCTACTACGACCGAGTTAGTGGCACTTATCACTCAACCAAGCAGATCTTCTCGATCGTAAATCCCGACGAGTATGTAATCCATGAAAACACGCAAGCCCCGACCCTCGATTTCAAGAGATATGAGAACATGGTAGCTCACGCAATTTTCAGTTCGTCGCGAAGAAATGGAGTGCGAGGGATTCCGTTCAGCGACTTTTTGCCTTGCTTCCTTGGTGAATTTGAGGATAAGATCTGGATGAAAGAGGTTTTGATGGTGGTGGAAACAGAATCCGATTCAAATGGCCGACTAATTGACGCGAGCAACTTGTTGGAAGGTTACGATGCCGGAGGCCTAGCAGAGAGAACGATTCCGTTTCTCGCTCCCCCCAACACTGAGTGGCCGCAGCCCATTCTTGACACCAATACTGATGGTGGTTGCAAGTTTGGTCATTTGATTCGCACCGTCAACGAGGAAAGATGCGATGTGTACGTGCAGGATTTGGCCAAGAAAGAGAAGGCCATGTTTGTTTGCGAGTGCAAGTACCGGGAGGAGAAAATCGATGTCGGTGTGGTGACAGGTATCCTTGATGGCCTCCAAAAAAGGTGGGGCGAAGAGTGGAAGGTTGTGGTGGTGATCTGCACAGAGCTTACAAATTTTCGCGCGTGGAAGCGTCAGAACATTGGCTGTGTGAAATTCAAGCGGAGCAAGCGTGCTGGAAGGATGATCGCCAACTGGGTTTTCCAGCCGAAGCCGAAGGAGCGAGAGAAGCTGGCGATCATAATCCAGACGGGGGTGATAACGTGAACTTCGTGGTACTAATGGGCAGCGCGACGCCGTAGCCTCCGAAGCATAGCTTAAGAGCTTAATGATATAATTCTTCCTTACATAAATGGTTACGGTCCTCCGCCTTCCGCTTTCGAAGCCGAACGCACCAATGCATAGAGTTCAGAGCACGAACTGTTAACAGGCTTCGTGCCGAAAACTTCATAGCTGTAGGGTACGGCTCGAAGTTCGAGCCTCGAACTCTTTAACTTAAATAATTTCTGGTATGCCGACAGCAGCAAATTCGCGCAAAAGTTACTTGGTGTTCGCGTGGAGTTTGGTGCGACGGACTGCCGCCTTTGGTAGTGCCATTTCTTGCGCCTCTCGACCGTGGGGACTATTGATCAAGCTCACGGCGAGGACTTGTACGAGGCCAGCGTTCTTGATGGTAAGGTCTCGGTGGAATGCAAGGACTACCAAGGTTGCCCCGTTTCGAGCGATGATATGAAGGGATTCTGTCCCGAGTTCAAGAGCAAGAGTAATCCGTTGTTCGTCTGGTGTTGACGACTAAATTTGACGACAATTGCTTGTCGGAACTGGATTTCTATCGCATTGGCTATCATGATGGTGCAACGACGAGTGATAACATGGGGACTACTTAAGTATGTGGCGACACGATTTGGTATTTACCTGTTGAGGGTGTGGAAAATAAGCGCCGCAGCAACAATTGCAGTGACTCAAACGCATGTACGCGCGTGGACAAGGTGGTTATCTTTCTGGAGGCATGGAAGATGAACGAAGACGGGCTTCGTCCCAAACGCAATCGCGTAGATACTAGTCGAGATCCTACTTCACCGATAGATTAACGCAACACTGTGAAGGTTTTAAAGAGCAGAGCCAACAATGAGCTCTTTTACAATAGGATTTCATCGTGGTAGCTCTGCGTGAGAGTCTTGTGAGGCAGCACGATACAGTTGCGAATGATGACCTCCGGGTTCGCAACGACAGACACACCGAAGATTGTGACGTCCCGCACCAGCGCCGTCTCGGCCGAGTGCACCTGGATCTGCGATGCGTTGGGCGGCTGGCCTTCGACGCGGGCCCACTGGCCGATGATGGAATTCCATCCAATGACGGAGAAGAGCACGCAGGCGTGGTCCTTGATGGTCACGCCCTCCAGAATGATCGAATGCGCGACTCGAGCTCCAGGGCCGATAGTCACACCCGCTGCGATCGTCACGTTCGGGCCCAGCTTGGCCGTCGGGTGCACGTTGGCCGACGAGTCCACCACCACGTTGCCCTCAATGATCGGAGAGAGCTTCCCGCCCGTTGTGCTCAACGCACTGGGGTTTGTAAAGCGGAACCGCTGCATGTAGAGCTCCGAGCACGTAATGGCCATGCCGGGCGTCTTGATCTGGCACCAGAAGTCCCCCAACTCGTACAGATGCAGACAGTGCTGGTCAGCCAGCGGCAACAACACGTCCTGCTCCAATCTAGCACCGCAAACCACAAAAAAAATGTTAAAGACACCCCAACCAAGACAATAAAAACTCCATCAACTTCCACGCACCGGAGGTTGTCGAGGTTGCTGAACTCCGGGAAGAGCTTCTTGAGGTCGTGCTGCGTGTTGGCCTCGCTGCTGGACTCGCTGCGCAGTCTCTGACGACTGATCTTGTCGCCGACGCTGACGATCGTGTCCATGAGCGACACGTCGAAGAGGTAGACCCCGCAGTTGATGATGTCGCTGACGAACGTCTCTGGCTTCTCGGCCCAGTGCAGGATCTCCTTGGTCATGGGGTCGGCCACGAGGCAGCCGTACTTCTTGGCCTCGTCGTGGAACACGCGCTTGCCCAGCACGGTGCACGAGCCGCCGTGCTTGAGGTGGAAGTGCATCATCTCGTTGAGCGGGAAGGCGCAGCACACGTCGCAGTGCAGCACGAAGAGGCTGGCCGGGTCCCCCTCGAGGATCTCGTCCCGGAAGAAGCGGATGCCGCCCGCCGTGCCCAGCGCCTTCTCCTCGCGCAGGTAGCGGATGGGCACGTTGAAGCGGCGCCAGACCGAGTCGAAGAAGCGCGAGAAGAGGCCCTCGTCGTACGAGCCGATCATCAGGATCTCCTGCAGGTTGGGCACGCGCGCGCACGCCTCCACGTGGAAGTAGAGCATCTCGCGCCCCGCGAGCTGGAACAGCGGCTTGGGCAGGTCCAGCGACAGCGGCCGGAAGTGGTTGCCCTGCTGGTTGGGCCCGCCGATGAGGATTACGGCCTTGGACGCAGGGAACGTCGCGTCCCCCGCCCCGCCCGTCGCGGCCGCCCCCGTCGACGACATGGATGGAATGGTATGTGAGACGATGGGGATCAGGCGGTCAGTGGCTTCCTTGGATCGGGGAAAAGATGGCTACATAATCGTAGATTCCACGAATCTCAGCGGCTAGATATGAAAATTACTTTCTATTTTGTGTGGGGTACATAGCGTATTGTACCTTGTAGAGGGGGAAGGCGGTACTGGACGTTGTAGTGAGTAGAGTAGAGTAGAGTAGAGTACCCTTCCTGCGTGTGCATTCGCCGCTGTAGCGACTGTAGTGGCCATGCAGTTCACGGAGCTGAGCGAGCTGAACCACGTGGTGGGGCTCATGCGCCTGGCGGCGTGCAACAGCCCGACGTTCCACGACCGGCAGGACTCGGAGGTGGACCGCATCTACAACTCGTCGCCCAAGATGGAGTCGCAGCTGCGCAACTCGTGGATCGACAAGATGACGGCCTTCAAGCCGCTGGCGTCGACCTCCGGCTCGTCCTCGTCGGCGGGGAAGAAGTCGCCCAAGGGCCTGCGCAAGGGCAGCAGCGCCAGCATCTCGGCGGCCAACGGAGGCGCCAAGGCCGGGGACGACGCCGTCAAGACGCGCGACACGCGCGAGAAGAGCGTGGCCTCCAGCGCCGCTGCATCACGGCGCCGCACGTCGACCCAAGCAGGTCGCGACAAGAAGAGCAGCGCTGCAGCAAGTGTCAAGAACGGGGACAAGGAGGACAGTGCTGCAGCAGGTGAGAAGAAGCAGCCGGGAGACGGCTTCACCTTCGAGAGGGAGGACGTGGAGCCCATCTCGTTCCACGAGTCGTCGCTGCTGGACAAGGCGCTCAAGGGCCCGGCGGCTGCGGCCATGGGCACCAGGCCGCAGATGATGGGGGCGGACGGAGGAGCCGTGCTGCACCTGACCATCTACTTGCCCACGAGGGACGAGATGAAGATCGATCTGTATGACGTGTCGACGGTGGACGAAGCGATCCAGGAGCTGCTGAGGGTGCACCAGGCGGAGACGCGTCAGCCGCCGCTGTATTACGGGCACCCGGAGTGCTACGAGCTCCGACTGCACGACTCGGACGGCATTCCGGATGAGGACTTCCCAGGTAAAGTGAGACGGGGTAAGCTTGTGCTGATGGTGTGCTCATGGTGTGTTGCTGGTGGGTGGGTGTTGTGTGTTGCAGCTCTTGACCGGTCTCGGAAGATCAAAAACTTCGGTGATGCGGGAGGCCACGAGTACTGTCTGTGAGCGACCGGATGCGTGCCCGCCGTCGGGCGACGCACCTGCTGGTATGCTGCAGCTTTTCCATGGTGAGAGTTGGTGTGGTGGTGGAGTGGCTGATCATTCATGTGTTGTGCTCTGTACTGTAGATGTCGCTGCACCTGCCGCAGCGGCGAAGCCGAGCGCTGCAGCCGCCAAGGCGCCACTGCCCAACGACAAGGCTTTCCTCAAAATCTTCATGTGCGGATTGCAACATACTGCTGTTGGTTGAGTGATCTATCATCGCTAACCGTGTCGTTACTTGTGCTATGTTGTAGGCCGAAGAGCGACGACTACACTGTGGTGGCTATCGACGGCACCACAGTCGGCCAAGATCTGCTACCGACTCTTAACAAAAAGCACAGGCTTCAGCTCTTCCAGGAGCTTTATGTGCTTAAGATCAGCGAGGCAGACCGCGAACGTCTGGACCTCGCAAGTGATGAGATCGACATGCACACCAAGCTGCGGCCGCTGAATCTCCACGAGGTGACGCTAGCAACGAGTAAGCCGATGTCGGTGTTCTTCATGTCTTGTGCGGATGCTGACACGCAGTTATGTTCTTCCTTCTTCAGAAATCTTCGCCGATGCACCTCAGATCTCTGCACCAGCGCCGTCAGCAGTGGAGGAGACCGCGAATGTGGACAGTCGTTCCCGTCCTCCTCCAGAGACGTTTATGTTCAACGATGTTACTGCCGCAATGTTCAAGGAGTGGCACGTTATCAAGAAGAACAAGTATGGTAAGAAGCAGCAGCGTATGCTGGGCATCGATCTCAACAAGATCTACAACCGCAAAGTGGGAGAGCGCGTCATCACATCGAGCAAGTCCACGAAGATTGTACGTATCTGTGTTATTGTTGCAAGTTTACTGTGCGGTAAGCGTGCTAATGCGTTGTCCATCGTCATCTTTCGTGTCCACTGCAGGCGGAGCGGCCTATGTCTGGCGTGGTCTGGGTGCGGTTCAACCAAGACCCGTCCGAGTTCCAGATCTACTTCAAGGACAGCATCGAGGAGATCATCACAGACTACACACCAACTTTGCCGACGGCAAATTGCCGGTTTCGGCACGGAAATTGTTCCCGAATTGCTTCGTGTATGCTACCTAATACAAGCGCGTGGTCGAATCCATGGCAGTGCTTGTCGACCTGCAACGTCTGCGGTGAGATGTCCAGGGTTCCGTTGAGAGGCGGCCCAGAATAAGGCCGCGAACCTGTTTGCGCGGCGCGCAATGCGCGCTGCCAGCACAGAAACCCACGATGAACTACACTACAACTACTAGTACGTACTTTACAGTATTTGGAATCACCCACTTGCTGTTAACATGTCAAAACGTCTGTACAGTACAGTATTTGGAATCACCCACTTGCTGCTGACATGTCAAAACGTCTAAAAAGCAAGTGGTTGATTTTGATACATTTTAGCAGCGGTTCATTCATTGTCAAAAGGACTGTTATTCCACTATTGGCTACTTCCCATTTCGATGAAGCAGTATTGCACGTAACTCCGGAAATTACATAATAATACCCCGTTCACTATATAATAATGATAGGAACTTGATTTCAGTACAGCGTACCACAATTTTCGCCCAGATGGGTCACTAGGACAAATTATGGTACTTAAGTACCAATAATATTAATGTATACTTCGAAGTACCTCCCGGCCGCTGTCGCTGGACCTGCCCAAGCCGCTGTTCCAGCTCGCGGGGCGCGAGATGCTCTACTTCCACGTGGAGGCGTGCGCGCGCGTGCCCAACCTGCAGGAGATCCTTGTCGGTTGTTGCGCATTGCCAGGAAGGTTGGAACGTCCTGGCGGGGCCTAAGGCTCCGGGATCTTGGTTGCTGGAGCTTGGAGAGGAGAAGGATATTCAGAAGTGGATAGTTCTCTTCTCAGTGCCAAGCCCAGCGCCCACATTGATCCTACATGCATTGTATAAATACACTAGCTACTTCAGCTTCTTATTCTACTAGGATCCTTGCAGCGGACACGAGCATAAGACACAGAGGTCCTCCGACAATCCTGATGATCGGCTCGTACGACGAGGGCCTGGCGGGCGGCATCCGCTTCTTCCGGGACGAGATCCTCGAGGGGGACCCGGCCAGCCTCTTCGTGCTGCACTGCGACGTGTGCTGCGCCTTCCCGCTCAACGAGATGATGCACTTCCACCTCAAGCACGGCGGCTCGTGCACCGTGCTGGGCAAGCGCGTGTTCCACGACGAGGCCAAGAAGTACGGCTGCCTCGTGGCCGACCCCATGACCAAGGAGATCCTGCACTGGGCCGAGAAGCCAGAGACGTTCGTCAGCGACATCATCAACTGCGGGGTCTACCTCTTCGACGTGTCGCTCATGGACACGATCGTCAGCGTCGGCGACAAGATCAGTCGTCAGAGACTGCGCAGCGAGTCCAGCAGCGAGGCCAACACGCAGCACGACCTCAAGAAGCTCTTCCCGGAGTTCAGCAACCTCGACAACCTCCGGTGCGTGGAAGTTGATGGAGTTTTTATTGTCTTGGTTGGGGTGTCTTTAACATTTTTTTTGTGGTTTGCGGTGCTAGATTGGAGCAGGACGTGTTGTTGCCGCTGGCTGACCAGCACTGTCTGCATCTGTACGAGTTGGGGGACTTCTGGTGCCAGATCAAGACGCCCGGCATGGCCATTACGTGCTCGGAGCTCTACATGCAGCGGTTCCGCTTTACAAACCCCAGTGCGTTGAGCACAACGGGCGGGAAGCTCTCTCCGATCATTGAGGGCAACGTGGTGGTGGACTCGTCGGCCAATGTGCACCCGACGGCCAAGCTGGGCCCGAACGTGACGATCGCAGCGGGTGTGACTATCGGCCCTGGAGCTCGAGTCGCGCATTCGATCATTCTGGAGGGCGTGACCATCAAGGACCACGCCTGCGTGCTCTTCTCCGTCATTGGATGGAATTCCATCATCGGCCAGTGGGCCCGCGTCGAAGGCCAGCCGCCCAACGCATCGCAGATCCAGGTGCACTCGGCCGAGACGGCGCTGGTGCGGGACGTCACAATCTTCGGTGTGTCTGTCGTTGCGAACCCGGAGGTCATCATTCGCAACTGTATCGTGCTGCCTCACAAGACTCTCACGCAGAGCTACCACGATGAAATCCTATTGTAAAAGAGCTCATTGTTGGCTCTGCTCTTTAAAACCTTCACAGTGTTGCGTTAATCTATCGGTGAAGTAGGATCTCGACTAGTATCTACGCGATTGCGTTTGGGACGAAGCCCGTCTTCGTTCATCTTCCATGCCTCCAGAAAGATAACCACCTTGTCCACGCGCGTACATGCGTTTGAGTCACTGCAATTGTTGCTGCGGCGCTTATTTTCCACACCCTCAACAGGTAAATACCAAATCGTGTCGCCACATACTTAAGTAGTCCCCATGTTATCACTCGTCGTTGCACCATCATGATAGCCAATGCGATAGAAATCCAGTTCCGACAAGCAATTGTCGTCAAATTTAGTCGTCAACACCAGACGAACAACGGATTACTCTTGCTCTTGAACTCGGGACAGAATCCCTTCATATCATCGCTCGAAACGGGGCAACCTTGGTAGTCCTTGCATTCCACCGAGACCTTACCATCAAGAACGCTGGCCTCGTACAAGTCCTCGCCGTGAGCTTGATCAATAGTCCCCACGGTCGAGAGGCGCAAGAAATGGCACTACCAAAGGCGGCAGTCCGTCGCACCAAACTCCACGCGAACACCAAGTAACTTTTGCGCGAATTTGCTGCTGTCGGCATACCAGAAATTATTTAAGTTAAAGAGTTCGAGGCTCGAACTTCGAGCCGTACCCTACAGCTATGAAGTTTTCGGCACGAAGCCTGTTAACAGTTCGTGCTCTGAACTCTATGCATTGGTGCGTTCGGCTTCGAAAGCGGAAGGCGGAGGACCGTAACCATTTATGTAAGGAAGAATTATATCATTAAGCTCTTAACCTATGCTTCGGAGGCTACGGCGTCGCGCTGCCCATTAGTACCACGAAGTTCACGTTATCAGCCCCGTCTGGATTATGATCGCCAGCTTCACTCGCTCCTTCGGCTTCGGCTGGAAAACCCAGTTGGCGATCATCCTTCCAGCACGCTTGCTCCGCTTGAATTTCACACAGCCAATGTTCTGACGCTTCCACGCGCGAAAATTTGTAAGCTCTGTGCAGATCACCACCACAACCTTCCACTCTTCGCCCCACCTTTTTTGGAGGCCATCAAGGATACCTGTCACCACACCGACATCGATTTTCTCCTCCCGGTACTTGCACTCGCAAACAAACATGGCCTTCTCTTTCTTGGCCAAATCCTGCACGTACACATCGCATCTTTCCTCGTTGACGGTGCGAATCAAATGACCAAACTTGCAACCACCATCAGTATTGGTGTCAAGAATGGGCTGCGGCCACTCAGTGTTGGGGGGAGCGAGAAACGGAATCGTTCTCTCTGCTAGGCCTCCGGCATCGTAACCTTCCAACAAGTTGCTCGCGTCAATTAGTCGGCCATTTGAATCGGATTCTGTTTCCACCACCATCAAAACCTCTTTCATCCAGATCTTATCCTCAAATTCACCAAGGAAGCAAGGCAAAAAGTCGCTGAACGGAATCCCTCGCACTCCATTTCTTCGCGACGAACTGAAAATTGCGTGAGCTACCATGTTCTCATATCTCTTGAAATCGAGGGTCGGGGCTTGCGTGTTTTCATGGATTACATACTCGTCGGGATTTACGATCGAGAAGATCTGCTTGGTTGAGTGATAAGTGCCACTAACTCGGTCGTAGTAGCTCGGATAGGTCTTGCCGCCCAATATTGCAAGATACAGCAGCATGTCGTCGACAATTGAGGCAAAACTGCATTTAGGCTCCCAAGCAACGTCTCCTATCATCAATTGTTGTGCCGATACCGCCACATCTGTAATCTCCTCGTCGACCAAGTTTGCAAAATGTTCGTGCATACCGGAGGACTTCACTTGTACACGCCGTTTCTTCAACGCTGGTCCACCCACGCCCATTGTATTCACGGAAGTTATCGCCGTCGAATCTTCTACATCACCCACTGCGTTCGTGTAAGAGATCGCCACAAGCTGAGAAACTTTACCGCCAATTGGTTTCAGAAACATTTTCGTCTTGTGCGCATCGCTGCAAACATGGGAGAATGCCGCGTCGAGCAAATCACTAAGCTCAATGCTGAAGTCTCGTTGGAAGCACTCCACCGCACCGACGATGAACGACCTCGAAAATCTACCACGCGACCGCCGCACAATGATATCCACGACAGGATACCGCGCCGAAACTCTCGGCCAAAGTTCCATCTCCGTCGGAGTAAAGAGCATGATTTGATAACTCGGAAATCGTGGAACGACCGACATCCACTGGTGCGGCGACCCGGAGCTGCCATGAGAATGGTTAACCAAATTGGTGATTTTGGAGTCCGTTCCCATGACCATCACCAAGAGGCCACAAACACGGAAGACGTTACGCTGAAACGCAGCCTCATTCGTACCCCCTCTCGAATCCGGCGCCATCTCATCCAACACGAAGAAGGGCACTTGTTTACCTTTCTTTTTGACTTTGTCAATCACAGTACGCACAGCTTTCTGATTGCACTTTTCCACCTGAAGTGTAACGGGCTCTTCAAACCGGATCATTTTCGAGGTACTCAAGTCGCAATGCTCCAGTAGCGCACGAAGGAATCCGCAAGTCCACAAGTCTCGACCGTAGAATCTCGACGAGGTGTCAAGAACATCGTTCGTTTTCGCATCGTTTGGTTGATCCAGGCGCACGCACTGAAGAAAGGCTGTCGATATCGACGTAAAATTACCGTACAGCACTTGACCGCCGACACCACCGCTAACCCCAAGCCAGTAGAAGTACGGTCGGCGCCCTCCCAACGCAAATGCTAGTTGGGATTTCCCCATGCCCGACGACCCTTGCACACAGATGAATGGGAGTGTTTTGCCGTCGTAATACTTGTAGTAGTAGTCAACCTTGTCCAGAATTTGATCGCAGTAGTCCTTGCAGTTGACAGCGATCAGATCTCCTTGCTCCTGATAGCGCTGGAGTTCCTGTCGTTCGCTCTCGTTCTGCTCTTCTCCAATGTCGATGGGAAGTCTCGTTGGGGCCACTTTCACGATGAGCGGTGTCTCCCTTGTTCGGCCACGCGAGGTGAGCGTTAACGTGACACTCAACGGATCGTTTGCGTCTGCAGATGCTTGGTTCTCGTAAGCCACGAGCTGAGATGGTACAAACCCTGCTAGAACATCGCGATTTGCATCATAAGCGACATTCAGTAGAGCTTCAACAGTGTCCTCTTCTGGGAGCGGGGCTGGACGTGGTCGGGTGCCCGCGAATGCAGCGCGTGTACTAGCATCTTCCAATTGATACCATACTTCCGGCACTCGCACAATGAGCGGATCATCGTAATTCTCTCCATAGTCATCAAAAGTCTGCTTGCGATCGATAGGCGTCCGAGCTTCGTTGTTCACGAACACTTTGATGGCGGAAGCGCGAAGCACTGGTGAGAGCTGCAACTCGGCGCGTTTACTGAGCAGCACCTCGCGGAAATCGTCAAGATTAGCACCCTCGCCAAGTCTCAAAGATTCGACATTGCCCTGAGTGTCTGGACTAGACGCTCCGCGGACCAACCGGAAGTACTTCCTCCGCTGCATTGCTGCTACTGACCACGAGCCAAGCGCCGCAGACAAGCAGCACGGCGATTCCTCCAGATGTGGGTTCAGTGATTGATGGAGAACACCAGCCCAATTAAGTACGATGGGACGCCAGATTTTTTTTACGAAGTCCGGAGACTCCGATTTAAGGGAGTTTTTACGTCTCTTATTCCTTTTTATTAATAATAATAATACTTCTTACATCTTATAATTGTTGGCGGGCGGGGGGGGGGGATTGTCGTAATCAGTGTAGTTGGGGCATAGCCCCCCTTATAATGAAATGTGCATAAAGACTTTTTACCCTTTTTACAGGTACTTTTTACTCCAATTTATGAACCCCTGTATTACAATTGAGAATGGGGTAGGGCAAATGAACTATCATAGCCTGCCCGGGGGCGATTTCGATCGAATTTTACCTCTTTTTAACTCTTTGCCAACCGCCCGAAACCAAAGCCCTTCTGGACATGGTGCTGTCCATACCAAAGCAAAATAACTAATTTGATGGCTAAAACTGCGAACAGTGGCTGATCCGAAATGCTTATGTACCAGATAATGTCCAGATGGAAGTGATTTATGTGCATCCAAACCATCAACAAATACACAAAAAACTACAGTATAAGCCCAGCCGGTGAGCTCAATACTAAATGTTACCACTAAATAAAAAAATAGTAGTAGTACTGTACTGTACTGTAGATGAGACAGTATGGCCGCCACCGATGTCTGTTGAGTTGAGACCGCCCTTGTGGCGGTGATTGGCTTCCTCGAGGCGGCAGTGTTGAGCGCGACGGAGGAGGAGGAGAAGAAGGAGGTGATAGCAGCGCGATGGTAGAGGAGGAGACCAGCGCAGTGTCAAGCCCAAGACGGCGGAGACGTCGCCGACGCCGGCGGCTGCCAGGGAGCCACCGGCTACGCAGTTCAGCATCACACCGACGGCCAGGGCGCTGGCGATCAGCTTGTTTGAGGCGGCGGGCGCTTGACCACGCGCACGCCGTCGTCTCCCCCCGGCAACTCCGTGACGATGACGACGGAGAAGGAGATCATGACGATGGTGGGGGACGGAGTCTATGGCGTCGTCGTGTCCGAGACCGTGGAGACGTCGACGACGGTCGACGCAGCCTTTGAGACGCCTGCGACACAGTTCAGCGTCACACTGACTCCTTGAATGCCGTCGAATGGCTTGTTCGAGGCGGCGGATAGGGTGGCTGCCGAGACGACAATGACGGGTGGAAGTTCGATTGATGTGGAGAGCATGACGGTATAGGTGTTGCTCTTGATCGTGCGTTGGAGGTCATGAACCGAAGCAAGTGTAGGGAGATATACACAGAGAATCAAACTAGTAAACCAGTCGTAATTGAGTTGGAGATCGAGACTGACAGCCTAACACGCCGACGGATACAACGGCGGAGTTCGCACCTGAAAATCCCTACAGACGAGTGAATTATCGATACAAGAAACAAGTACTACGTAGTAGATTACTAGTAAAATGGAAGGAAGCGTGGTTAGCGCAGTAGACTAGCACGACGAGCATTTCTGATGGCAGCTCTCTGGTTTCGATGCTCGTTTTCGACCAACCGCAGGTCTCTCTTAGTCAGGTAAGCTACATCGACTTCGCAGCGGCTCCAGTTGATATCTGCGCGGAGCCGTCCTGTAGGTCCGTACCGCAAGTCTCCCACGCTATCGTAGGCGAACCAGCCTTCTGGGAGATCAACTCCTCCGGCGAAACTGGGTTCTTCTTCCACTGGCCGATACAGCTGTGCCAGGACCTCGTCAGCATTCGCAGCGACCTCAAAGTCGTCTTCATCAGGGGGCTGCTTGGCTTCTTCATCGTCCGTGTCTTCTTTACTCTCTGGTACAAAGTCGCTGTCGCTGTCACTGTCGCGGATATCTCCCACTCTTGACAACGATGCAATGCGAGGTGCGGCGGAAACTTCGGTCAGTGTTAGGGAGTGCCTGTTGGCTGAAGCCACAACCGTAGTTGGTGCTGGGGAGTGCGCCGCGGTTGATGCCGTAGTCTGCGATGGGGTCGCAGCCGTAGTTGGTGATAGAGCGTGCCCAGTGGCGGAAGTCACAGTCTGAGGCGGAGGGCACTCAGTAGTGGGAACTGTGGGAGGCTCAATCGCTACCGCTGTCGCGGCTGCAGGACGCCGTTGGTGGTTTATCGTTGAAGCCTCACGAGTCGTTTCTTCCTCAGCTTCCGGTGGCTCTTGAAATGCGGCAGCTACTCCTTTTGTATGAATATAGCCCGAATGTGAACTAAAGAACCTACCGACCATGTTGGCGAGTTGGTTTGCTGGAATGCCGTAATCCGCGAAGTATCGCCTCAGTAGTTTTGCACCAGCCTCCGTGATGCTGGTTCCCTGTCGTTTTGCCGCCTGGCACATGTTCATGGAGCTCTGCTTCTGATATGGCCCCCGCCACACACGGCAGCTTAGGCGTGGGGGGTTGCGCCAACGCCTCAGGCTGCACGGCATGGTGGAGCACGTGGACGGCAGAATGGGAAATGACGGGAAAGGTTCAACAAGCAGTTCATAGATAAAATAAATACGTTGCAATCCAACGCTCCTATTGTCGACGCTTATATTGACGTTGCATCAACCGTTCCCACCGGCATTCGGAGACTACCGGGATTAGCGATGGCTATTGGATGCCCCACTCTCCATCAACTATAATAGTATTAGCTTCCAGTGAAGACATCAAACGTGTCGACGGTGGGCGATGGCTTACCGCCTCACCACAATAACGACCCAACATTGAGTCTGAGGACTCGATGTGTCGGAGGCCCGGCCGATACTGGTCGATGGCAACGGCCGTATTAGCGCCTTCAACACCGCCGGCAACGACTCACCGCCGTCCGTGATCGACCGAACACAGACCAACAGGCTGTACGCCAACTTTCACCTCATCGAGTCGAATGAGCCACACGTGCGCGTAGACGCAAGAGAAAGCGGTGATATTGCGATAAGGATTGCGGCAATCAGCTAGGAGTACGCACAGCCTTCATGACCTCCTTCCAATGCTGTAGAAACTTAGTAACATACTGAGTGAGCAACGGTCAAACCTATTGACTTTCATCAACTCAACTCAACTCAACTCTGGTTAGGTTTGTGTACCACACAAATAGCCTTTTGGAGTCCAGAGCCACGGACGGAGACGATACGGCCCACGATGGAATGTGCGGGCGGCATCGTACATGCAGCCGTGACAAGCCGCAGCGCTAGTACCAACGACGGAAGAGCGGCGGCAGCGGCGCAGGTGGGCGCAGCATTCACAGAGGCGTCATGACCAAGGCAACGGAGACGTCGGCGACGACGAAGGCCGTCTGTGAGCCACCCGCGACGCAGTTCAGCATCACGCCGATGGCCAGCGCGCGCTGGCGATCGGCTTGTTCGAGGCGGCGGGCGCTGGTGCGCTTCGCCACGCGCAAGCAGCCGTCCCCACCAGCAAGTTCAAGATGATGACGGCGGAGGAGAAGATCGTGTCGATGTTGGGGGCTGGCGTCCAAGGAGGCGTGATGTCCAAGGTGGTGGAGACGCCGTCGACGCCGGAGGCCGCCTGTGAGCCACCGGCGACGCTGATCAGCCTCACACCGACAGCCAGTGCGCGCTGGCGATCGGCTTGTTCGAGGCGGCGGGCGCTGGTGCGCTTCGCCACGCGCGTGCAGCCGTCCCCCACCAGCAAGTTCGAGATGAAGACTGGGGAGGAGAAGATCGTGTCGATGTTGGGGGCTGGCGTCCAAAGGGACGTGATGTCCAAGGTGGTGGAGACGCCGGCGACGCCGGAGGCCTGGTGCGCTTCACCACGCGCAAGCAGCCGTCCCCCACCAGTAAGTTCAAGATGATGACGGCGGAGGAGAAGATCGTGTCGATGTTGGGGGCTGGCGTCCAAGGACGCGTCATGCCCAAGATGGTGGACACGCCGTCGACGCCGGAAGCCGCCTGTGAACCCCCGGCGACGCGGTTCAGTGTCACACCGACGGCCCGCGCGCGCTGGCGATCGGCTTGTTCGAGGCGGCGGGCGCTGGTGCGCTTCGCCACGCGCGTGCAGCAGTCCCCCACCAGCAAGTTCGAGATGAGGATGGAACCAATCTCGATAACTTCGTCCCTGTCTCCATTGCACGTCGAGGTCCAAACCCCGACGCGACGTGGACGACGACCCCGCTGACTTGTTTGACGGAGACCGCGGAACGCAGGAAACCCCGGTCGTCATTTCAGCCACGTCTTCGTCTGAACTACACGAGATTTTGATTGGTATGAGCCAGCCGCCGTGCGCTATGCCGGGTGAGGCTGCGCCTGTGTGTGTCGAGGTCTCGACGGACTTGAAGGGAGCAATTCCTATGGCTCGGGACGAGGCGAGCACGCAGTTTACGACAACTCATGCGTCGAATACCCATGTCTCTGCGGTTCATATCGAGCCAAGAAACTCGACGCGGAAAAACTCGACGCAGAAAATGTCGACGAGGGACGCGTCGAAGGAGATGCGCCAGCAAGAACTTGGTAATCACCCCGTGATGTCCGTCAGCGAGCGCACTACAACACGTCCCCAGCCGCGTCTCGGCTCGGACAGCGACTTCGACGATCGACTGAACCTTGAGGTCGATGCACTCGGACATCGAGCGGTGATTGCAACCAATACGACTTGCTCCGTCACATCGGCCGCACCTCCGCGACTTCGACGGCCCGCAGCTGCTCATGGACAAAAACCTTGGCTGGCTTCATCTGGGTCCGACTCAGTGTCGGTTGCGACAACATCTAGGCGACCGTTGGGCACGGCGCGGGCCTCGACGACTCCCGAGCAATCGCGTTACGACGCACGAGTGCGACCGGTCTCACTCGATGCGCTCAAGCAACTCAACCCAGGGCGAACACTCGACGTCCGCCTGCGTTCCAGCCGGGATGCACCGCGCCTGTGGGTCACGCGCAGCAAAACGTGGGTTACAACCATGTTTAAGACTAAGATCGAGCGACAAACATACCTGCGGGTGACCAACATCACGGACGAGACAATAACGCTCGACGCAGACATGACAGTGGGCTGGTGGACACCCTCCGATGTGTTTCCGTCTGCGCCCCGCTTCGTACTGGCGACTAATCGACATTACCAAGATTGGCAGAACCTGGCGTATGAAGTGACCTGGGACGATGACGAAACCTGGCGGGATGACGAACTCGTCTGGCCCATGTATGGATGGCCGACGGACGAAGATCTGGAATCCGACGGGCGTCGGGGTGAGCAAGAGGAGGAAGATCGCACGGGGAGTGAGCCGAGATTGTACCCAGTTGCTGTCGCGAACTCACTGCCAGCACGGCCGACGTGTGCGTCTGAAGCGGCAGCGTCGCCGGACGACAAGTCACTGAAGTACGGCCCCTCGACGTGGTTGCGCGAGACGACGACGGAAATAGCCGTCGTGAGGACGACGTGCGTACGGTCGGACCAAGGGTCGCGGAGAAGCGACTATGCGAGACGCCCAGATGAAGCGCCTGGAACTGAACAACAGGTCGAGGATTCGTCGGGCGAGGTGGTGCGAGGCGTGCAATTCTATGGGAGCTCGCGGCAATGGGGCGAGATGCGACAGCCGGACGAAGGGTCGCACGTTGAGAAATCCAGTCGCGACGAGTCGCAGAAGTGCGACAGCGTGAGACGGGTGAGATGGAACGTCGCGGAACAGTCGGATGAACTGTCCCAGAAATGCGACGCCGTGAGACGGAGGGAATACGACACCGTGCGACAGCCGGGCGAAGGGTCGCTCTTGAGATGGACAGAATGTGACACCGTGCGACAGCCGAGCGAAGGGGCGCTGAGACGCGACGACCTGAGACTGGCCGAATGCGACTCCGGGAGCCGATCAGATGCGAAGTCTCAGAAGTGCGACAGTATGCGACCTGCGGAGAAAGGTGGAGGATTGCATCGTTGGAGTCATTCCGCCGTCGAAATCGTGAAGAACAAGTCGAATGCGACCTTCGACGTAGTTGACGAGGAGCCTGACGATTGCTGGACTGGATAACCGGCGCAGGCAGTGGAGGAAGGGCATCGCATCGTTAACCTCGAGCTATTATCCGGCCTCAAGAGGCATGAAGGCGCCAGCTTTGCGGTCTACCGAGGTGACGTATGCGATGCGTCGAGAGAAGCGGCGCGATCCACCGTCGACTAGACCGAATACCATGGCGTGCCGCCCGAAGGGTTGCTGGTCGAGGTACCAGGTGCCACTCGACGGATGCACAGTGGAGTCGAAGAACCTGCCGCCCGGAAGACGGTGGACGAGGGGTCTGCAGCTATATTGACTTCAGACCCGGGATGCACTACAAGCCCCGTGTTGTTAAGACGCGCGTCGACACAGGGCCGTGGGGCCCGATGCGCTGACTGGCGGGCCGTTCCGGTGCGAGCCGAGCTTTGGCCCGGCACGCGTACTCAGGTAGGCGACGCGGCGGAAACCTCATCGCAGACCTGGTACGCGAAGGCACAGCGCCGCCCCGAGGACACCGGGGAACCGGGTTCTGGGGAACGCGGTCAACGCCCCGCGACGGCCGGTTTTGCTGACGCGATGCACAGGGCGATGGACGGTGCCGGCTCGGCGAAGACTCATTCAGGCTACTGCAGTGCAGAATGCGTCGAGCCTGGGTGCGACGAGGATGCCAGAAGTTCCACGTTGCACGACGGACAGTCGCGCTAACGCTAGACGCTGGACGAGGAACGGTGACGCCAACACAGCACGGGCGCCGGTGGTTGTCGTACAGCCAGCGGATCGCTCGCGAGAAGATATCCGACCCCGGACGTTAGATCCAGAAACCGCGTCACCTGCCAATCTCGTCGCGGAGGATTGCGACGCGAAAAAACTCGACGTGGAAAATCTCGACGCGAAAAATCGCGACGAGGACAACCCTGTCGCAAACGTGCCGGAATTAGATCCGCCGACGCCGGATAACATGGATTTGGGGCGCGGGGCCGCCCACGTCCTCGCGGTGACGATGCGCTCGGCTTCTGCGTGCGCGACGAACCCCAGAGGCAGAGTTCCAGGTGTCCTACAAGAGCTGGCTGCTCAGAACCCGTCGAGCCTGGTCAAGACCCCTCCCAGAGCGGCTAAAGGCGCAGAGAGTCATGGCCCTGGGCATTTTACGGGGCGCGGTGCGTTGGACGAAGACGCGTTTTGCGCCGGATCTGGTTGTGCATTCAAGTTTTTAGGTCGCAACGAGAAACACGTCACGCGACGGTGCCCAGTCAAAGCGCCTAGGGCTATGTGTTCGACAGCACCGCCGACTCGCGCAGGTGAACGCGCAAGAAGTCGACCAAGGTGTACACGTCGCAGATCGGACTCGGGGCGGAGTCGCGACGACGGACACGGCTGAAGTCAATTTGCCGATACGGTATTGCTTGGATTGCGACAGCTCCGGTCTCCCCAACGAGCTTAAGCGCATGTCCGACGCACTGGCAGGATGCGAGCTACAACGTCATGAGTGCAACGCGACGGGAAACTCGTCGCAGACCCGGTGCGCAGAGACGCTACACCACCGAGAGGAGATCGTCAGGAAACCAGATGCCACGAAACACGGTCAATGTCGTGCGACGGACAGTCACGCTGAAGCGAGACGCGGGGCGATGGGAAGTGCCCCCGACGCGGCGAGAGCGCAGGGGGGTGGCATCCAGCCCGGTGCAGCGCGGAACGCGTCGAGACTGAGCGCGACGAGGATGCCAGAAGTTCTACATTGCGCGATGGACAGTCACGCGGAGGCGAGACGTGGGGCGATGGACAGTGGCCTCGACGCGGCTAGGACGCAGGTGGCCGGCATCGAGCCTGCTGCAACGAGGAACGCGTCGAGTCCGATCAGGAGGCCTGTTGAAGTGTCGAAATACGTGGAGGGTCCAACGTCAGTACAGCTCTCAGCCTTCGACGACGCGATAAACAGAAACCCACCGTGCATCGAGGCTGATTGGGGATTCGAGGTTGCGAGGAACGTGTCGGACGCTACGAGTGACTCGTCGCGCGACGGGACAGAGTCGACGCGCCGAGGGATATACATCCTTCAGAACCGCCGACTCGCGCAGGTGAACGTGCTAGTAGTCGGCCAAGCCAGGGACGACGCCGATCGGACCCGGGGCGACGTCGAGGTGATGAACAGGGCTAGAGTGAATTCGTCGATGTGGTATTGCTGGGATCGCGGCGGAATAAGATGTGCCCGCGGGCTAGACCTCATGCTCGACGCTGTGTCGCGAGGCGCCACGTTGGTGAGCCCGTACGCCGTACGTCTTGAGACGGGCGGCACGCCTGGTCAGTTTTCGGTCAAGGACGTTTCCAAGTTGAGGCCTGTCCGCGCTATGATCAATGGGGCGACCCCGTCGAACGAGCCCGCTGACTGCCGCGACGAGATGCCGCTAGAAGTGAGCCGGGACACTAGCGCTGTGAAGAGCGACGGCGTTGCGTACTCAAAGGTCAGGGACAAGCACACCAAGACGGTTCGCGTCGTGGTGGACTTGACGCCCTCGTTTCGGCTCGCGCGCGACCGAGATCCGCGGTGTACGTCAAGGGCGATAATCGCCGTCGGAAAACTGCCGAACCAGTGCGCCGAGCCCAAGCGACGGTCGCTACAGATCGGACCGCGTGCGCAGATGCAGTGCGTCAGGTTGTGCGCCAAAGCGCAGGACAGTCAGAACGAGTCGCGTCGCGAGACGAGTAGTTCGCTTCACCAACTGTATTTCGACGTCCGCACCTCCAAGCAAAACCCCGTTGAAGAGTTTCCGTCACACGCCACGACGTGTTGGGCCGTGTCAACGAACGGACCGTTTGACTCCACCGATACGTGTTTACCGGAGCACAGCCCGACACTCGCTCCGGACGAGGATGCTTCCGAAGGGGAGAAAACCTTGGAGCTGCATGCTTGCCGAGGTTCCCGACATGGATGCGCGCACCGCGAGTCCGACGCGACCTGGAGAGGCTATACTGACGAACTAGATGCCAACTGCGAAAAGTGGCGACGCGACTTCTCACGTCAGCGAATCGGCCGTTATCGTCTTGGGGCGATCTATTCGCGCGACGACGAGGGGCGGCTGAACCGATCCCTGGTGGGTGAGCGCCTTTAGTGGCGCGGTGGAAGTTGGCAGGGTGGCTGCCGACAGGTGGATAGGTGGAAATCCTCGACTTTGGGAATGGCCGGAGCGAGGGGTTGGATGAGGGAAGTGTGGAGGACCAGCCGGTTGCTGAAGATGGGACGGCGGAGGGTCGTCTCATAAAAGATGTGAAGAAGTGGAAAGAAACGAAGGAAAAGAACAAGAACCACGTGTTGGAGTTACGGCTACAACGACTACGAGTAACGACAACGTGGTGCACTAGGACCCTCTCAAGGGGGACCATGTCAGTGAACGCGACGAGGGATGTCGCCGACGGCGACGCTTGGTCTGAGGCCGGCACGCTGGGGCGTCGCTGTCCGAGGCCTCGGACTTGAACCGCGCTGTGACTTGACGCGCTCGATCGGCAGCAGCAGCCGAATGCGACGCGACTGCGAGCCTTGGACGGCTGCGCTGTCCGGAGCGGTCGTGTCGGCCACTGTCAAAGGTCGCCGACTGTGCCGCCGAGACGAAGGCGAAGACGATGGAGTTGAGACCGAACTGGGAGACCGGCACGCTTAACGCGTTGATATCCCGGCTCCGCTATACCGAGGTCGCCGGACACCTGCTGAAGCTAGCGGCGGGGTAGACGCCGGACCTGGACGGAGCGTTGGACTTGGACGGTGCGTCGGAACCCGAGGCTTACCCGCGGATAACGAGGTATTAGCCTCAGGACTGAAAACGGGGGCAGCAGAACGCACGCTGACGCCCGTACTCGACGTAGTGGAAGCGAGACAGGAGCAGCGGGAGCCGCCGCACGGCTTGACTCCGAAGGCCACAGCGTTCATCTCCACCGCGACGGAAGCTTCAAGTCGACGGATCAGGTCGTAGGTGTGCCCGTACGGACGTGACTACACCGGTAAGACGTTATTGAAATCCATTGCGCACGTGCTACGCCATCTACCAACCTCGACGCGCTTGCCGAAGCACCCGTCCTCAAACCGCGACATGCTCGTCGCGGTCCTGGATGGCCACGTCGCGCTCGTCTTCCAGCTCGATTACGTGAGCGCTGGGACAGTGGACTTGGGCGCTCGCGGGCTCTCGCCGCTAGCCCCACACGCGACGTATTTCCAGCCGCACCGCGCGGTATTGCGCCGCACGAGACGTGGCCTGAAACTCGCCGATTCCTCCAAGTCGCGGATACGCGTCGCGCCCCGCCGGAGTTCTTCGGTGTGGGTCACAAGGAGCGCGTTATTGCGCCGAGGGTCTACTTAGAGCGGCTCGCTAAATGCTGCGCTGACTCGACTTCCGCACGGCTCTGCGTGAGCGCATTACGGACAAGGGTGAGATGCTCAACAAGGGCAGTGCGTCGGCGGTGTTGCGCTCCTCTTTGGAGAGTCGAAGCTTGACGCACTTGATCCCTCGCGACGCCGCCAGGGCTTGACGTGCGCGGTCGCGGTCGGCGAAAGCTACGCCGCGTTGCTGCTCCACAGCTGCGAAGGATTGCTGCGCTTGATCACATTCCGCCACGGTAGCGCCGAGTCGCGATTGGACCGGGGAGAGGCAGCTTGGGCTACCGCGAGCTGATCGGACGGGTCAGGGAGGCGAGACCGATGTGCTCTGCTTGCATAGACGACGATGCCAGCAGTCTCGAGGTTGCCCGTGTCGGGCCCGCCCTCCTCAACGTAGATGTCCTCAGCGCGAACCATGATGCTTGAAAGGCGACAGAGCGGACGGCGACGACAAAAATGCGACGAATGGAGATGCGGCCACAGAGCGGGGCAGGTACTGCAACGACACACCCACCTGGGGAGTGCGCGTGCGTGGCAGCGGGACGGTTGTGGTGTAGTGCCCCGCGAAGAAGTGGGCGCGCCGGGCGCCGGAGGAAGAAGGCGAGATGGATGTCGGCGGACGCGAGTGATGGACTTCGACGCGGCTGATTAACACGCGACGCGTATTGATGGGCGCGACGCAGGGCCGAGCTCGACGGGAAAGTCGGCGCGGGTGATGGGCCGTGAGACACGGTGCCAGAATCCAGTGCGACGCGTAACCATCCGACGGGTCGACCAGCGCGCCCGTTTCCCCAAAACCCGTCAACCCAAAACCCCGTCGAGGAAATCCCGTCGAGGAAATCCCGTCGAGGAAATCCCGTCGAGGAAATCCCGTCGAGCTCAAGTTGTGATTACGTTACGCAAATCAGGTTGAAGAGCGGTAGTGCAAGCACGACAGAGTGCAGAGCGGTAGGCTTAGCAAGCAGTAGTACAGAATAGCCAGTAGCAAGGACATAGGATAGGGTAAGGACTCAGTCCCGAAATTTCTCTGAACCACTCAGACCTCTCCCCTCCGGAAGATCGCCGGGTTCTTGAAAACCACCAACCGTCGGCAAGCAGAGCCGCAAGGAACACGCGGCCCCCCGTCGCTCGCTGGCTCGGGCACTCCCCCCCCCCCCCTCAAACGCCGTGCTGGAAACGAAGGCACGTAAAACGTATACCGGTTAGGAGGCGCTCGATAACGCGCAGCCTAGACGAAGGACCACACGACCTGATAACCGCTGTGCACAAGACCACGCGTCGGCCCGATAACGCCACGCAACAAGCCCCAGGAAACGCCGGCCCGATAACGCCGCACGCCCGACGGGATCTCCGAGGAAACGCCGGCCCGATAAGTCCGCACGCCCAAGGAACAACCGACGCCCTAAGACAAGGAACAAGCGTCCACTCAACCCCCCAACTCTGAAGCTTGCGAAGACTTGGGCTCTATATTCGAAGATACGCTACTCAAGATCCGGGAAATTGCCCGTCGCGACCGCAGATTGGACGCGTCGGGTTTGTGCGAGGACGAACTCCGCGATTTCTGTGAGGCCGCTACTCCACACCGTCGAAGCCTCACGAGTCGTTTCTTTCTCAGCTTCCGGTGGCTCTTGAAATGCGGCAGCGACTTCTTTTGTATGAATATAGCCCGAATGTGTACTAAAGAACCTACCGGCCATATTGGCGAGTTCGTTTGCAGGAATGCCGTAATCCGCGAAGTATCGCCTCAGTAGTTTTGCGCCAGCCCGGGTGATGCTGGTATCTGGCCGTTTTGCCGCCTGGCACATGTTGATGAAGCACCGCTCCTGCCGCCACTCCCGACGCCTTAGGCCGCGCGGCATGGTGGAACACGTGGACGGCAGAATGAAAAATGACGGGAAAGGTTCAACAAGCAGTTCATAGATAAAATAAATACGTTGCAATCCAACGCTCCTATTGTCGACGCTTATATTGACGTTGCATCAACCGTTCCCACCGGCATTCGGAGACTACCGGGATTAGCGATGGCTATTGGATGCCCCACTCTCCATCAACTATAATAGTATTAGCTTCCGGTGAAGAGATCAAACGTGTCGACGGTGGGCGATGGCTTACCGCCTCACCACAATAACGACCCAACATTGAGTCTGAGGACTCGATGTGTCGGAGGCCCGGCCGTTACTGGTCGATGGCAACGGCCGTATTAGCGCCTTCAACACCGCCGGCAACGACTCACCACCGCCCGTGATCGACCGAACACAGACCAACAGGCTGTACGCCAACTTTCACCTCATCGAGTCGAATGAGCCACACGTGCGCGTAGACGCAAGAGAAAGCGGTGATATTGCGATAAGGATTGCGGCAAACAGCTAGGAGTACGCACAGCCTTCATGACCTCCTTCCAGTGCTGTAGAAACTTAGTAACATACTGAGTGAGCAACGGTCAAACCTATTGACTTTCATCAACTCAACTCAACTCAACTCTGGTTAGGTTTGTGTACCACACAAATAGCCTTTTGGAGTCCAGAGCCACGGACGGAGACGATACGGCCCACGATGGAATGTGCGGGCGGCATCGTACATGCAGCCGTGACAAGCCGCAGCGCTAGTACCAACGACGGAAGAGCGGCGGCAGCGGCGCAGGTGGGCGCAGCATTCACAGAGGCGTCATGACCAAGGCAACGGAGACGTCGGCGACGACGAAGGCCGTCTGTGAGCCACCGGCTACGCAGTGCAGCATCACACCGACGGCCAGCGTGCGCTGGCGATCGGCTTGTTCGAGGCGGCGGGCGCTGATGCGCTTCGCCACGCGCGTGCAGCCGTTCCCCACCAGCAAGTTCGAGATGAAGACGGGGGAGGAGAAGATCGTGACGAAGTTGGGGGGGTCGAAGCGCAGGATAGTGGCGTGTCCAAGATGACGGAGACCCCGGCGACGGCGGAAGCCGCCCCTTACCCACCCGCGGCGCTGTTTAGTATTAGACCGACGGCAACTGCGCTGGGGATTGGCTTCTTCAATGCGGCGGGTGCAGTGTCGTCTGGCGAGACGGCCATGGCCGGCGGAGGTTGGATGTATGAAGAGAGCACCGTGGTCAAGACGGTCGGATATGCAGTGCAACTGCAAGGATCTGCCCCACCAGACGTATAGAGAAGGCCCCATCCGATCCGGGATTCCTCCACCACACTGGCAACGACGAAGGATGAGAAGATAGCTGCGATCGAGGCAAAGGCCAGGATAGTAGACAGCGGAGCCGTTGACGATGGCGTTGACCACCGAGATGCCTGCGAAGGATTCCACCGCCTTCTGGTGTAATGGTGAGTGGTTTTCGAGGCAATGACGATGCGTTTGCAAGAGTTTCGATCGTAGTGGGGTGCCGATCGCTTGGGTGACTATGACGTGCGTGGTGCGGGCGAGTCATGTCTGAGCTTCATCCAAACGAAGTTGAGGGTGGCAGGCGAGTCATGTCTACATACGCTGAGGGTGCCAGGCGAGAAATGTCTGAGCTACTTCCGTACAAAGTACGTATTGAAAGGCGAGTGAAGGCGGCGATGTAGGGTATGATGCTGTGCCGTGAAATGCCAGGCGAGCAATGTCTGGGCAGTGTGAATGGAAAGAGTGATGCATTAGAATTATCTGTGAGCTACAAGTTTTTGTCCTTCACGGCGTTGGCAGGATGTTGGTTGGGGGAGCACGATCTCTGACACAGGCGTATTCGACTTGTTTTTCTTAGTCCGAGTCTTGAAGAGGCTGTTTCCTGTGGCTGATGCACAGACGAGATCTAGCGCTTCACGAACACTCGGAGTCGAAGCATGAGAAAAAACATCTTTGAAGTGGTAGGCTGCAAAGCATTCCACATGAAAACCGACTTCGCATTTTGCGCAGCCGCACCGCGACCGCTTCTGGAACCCTCGCATTCGACAAAGGAGGCACTTCAGCTGTCCATCCGACTCGACGGTAGAATTTGGCGTCAAAATGTGCCCACTCTGGATTCCACCGACCACCCCGCTCAGAGAACCCTCCTGTTTTTTTCCTTTTCGTTGCCCTCTTCAGTTCCATATTGGATCGGAGTTTGGCAGTAAGCTGTTCAGCAATCCGACGCTTGAACTCACGCAGCGGTACAGTAGAGTTTCCAGGTGGCACAACCTCTCGGAAAAGCGCATAGGCGTTGATCACGCACAGGTCCAGCGGCCATGTAAAGATACTCATAGACAGTCGCATCTCCTTGCGTCTCGTCGGGTTTGTTGAGCGCAACTGGTCAACTCGGTCCACGCCATTCATAGCGGAAGTGTAGGCGGCAATCACCTCTGGAACCAGAAAGGTTTTCTTGTGGAGATTTTCCTTGCCAGTCCATCTCTTGATCGGAAACAAACCACGCACGCAGTCAATTGCTTCGGGATCTTCCATGATCATCACGAGTTTTGATGGTGTCTTGCGTAAATCGTCTGTATAAAACAAGACGGTTTTTCTGTCCTTGAAAACAATGAAGGCTGCGTTTGGTGCAAACACGCTCACAGGAGGTGGAAATGCACTACGCTTTGCCTTTGGCAACTTGCGTTGACTTTTGACATGCTCACGTTTTCGCTGAGAGTATCCTGGCTCTTGCTCCGGTATTGCGATCAGTTCCCATGTACCTCTTGCTGCGGCCTCGACCCGCGCAATCGACGCTGCAACGGCTGGCTTGCTTGTTTTCTCGACATTCTTTTCTCGTATCGTCCCCACAAGTCTCGTTTCGCCATCCGAAAATGCCAGCAATGCCTTTGCTAAGATATGACGCGTGTAGAAGTTATCCGTCACCATAAGCCGCCTCCCACTCGGTGATTCCACCAATAAGGCCTGATGCCCCATCATAGCAATCCAAAGGGCCGAGGCACTCGTCTTTTCTATACGAATGTCCGGGTTGGAAAGTGTGCGGTTGACAGGAGCAGTAAGGCTGGGGAACAGCTTTGTATAGCGCGCGACAGGCGAAGTTTTTATCCAATTGCCCGACCCATTGTCCCAGACGCTGTGAATGTATAGCGATTTCCACCCAACAGAGGCGTAGAAACAATTCCGTACTTTTCGGGCTTTGAAGGCATATAGAATTTAGCCCGCGTGCGGGCTTTCGTTCGCACAGTGCACTCATCAAAGGAACTGGCACCATAGGGGGTTGCAATCTGCGCGAATTTGGTTTGCATGTGCTCGAGAACGATATGGCTATGCCAGAGGGGGTCTTTCCCATCACCCGGCGTCATATCCAGCGGATGCAACTTCACTCGACCTCGAATTTCCTGAAACCGCGCTCGACTCATCGTCATCGAAAAATCATGCTGTCCGAGAAAACGCCTTTCACTCCAAAACTCCGTGATTTCATTGAGCGGGCATATACTCATTGCTAACTCGAGACCGATATAAGCGTCGAATTCGCTATCTATTGTTTCCGCCTTGCCAAGCAACTTGAGGCCTTCATTCGTCCAATCTTGGATCCTGTTCTTGAATTCTCGAGTTATGAAAAGCGAGAACAGACCCAGTTCTCCATGGTCTTGAAACGCCTTTTCAACTCGTGTTCGTTCAGCAATGTGGAGGCCGCTAGATGTCTTCAAACTTGCGATGTACATCTCGGATCTAGAGCTTGTAGGGGCACTGGTGTTGGAACCCTGCTGCTGGACGGAATCGTCTCGGTTCGTGGTCCTGAATTCTCGCCAGCAGTTTTGCACCGTTTTGCTTGTCTCGGTGGCCCAGAGATGCCCTCCCTCCAGTCCTGCTACCGCGTGCATCTCGCGCTTTTGTCTGAGAACGCGTCTTGGCCCGCGCCATGATTGGCAGTCGTGCGAAGAAGAGAATGAAAGGTTAGAAGAATCCCTGTCTGAAGAATGAAAGGATAGCAGTCTTCCTGCTCAGCGATAGGTCAAAATGGAGAAGGTTAGAGACCTATTCAGCGATTGGTCAAAATAAAATCTCACTGGTAAATGAAATTTCGCCGGAATGTATATGATACTACAGTAGCTAAGAAAGGTACAACTCCAGAAAAGTCACTGCCAGCTCAGAATAGCAGCCCGTACGAAGAAATGTATGGAGAATTACATCTGGGCACCTCTGCCGCACTGTGAATAGTGCACCCAGTCGCCCCCGCAAAAGGGAACAACACTAAATTATTATTATGATACTACAGTAGGTTGCTGCAGGCGTGTAGCCTGGTATTAGGCAGGCCGCCTTCAATTTATACTTTGTACGGAAGTAGCTCAGACATTTCTCGCCTGGCACCCTCAGCGTATGTAGACATGACTCGCCTGCCACCCTCAACTTCGTTTGGATGAAGCTCAGACATGACTCGCCCGCACCACGCACGTCATAGTCACCCAAGCGATCGGCACCCCACTACGATCGAAACTCTTGCAAACGCATCGTCATTGCCTCGAAAACCACTCACCATTACACCAGAAGGCGGTGGAATCCTTCGCAGGCATCTCGGTGGTCAACGCCATCGTCAACGGCTCCGCTGTCTACTATCCTGGCCTTTGCCTCGATCGCAGCTATCTTCTCATCCTTCGTCGTTGCCAGTGTGGTGGAGGAATCCCGGATCGGATGGGGCCTTCTCTATACGTCTGGTGGGGCAGATCCTTGCAGTTGCACTGCATATCCGACCGTCTTGACCACGGTGCTCTCTTCATACATCCAACCTCCGCCGGCCATGGCCGTCTCGCCAGACGACACTGCACCCGCCGCATTGAAGAAGCCAATCCCCAGCGCAGTTGCCGTCGGTCTAATACTAAACAGCGCCGCGGGTGGGTAAGGGGCGGCTTCCGCCGTCGCCGGGGTCTCCGTCATCTTGGACACGCCACTATCCTGCGCTTCGACCCCCCCAACTTCGTCACGATCTTCTCCTCCCCCGTCTTCATCTCGAACTTGCTGGTGGGGAACGGCTGCACGCGCGTGGCGAAGCGCATCAGCGCCCGCCGCCTCGAACAAGCCGATCGCCAGCGCGCACTGGCCGTCGGTGTGATGCTGCACTGCGTACCCGGTGGCTCACTGGCGGTCGCCGGCGTCGACGGTGTCTCCACCACCTTGGACATCACGTCCCCTTGGACGCCAGCCCCCAACATCGACACGATCTTCTCCTCCGCCGTCGCGTTGGATGGATCCGACCAGGACCGTCGACGGTCCCAAGACGCCGTGGATCGTACGTGTCCACGACACGAGGTCCCAGTCATACAATCACGTCCTCTCGGTGATGTCCAAGCTGAAGCCTGATTCGTGCAACATCTCGAAGAGTGCCCCCGCAGCTCGCGTGACGTTCGTGAGCCTGTCAAAGTCCGGCATCCGGAAGGGACCAGTGAACTTAATCGTGTTGGGCTTGATGAAACGCAGGATCGGATCGTGCTCCAGCAGCCGGATTAGCTCCACTCCGGCCAGCATGTACCTCAACTCCGCCGCCGTGAACTCGCTTCCTCTGTCGTCGCCTTTCGCCTTGTCCAGCGGTTTTTCGGCCGAATCCGGCGCGCGGAGCTTCTCCGGAGGCCTGCGCTTAGGCGACTCGAAGCTGCTGTCGGAGTCCACGATCGATTGATAACGAGTTGGAGGTGACGGCGGGGTCGTCGAGGTCTGGGCTGGGCCCGCCGCGGGACTCGGCGCGTAATGGCCCGTCGAAGAACTCGTCGCGTCTTGCTTGACGGACCCGGCGAGAATCGTCAAGGGTTCTTGCACGACACGAATCGCGTGTAACCAAGACTCGAGATCCCAGTCGCATAGCCTCTCCACCTCAAAGGCTCTCAGCACGAAGGCCGAGTCCAGCAGCATCTGGAAGAGGGTCGGCGCGGCGTAGACGACGCTGGTGAGACTGTCGAAGTCTGGCGCTATGAAGGGGCCCGTGAAGTTGCTCGTCAACCTGGGCCTAAGGAAGACCAAGATCGGGTCTTGCTCCAGCAGTCGGAAGAGCTCCGTACGCGCCACGACGTATCGCACTTCCTCGACGGTGTACTGGCGTCCCGCGGCCTTGCCTTGCGGCTTGGACAGCGACTCTTCCGCCGAGTCCGGCGCGCGCCGCTCCTTCTTCTTCCTCTGGGGCGACTTGCGCTTGGTGACGGCCTTGGCGGTGGGTTGTTGTTGGTCGTCGGCCTTTGCAGGCTTCCGACCGGTAGGACCACGACTTGCGTCGCGGCCCTTTGCGGCTCCCTCGTCGGGGGCCACATCGGGAACGGCAAACATTTCTTCGTAGCCCTCCTGATCGTCGCTGGCTCCGTGGCCTGTCGTGAAGGTTCCCTCAGAGCTCCACGACTCGACAGGTCTCTCACTGTGCTCTCTTGCGGTCGGCGACCTTCCAGCCGACTGCGCACCTGCCTCTGATGCCTCTTGGATCGTTGGCTCATCAACCGAAGTAGTACTCCCGGGTCGCGGCACATTGTGGAGTAGCGGCCTCACAGAAATCGCGGAGTTCGTCCTCGCACAAACCCGACGCGTCCAATCTGCGGTCGCGACGGGCAATTTCCCGGATCTTGAGTAGCGTATCTTCGAATATAGAGCCCAAGTCTTCGCAAGCTTCAGAGTTGGGGGGTTGAGTGGACGCTTGTTCCTTGTCTTAGGGCGTCGGTTGTTCCTTGGGCGTGCGGACTTATCGGGCCGGCGTTTCCTCGGAGATCCCGTCGGGCGTGCGGCGTTATCGGGCCGGCGTTTCCTGGGGCTTGTTGCGTGGCGTTATCGGGCCGACGCGTGGTCTTGTGCACAGCGGTTATCAGGTCGTGTGGTCCTTCGTCTAGGCTGCGCGTTATCGAGCGCCTCCTAACCGGTATACGTTTTACGTGCCTTCGTTTCCAGCACGGGGTTTGAGGGGGGGGGGGAGTGCCCGAGCCAGCGAGCGACGGGGGGCCGCGTGTTCCTTGCGGCTCTGCTTGCCGACGGTTGGTGGTTTTCAAGAACCCGGCGATCTTCCGGAGGGGAGAGGTCTGAGTGGTTCAGAGAAATTTCGGGACTGAGTCCTTACCCTATCCTATGTCCTTGCTACTGGCTATTCTGTACTACTGCTTGCTAAGCCTACCGCTCTGCACTCTGTCGTGCTTGCACTACCGCTCTTCAACCTGATTTGCGTAACGTAATCACAACTTGAGCTCGACGGGATTTCCTCGACGGGATTTCCTCGACGGGATTTCCTCGACGGGATTTCCTCGACGGGGTTTTGGGTTGACGGGTTTTGGGGAAACGGGCGCGCTGGTCGACCCGTCGGATGGTTACGCGTCGCACTGGATTCTGGCACCGTGTCTCACGGCCCATCACCCGCGCCGACTTTCCCGTCGAGCTCGGCCCTGCGTCGCGCCCATCAATACGCGTCGCGTGTTAATCAGCCGCGTCGAAGTCCATCACTCGCGTCCGCCGACATCCATCTCGCCTTCTTCCTCCGGCGCCCGGCGCGCCCACTTCTTCGCGGGGCACTACACCACAACGGCAAACCACCAACGACGTCCTGCAGCCGCGACAGCGGTAGCGATTGAGCCTCCCACAGTTCCCACTACTGAGTACCCTCCGCCTCAGACTGTGACTTCCGCCCCTGGGCACGCTCTATCACCAACTACGGCAACGACCCCAGCACACACTGTGGCTGTAGCCACTGGGCATGCTCCAAGAACGGCTGCGACCCCAGCGCCGACAGTGGCTCCCGCTACTCGTGCCCAGTCTGGGCACCCGCCGGCACCAACTACGAGTGCAGACAGTGTCTTTCGCCGCTGATCACCCTCCAACACCAACTACAGCGTCCGTCGCTGCGTCCCCAGCACAGACTACGGCTTGAGCCGATAGCTCCTCCCGAGCACTGGCTGCAGCTTCTACCCATGACGGCGACAGCGACTTCGTGCACCAGACGATGTTAGCTCACGTTGCTTATCGCTAATCTGTCGGCAAGGAACTCTCGGTTGCGATCTCCGCGTTGTCTCCGCCGGCGTGTACTGGCAGTATAGGCCATCAGCCTCAAGTATAACTAGCCTGAGTATTCTTTGCGTTTAGCTTCGTCTACATTTCCATCTGCCCTTGCCTTCCTACGCCTACCATCAAACGGACCGCCTATAACCACCATGATCTCCTTATCGGCCGAATCTCAGCCCGCTGTTGTTGGCTCGGCGGACACGGTGTCCGCCGCCTCAAACAAGCCGATCGCCAGCGCGTTTATCATCGCTGTAATACTGAACTTCGTCGCGGGTGGCTCGCTGGCGGACTCCGACGTCGACGGCGGCTCCACCAGCTTGTCCATGACGTCTCATTGGACGCCAGCCCCCAACATCGTCACGATCCTCTCCTACGCCGTCATCATCTTGAACTTGCTGGTGGGGGACGGCTACACGCGCGTGGCGAAGCGCACCAGTGCCCGCCGCCTCGAACAAGCCGATCGCCAGCGCGCGCTGGCCGTCGGTGTGATGCTGAACTGCGTCGCGGGTGGCTCACAGACGGCCTTCGTCGTCGCCGACGTCTCCGTTGCCTTGGTCATGACGCCTCTGTGGATGCTGCGCCCACCTGCGCCGCTGCCGCCGCTCTTCCGTCGTTGGTACTAGCGCTGCGGCTTGTCGCGGCTGCATGTACGATGCCGCCCGCACATTCCATCGTGGGCCGTATCGTCTCCGTCCGTGGCTCTGGACTCCAAAAGGCTATTTGTGTGGTACACAAACCTAACCAGAGTTGAGTTGAGTTGAGTTGATGAAAGTCAATAGGTTTGACCGTTGCTCACTCAGTATGTTACTAAGTTTCTACAGCACTGGAAGGAGGTCATGAAGGCTGTGCGTACTCCTAGCTGTTTGCCGCAATCCTTATCGCAATATCACCGCTTTCTCTTGCGTCTACGCGCACGTGTGGCTCATTCGACTCGATGAGGTGAAAGTTGGCGTACAGCCTGTTGGTCTGTGTTCGGTCGATCACGGACGGCGGTGAGTCGTTGCCGGCGGTGTTGAAGGCGCTAATACGGCCGTTGCCATCGACCAGTAACGGCCGAGCCTCCGACACATCGAGTCCTCAGGCTCAATGATCTCTTCACCGGAAGCTCATACTAGTTGATATGCATTAGCCATTGTTAATCCCCGTAATCTAAGAATGCCGGTGAGAAACTGATAACGATGTAGACGCTCATGACCGCACACACGCAACCTTAGGGTCCTGATGGCGATTGCGGAGTCGGCGTCGCAGACATATATATTTCTATATCAAGGTCTCGATAGTGGGGATATGCGGACGATGGCGGAGAGCCTTCTGTCGAAAACGAAGAGGCTGCACGGTGGTGAATACGATGCTGCCGACAACTCGACTCCCTCGTTGGATCGCCTGACGATGATTGGCGAGGAGGCAGAGAGTGAGTGGAAGAACACGACGTTGGGCTGCATCGACGATGAGGAAGACCGGGAGTGAGCACCCGACCGCCACTCGGATTGGGGGCGTTGCCGCGCAGGTCGATGCCCACAGTGAACGGGCAGTTCTGCTATCCTCTTGCGCTCGAGCGCGATGCTCAGCAGTGTCTTCCGCCTAATACAGCGGTTGATGCTCAAAGCAGTAGCACCTCAATGTGAAGTCCTTCCGCGCAAAAATGACGTATGATAAATGAAATACAAATAATCCGTTTAGTGTGGCATACACGCGTTACCGTTACATTTGTGTGGCACACACATCACCGTTTCGCGCGCAGACGCGAGCAATGAGACCGAGGTGGTGGCGATTTTGTCCAAGATGGAAACCATCGGAAGCCGCGACGAGCGCATAACCGATTGGGCACAGACGCCACCGAGCCGTCCGCAGAATTTAGCGGTTGTCAGGTTCTACGAGGCAGCAAGTACAGTTGTGGACGACGGACAGAGTGTTACACTGCGTGGACAGCTCTGTGGCGACGGCGAGGTGTACGTGCACGCGCACGCACATGCAGACGTCCCCCAGCTGGACGGCAGGTGAGGGTGACGGAGGAGGAGGAGAAGGAGGAGGTGACGGCAGCGGCGATGGTAGAGGAGGAGACCAGCGCAGTGTCAAGCCCAAGACGGCGGAGACGTCGCCGACGCCGGCGGCTGCCAGGGAGCCACCGGCTACGCAGTTCGGCATCACACCGACGGCCAGGGCGCTGGCGATCAGCTTGTTTGAGGCGGCGGGCGCTTGACCACGCGCATGCCGTCGTCTCCCCCCGGCAACTCCGTGACGATGCCGACGGAGAAGGAGATCGTGACGATGGTGGGGGACGGAGTCCACGGCGTCGTCGTGTCCGAGACCGTGGAGACGTCGTCGTCGGTGGATGTGTCCTCGGTGACCTCCCCGACGTCGATCAGCACTGTGCCGAGTACCGGGATGGCGATGTCGGCTTGTTCGTGGTGGTGAGCGCCGTTTGTGGCCGAGAAGGCAACGATGGACGGAGTGTTACACTGCGTGGACAACTCCGTGACGACGGCGAGGTGTACGGGCACGAGCATGTGCCAGACATACCACAGAGATAATGGTAGAGAATTTTATGCAAAATTATATGTAATTTTACGTGTTGGAATTCGTAGTAATCGTACTGGGGGCGTCTTGTGGTGCTTGAATGGCCTCGGATTTTTTGGTAGTGGACATTAGCGGCCCCTAATTCACTGCTTTGTCAGGTCCTCACGTGAATGCGTGCTCGCTGGTGACAAACGAAAAAATATTTATCAGTGTAAAAAATATATAAACTAGAGGCGAAGCTTTGGTCTGGGAGGACAGTGTAGACTTCCTTTGTGTGCCTAAATTTATAAACGTGGGGTAGGCAAGAATAATGTAACATGAAAGTTGGTGGCAAGTTTTCAAACCCTGGTGTAGCGCCTTTAAAAATATGGCGAAGCTGCCGCGCAAAAGACACGAAAGAACTTCAAGGCGCACTCGGCCGGGGGCAAAGCCCCCGGCCGAGCGCGTTGAGGTCATGCATTCCAGCTATACAAATTTACACAAGAAGGATTCATGGGGTTTAGTCAATTTACAGACGCAGGAAAGAGTGCAATCTGTTAGTTGTTATTTCAATGATTTTGAGTAAATGTTAGCTTATAACGAAAAATGCAGCTATCCTAGTTATGATTTTCCGAATAAATTTCATATATTCAAGAACTGCTCACTACAGTGTGTGGTACACGCTATGGATACGGTCGATATTCTGGGAACAACCAGTCACGAAACGTACAAACTCCTTAATGTTACGGTAGCCATAATCTGTGGACTATGGACTCAGGCGACATTTGCCAATATAAGTTGGGGGGGGGCGGCCGCTGAAATAAAATTGGTTAGGCTGTTCAGCCAGCTAAAGCTGTCCTCCCAGTAAAATATTCTTTCGTGAATTCGCACCTTCGTGAGCGTGAGCGTGACAGATTTCTTCGGATGCATAGGGGGAGTTGATTTGTTGGGTTGGCGTCAAGTCGACCATTCTTCAGATAGAAGTAGGGCTGATATAATGTTTTATTGAGGCGCCTAAGATGCGGGACTCTGTGGAGAATGCGGCTCCTGCTTTCACTGAGCTCGCTTCCGTACCGCTCCCACTCGCATGGATCTTCATGGCATTCCTCGCAAATCATGCTTTTGATTTACGAAGGACTACAACCACACAGCTCTGTACAACCTCACACACAAACGGCTATAGTCACACAATGAACATACGAGTATCGTACAACATTACGAGATATGAACAGTCCTATTGGCCAAAATTGGTCAAATTATGGTCTAGAATATATGTCCATAAGAGAGGGACCCGGTAGTCAAAGAGTTAAGAACACACGAACTCATGTAGAACGGCGCCCAAACGCGACCCTTCAAATGTTACCTTGGTCGAAGGTATAACAAGTTATTAAACTGAGGTCAACTTTTTTATCGAACCGGAGATCGCCCCGTTTGTATCAGCAAACAAGCGATTGCGTTAATCGTTGAAGTTTAAGTAAGAGTTGACGACCGACGATTTATGCACATGGACCGTGGAACCCTTTTCAAGGGGTGGCTGAACTCCGGTTAAATGTGGTAACGGAGGCAAATGACACCGTAAAAAACATATGAGAGGTCAGGCAGCTCCGTAAAAGTATCCGCTAATGTACGAAACAATGTACTGAAGAGTCGTTTGGATTAAGTTATTCATAGATAGCCTAATTCAAGGTGTCGATCAGTACACTGATAGATCCTTGGCACAACTGGCATGGAGCAGTGAAGTCTAAATCCAAAGGCTATACTATGCTACCGCTAACTATTACGAACCACTCATGCGGAAGCAAGAAGGCAGCACTAGAATTAGTTGGCATATTAGTTGCTGCAATCGTTGACTGAAGAAATCTATAAATCGCTTGCTACACACAGTTCTGCAGCAGCGGGGGCAACCGAGTACGAAGATTGGCATGATACAGAAAGCGGTGACTAGGCCAGACGTGCCATATAGTGGAGACAAAAGCAGGATGTATGCTCTGTAGCTGTGAAGAAAACGTGGAGAATTCTCTTTTTGCCCTGACAATCTTGATAAATAGACGAAGTATTGTCATTTGCGCAGGAAGTAAGACGTCGTTGCTCTCCAAATCGCATGCTATTTCCTGAGCAAGTTAAAGTAGCAATGTGCAATTCTGACACCAACTTTAGTGCTTTTCACAATAACATGAACTCACTGTAAGTGATTTAAAAGAGCTTCAAGATGAACGACTACACGTCTCACTCCACATACATGTTCGCCAGATTCACTATACCATAACAAACATTTAACAAACGCTAGTGTTAGCTATATATTTGGCGTTTGTGTGAAATTGCAAGACCATACGTGTTGGGGGGGGGGGCACTCTGCTGGTCTCGCTGTTTCAATGAACTTAAAATTAATGTAATGCAAGAGCAAATGCGCGTACCGGTCAGAGGTCGGAAAACAATATTGCATTACAGTAAATAATTGGGTTTTTCAATAAAAATCTTTGTTACTGGGCGCCTCGGTTTCCAATACAATATCATATTGACCCAATTATTGACAACTAGCCGAGCGCCGCCGCTACGCGGCGGTAGTTTCGTGGTTAGTTGTAGTAGTAAGGGCCGCCCACCTCCGCTTCGCTCCGGTGGGCTTTTATTTAGTTTAAAGGTTATTAAATTTTGCTTGTGTGCATGTAAAAAATGTTTATTTACGTTGAGCTACTATCAGTAGTGTGACTGACGTGACTGAAATCAGCTTAATACATATCCCTATGTCAGAGTAGATGAATGTAGTAAGGTAAAACATTTGATCTATCTGTTGTAAACCGGTCCAAACAGGTGCAACTACTTAATCCAATTACAAAGTCCCCGCGGAGTACATACCTTAAGTAATCTGTGTGTTGTATATGTAGTAGAATTAAACTTTGGCATGAGCTACATGTCGTGGTGGGGTAGATCAATACGGTGTTGCTATCTACAGTGTGCGCACTTTGAAGTCTGTATACTGTTATTTTATCATGTTATCGCATAACTATAGTTTGTTTCTCTATACGGTTGGTAGGCTATAGCATTTACATTCTGTGACCAGGCGATAAGCCCAAAGTGATGGATTCGCTATTCATGTTCTCAGCATTACATTTCGAGCTAGTTTTCTTTA